ACTTACAATATAAACCTATATAGCTAAAAGCTATAACTTAAATAATTATAATGCTTAATATAAGCTATAGATTATTTATATTTTTAAAACTTTTAAATCCCTTAGGTAAAGTTGGAAAATAAGTTTTACCCCGCACTTAACCTGATTTTTTATTTTCGCACTTTGTGGTAGTGGCCCACCCTAGACAACGCCAAGGGAGCCAAGTTCCGAGGGATTGTCAGAAGGGGTTAGGGTTTTAAGTGCTCTGGTGAGATTAGATCTGTACCGTGCGAACCGTGATTGTAGCGCTTCTGCTAGATTTAATATCTTATGAAGTTGAAATTGAGGCCTTTCCCAGCCAATGTTACATCTCACATCTGACCGTCGGCCCCCTGAACAGCCCGATCATGCTTTCAAAGTATATATATCATGGCAGCCGGACAGCTTTACACATACGACCATAGGATCTGGAAAACGCGGGGTCCCGTCCGCTCCCCCATAGCTAAGCCAGATACCGCCGAATTAGTAGTTGGGTCGGTGACGACCAGCGAATCCTCGGTGTTGTATGTTTTGTAATCTTTTTTAGTATCCTTTTTTGCACCTTATCTTCATGTAACGCTCTTAACCCCGCCTAACCGACTTACTACTACCTCTGAGCTTACTATCCCTGTAACTGCCACGAACGCTCCAATACCTGCCAAGACTTTAAATATCCAATCAAAACCATTAGAATTTCTTACACTTGTATCTTACTTAGATATACCCTTTAGGTACAAGGCGCTACATAGTATTCGACGTCATTTCAGGGGAAACCTAGGTATTCGCAATGTTGATCTATTGGTAGGGGTAGCAAGAGACATAGCACGTGGTTAAAACTGGGTAGGCAAAGTATTGGAGCGTTCGTTGGCAGTTAAAGGGTACCTGTGTAGACCTTCCAATAGCACGTTTCTCCAGGCTATTATGAAGATATAACATTCAACCCGTCAGCTCTCAGCAACTAAATACCGGAGAAATCTCACATAGTTGTTGTAATTGGAGGAATAGGGCATAATAATCGGGTCATACGCCATCTATTTCTCATGTAAAACAGACAGCTGGATTGCCTGCTTTCTGTTTACTTGCGACATGGAGAGGCTGATCATAGCGGTGATTCAATCTGGTTTACTTTTACCCACATATAGCTAGGCTTGAACAAATTAGCAGAGTTCGGAAAGGGATGCTACTAGGATCCGGACAGGATGCGCTAAAATTTAGGTCTGGCTCTTCGATCCAAAAGCGGAGAGTTGTGATACTGTTGGTCCTCTCTGCGCCTTTCAGCGGAGGCGGCGGCGTACCACGCTTCCAAGGTTACATACTTCACGGAATTCATAACACTACCACTACCTTACTTACCTACTATGAACAATCTTGGGGCAGTACCGCGCAATAAATCAACATAGGGAACTTTTTCCCATTTGTTAGATGCACGTCTCCCTGCATAACATTACAAATAGCCGCTGCATATCAGACCACAATCACGAGACCTGTCCAAGAATACGTTTTAGACATAATTTGTGCGACAAGACGCACTAAATTCTACCCACCGCACACGTGGAAAGAAATCCCAACTTCTTCCTTTCCTATATGATTCAATACGATGACGGTAATTCTCATAACGGGTGCCACCGGCTTTATCGGTTTCAGTGTTCTGCTGGCTGCCTTGGAAGCTGGTCATATAGTTCGGTATACCGCACGATCCGAAGAGAAAGCCCTGGTGGTCTCCTCCAACCCCGCGATCCAAAGACTGGCTCTTGACAAAAACAGCCTATCCTCTGTCATTGTTCCTGACTTAACCGTTGATGGCGCCTTTGATACTGCACTGGAAGGCGTTACACATGTCATTCATGCTGGCTCCCCGGTGCCACACCCGGCCTATAACCCGACTACCGAAGTATTTCAACCTACTCTGAAGATCTCAGAGGGTCTGTTAGCTTCCGCGCTCAAGACGCCTACTGTGAAGCGTGTAATAATCACCTCTTCGATTGTTGGCAATTTGCCCCTCGGGCCTCCGCCGGCAACGCCTGTCTCTGCATCCTCTCGCGTCCCTTTGCCGGATCCCATTCCATCGACTTTCGATAACCTTTTCGAAGCATACGTATTCGGAAAAATCATCGAGCTTCATAATTCTGACGAATTTATCAAGACTCATCATCCTCACTTCACGATATCTCACGTAGTGCCTGGATACGTTTTCGGTCGGAATGAGCTTGCACTCGATGCCACCATGACGGAAACCCAAAACAGCTCCAACAACTTTCTTATGATGGCAATTAGAGGCGGTGAACCGCCATATCCGTTGTATGATAGCTTTGCTCACATTGATGATGTGGCCGAGGTTCATTTGCGTGTAGCATTCTTAGACACCGAGACAGGACCTAAAGATTTTGCTATTACGACTAAAATGGATTATGACACAATTTTCGATCACGTCAAGAAAGTCTTTCCCGATGCTGTTGCTGCAGGTATATTCAAAATGGGTAAGGTGATTCCACTGCCTATCAACTACGACTCAAATGACACAGAGCAATTGCTAGGTAGAAAGTTTAAAACTTTCGAAACTGCTGTCATTGATGTAGCGAGCCAATATCTTGAGACAGCTGGGCATACTAGTGTATAAACATGGCTTCTGAGAGTTTGGAGACAGGAATCAGAGGCAAAGATATGAATATATATAGCTAGAAGGAGTTTGACTGCCCTTTCTCCTAGCCTTTTAGAATCTGAAACAATGAGAGCCTTTATTACTATATACATTGCACCTTGTTCATGATAGGTTAATGAAGTGTCACGGAGAAGTGGATACGGAGCGGCAGAACCATGTTGCGGAGATCGTCTATAAATAGGAAGATCTCCTGAGGTAGAATTGCAAGTTAGACCTTAGATCCTCTGAATAGACCTCAACTGATCGCTTCTGTATGAGGCACTGGTTCACTTCCACTGACTCCGCACCTCCGCGAGATGAAGTAACATAATATAGCTATCAGATATTCACTACAATATGAATTATAAATTACATGGGCTGTAGTCACAATATGTTACACGTGTAACCTCTGTACCGGTTGATGAATGCAGTTCGCCTTGCACTTCGGCCGTACGAAGGACCATTGCAGGCTGTCATGACCTTCCAAGACATGCAGGCAATATTGGGCAATATTGGAAAGTGAGGTTATACAGACTTCGCTTCTTGAAACAGACCCTAGAGACCCAGGCGGTCTGGGCTGGCAGATCATTTGTATATAGAGTCATCTCAAGCCACCAACAGCCGAGAAGGAGTTGGTTGGTCAAGGACTACTGCAACCCTAGTAGATCATTATAATCAGAATCCTCAGTTCCAAGCCCAGTTATCTGCCCTTGTTATACAATATTGGGTAGATACGCTAAGTATAATTACAAAAGTATTCCTGTTGTTATGCGAGGTGCTTGGCCAACTATCTTGTAGGCTGATATTATATATAGAGTGTCTTTTAACATACACCTGGATTGAAATGGCCCAAATGCCTATAGGATAAGGAGACACGTACATGTGATAGCAATACTAGTGCCGGTAAAGATAGTGACAGATCATCATGAAAGTTGTCTTCCATTTCGGGCCTTGGAAGTAGCTTCACTAGGTGCCACAATGGTTCACCTACCACAAAGATTCGCCATAACCAAGGCTCAGTCAGAGGCTATCATGACACCTACCTCAGGAAGATTTTGGGCTACGTGGTCCCAGCTATAACCACACACTTCGTAATATTGCGCTGTGATTTCTCAAACCCCCTCTATAACAAGGGCTGATAACTGGGCTTGGAACTTGATGCTATTCAGATTACAATGATCAACTAGGGCTGCATGAGTCATTGACCAACCAACTCCTTCTCGACTATTGGTGGCTTGACTCGACTCTATAATTATACAACTGGTCTACCAACCCAGACCGCCTAGGTCTCTAGGGTCTGTTTCAAGAAGCGAAGTCTGTATAACCTCACTTTCCAATATTGCCTGCATGTATTTGAATGATCATGAACAGCCTGTAATGGCTTTTCGTACGACCGAAGTGCAAGGCGAACTGCATGTTCAACTAGTACAGCTTGTGCAGCTTGTACACGTGTAACACTGATCGCCATTGTTGATGTCACCTTGCTCACATTTGTTACTGCCAACTACTGGCGTTTGAGCTTCCCGGGAATGACCTCATCGTGGTAGGTGTCGTCTATTATGTGTCCATAGTAATGGTGGTCACATCGGTCTCGCCAGGCGATCAGGGCTCTGTTGTCGGCTTTTTCAGTGTACACCCCCTCTTCCAATATAATCCTTCATGGCTAATTTTAACATCTCTCTAGATGTCGCTCAGAGCGGCCGGGGATGTGGACCTTTAGTTTTGCGCGAAGTCTGACAGGCTCAGAATGACGTTATTGAGACTTATTCTGACAATGTACTGCTGATTTTCTTGCTCCTGACCGTAATAAATATATGGCATACGCGTCAAAAGTAGCACACTCATGTTGATCACCTTCCGAGGGAACCTCGAAATCCGCTCACTCCAAGTCCATCTTACGGACAAAACCTTGGCCTTCTTTTATCCCTTTTGGGATGGCTCCAATCCCTGTTAACTGAGTGACATCATTGGCATAGAAAAGATTGTGCTTTGTACTCTTATCCGCTTCCAGGTATAATACAACATATCAGTCTGTAGAATTAGCGATTATAGCGCTTACTTACTAAAAGAGACTTAAGTGAGTTGATAATTGGAATGTCTGAGACCCGATGGCGATGAGCATACGACTCTACCTAGTGGTCTTGGTGCAAATGATGGTTCATTATTGGTTTATGATAAGAAGCCATCGCAAGAGGAAGATCAACAGACGCTGATGCTTTTTTATTTTAATTCTATTTAATTTTTTTTTATAAAAAAAAGGAGGAGGGGGAGGGCCGTAGAACTACATGAAACTCATCGTCTTGCAAAGATAGTGGTTTCCATGGGCCCGGGTACAATGCGAGTCAGACCGTATGAGTCCTCTTGCGTGATTCGCAGCAGTTGGAGTCCAGTGGAGTTTAACAAGTATTAAGCACTTTGGAACAATCCTCCAAGGTCTAAGTGCCGTATTAATTTGTCTCTAGGTTTAAGCATCATGCATTCGAGCGTTGAATTACTGTACATATTACATCAGATATCCCAAAATGCTGAAAGAGCGGGAAACTGGTTGAATATTTCCATGTAAGGACGTTGTGTCGCTGGTAGCAACCTGAAGCTTCCCGTGTCAGCAAATATTACTATGTTTAGGAACATAGCGCCGCTAGCGACGGGTCGGAATTATGAGTGTCAAAAACACCAATATCTCCGAACCACCGATCTCATCTCACATTCTAGTTCGAAGAACCAACCCAAACTAGCAGGGAACAACTCCAACTATTGTATGTGTTTACACGCTAGATAGGGTATGTTGCTAATTCATACTAAGCTACAACGCTGCGTATCTGCAAGTAAGGCCTCTGAAATCGAGTACCCATGTCCGACGGGACTTTCCTTAGCTCAATAGATCTCTTGGCGCGGTAACTATCTATAGGCTCTCATAATCTTTAACTCAACCTCCTCAGGATATAAAGAGGTACGCCTCAACCAGTAGATGTCTCGAACACGACCTTCTAGCCAGCCTCACCACTAGCTACTTTTCTACCACTTCACCTTGAAACTCCATAACCCAAAAAGCAAAATGCATAGCTCCAAATTCCTTCTCGCCGTAGCTGCTCTCGCGGGCGCGGCGCTATCTCAAAAATCGGACGATGAATTCTGCTCTGCCTTTTTCACTTCGTTTGTTTCCATTATTGAAGAGGAAGCTCCCAAGACACCCGAGGCCATCCTGTCCTTTCTCTCCGCAACTCAAACAGCCACACCCACGACCACTGCTCCCCCTCTGACGACTCTTGACTTCGGTGCTCACGCATCAGAGCTTTGTTCCATTGCTGGCGTACTGCCTTCGTCTCTGTTGCCCGTATTCCAGACCTATGCCGAGTCACTTGTCGCCTTTGGTTACGCCCGCAGCAGCGAGCATTTCGCTTATGTCACAGATTGTGCCCCGGAAGAGGACGTGGCGAGCAGTACCAGCTTCCTTAAAGATTTTTTCACGGCTACGGGAAACTTCTGCGAGGAGACACCTGCTCCCGGAAACACACCCAGCGGTACTAACTCAGTACCCACGCCGACGGCTACAAGTTCCGCCTGCCGTGGCTCTCGGCCCCGCCGCATTTGAATGAGCGCAGTTTATCAATGGAAGACTTGAATACTGTTAGCTTGCTGGTTCTCTCTGTTTTGGAATATTCTGGTTTAGACAGTGTATTTTGATGTTAAATTTTTGTCTTAAATATATCTGCTTGTCGCAAAGACTGCGTTTCAACATTTCTTACGGAGGTGTGGATTAATATTGAAGTGAAGCAGCGCGGCCTTTGGGAACGATTGGTGGAGGTCTACTCAGCTGATCTACTAAAACTATATTTAATATCCCTGAACCTCCGTAATTTCCAAACACTTAGCGATCAACCCACCTGCAATTAGCCACCTATAGAAATGGTAGAACCAAAGTGTTGTGGTAAGTTAAGTTAGGCTAGGTATGTTTACCGCACCCCCCTTACACAATTCTTCAACGCCTTCATCTTTAAGTTCATTAGCAATTTGCGCCTAAGGTAGTTATGCAGAAGAATTTTAAAGACAGGAATTTAGTAAATTAGCACCTTTTCACCTATTTCTGCTACGGTAATCAAGAAAGAACGAGCACATCGTAAATCGTAGTAGTTATATTGCATCCTATAATTTCAATTATTTAATTACGCAACTGTTGCCAATTTAAGTGCTAGTTCAAGATGTGTAACTAGGTTAAATCGCACGATGTATAAGGGGTTAGCTCATGATATGAGTCTATCCCATAAAGCCGAACCTCTACTTATGTAGTAAAATTCGTGCCTATGAGAGGGGTTGTCCTGATAGTTCATAGTCAAATAGACATTCTTTCCTGATTTTTCCAATGAGCCCACTAAATAGGTTATTTACTGCTCCCTCGCTATCATACAATCAATAGAGCTATAATATGGCTATAGTACTGCATTATCTTCAACAGCAGTCGCACTTCCACTAAACCCACTGTTGTTAGCGTAATCAGTTGTTGCGATACTACTGATCCTGTGCCCTATCGGTCACCGCCCACTTTGCCATATAGATACGTTTCTTTGAGGTGAATAAGAAACACACTTAGTGTGCCATTATATTAATTACATTCTCAAGCTGACCTGTGGTTGACCAGACGTAGATTTACTCGCCTCGATCTCGCCGTTGTCAGCTATGATGAAGATGAGAGTTTGTGATACCTTATCAGTCCCAGTGAGCTGAAAGATCTCGTCGATCCATGTGCACCGACTAGTCATTTCATCTTTTAGCAACAGGCAAGTCAACACTTTCCCCGGCCCGTCTTTTCCGCCCAGTCTGTGATCCTTCCTCGTTCTCCAGTTGGATCTCTCCGGAGAGAGGTAACTTATCTAGCATTACGAGCTCGCCGTAAGTGCTGGTCCCCAGAAGCTCCTTCATATATTCGGAACGGAAGGGCTGCGCCCTCTGGAGAGCCCGGTGTAGTTGATTCATGTATTCGTTAACGGCCACCTGGTGTTCCCTATTCAATTTTACCACTCTGAGAGAATATTGGTTCCCCTTAGCTGATGTCACTGTACGTTGGAACAGGTCTGAGGGCAATTGCTGCTGTAGGTGTTTGTATATATTGGGTCCCTTGCAGAATACCCTTTCTTCTTCAAATTTTGAGGCCAGAAACTCGTCAAGCTCATGGCAATGTTTGCAGTGCCCACACCCTCGTGGTTGATGAGCATGCCCTGGAAGCTGTTTCGGATATTTTGGTAGATCTCTGAGCACATACTTTTTCAGCATGGCTTTGACAAAGTCCTGCGCCGGCTCGCTAGATGGCATTTTGCTCTTCTCAAAATGTTGACATACACACAGGAGCATTTGCGAAGCCAATGTTGGAGGGCAGGCAAAGTCTGGACGTCTTAGGAAGACTGCCAAATCATCTTGTTTAGGGGCGGCTTTGACAATTTTAACACTATGCCGTAGCAGCTCGTCAACGGGTTGCTGTAAGCCAGATAGTAGACAGTTGTCAAGCAACTGGCAGAAACGTTCAGATTCTGACCGATCGTTGTAGTCCCCCGCTGTGGAGTTCAAGTTGATTTTAGCTAAGTGTAACTTCGGCATACAAGACTCGAGGAGGGCGATAGCGATATCGTGAGCTCCGTCAAGCATACCTTCCCGGCTTTTCTGTAGCAGGGAGCATATCAATGTTGACAGAAGCGTTTTGTTTGTACAGTCACGGATTTTCGGTACCAGTCTGTAGATTTGACTTGGTCAGTTCAATGGTATCGGGAAAGGAGGTATGATTGGAGCGCTCGAACGATACTTTCAGGAGTATCGAATATCAGTAACATACGAGACTTACACATTGTTGGTCCAATCGGGATTTTCCCAATGGAGAGTTGCTAGCTGTAAAATACGATCATGATCCTCGGCTCCAAAAGACTGTTTTGCCTCAAACGTAAGGAGCTCTATCGTGGAGCGCCAGTGCTGGAATGACTCTTGCATATTGCCAGGATTGAGTAAGCTCTTGATAAGATCCAGAGACTGAGATAGTTTTGCGAGGCTTTCATGCTTAGAAACCAGTTCTCCAAACCTGAACGAGAGTTAGTCCCATCTTCGCACCTAGGCATGGACATCTTGCGGAACGCACCTTTTATCCCAATCAATCGGTGCTTCTGGGTCCTTTTTGACTATAGCAACTAGAGCTTGGACGACTCCCGGTCCAGGGCTGCCGTTTCGGAAACCCGCACTAACAGCGGTACGAAATAAGTTTTCCTCTTTCAGGCGCCAAGCCAATGTCAATATGGCTGGCGCCAATGTGTCCTCATGACGAACTGCCTGCGCAAAAAAATCCAAGGCTATTTTGCGAGTAGCGGGGTCATGGGGATGGGCCTCTAGATCGTTCCTAACCAAATCGTAGAGCACTTTCATTTCAACGTCGAACTTGAAGAATTGACCTAGTTGGGTTTTGGGAACCATCACGACAGCCTGGGAATGTTAGCATGCTACTCTCTTGTAGTAGAGCTGTTTGGTATGCGATGTGACTTAACTGAGTCATGGTACCTGTACTCTATAGGCGCACCTTCGTTCCCAGTGTCTTCGCCTTCTGATTGACTATCTGCATCGCGCCCACGATACGGGTCGCGTCCCAGAATGTCCTTATTTTCTATTTCAACGTTCGAAGCAAAAATCTGTGAATCGCACGTAGCGACGATGTCCATGCCTAGCGGGGGTCCTTTATCCTCGTCGTCTTCGTCTTCGTCTTCATCATAACTGCCGTAGCCTCTATATCCGAAGTCATCTGAGACTCTTTTGGTGACATTGCACAAAAACAGGTGCCATCCATTCTTCGTACAGGCATCCTGCAGCATCAGACCAACAGCGCGATCTCGTCCCTTGAGGTGATCCATTCGGAGACTAGCTTGAGAGTATTTGTGATCAAGTAGATAGAGTAAACGCCTTGGGGGCGAACGGAGATTCAGCTGAGCAATAGCACTATGCAGTGTCTGGCCTTGTGTCGTAAAGAAGCTGGCCGAGTCTGCGCCATCGCCCGTCTGGACAATGTTGTATATCAGGACAAGCCGGTGACCTTCCTGGATAGGCTTGATTTCGTGTGTCACGTCTGCGTACCACGCGAGAGCAGAAATATCAAAGATGCTTTGGCTAGTGTCGAAAACACGGGCTGCCCCAGCGTGCGACAAATGCACCTCGCCACCTTTATACCTCGATGGTAGACATACGCTAAGAGTAGCAATCATACCTGGTGCCTTCTCGGAGTCCTTGTGGGCCTTGAAGAAGGAGCCTTTCTCATAGAGAAGGAGCTTGTAAAGCTCAATGGTAACGCCGGACGTGCCTAGACTTTGCGACACATCCTGAAGAACGCGGCTAGTAAATGTGTTCCACGCCGGGTTGATGAGCTTAAACTTTGAGGCATCGAGTTCCCACGTGTCTCTCACAGATGTGTCAACTAAGGTTTTATCTCCACGGCCAAAGGGCGCTTGCCGAGATGCGTCGCGGATCAAGGGCACCTGGCCCGGATCTAGTGGCAAGGCGATCAGGTCCTCTCCAATCTGTATACCTGGATTTGCGTGTTGAGAGTACTGCTTCTTTATGGCGAACTCGCCGCAGGTGTCGATTGCGTCGATCGCTTCCCTCAGCTCATTCCTCGATCCATTCGCCCCTGAGACTGAGCTTGGCAGCGCCGATTGTCGGGAGCCCGGCATCCTCATGATCATAGGCCGAGAAGTCGCCATAATTACTATTAGAGGGTGCCTGCAGGTCAGGCATATAGTGACATGGGTTTGATTTCCAGAAGGGCTATGTATTCATTGCCTTTGGCTCACCCGTGGTGTATAGCTCAGTTCTTCTTCAGTTATACCAAATGCGCAACATGAACATTATAGTAGGCAGGTAATGGAGTCGCGCGTAACAGGGGCAGACGCGACGCGATCTTTGGAGTGGCCTACTATGCAACCTCCAAAAGACTTACATGTAAACACATTTTGGGCGTGGCACGGTTAGGTAGATTAGATAGGCTATTACTGAGTTTATCTGGGTAGGGAAATATAATCTCCGCCCGCCGTCACCCGGTCGCCCCGTTATATCATGTCCACCCATAAAGCTCCGCGTCGGGCCATCTTGAGATCGCATGCCGCTCCGTTTGATGGTCCTTGGTGCGGTGCTTTGCTGGCTTGGCGAGCAAAGGTCAAACGAAACGCCATGTCCCAAGGATGTGTCAGCAAACACCTTCATACAGTAGAATGAATCGCGTCTAGTACTTACTCTTGGCGATGCCTGCCAGAAAGTAGTTGCCAAGGCATCACAAGTAGGTACCTAGATAGATAGATACCTAGTGAATTCAATTGGTCCTGGTCCTGGGCTCCGCCATTCAGCACCAACCCTTCCGAAAGTGCTACGTTATGCGATGCCACAGGTACCCTCTAATCACGCGTTATGTCAACAAATATCCCAGTAGCCTATCTGGGAACTGCACAAGGGATGATGATACCTTCATACATATGGCGTTATACGAAGTATTACTGTGCGCCTCTGGGCCATTCATGGTGGATATTCCAGGCTTTTTAATGATTGACGTAACATGTAACATACAGGTGACAGAATCATGGGTGGAGGATCTGAGACAGGCGCACATATACAACTCACACTTGTTTAATACGCAGCTCCAAATTCCACTATTTAGCGTCCAGGTATTCACTTTCTAAGAAGCCAGAAATATCCTCCTAACGAATTACTTGAGATACGAGGGTTGTGTTATTCGCATATCTGGTAGCGTGCCACAAGGGATAAACCTTTTGATTACACAAGCGTGCACACGCACACAGGAAAACGTACTCAGGTATCATCTGACCCTAAAAGGTCACCGAGGTTAGCCCGGGAAAGACATTGATCTGTTTGCCTCGATTTTGGAATAGCTAAACTTCTCGCCCAGCTTCCTCTCCCTATTCTGGTTGGACGCATACGGAAACTCGTCATGGATGCTTCATTGAATCAAACTCTCGCGCAGGAGAAACCGGCATGCGCACATTCTAACCACGAAGACAACCTTCAGCTCATACAAATCCCAGCAGATCGGAATCCCCTACTAGAGAAATTGCTACCTTCAGACTCCGATGGGGGATCAGACAGTGTCTCCAATTTCTCAACCCTTGAGACAAACACGAATGCCAGCATCAGTCAAGTAGATGACTGCGACCAGTTAGGAAGCAACTTATGGAGCGGTGCAGACTGCTACGGAAGTGATAGCAAGCTTGGCAAACAAGTCGACAACTTCTTCCAAGCCGTCGGTTGGCAAGCCCTGGCATCGATCGCCACAGACTACCGAGATGGCATACAATGTAGTTATGCTGACCCGGACACATATTCTATCGGACAGTTCAACATGGTCCGGCGCCTTGACTTCGTTGATGGTGTTCGCTGGGTGGCCCGTGTGCGACTACCTCCTGAAGCTACACACTTTCCTCTTGGGCGATACAATAGCCAGAGGGCCTTTGAGACCGAGGTGGCCAGCATGAAATTTTTCAAGTCGGTCGTGCTTCCCTCACGCGTCGCAGTGCATCTCATTTTGCTAACCACAATCAGGTCGAAATCGGATATTCCAGTCCCTGAAGTCTTTGTATACGACCCTGACAGTTCCAATAGCATTGGCGCGCCTTACATGCTCATTGAATACATCCATGGCACCACCGCCGAGGATCTTCGGTCCATCAGAAACTCAGAGCCCTCGATTTTTGGAACATCAGAGCAAGACCAGAAGTTTCGACAACAGATGGCCAGCATCCAAGCACGAGTGCTCACATTTCAATTTCCCAAAATCGGCAGCCTCTATCACGACGAAAGCACAGACAGTTTCTACATTGGCCCAGACATGAATACTGGCATGGGGCCATGGGGAACGCCTGCCGAGTATTATAAGGACCTGACTGACTCTCTCTTGAAACAATCTGCCGCGCGTAGATGCAGGGATCCGGAAAAAGAGAAATTCTTCTGTGCTCCTGCGCTTTTGAATCATCTCATGAGTCTCTATGGCCAGGGTTGCAATGGTCAATATAGCCTCGTCAATCGTGACTTTGGAGCTCATAACATTCTCGTAGACGGCGACTTCAATATTGTAGGTGTGATCGATCTGGACAGCGTATTTGCTGGCCCGCTTGAGGCTGTTGCCCAGTACCCCGGGTTCTGTGGTTTGGACCCCGAACCACCCGGAATAGTTGAGACAAACCCCTACGCGCTGAAAAGAATCGAGATCATGACGCCTCAACTAGAAGAATACAAGAATTTGCTGATGCGATATGAGGCTATGTTCAGAAATGGCATGGCTTCGATAAGCAGTATGCTTGGATCTCGTGGCGCCATGATTCACCTAGGCTTCGAGAGCTGCGGCGAGGTATTCGGGTTCCAGAATGAAGTATGGTTTTCATCGGCGGTGGCGATGCTAAAGGAGCATGCCATCACTCAATGTAACTAACGGGTTATGGGTGCATGGTAATAATTGATTCTTACTCTCTTTTTCTAGAAGCTATCTAGATAGTTAATCAAGCCTCTATACCTGCTAAGACTAGGAAAGCAACAGAAGAGCAACCACAATCCAGGTTGAGTGAATGTGTAAATCTAGGGATATAGGTAGTTGAGTCTCTTCTGAATCGTTGCAAGAGCTTAGGAGTCATTGGTGTTGAGTTCTTATTAGAAAATTACAATAGCCTTCCATTCACCTGTGACTTATCTTCACTTTAGATCAAGGCACTCAGCAGTATCATGTCGTCGATTCCTCTTTTGTCAAGTAAGCCATTTTCATTAAAAGTTCATGGATGCCCCGTGTCGAACTGAGTGCATTCCAGAGTCTCATAGGTCTACTTAGTTATCTTAGATATTGAGTTTGCAAACCTCGCGAAAACGTGTGTTTATTTGTTTTTAGTTATTGAAGTCTCGTATTTAACCTTAATCCAAAAAAATTCAACCTTCCGATCAATAGTCTCAATCTTGATAAGTCCTTTGAACCTTTCCTCATCCTTAAAAAGCCCGGTTTACTATGAGGCCGTGAACCCATCATCTAATCGTAACGATGGAGATCCATCTCGTGTCGTCTTTAGGACTCTCGTTAGTAACTATTACTGAAATAAATAGATATGAAGGTGAAAAGCACTTACTCTAGTTCTGCAGCCCACAGCTAGAACAAGCTCTACCCTTGATCACAATAGTCCAGCACTGTGGAGTAGAACATTCGACACTGATATGTCCGCAAATCTCACACTTTCGATCATTTTTTGTCGTAGCATTGCAGTTTGCACATTTGATCTTATAGGCGAGCTGATTTATAGGCTCCATAGTCTCCGATTTTCCTGGCATCGTGTTGTTGGTAGGATTCAATCTAAGACAGTCAGTACATTTCTATTATAGGGGCACCACAGAAGAGATTATACCTTTATGGAGCTTAGAAGGTAGATCGGTTCGAGGTTGTGTCTGGTAAGAGAGATGATACTAGGTGTGAAGTAGAGGTTGAAACTGAAGGTCTGGGGGTCAGTATGCCCAAAGAAAATACGATCATTAAATACTCAAAATCATGATAGTAACTTCCTTTCTTATCGAACACGAAAACACTCGTAGAACGCCTGTTAAACTACCCGGGAAGTAATAGCTGACGCCCGCCAATGGAATAAGATGTGATTCATATCGTCACGATTCCATCTAACCACACAACGCTATCAGTGGCGGTTAGACAAAGAATTCGCAAACAAATTTATACTCCCGTGCTAGCGACATGAGACCACCCCTCGCATGAGAACTAGAAACATGTAGCATGAATATGACGTTGAACAACGACAAGTCTGATGTTGCCAAGGGTGGGAAACGCGACAGGAAAAATACGGATATCTACTGAAACAATAGCTTCACAGTCAATTACCACCGATGGAAAATCCATCAAAGCTCAACCTATGACCCAAAACCCCCCTGTTAACATTCAGGCGCCGCAGGCCAGCAACTCAAGCGCTCATGATAGCCGTGCCCGAGGGAGACTTGTGTAGCCACGCCCACGACGGCTTCATGTCCGTGTCCTTAAGCCCTGATTGGAGCTGTAATTGTAGGTAATGGTAATCTAGCCTGGGTACACAATTTCTCGGTTAATGATTAGATGTTAGAGTAGCATCACAGAGAAGAGGTCCTACAAGGGGCGAAGGAGGTACCACTGCAGTAGTCAATTTCGGTCTAAGCTACTGGGAAAACTATTCTTGCAAGAAGGGATCATAAAACACGGGTCGCCTCCCTTGACCCGTGAAATCTGTCATACAGGATATCCTTACTTGCGTGCCTTACTCCTCGAGGGACGGCCCGACTAGCATAGCAAACAAACAAGGGATAACGCTCTGTGTATCTTGGTAACCCCTAGCTCAAGTTTCGCGTTTGTCTTCTGACCCCCAGGACTCTATTCACAAAAGGAAAAGCTAGACGAGGCTAATCTTAGGCGACTATTTAACGTTGTACCATGAGCGGAAAAGTCATTTGGTGATGTGATAGGCGCTTACAAAGCCGTAACATGACCTCCTGTGAATGTAACACTATCCAGGTCGCTTGTTATCGTTTCACACTGACTCGGTAGATTTTCATAAGCCAGAGTTTATGCACCTAGATAGCTGATTAACGAGTGGTTCTTTATTCAAGTGCATGTATCAATGCTCCAATCTGTGAATAACACTATATACCACTAAGCAACAAGCTCTATCTAATCATCAATACTTCTGGCTAAGTGAAAAAGTCAAAGGAGCTCCTTGGGAACTTCAGGTCGACATTTACAGAATTAAACACTCTCGAAAAAAAATCGATTTTGAAATATCTATGCTGCAATTATTTATATAAACAGCGCTATCAATATCCTTTAAACTCGTGGTGAGTGCCATTAATTCTTCCACCTTTCTAGTTCGGAGACGATGGTCTGCCTACTAAGCAAATGCATACGAATCTATATATGCCTGTACACGTAGAAGTCTCATAGCTACTCGAAAGCTTTGATTGTTGACGGTTATTTGACAGTGTTTTGTATCATGCCTTGGGGGGAATTTACCGCCCTTTTCCATTCTTGCATTGAAAAGGTTAGTGTTAGGAGATGTGCTCCAACATGACGAGGATGTGGCTAAATGGGAAAACAGTAGGCATGGTGTTATGTATGTTATTGGGATGAAGATTGGTTTGGTAGGCCTAGTGCTAGATATACGAAGTTTGGGTGCTGTTGCTTGCATGAAACTAGAGAGCTAAGGTTTTGCCAACGGCAAATTGAGAAGCTTGGAGGCGTGGTGAACCTAGATTGCTGAAGTTCATCTAATAAGTTCCGCCAACAGAATGCATTATCCCTGGTTTTTGACCACATCCTTGAGGCAACGTCTTCTCGCAAAGAAATAAGGCGAGTTGTGATCAAGGCGCGAGTCTGATTTGACTGTTTGATTTCTTACCCCAATTCAGAACTTTCCTTCAAACCCTGCTGTAGATGCTATCCCACCTTCTACTACGCTACAAAGACGTAGATTCTTGCATAATTATTCAATGATAGATTTCCATGTAAAGGAGTGAATATGAGGCGCAGTTCCTCCTATTGATACACGAGTACGGAGGGGATTATAGATTCTCCCGCACTCTGGCTGTTGTGGGGCTCGAGGTTCTATGGATCTTAGAAGCGGGCCAATCCCTGTCCCTCCATGCAGCAAGTTAGAAATACTCTAATCTTTGCGCAGTAGTAAGACTTCTACAGCGCCAGCGGACGTTGGACTCAGATCTCACTCCGACGACGCTCTCAATACCTAGGAAGAATTCAAAGGGGGCCTTCTCAACGCTGGTCTTTTATCCCGGTATACTGAATTGCGCCGACATATACACGCTACCGCCAAGGCAACAAACCACAGTGCACGATCGGCCTCACGCCCGCCGAGACGAAAACCAGCGCCGCGAGTTACACTTTCGACATTTCGAGTGGCATATCTACAATTATCCACACGACCATGGCCACACCTTCATTACGCAGCCTCTTCGCCAGGCTTTCGTTAACACCAGCTACATCTGCCATTCCGCGCTCAACAATCTCCACCATCCTCCCAACGACCTCATCGCTCACCGCCATCCCCGCCTCCTCAACCTCTTCACATTCGACACCATGCCAACAAATCCGTTCTTTCCACAAGTCGCCTGCGCGCGAAGCGAAGGGTGGGTCCTCCGCGAAAGGCGGCAAGAAGAAGAGGAAAAGCAAGAATGTCGAGGGCCCGGATCCGCGCATCTTGAACCTCAAAGTGTCAATGCCTCGCACCGTCCCCGCCCCCCTCCGTTTCGCCCGTAACCGCGCGCTGCGCCACTGGACGATCCATCGCGCGTGGTTGTTGTACCAGCGCAAGGAGCGGGAGAGGCAGGAACATGAACTCCAGCGGTAAGCGATATGTCCCCATCCGCCTATCTATATCCTACGATTCGATTCCGTCTCATTATTTGCTGGGGTGTGAATTAGACAATGGAATGCATAGGATAGAACAGAGACAGAGAACTAATATTGGAGCACGACAGAATGTACCAATCGATGTCCAGCGCTTGCGAGGAACTCCGCAAGACCAGCGGCCCCGGACTCCGTGACGAAGGCTACCTGTACCGCGTAGCGATGGAGAAGCACGGCATGTACGGCCACAACGCCGTGCCCATCGAGTACGCGCGCCCGCAGACCGAGACGCCGCCCCGGCAGGCTTGGAACCACGAGTGGACGCGGTGATTAATGAACGCTGCATTGTTTCTTATTTTCTCCCAGCATACCTCAACACAATTGCCTTGGAACTATTATCATGACTAGAGGTAGAGAGTCCCTCCCAGCACTACTCTGTATTTTACCTGCCTGAAAACCTAAAAGTGTACAATACGATATACGATATGACAGAACGAATGAACCGAGACGGGGACGATTACACAGGGGAGGGTGGCCGGCCTACATGAGAGAGATAACTAGCTACACAGGCAAGCGGTTATCCTTGACGTCGCCGAATGCAGGATTGCATGGTTACCATCTCATCAGCTAGATAGTCCGTGTCTTATAGACTACATAGTAAGGATAAATCAGGGCTACACGAACGCGTGTACGTTCATTTCATCAAGCAGGAGCTGGCAGTAGTGGATCCCAAGCGAGAATTGTCCGGGTTACATGTGACGACGACGGCTCGAAACCCGTGATATTTTAGGCAGACGTTACCTTACCTCACACATCAGGTTTGCGCGCATTAAGCGTATAGAAGTATGTATTTATGTGGTCGTGTCTGTGTGTGCATAATTTCTATCACTCTTGTTTCGTATTCCCTGCAATGGTATGCCAACACATTTTCTCATATGGTCGCCTAATCACGGGCAAAGCGTAGTTCCGACACACACAGGGGAGTTTTCGTACTTAGTATATTAATGACGCATCGATGATGATGAAGTCAGGCTCTAGCGACTGAGTACAAGGAGTGCACTTGTTATATCACTTTCGTGAGGGGTGATGGTAGGTAGATAGATGGGAATCAGTCGGTTGAGCTAGTAGTGGCAGATCGCTCCGAGGTATATTTCGCCCTTGTTCCCCTCAGGCCAAAGCTTTTTTTTAATTTACCAGGTCCCATCCAGTTTGTAAAGGAGATTCCGAAATGCCTCAACATTATCTCTGTCGCTATCTATGAGCCGATTGATGGAATTCGTAAATTGAAAAGCAGAAACTCAAGGTTGCAGATTTCGTGATTAATACAGTCGCCTCCCAATATCGCTTCCATGAAATGACTACATAGTCGGTGGAATGGATGCTGTGTTCGCGATTCTCATCTCCGTGCTATGCGAATCCGATATATACTCGACGTAAGTTTGTTTAGGGGAACAAGAGTGCGTTGAGGCTGCCTGAATATTTTCTCAGCTTCCTAATACATGCCTCTTCAATAATGTTGTTCGGGAGATTAGGTGATCCTTAGAATAAGCGCCATTGTGCTCTAGGGTTTGCTGATGATGCCGGACATTCGGTCTTATAAGATCACGCAACAGCCTGCACCTTCGCCTTTCTCGAAATTTAGCAAGGCAGCTCTCGTCGCCGCCTCAAATACGTCGTCGACACCTTCGCCGCTCAGGCTGGAGCACTCGAGGTACTTGCGTGCCCCTATCTCCTGGGCAGCCGCTTCGCCCTGTCGTTCTGTCACAAATTTCAGGCTCTTCTTCCTCATCTCCTCGATCGCCACAGGGTCGTCTCGAAGATCTTTCTTGAGACCCACCAAAATTACAGGAACCCCAGGACATCGCTCTGTCGCTTCTGTTATCCACTATTCCAAGAATTAGTCTCCTAATGCGTAGGTGAAGGAATGGTTGGCTGGAATTGTATTGACCTTGTGTTTTACGTTATCCAATGAATCTGGCGTGTCAATCGAGAAGCCGATTAGGAGAATATGTGCTTTGGCGTAGGCGAGAGGGCGTAATCGTTCATAATCCTCCTGTCCGGCCGTATCCCATAATGCCAGTTGTACCGACTTCCCATCTATTCTGCAATCCGTGACGTAGTTCTCAAAGACAGTCGGGATCTAAAGCTCTCGGCAGTTAGTGGCTGCGATGATCGGTCTATACGGTGTTTTGGGTACTTCGAGGGTGTGAATAGTTCGGAGCGCTTACATAATGCTAGAAGTGGTTAGCACGCATGAAAAGATAGACGCCACCGAGACGCGAGATCAGAGAGGTCATAGACTTACAGTAGGAAAGTATCCTAGGGTAAAGACGCTCAGTAAAGAAGTCTTCCCGCAGGCTCCATCACCTATAATAACCAGCTTCCTGCCAATGCGTGGTCAGTCTTCTCATTACACGGGAAGCAAGATGCTGGGTAGCATAATTGGTGATTGCATGGAATATTTTATAGGAGGGGGTTAAGGTTTAAAGGCGTGATGCAGAAGTGCTAGTAGACGTAGAGCGTACAGCAGCATGGACATTGCACCAACGTCAGCATGCCAAAAACACATACCTACGAATGACATTTGCGGCTGTCGAAGACGCCATTGCGAGGCTCGGGAGGCAGCCAACCTATTGTGGGAAGCGTCACAAGACCAGTTCGGCCTGGCTCGAGCAGGTCGTAGGCAGTAGTATCAATGAAGAATGGACAACCGTACTAGTCGGCCGGATGGTTGGCGACTAGATTTTGGAATTTAGGGCTTCGAGAATTGATAGATGCCAGCAAGCTGCTTCACCGGGGGCGGCGGAAGAGGAAAGTTGGCCGAGGCGCAGTGTTGGACAGGTAAACCGCGTTGGCAGAACAGAGTAGTAATATTATCAGCTGAGACGAGGTGGAGAATCAATCCAACGTCGGCGTCTGGCACAGTAGCTGTGCGTCGGGCTGCGGCGGTGTCGTCGTTGGTCGCCTGCTCCGTGTACCAAACTGGATAGATAGAAATAAGCAGATGGTTTCATACAAGAGAATGACGAAAGTTAACAGCTCTATGTCTGAGCTTCCAGGTGGAATTGAGATGATAAGTCGATGGGTGCATACTACTTGGGCAGTTGTGATAGATAAGATTACGACAGACAGGTACGACTTAGACTGAGATAAGTAGAGCAAAAAGAGAGAGACACTTACTAGGTAGGTATATAAATAGCAATTGTACTGTGAATGTACTGCGAACGTACTTCGTAGAGGTATGTAGGTACCGTGTTCTACCGTAGCTGCTTGAACGCTTGGCAAGGGCTTCCAAGGATTTTGTATGGTCTGTTCGTACAGTCCCTGTCTCAGATTTACCGACAGGCTGACAGAAGGGCTCTGAGGAGAGCAATGATGTTTAATAATTGCGTTGAGCAGCAGCTGATGAGAGCACAATGGAGGAAATCACTAGATCCAAGGCAAGGCTTCTCGAGAGGGGGGAGGGCAAGAGGATAAAAATAAATACTGAGGTAGGCTACCCAGGTACCTCAAGTAACGCAGCTAATTAATACCCAGCCCCAGCAGCCAGCAGACACCAGGCTCTGGCCAGGATGGGAATTGGGTGCCGTAGAGTCATACATGATTTGGTACCGTACCCGGGCCTAGTGGCCAGCCAGGTCCGTACTATGTATGTAACCTCTGTATTATGATGACGGACGCATCTTACCATGGCAGAATCGTCGTGGCAGAATCGTGGCACGTATACTTAATCAAGTACGGTAGGCATTGATTACAGTGAGTAATCGGCGCAGTACGTAGGTACTCTAGGTGTAGGTCGGTGTCTGTCTGCTTTGCTTCAACCCCCTGCAAGTTCAGCTCCAGTATCCTCACGGCCTCCAGTCCCTATCTGGCGATATCTTTCATGATCCGACCGTTGACCTCTCCATCTCACCTTGAACGCGTGTCAAATCTGCTCCAGTCCTGCAGATCTTGGAGGTTCTCTGAACATCGTCGGTATGCTCAGAACATCCAAACTCTCCGGCCAAGAGCTTCCGTTCCACCGCCGTCACCGCCGTGAAGTTACGTTACAAGTGGCGCTGTCGGCGTTCGCGAACAACCCACCTTTGGCCGCCGTCGCTTCTGCGCATGCATGCATGACAGAGCAATTGAACAACTAGACCACATAACATTGCACAGATTCATAATCGAGACATATGTGACTCAGCTAGACCACTGGGCCACTTAAGATGAATAAGAGCCTTCGCCCCATTAACGCTTGGGGCACCTTACCTTTTACTTGCTCTATGTGTAGGGCTTACCTAAGGTGACTAAACTAGGTAACTGGGCGCTTTCCAAGTCGGAAGAACACATGCTTAACCTACAAACAACCGTAGGACTTGTAATGTTGGATCATTCCTGTACAGTAGGCGTTAGCATGGAGCGAATGAGCATATGACGAAATGAGCGGATTGGCTGGATAGGAGCTGGATGTTATGACGCTATCTAGGTAGAGAATACGTATCGATGAAGAGTTCGATCTAGATCATAACCTCATCGTATTCCAGGGGTCAGTTATACATACCTATATATACATTTACCTTGATGCCCTATAGAAATCAGTCCAACGGTGGAATAATGGCATCTTCAAAAGGGAATTTGTTGATTGGTAACGTTCCTGAACATGAAAAATATGCTTACATCGGTACCTACATAGTTAGCGTTGTATGCGCAGAAAACTGCTTACCTAGGCAGAGCCACACACAATATGGCTCCAAGCCAGAGTTTAAGTAACAGATAACTTATTGATAGTAGAGCGTCAATGTTGGGACCTCAGTGCCTGCCTTTCATATCAGATCCATGTTTGCTTACAAACACAGGAATAACAGCAAAATTGGTAGAAAAAGGCGCCCGCTCGGCATACTTTGCGTAGGTATGAGAAAGTACAAAGTCCATTCTGAACTGACGGCGTTACCTAGGTCAAAGTAAATAAAAGGCAGGTTGAATACCGCGAAAAAGGGAACTTTGATCTTTCTTTCTTGATAGGTTCCCGCTGGTACTCCACTTCCGTCTCCAATCTTGACCTTTGTTGACCCTTTGGAAACCAATCATTTCGTCAAGCTCCTCGTGTAGGTAGGTATAAAGTTGTCCTGAGGCAGAAGGGAATCTCAACAGAAAAGCGGTCACGTGAACACCACAGGCCTCTCAGCCACCCCAAGTAGTGGCCCAGCAATTTGCCATTGCGTCGGGCACTCGCGAGGTTGAGGCTGAAACATTGGATGTGCTAGGTAGGTATGTACGGAGTAGACTGCTAGTTTGGTCGGTTGGGGCTGGGGGGGGTTTACACACCCTGATGGGCACTAGGCCGGCACGAAGGGCGGCCAAGATATGTACCTAGGTACGCAGAACTAGGAAGTACCTACTATGACCTGCTGTACTATGACGGTAGGTTAGATGTGTGCCAGATAGCCTGTACAGCACCTACTGCCTGTACTTACAGAGGGTGTAAGTACATACCTAACCTTGTAGTGCTGCTTGTGCTGGGCATGTACAATTGTTGATTGTGCAAATGGGGTACAAATGTGCAGTGGTACAATGGTACATCCGTCGCTTTTCAGGTGCAAATTGCGAGATACAGCTGGAGCGACACAGCAATTACAGCGATGCAGCGGTACAGTAGCGAACAGGAGGTCCCCATCATCACCATCATCACACCTATCTACCTACCTACCACCACCTACTGTACTGTACCTACCCAATCCACACTAATCTACAGTTCTGGCTTGACGCCGACGGCCCCAACATCATCTCCGTCCGATCCAGACAACACATGACAGCATAACAAACGAGGCATCGTCGTGTTTTCCCCCGGTGCTGCGCTCGCTCTTCGTGTCTAGCACTCTAGCACGCCTTAAGAGGCTCCTCCCTCAACCTGGCCCGCCGAGAGACCCGCCTCCAACGGCGAGCAACGCCTTGAAACCTGCGGTTCAAACTCGCTGTAACAGCAGCCAACGAGAGAGTCTTACCACGTCTCGATTGCGACCGGCCTCCAATAATCACCATTGCGGCTTTCATCTGACCCAAGCAGAGCTCCTCTCCTGTCTCTCGAGCACTGCTTATCCGGCCGTTCGCTTTTCTCGACTCTTGTAGTGGCGGTTCCCGTGCCTAGATTCCCCCGCCAATGCTGATTGCGCTCCTTATCCGACAACAGGTCGCATTCCATTTTACAGCCGATTGTCCTCGTCCTCGTCCGCACCCCTCGTTCTCCTACATGACTTCAGATCGCCCTGCGTTGTAGTTTCTAGTTTCTCGGGATGCCTTCCAATAACAATCGGCAGCAGCAGCAGCCTGTAGTCGCCGCCGCTGCGTCGCCAATACCAAAGACCACGGCAAAGTACACAAATAAGGATGGGACAAAGTACATATCTGTTCCCAAGTCCTCCGCATCTACTCCGCCCGCCCAACCGTCGCCAACAACCACCTCGTCCTCAAGAGGTGGTGCGCCAACAAATGGCCCGACCATTTCTGAGCCCCAGCTACCAACCACCGTGAACAAGAAAAAGCAAAAACGCCGTGCAAAAGCTGCTGCAAAAGCTGCTGCAGAAAAGGAACAGGCTGCCGCGGTCACAGCTGCCAACGGGCTTCCAAGTCCAGCTTCAACATCGAGCGCGCCTCTGCCCACTTCAGCCACACATCGGAAGCACCCGCCTACTTCTCAGCATATCCCGCCGGTTGAGCCAGTCCCTCACCGGAGTAATCAGTACAATGACGATGATTGGGGTGAAGAAACGGAGAGCGACGATGAACACCTCAACTCTTTCGCTGGAGCCTCTGGGCATCCGCCCACAAATGGCTCAGGGCTAAAGTCGAAGAAGTCTAAGAAGAAGAAGAAGCCCAAAAAAGAACCTGCCGTGGAATCTGAGCCTGCTCGTCCTTCTGGTATTTCTAGGGAAAAGATATGGAATACATCTGGCCCGGAAGAGCGAGAACGGATAAAGCAGTTTTGGCTAGGCTTAGGTGAAGACGAACGCAAATCACTTGTCAAGGTGGAAAAGGATGCCGTACTTCGCAAGATGAAGGAACAGCAAAAACATACATGCAGCTGTTCGGTATGCGGGCGCAAACGTACTGCGATTGAGGAGGAGCTAGAAGGACTCTACGATGCGTATTACCAAGAGCTAGAATCTTTCGCTAACAGGCCACACAGCCAGCCGAATGGTCCGCCTATGTTTACTGCTGAACGATTCGGTCCCATGAGTGGACTGCATCCGCCTGGTGTAATGCCTTCTAGGTACTCTAATCATCACCCATCACGAGGGCGTATCGTTGAGCACGTGGATAATGACGAAGATGAGCTCGAGGGCGCCGATGAGGAATATAGCGACGAGGAAGATTTAGAAGATGAAGATGATGAGGACGAACCGGAGGAAATCCCTCGCGACACCTATCCCAACGACTTCTTTAACTTCGGTCAGAGTCTAACAGTGAAGGGTGCGCCTCCTAGTGGTCTCTAATACTCGTGGTCTTGATGACTTGACTGACATATGTAGGCGGCATTCTTACCGTGGCTGACGATCTTCTAAAAAACGACGGCAAGAAGTTCATCGAGATGATGGAACAACTTGCTGAACGCAGAATGGCTCGCGAAGAGGATGCTACTCACTATTCGGGCGGTTACACTCACAATATAAGGAGCGGCTTATCAAACCCTCACAACCGTCCTCCCGAAGAGGAGGAGTATGACGAGGAGGAAGAAGAGGATGAGGAGTACGAAAGTCAAGAGGAAGATTACGAAGAGGAAGAGGTATTTGCAGTTTCGTCGATCTAAAATACAGGCGCTTATGTTTACATAGGATCAGATGACTGAAGAGCAACGCATGGAGGAGGGTCGCCGAATGTTTCAGATATTTGCCGCGCGGATGTTTGAGCAGAGAGTACTAACAGCCTACCGAGAGAAGGTCGCAATGGAGCGGCAAGAAAAGTTGTTAGAGGAACTTGAGCAAGAGGAAACTCAGGAGTCGCAACGAAAGGCTAAAAAGCAGAAAGATGCACAGAGGCGCAAAGAAAAGACTCTTCAGAAAAAGCAAGCTGCTCTTGAAGAGAAAGCTCGGCGTGAAGCTGAAAAGGCTGCTGAAGAACAAGCCCGGTTAGCTGAAGAAGCGCGACGAAAGGAGGAAGCACATGCGAAGGCAGAAGAGAGGCGTAAGAAAAAGGAGGCGCAAAAGAAGGCCGAAGAAGAGGAACGTCTGCGAAAAGAGGCAGAGAAACAACGTCGTGCGCATGAACAGAAGGAAAGGCAAGCCGAACAGGAACGCAAGATTCGGGAAGCAAAAGAACGAGAAAAGAAGCTCAAGGAGGAACAGCGACGGAAGGAGCAAGAGGCCCGCGAGATTAAAGAACGCGAAACCCGTGAACGACGGGAGAAGCATGAGAGAGACAAGAGAGAAAAGGAATCAAGGGCGGCTCAGGCTAAAGCTGATCGCGAGGCTAAAGAAAAGATAAAACAGGAAGAGAAGGCAGCAGCAAAGCCTTCTTCGCTCGTAGCCCCTATTCCAACACAGCCCGTGAAGAAGCAGCACCCGGTATCAATACCCGCCCTTCCTCAGCAGCCCCCCGTAAATCATGCTTCACCTCAGATTCCAGTTGCGACACCGGTCTTGCCACTGGCCCATACGCCAATGAAGCCACGCTCTGTTTCCCAGGAGGTCACGCGATCGATTTCCCAAGCATCGCACTCGGCATCCGGCCCAAGCCAGACAGCATCGCCACACGCGCTCAGTCCACTACATGTCAGCCCAGGGCCAATTGGACCACCAGGCAAGACACAGTCTAACGGCCCTCCACTGCAACCCATGTCACCACCTCACAGCACCGTAAAAAGTCCACCGGGTCTTCCGCAAGGCCCCTTTGACATGGCCATGCCACCGATGGGAATCCAGATGTCTCCAGGAGTTCCACCGATGGGTCTCAATTTCCCCCGAATGCAGGAGCCCATATATCCACCGATGGGTGGGCAGTTCAGAACACATGGTATGCCAGTGCCGCCCCCAGGACTCGGCGGTCCTTCTGGCGGTCGGTCATTTCACATGCCGCCACCAGGATTTCCACAGCCAGGGATAGATCCACACATGCAGAGCTTGCATCGTGGGTTTTCCCCCCCAGGAAGTGCTCCCGGCTATCCACCGTCACATTCCCGTCAAGGATCAACGTCTTTTGATGCGACTCCGCCAAGCGCTGTGCCTATTGGAAAGCCCACGCCGATTGGCCGACCAGAAAGCATAGTCCATGGCCAACGAAACCACGACATGTCTGCAGATATCGAAGATATGAGTAATCACCTTGGCAGCAGCGCTCTGTTAGATGATACAGACGAGCCCTTGTTAGACAGCTTCGACATATCCCATCGCGGTACGGCCGCTCCAGGTACTCGACCTCAATTCCATGCAGCCCCATTTGCCAATCCGGCGTTTGGAACGCCCACTACAACTTGGGGCGCTCCAGCCATATTCTCGCCACCATCTGGATATAGCCATAATCCCGGCAATATGGCGGGCTGGCCGCCTAGCGCAGCGTTCGGTGTCCCTCCTCACACAACAAGGGCAGCTCAACCCCGTTCTGTCTTGATTCGCCAATTGCTAGTGCGTGCCTGTAGAGACCTGGAAGACTACGCCACAGATGCCGCGGGTTACATCGATATTTCTGCTATCAAGGGACACGTGGATTCAATAAACCCTTCTCCTTCGGATTCAATAGGTGAAGCGGAACTGCTTGACATTTGCGACACATTGGGAACCCCGCACAATGGAGGCGGTAGTTTTGATATCCGTCGTGACAACAACAAAGATAAAATCTCCATCCGATTCGAACCGAGCGGTGGTTTCGGAAACGGGCCGTTTCCCAGGAACGTTGGCGCTCCCGGCGAGATAGGTAGCCCTATTGTTGGTGCCGGCATACCATACTCCCGGAGTTAGTATGGAACGTTTTGCTGCTAACGTGTAGGTATTACCGTTCTTGCTGGTTATGGAATATGGGCCGGTATTCTGTTACTGTCATTCATTCTCCCGCCTCCGACTTGCGGCACGAGCTGTGCTGGACGCAAAGATCTCCTGTCTGAGTAACACACGCATCTTTGTCGGGGTTTAAAAGTCGCGTGCTGGGTGAGCATAACGCGACTCCGCTGTACAATAGATGACGTATTTTCTTTCTTCGGTAATCACACTGAGAATTTATCCATGCATTAGCTGGAAATGGTTCCTCTGGATGCCTTGAAGCTGACTTATTGATTCACTGGCGTGATCGTTTTCTACGCCCTGTTTGGTATCATAGCCAATAATAGAGAGTTGTCAGCCTTGTTGAAAAGTAGTGTGATATTCGTGACTTAAGACTAAATTGTCTAATCGGCTATGGCACCCAATAACCTCACGCGTTGGTAGGACTACCTATAAGCTCTAGCTGAAGTCGGCCAATCATATGGAACAAAATAGTCGCGCAACAAAGGTCAATGAGAAAGCACGCATACGTCGCAAAAGACTATCTCGACATCCCCAAACCCCTCCCGCTAGTTAATTCCTCGCGCTTCGGGTTACTAGAGACTGAGGTACCCATTTACGAATTTATTGTTACGAACCCCGTTCCTATCGACCCGAGTGCTTAGCAATCTTTTTTCTATCCGCTAGGGTTTACCCCGGAAGTCTCCTACTGAGGTCTGCACATGCGCTTCGCTATCTCCAATAGGGAGCGAGAACGGAGATTCGAAGTACAGCTCCTGAAGTGGTAAAGGCGATTCGTGCTCGGAAATAGAATGGGATGGGCATGTATTAGGGGCTTGGTTGGGATCCTAGTGTGATGGCTTGCTATGGCTTTCGATATGAGAGAAGTAATGGGTTTATTCTGAGATGTCCGCTTAGTTTATTATAAGTGGCTATTGGGCTTCGGGTGGGAGAAAACTTACTTGCGCTATGTCATTGTAACAGTACTAGTGTTTTTCCAGGGGTCGGTGCAAGGTATCGAGACGTTGTGTTTACTTAAACTCTGAGTCTTTGACTCAGCTATATATGAATGTATGAATATATATATATATATATACATGTGTGTGTGTGGAATGTTTCTTTCTACCTACTTAGCAATGGTTCTGTCGTCTAATAGAGACTCTTTATTCCTGTTCAAGTATATGATGGTATGTAAGCGCTATCTTCAGCGTCGCCATCGCATAACCTCAGTAGAAACCCTAGTCTCTTGATATTAGCAACTGTATGTACGCGTTCAAAGAGCTGTACGGAACGTGGTTATTAGGTTGCCATTTCGTGTGGAGTACTGTTGCATTGAGTTATTAGCTTACAGGACGCCAAGCCCGAAAATCTCGACAATGTAAAGCCTGTCTGTCGTAGGGCGTCTACGAAGTGAAGTGGGTTCGTCGATGTGACCCTATACGACGTATTCGCTGCAGTCAGCAACGGCGTTGCAGTCTGCTATTTATGTAGGAATGTCTTGGTCCCAAATCTCAAACTCTCTAAATATCTAATGAGTAGTCGCATGTACTCGTAGCATGACATAAGCATACTCCCATGTCCAGCAGGGCGTAACAATAAATTGAAAGTAGCACTCCCAACATCTGTGCTCACTGCATCTTTTCTTATTTTTGATGTTTCGCCCCTTAGTAGGGTCCGAGGACGTCTTCGAAGCCACTACGCAAGCACCTTGGAAAGAATATTATCACCAGGCGTGAATACCCAAATGGCCATCTTTAAGGGTCTCACTAAGGTGAGGCTCTATCATTGGCATGGCTATTGAGTTTGACCGATCTTTGAGCGAGCTTGGACTTGAGATTTCGGATGGTGATCAGGATTGATTAATAATAGGACTGTTTGTTTAGTACTCACCGCCCCCTTCCTGCCTTGAGGTCCCTCTAACGACATGGTCTGTACATTTCCAAGATAACTTCCTGAAGTACCTTGGAATAAGGAAGGAGTTCGGAAAGTAGGTATGTCCTCAAGCGGTGCCTGAATGGAAAGAGTTTGAGAGCAAAGGCACAAGGTTATGCAGGCATTACTGCCCCGTTGGTAAGAGCGATATGTCAACAATAGGCAGTGATCTGGAAGCTCGGCTGCCAGTCGTGTCGTTGTTCCTGGCGTCAAAGATAAATATGGGGGTTTGACCCAAAAGTGACAGAGCAGAGTTGGTTGCCAAGACCGTATATTGGCATCAATGATTGGTAACAATAGCAGCGCTCATGAATTGGGAAGAAGGGTGATGTGGGGTGGTATTTACTAGACGATAGGTAGAGTAGAAGAATTAACGCGTTGAAATTGATTATCTTCAAATTGGAGGACTCAGGAGCCTGGCCTGTGCAGACTTAACGTTGTGAAGCGGATAATTGACAATTCGGAAGACGACAAGGCGATAGATACATGGATCACAGAAATTTCTCGTCGTCGGAGTCGTCTCGAACATGAATGAATCAATCATGTTTTGTGACGCAAAAGCGTACGAGCGTGCCATCATCAGTCGTATCCGCGTTTGACGACGAAGAAGCTTGATAATCTCGGGGCTCTCACTCTTTCTATCCTATGATGGCGATATGCTAATGGATTAAACAGGGGTAATCTGGGCCTTCGAAACTGTTCCGAAAGCCGATGGATTCATTCATCGCGGGGATGAAAACGGGCCGGTCCGGGTGCCTTGGCCGTCGTGTACATACATGGTTGTTGTTGCCTGAGCCGGGATAAAGACTGAGATTGACGGCGGCATATGGGAATCAAAATGCAAACGAGAAGATGGCTCGCTGGGCTTTTGCTCTCATCTATTCTTACATGCACGCATATGTACTACACCATGGGGCTCTGGCAGTTTCGGCGCACGTGTCACCTTGGATTCGAGGAGGGCTGAAGCCACTCCAAAATACGCCGTGTTCTCTAGTGTAGGATCGTGAGCCCTAGCTTGTGTAGTTATTACCATATCTTATACCCCCACGCTCATTGCTATACTTACATACATACTATGTGTATACACTACTGGTTGGTTAAATCGCCCAGAGATCTAGGTTGTGGAGCCAAAGACTTTGCTCATTTCTCGTACGTTACAGAACGGTTGTCTAAGGTAGCCTTTGCGATTTGATGAGACCTTTGATATTGAATTGGTGAGACTTGCAAGGTTTATCGAGTGACCTATCTCAGCTAGTAAAGCCTAACTTGCGAAACTACATAGTACCTCCTCCAAACATGGTGCTCGTTGCATGTAAATGAAATGTCCATATTCTTCATCACCTTAGCTTGGCTTGAGCCATTCGAGCGATGAACCTACACGAATCACGGCTCATGATGCAGCACATTCCTGGACTAGCTTGCCCGACAAAGGCGTGACATGGCTTTGGGCCGGTCTCATCAATAGTTTACGAAGTAAGGTCAAGCGCGGAATATTTCGCGGGCAATTTCCCTCAGCCCTACGGACTACCATACAGCCCAGGGATTCCTACCTATGCGTTGGATAGGTATCAGGTAGGTACTCTTGCCAAGTCTTCTTGCCCAGCATTGTCTGCCGCTCCTGTGCCTAGCTCTTAGGTAAGTACTTTGGCATTGACTCTACGAATGACAAGGGAAAGCAGTAGTAGCACCGAGGAGAGAGTGTATCAGCTGGTGAGTGCTGGCATGAGTGTTGGCGATCGCGGTCTGTATCTCTCCTCGGATTGCGCTTTCGAGAGGGTGCCATTACAAGCTACACCGAAGAAAACAGAAAGCGTGGCACACAGCTGCAGGTCTATCATGAAGTGCGCCTTTGCAGACCACGTAGGTGTACTACCTATCACAAATAGGCGTCGATGATATTATGGGTGCCCAAGATTGAGACACTGCAATACTATAGAAGAGGGAGGCTATATGTTCCCTACATTTCCCCGATGCGCAGGCCGGTATGCATCGCGGTAACTGGCAGGTGATAGGCGTTATTAATGGCATGAGCTTCGCCGTGTCTGGCCGTGTCTCTGCATGCACGCGACTGCAGAATCCCCGAGCAAACTGAGATGGTTCTTGAGACTTTCTAGCTCCTACCTACAGACCTACATACTTAGGCACTTAGGCATATGGTGTTGTCGTCAGCTTCATGAGATTGTCGTATACAGGTAGGTAGGTAGCCGCTGCTATCAGTAGAGTAGATATTTCGAACGTGCAATTACAGTTACGACATGCCCTACATACATACATGTATATACATTTAGAATTAGAATTTAGATTGATGGCAGATCAGATGAGGCAGAGGCTGCACTAAGTTTCGGGTTGATGGAACGCGTCAGTCACGTCGATCAGTTGATTGTCTGCATCCTGTCTTGACTTTACCTGTCTTAACTTTAAGATAAAGAGAGGCACATGCCCGAGCACTTTATACAGATGTAGGCACCGCGTAAGTACGCGTACCTCTCCATACCTACCTACATACATATGTACCTACATTATGTAGATAGATAGATAGATAGATGTCTTAGGTAATTTAGAGCCTATCTATTGCTACCTTGGGTAAGTACATGCATATATACATAGGTATATATATAAGTAAGTACATGATGTATGTAACATATGTAGGTATCTGCATGTTGGCGTTAACCCCCTTTCTCTGCCCTCCCCCCCCCTTTTCTTGCTGGATACTACCTCTTTACCAAGTATGTAGGTAGATGGCTGAAACGTACCGACTATCTAAATCTGAGAACCACTGACTTGGGTGGGTGGCATCCAACATCCTGTCTGATCTAAGCCTGGAAAAGGCGACAATCTGCTTCTGATCTGCTACCAGCACGTGGGGGAAATAGGGGCTTATCGGTTGGCCACACCGTTCCTTGCTCTCCCTATATAACAGGCTTATATGTACCACGTACTTAATCTACATCGTGATAGATACCGGAATGCAGCTGACGTCAAAGCACTTTGTCGATCGATGCAAAAGATGTACCACACTGTATGTACAGTACATGTTAAGTAGGACTACCATGTACACTACAGTACACTACACTACGTAGTACCTACACTACTTACAAGTCTGCGCTCGACGGGTCAGGACAGATCCATCCAATTTCCCCGTTGATTAAAGTCTTGGCGAATGGTTGCATTAGACTGTGACCGACCGCTGGGAGCGCTGAGTGGCTGTCAGCATAAGCGGTTTGAATTTTTATTCCTTGCACTAATTTCCTGCCAACTCCAGCCCAGGTCAGAAAAACCCAGGCGAGCCAGGTCTCTCTACTACCTATGTAGAGGCCCTGTCAACGCTTATCGATGCCAACGGCGCTACATCCCTGGCAAATACGTCAAGTACATGCCTATACTTAGGTACCCAGCTGAGATCAACGGCAGCTATCGTCCACTACTAGAGCCCGTCTGAGCCCGCTAATGATATTAACCTTGGCTGGGTCTGGCTGGGTAAGTGCTGTAGTGTCCTCCACTACTTCGTAATCCATGATAGTACAGGTACAGGTACAGGTACCTGTGAGATGCTAAGTGCCACCTCCCTAGGTCTGCTAGGTACTGTACTTAAGTACAGTAGGGGCCACTTAGGCTATGTGCACTAAAGTAAAGTGGGTAGGTAGCCCACGTATAGACAAGTACCGATCTGCATATGTCGAGTTTGGCCTTGAATCAGATCAAAAAAAAAGTGCCTGGGTCCCCATCCCGTGTTGCTCGTTCTCCTTAAGAATTTTTAATCCCCGTGCGACTTCACCATCTTTTCCATCACAAACACCACGCCACGTCCGAGAGCCGACTGAGAGACTGCTTTCAACTGCGCTCTGTCATATCCCTTGCACAAGCCCTTGCCATAACACACTCATTCCTTCTTCACAAAATGGGCTCTCCTAACGAAGAGCGCAAGCTCGAGGGCGGGGTGGCTCAGGTACCGCCGCCAACGCAAAACATCCACCCGGCTTTCTACATCGCGTACGAGACCATCTCATCATTCTCCTCAAGGCCCAAGGCCATCGTGGATTACGCTGTGCTGACAGGTGCCGCAGATTATGGATTGCCCTCAGTTCCAGTGTCATTCTCTTCAACAAATGGGTGCTTTTCACTGCCAAGTTCGGTATGTCTCTCCTCAGCCCTGCGTAGCCCCAAGCCACCTGTTCAATAAGCAACCTACATGAATGAACCCGTCCAGTTGAGTACCAGCTAACGTGATTGATTAGATTATCGTGAGTAATGTCCAAAATGGAAATGCTGTTGCGCCTGGACCAGTCTATTGACCCGAGTGATTGACAGCTCTATTCCTGACAACGTGGCACATGGCTTTCGCTACGTTGATGACGCAGCTTATGGCTAAGTTTACCACGACGTTGGACTCGCGCCACAAGGTGCCTATGAACGCCAATACCTACATGTAAGCACACGACGTGAACCCGACGCCATAGATCTGAACTCCGTGTAATTAATGATAAAACAGAAAAGCCATTGTACCGATTGGTATCATGTTCAGTCTGAGCTTGATTTTCGGTAACTTCGCTTACCTTTACCTGAGTGTTTCCTTCATTCAAATGCTCAAGGTTTGTTATCCCAGCGTCTCTTGAAATGGACGGTCAAATTTGATTAGATTTACTTAGGCCACCAACGCTGTCGCTACTCTCCTCGCGACATGGGCATTCGGCATGGCTGCCCCCAACTTGAACAAGCTAGTCAACGTTTCCGCCATCGTCATCGGTGTGGCTATCGCCTCATTCGGCGAGCTCAAGTTCGATGGTCTAGGATTCATCAGTATGAACCCGCTTGTCTCAATTTAATGCGAAATGATCTAACGTCACGTTTAGTCCAAGTTACTGGCATTGTCTGTGAAGCGCTGCGACTGGTCATGGTCCAGCGCTTGTTGAGCTCTGATGAGTTTAAGATGGACCCTCTGGTCTCTGTGTACTGTAAGAAGCCCTCCAAAGCCTCCCATATAATGTGAACCATAGGCTGCGTCTTCACAACGATATGGTTTTCATGTTGTGCTTCATACCCTCTGAAAATGCAGAGCCGAAGAGCTAACTACCGATTAGATTACGCCCCTGCATGCGCTGTCATTAACGGTTTCTTTACAATTCTGATTGAACTCCCCCGTATGACTACGGGCGACATTCTCAATGTTGGCCTGATTACACTCATTGCCAACGCTTTCGTTGCCTTCCTCCTCAACGTATCCGTCGTGTTACTGGTATGTGCATTAACCCATATAATTTGCACTGATTATTGTAATGCTAACATGCGATTAGATTGGCAAAACCAATGCTGTCGTGCTTACCATGTCTGGTGTACTCAAGGATATCCTGCTAGTCGTTGCCTCCATGGTCATTTTTGGTGACCCGGTGACTCTGCAGCAATACTTCGGCTACTCAATTGCTCTCGCTGGTCTGGTTTACTACAAGCTCGGTGCCGAGAAACTGCAACAGATGACTACTGATGCCAAACTCACCATTAACGAGGTGCGCCGCAGCAATCCCGCTGGCTTTAAGCTGGGTCTTATTTGCAGTGGTCTTTTCTTTGTGGCCTTCATTTTCATGAGCTGGTCCAAAGGTCTACCAGGTTCATCTCTCCCTACGCCTGCCGCCTAATCTCTCTATCCACTAATACGACAATACTTCGACACTTATACGGGCCTTCCATTAATCTCCCTATTCTTTGAAGGGGCTTCGGACTTTATCTATTTTATGTCGAGATCAAGACTAGGGGGGCTATGATGAAGGGATACGTGGATAAAAAGGGTGAGAGCTGTGCTGTCGTTTCCCTAATCCGGTATCCGTATGGCCTTATTGGCTTTCCAAGGAAAGCACTCTGTACTCCTACGTTTCTTCCTTTTTCGCATTTGTTTCACGTACATACTTCAACTCACCTATTTTCTGCACATGTTGGCATACGCTTCCTCGGCTAGGGATACTTTTTTCTTTAGAAAATATTAGAAGTTAATGATGATGACGGTAATCCACAGTCTGCGCTCCGATATCTTTGAATCTAACCTCCTGTGATTTGTTTCACGGGCCCACACTGACTGCTAGAACCCGAATTACGCTATGGCCAGTACCAAGGGTATCTCAACTCAACCAGGAGAAGACTAAACATCACCGAAAAGTATACGAAGAAATAAAAATAATGCCCACGCGTGAAACGGTGGGGATCGCCTTCGAATACATACTGCGATCAAAACCCAGGACCATTTCGGAGGTAACGTCTGCTTTGCTACGCCTTTGAAACTCCCATAGCGGCAGCTTCACGACGACAAGGATATTCATCCATGCACCACTCGAGAAAGACGGCAATATTTATCTTGCAAAAGAGCACCACGCCCTATTTGCCATAACAGTCTGGGCAATAGGAGTAATAGGAAGTTTTTGGGCATTTGATCAAATTTGGAAATCGAATTCGATATCGATATGGTCTATTTACCGTCTATCTCGTCGTACGACAACACCAAAGCCTTTTGAACAAATTTGGATTATGAGGATCAAGAAAGACTCGATGGGCCGCGATATCCAGTCTCAGAAAACCCCGAACACCAATGCAATGAATCGAACGAGTTCTATTCTCCGACGATGAGGTATCAAAAAAAAAAACAAAAAAAAAACAGCAAAGCGCCCTAAGACCTGACTAAACGCCATGAAAATGAGCCGAATGCGTCGTCCCTGCGTCTCAACTTGCACAACGAACGCCACATTAACCACGTGATGAATCGGCGAAGAAGGAATTAGGTTGGCCTGCCTCAAGCGGCACTCCGGTCGTCGAAAGGGTTCTCGGGATATCTCGGGCTGCCGCGCCGCTGGGCCCATTCCAGCGCCTCCCTCTGCTGGCGTCTCTCGCGCTCCCGCCGGACTTGGTCCTGCGCGTACGTGCGCCGCGCGGCTTCGGCGTCGGCCTCGTCCCTCTTGCGCTTGTCTTCTTCTGCCTGTGCGCGGGCGAGGGCGCGCGCTTTCCGCTCGCGCAGGTAGTAGAATAGGACTACTGCTGCCGTAATCACTGCGGCGACCGCTAGGACGACTGAGACGATTATCCCGCTGGTTGTGATGGAGCCCGATGAGCTGTTTTTGGCGTCGGGTGCGGGTGTTGGGGTGGGCGTTGGCGATGTTTCTGCTACTGCTGTGTTAGTTGGTTTTTTCTAATGGACGACACACGATGCTCGTCTATTTCTAGAGCAGGGGACGGGACGCTTTTACCTGGTGCTGCGTTACGTCTTCGTAACTCTGGGATTGAGACGCTTGCGTCGCAGCTCTGTAGTATCGTCGTGGCTTCTGATGTCGCTTCGGCTATCGTGCACCCACTTTCTACGAAACAGCTCTGCAGATACTCCGTTGTGACGATATCCGGAATAGACAGGAAGCATTCTTGCAGCCGCACTGGATCTTCGTTCCCGCAAGCTGCTGCTTGGACTAATATGCCGGCGTTCTCACGCACACATGTCAATCTATCCGATATCGCGCTGGCCATCGATGCCGAGCTAAGAAGAAGGCCGAGGAGCGTGGCGGGGAGCGTCGTGCTTGGATGCATGGTGGATATCTGGGTATCCAGAGGTCGGAGAGGATGGGGGAAAGAAGTAAGCGAAGTGGGTATTAATGACTATTGCTTAAGAAACTGTAAAGTCGGCGCCGGATCCTCGGGCTCGTCCCTCTGGCTCGGATATGTTCCTTCTAAGGAGCGCCGTTCCGTTTCGTTTGGTTTCAAGAAGAAACGTCTTGGTACAGGTTGCTGTTATAAGGCTGTTTGCTGCGACTTATGCTGCCAAGATGAAATCAGAACATGGAAACAAAAAACACATTACCACCGGTCTAAAAAATTTAATCTATATAGATCTAAAACGAAAATGTGGTCGTCAATAGGGCAGTGATTATTATGTGTTTATAGGATTCCCCCCATCGTATCCCGTATCACCGCCCGGACCTCTCCTCGTCGCACAAACATATAGCCCAGCCGGTGAGCTTCACCTCATTTCCACGCCGATCAGCTTTTTGAACCCCAGCCCCAGGCATGTTTAAAACATTAGAGAAAGCTGATGGAGGCTTGGGCCTTTAGTCATGTAGGTCTACAACTAGGTAGCCAGCTAGGTCAGCCAGTGACATAGCATTGACTGATGAACGGCCTACACTGTAGACGTTAGTGCGTAGATTTCGAGATTTGCACATCGGTATGCGTCACCCACGGCGGCAGCAGCACTTTGCATTGTCTTGCACGCGTGGTAGTGTGGTGATAGCTGAGCCCGCTAATGCCGCTTCCGTCACCCAGCTACGATGAGCTGAGGCTGACCGACGCGCGCCCGTTGCTTATTATAGCATGCGCGGCTGTCATCTCTTGCAGCTTGGCATGCAGCCATAGGGCTGGCTGATTTTTATTTTTTTTTTTTCTCTAACCCTTTCCTTGCTTTTTGTTCATCCATCTCCATGCAGACACAGTCATGAAAAAATGATATATCATGTTATTATCCTGGGCAGGTTTGAACAGGTCAGGGACAGCGTAGGACATAGTAAGTAAGTAGGCAGGTAGCTGATGATGCCTTGCTTCAGGAGTTGCGCCCTAAAACGCTGCTTGCAGACGGGGTAAGACGCATGGCTGGCATATGAATCGCATCCTTCGTCCTGCCCTGCCAAGCCGCGTTTTCTGTCAACTTTGGAAATACCTACTGACCTACATGACTAACTAAATTATGCAGTGCGGAGAACAGGGTCCTAGGCTAGAACGTGCGGCTGTAGGTCTCGATGATTGGTATGCTGATAGGAATTGCCATGTGCTGCCGGGGGGAATCTGTCGGGAACCCCTGCTCTGGAAACCCTCAACTTGGGATGAAGGAAGGGAATGGGGGAAGGATGGACGGATGGATGAGATGAAGCGAGCCGAAGCACGGGCCGGGGTTATTCCTTCCGACCTGTGATTCACATGTATAAGACCTACATTACATGCTGCCGCTCAAACCATGAATTGCCATATTTGGAATGAGTATCGATAATTGGACAAACCACGCGTGTTGATAAATATGTGTATATACATATCTATGTCTAATCATGGATTCTGAGCAGTATTAGGTAAGTAATCGTTATAGATAGTGCTGCCCGCAGACAGCTGAGAGGGTGTGGTCGGCTGACTGTATGATGGCTCGCGTCATTCTCATTCTTACACTATCGCACTTATATAACAACCCGTCCCCGAGCCTTTTCTATTTCTTGCGTGCGATTTCTCTACTCAGAAAATAGCCCATCGACCGCTCAACCTTTTTTATTTAGCAATTTGGAGGCTTAGATTCTAGTAGATGCTATATTTCTGTTCGCAATGATGCTCACCGGTTCTCTACCGGTGCTACCACCGACGATTCTGTGCGCGGGCTGTATACAAACGGGCTCTCCTCCTCCGCCTTGTGTTCAACTTCCTCTAAGCCCACGTCATCGCCGAGGCGATTATTAATAAGGCAGGATGTGACGGGGTAGCGTAGAAGACGTAATTGCTATGGCTGAGCCGTGTCCGTCATGAGAATCGCCAAACAAGAGCCAGTAAAGTTCGGGCTTTGTCTCGCCACGGCGTCTATTGTTTTTATGACGACACTGTGCTACGCGTCCCGCGCTACTGTATGGCCTCTGCCTAGAATTAAGAGGACTGTTGTGGTAGGTATTTGCACGCATCATAGAATAAGAAGAAAAATGTATCTAGCTTGTGTAGCACTACTGCCGTGGCGTTGTGATGCTACATGATATGATTACTTATCGGTAAATCTCACTCCCAGAAGAATTGAGGCTTGCAGATGCCAGTAGTGGTCGCTTTGCTTTTAATATACTCACCTCATGACGCGGTTTGAAGGTCTCATTAGATATTTACTCTAGCATATGAAAGGAAACAGCGCATCTATAGATAGGAGTAATCACAGTTGCAGTAGATTGGATCTATTCTGGATCAGGCGCACACTAGGAATTTTCAATCGAGAGATTCTGTCTGCTGGCTCCCAATTATGAAGCCCGCCAACTCTGGATAAAGCTATATATATAAGTACCTACCTAGGTAATCAACAGCGGTTTGAAGCCGGTATCAGCAATGCCCTGCTTGCAGACTCATCCTCACCTGAGGCGGACACGAGTACAGATTCAACTGACATAATATTCCGCCAGCTTCTAAATCGTTGGCTACATCCCAATCGGCTTCCGGCTGGGTTAGCTGCTGAACCAATTATGTGGGCATGCCTGTTGTCTGTCTATGAAATGAGTAGATAAGAGGCAACGATCCTCACCCATGGACGGCTATGAATATATAGAAAAATAGTTTGACTATCTGCTACATACGACCATAGCCACTGGAAAACTCGGGGTCCCGTCTGCTCCCCCATAGATAAGCCAATGAGCGCCGAATTAGTAGTTGGGTCGGTGACGACCAGCGAATCCTCGGTGTTGTATGTTTTATTTTTGCTGTTTCCCATTAGATATCAAGGATGCTAGATTAGTTATTTTTCCTTTGTTAATTGTGTAAGGGATACTTTACGCCGCATTTTTATAGGTCTGTGTGAGAATCTCGTTGTTTAGTATAGGGGTATTTATGTATGTATTCTTATTGTCACACGAGGAGCCCTGAATCCCCTCGTCCTTTGCTACCATGGTTCGCAAGGGGGTTCTTTCTAAGAAGGATATGCCTCTTTGGTCCATAGATCGTGACAGTCCGACTAGCAATAGTAGTTTCTAGGGAAGACTACTGCTCGTTTATATTCACGGTATGTAAGATCCAGAGCGACGTACGCCTTGCAGCTTCTAGGTTGATAACGAACTGGGTACACTTGCAAACCCACCCCTATAGCTAACCAAAATTCATGCCTCTTTCTCTGCACGCAACCTCCTTGACTGCGTATTCACGCGTGATGCTGTCCGTATTGAAGCTTGATAGGAAGTAACTGCCAACACAGTCGCTAATCATCGACACTTTCCTGCTCTTCTTCTCATTCCGTATTGTTGTTCAATACCCGTCTCTCTCCAGTTCTTCCCAGCTTTTCTCCTACAACAACCATCTATCTTCACCGAGCTCTTCATCTCTTTACGCTCGTCACACCCTAACCCTCGCCTGTATCTAAGCCTTCAAACGAGTTCGACCTTATCATCCCATCAATCCTCAGCTATCAGTTGCAGGATTTCTTTCCTTGCCTCTTCTTTGCGCGTCCCCTGATTACTGGTAACTCCATCCAAGTACTAGTGGTCTAAAATTGGGCGGCAACAGGTTCCATATACCCTTGTGCAGTCAACAGGTAAGCATTAAATCTAGCCTGCTTAGGTCTCAGATGCTCCCGACGCAAATACTGATCTCTTGTTACCAAGCGAGTAGGCGTTAATTGTCTAGGAGCTCTTCATCATTGACCTCTCTGATTCTCCCTCAGTATTCCTAAAAGGTGGGTGCATCGTGATATTAAGCAGCAATTTCTGACGCGGCAATGAGAGTGATACTGAGCCGCCGGGTGAGGAGACGCTCCAGGACATACCTGTGGTAACGATGAATGTACCCCATAAGACGTTAGCTTTCCTGGAAGCTAACGCACCACGTTTTTTCCCCTCTAGGGTGGTCTTCTGGAAATGCCTCAGGCTAAGGGAATACGAGATCGATCTGGCCACCGAGGTTTCTCGCTGGACGCAGAACTTTCGAGCTCGACCCTGTTCATCACTGGCAGCCACCCAACGATGCTCGAAGAATCAAGCCTCCGCTGGTTTCATACCCTTCGAGCGAGCTTAGGTACACGGCCAGGTTTTGGTGTTGCAACAAAAAGACAAAGGAGAGAGCTCTCGCTGCATATCAGAAGACATAGTGGGCGGGGCATTATCGCTTGGGATTAATAGCATGAGTTTCAACAGTAGAACTTACTTACTACCTAGGTAGGTATTTGAACCGTGTCCAGTTGACAAGACAAATGGCATAGATTGTCACGATTGGCTTATTTTCTGGAGATAAGACTACCAGTTAAGGCACCCGTTGTATTTAATCCTAAAGTGAAGAGGAAAAGCTGAAAGGTCTACAGCTAAATCTAGTGGGCTGTCTTTTGTGGAAAGTATAGGTCGCGTGTATGGCTACCTAGGTTTGGTAGGTAGTGAGTGTGGACGTACACTTCCAAGTTGCAATACAGCATCTTCCAACTTTAATTACACCAGTTTAAAGCACCCCGAGCTGCTATATCCAGTTCTTTTGCCGTTTCGTAGGCGAAATTACGTTTCAATTGACGTAAAGCATTCTTATGCCACTTAAACCATCGAATGGAGTTAGACCCGGTTTCAAAGGGACCAAGTGCGATAACGAAGTCTACCACTTCTGTGAATGTTAACTCCGTATTACAATGTGAAGAAAGATCCCTGGAATAAAGGGGAGGAATACGCTGCTAACACGTGAAAGGTATCTATCTACTTAGGTAGGTAGTGTCGGGGCAGGTACAATCTATAGCTGACGTCATATCAAAGGCGATCGATTGATCGCGGGTTTGTGATGCGGCTGCCAAGGTTCTCATGAGCCCTCCCTTAACTAAGGATCTCTATAGGTAGGTGCATACGTAATCCTACCCTACGAGGCATCCTCTTCTTAAACTTCCCCATCCCATCAAACCTGAAGATACCAAGCATCACCTCCAAACACACAACGCACAAGAAACTCAAGAAAACACCCAAGAGATTCCCCCACCCAATAGAAACACAACCTGCAACATGCCTCTCGTTGTTCCTGGTGTCACAGATAACTCTGGGGATTTGACCCAAGAGTGGCAGAACAAGCTGGTTGGCAAGACGGTGTCTGATGACTCGCACAGCGAAACGGTCAGTCGCCCATCGCCCCCCATCACCCCCATCACTTCGAACAGATTAGCTGATATATTGTGTCTGATGCGCAGAATTTCTGCAAGAAGGACCTGCCAGAGAAGTGTCGCGTAATCACGCCTGGCATGATGGTGACCAAGGACTACCGTCCTGACAGACTCAATGTCCATGTCGACGAAAAAGGCACTGTCAGTCATGTTCAGCACGGTTAAGCGCATCCCTACCTCTGCTGAGATCTCTCCTATTTCCCTTATTTGACAATACGATACTATGATGCGATTATGGTTCTGAGCGGAAGAACGGGAGGATGGTCCTGCGCAAGAAGGAAGGCTAGCCAACGTAGTCACTCGCTCACTCACTGTCCGTACGAATAATGAACAATGATTATGTCCACACTTGACATTTCACCTTCCACGTCTTACCTCCAATTGCTTACCCATGTACTCGGCATGGCAGGGCAATCTGTACTTATTATTCATGATGTTCGTGTCCCTTTGTCTGGATAGCAAGGGTACTATCTACTACCACGGCAGCCTAGAGCAGAAGCCTAGGCGGGCAGTAAATCCGGTGCTATCCGCCCAAGGCTAGGCGTTGACGATATGACCCCACTAGTGTGACCCCACTAGTGTGACCCCACTTCTGCGGAACTGCCCCTCGTCCCAATCCGGTAATGAGGGGCACAACTATTCTCGTATGCTAGATTTACCCCTCCAAGCCGTCACAAGCTCCCAGAGCATCATCATCATACCACCTGGTTCGTACAGCCGTCAACAACACCGCCAGCCAACATGTTCAAGAAGGAGTAAGTCAATTGTTCTCTTGCACTTGAGTCCATCCCACGCCGTGCTGTCAGGAGTCCTCCATCTCCCACGTCGCGCCAGCATGGCCGTTTCCCCTATCTACAACCCCGCCTATTAGTCTGTTGCCCGTCTCGACGCGTTCGCGGTAGCTGGAAGAGATCGAGCCGGTCAAGATTGAATGACTGAATGACCAATTATCTCTGACGCGCCTCAGGATACAAGCGGCCCCCAAGTCGAAACTAAAGTCGTCAGTACAGCGGTCTCTTCGCCAGTCGCTTCTAACCACGTTCCCGCTGCTGCACCGCTACATCGATGAGATCCTCCCCAAGAAAGGGTCGCTGTCGGCTATGAAGCTGCCCGACCGATGTACCTTATATGTCCTTGACGGCGAGCCATTGTTCTTCCAACAGGACACAGCTACGCTACTCCCCCACCTCAAGCTCGTCCACCGCTTCCCTGCCGCCTTCCCTAGCATACGCATCGACCGTGGTGCGATCCGCTTCGTGCTCTCAGGGGCAACACTTATGGCACCCGGCCTGACATCCGCCGGTGGAAGGTTACCTAGTGGTATTGTCACTGTGCGCGCAGAGGACGGCGCAGGAGAGCAGCTGGACGAGGATGATAGGTGGACGAGGGAGCTGGTAAAGGGCGAGCCCGTCGTTGTAAGGGCCGAAGGGAAAACGGAGGCATGTGCTGTGGGGTTCCTGGTCATGGGTACCAAAGAGGTCAAAGACAAGGGGAAAGGACCTGTCATCGAGGACGCACATTACCTTGGCGACGGTTTATGGAAACTGGCTACCGATTCATGATTCAAGGAGGCGAAAAGGTCTCTATCTGCTCACTATGTACCTACAGTCTGTCCGGTGCATGCGAGCCATGGGCAGGACGATCGAGGAGAGTCCGCGAGACATTGCATTCGTACGAAACTTCAAGGCGGGTATAGGCCGACGAGAGTGCCGACGGATTGGATCAACGGCTACGTCACCCTCTCGCGAGCAATAGCGTAATGCGAAGTGGATGTGGAAGGGCACATCTAGTGGGCACAAACATAACAAGATGCCACTACGCACATGTCACGATGTCCATAGTCATATTTCATGGGAGAACCACATATTATCCACTAGTGAGCGAGTGTATCTAATGACCACCTTGTAAATCTAATTCCATCCTGGGTTCAACATAGTGTCCGAGTAATCTTGACTGTAGACCTATATATACGCAGCGAGGCACCATTCACTTCCTTCAGACTGCGATTAGGACTATACATGAGAATCTTAGCCACTAATAATCGTAGAATCACTAGGTAAACCGCAGAATATGAATGAAATGGGTCTGGTCTCTATTGAATAATAAAGAACGAGGAGGAATCCCCTTCGCTTACCTAGGTACTCGTAGGATATCAGGAAGAACTGTTAGTTTCATCAAGTGATGGCTAGGTTAGAAACTACCACCCAGTGGTCTCACTTTCAGCCCCCCTCGTCACCTGTACGTTCATCGGGGTTTCGTGCATAATCGGAACATGGAAAAGAAAAGACATGTAGCGAGGTCGGTCTATATATGATTGGATGATTAGAGTATATGTTTGTTATTACGATAGGACGAATCAATGCTTCTCGTAACGTCATATTTGATGTGCTCTTTTGAAGTCTTACTATTTTGGTCATGGTACCTTAGCTCTCTGTGCTCTTTCTTCATACGCCGGGCTCCATTCCCGTCTCCGCGCCGAAATGCACTGTAACGAAGACATGCTTGTCCAAAACCTGACAACCGCGCCGTGTTTTTTCGCTTGAAATTCGTGCGAGCAGCATCAGTGGCAAAAGCCCGTCAGTCGGCTTTCATCGGCTGGTAGTAACGAGAGCGCTAATAACCGATGGCCAACTTGCCATGAGTCCCTGCCTGGCCTGACCACGAGATTGCGAACTGGACATGAATTTGTAACCGTCGTGGGCTGATGAATATGGGTTTCATCGTGTAGACTGCGGGGTTCATGTGGTAGTTAGGCATTTAAGTAGTATCAACGTGGAAAAATGCAGAGACAGGGGTCTACTTGGTTAAGTACTGTAGGACCTGGGTCCGTTGTAGGAACGAACGAACGGTTTATTTCTCGAACGTTGATCCTCTTAAGTAGACTGCTGGCCCACAACTATCTAACCTAGCTGTTGGTGTCCGCCCCGGCTTCGGCTTGCGCTTGGGCGCAAAGCAGTTCACAGTTGGTGCCGAGAACTGAATCCTTCAATAAAGTTGGACCATCAAAGTGCTGACACCATCTGATAGCCATTTTTGGGAGGAGGAAAGACGCGAGACTAGTCGTTCGCAGCCCGCCGATGTCGTCAAACGCAAAGGTGAAGGGCGCGATGTGCCAAACTGCATCGAGAGCAGCTAACCCGTAACAGAAAGACATGTTCGTGTCAGTCCAATGGCACTCCCCTGCTGGACGCACTTGTGCGCGCCCATTCGACGGCGGGCCGCAACCAACCGATGCAGGTGCTGGACCCCTGTCGAGACTTAAATAGTCCAGGTTTGAATCTTGAATCTTGAATTTCAACTTTTTGTCTCTTTCTCCTCCATGCCCAATTGGTACTATTGTTTTTTATTGTGTGACTGGTGAATTATATACGGACTGGATCTGGGCCGTGAGATGGACGAGACGCAACCCCTGCTGGCAGACGTCCGCATCCTCGACACCGAGCGCTGCGATGAGGTTTCCCACAAGGACATCGTCGACTTCAACGTCGACGGTGACGCCGAGAACCCCATGGAATGGCCGACGACATACAAGTGGGGCATAGTGCTCCTGCTCTCCTTCATGGCATTCACAGTGTATGTGACTACTTTTCATCGTGCCAATGATTGAATCACACTGACTTCGAACTCTTAGAACTTTCACATGCATCTCTGTCGTGCCTATAGCCAATCAGATCGTCTATGATTTAGAAGATGGCCATGTCAGCAAGTCAGCGAGCGTACTGCTGGTGACTATTTGGGAGCTGGGTGAGGCCGCCGGCCCGTTGCTCATCGCGCCGCTGTCCGAGGTTTTCGGGCGGTCTCCTGTCATGAACGGCGCCAACGTTCTGTTCATTCTCGCCACGGCGCTGGCCGCCATGTCACAGAGTACGCCCATTTTCATCGGCGCCCGTGCGTTGACAGGCTTATCCGTCGCCTCGAATGTGCTGGGTCCGGCTATCGTTGGCGACATGTTCATCTCTGAGCAGCGCGGGTCCGCCATTAGCTGCATTGCGCTGGCGCCGCTGATAGGGGGTTCGCTCGGGCCGGCAATTGGGGGCGCGATTGCCGAAAAGCTGGGCTGGCGCTGGGTTCTGTGGCTCTCGGTGTGCTTGGCGCTTGTCTGCGAGCTCGTCTTCTTCACCTGCTTTAGAGAGACGTATAAGGTAGCGGTTCTGCGGCGTCGGGCGGCGACGTTGCGGAAGGAAACGGGCAACCCGAAACTGAGGACCGTATTCGACATGGAAGAAGACCGAAAGTCAAGTCTCCACAAAATCTGGGAATGCGCCGTCCGTCCTGCTATCGTCCTATCGGGGTCGAGCGTCCTGCAGGTTTTGTCGCTTCACGGCGCCGTCTCATTCAGTTATTACTACGTGTTTTCAACAACATTTCCAGCAATCTTGCAAGACTTGTACGGTCTCACGCCCGCCGCGGCAGGGCTCGCATTTCTATGTTTTAGTAAGTGGGAGATTTGGGTCTATGTTTCTTCTGAGTGAGCGACGAATTTCGATCTAACAAGCATTGTAGGCATTGGCTCGATCATTAGCTTATTGTTCTTAAACTTTTTGCTCGACAAGATATATGTTAAGCTAAGGGATCAGCACAAGGGTGTCGGAGCACCCGAGTTCCGGCTTCCCATCGGCATCCTTGGGGCTTTTGGCCTTCCCTTGAGCGTGGTGGCGTATGGCTGGGCGTCGCAATTGCGATTGCCTTTGCCACTGCTCCTATTTGCAGTCGGGCTGGTAGGCACAACGTTGATGCTTGTGATTCTACCCCTAAATGCGTACGTCGTTGATGCCTTTGGCCTATACGCTGCGTCGGGCATGACTGCTATTATTGTTACCCGTTGTCTGATGAGCACTGTTTTACCCCTGGCCACAGACCCGCTCGTTCAACGGTTCGGCTGGGGTTTAGGAGTGTCTGTCCTGGGAGGAATCGGCATCGTCTTGGTTCCCATTCCCATCTTAGTTTTCAAGTTCGGGTCTCGTTGGCGACAGTTATCCAAGTACACAAAGGACGAATAGATAGCAAGCTTTTCTGTAGATATAAATAGAAATGATAATGTTTATGGTATCAAATGCATATTTGGGATCGCCTTCTTATCACATCTATGGGGCTGCCCGCCTTACATATTGATAATAATTAAGACTCCCGTTAATTTGCTGGCCATATACGTCACTTGTGCTTCACTTGCTCAGTCAGCCGATGTCATGAGGTCCCTTAGAGAGAGGTTTCATATGCACTTGACGTTTCTACTGCTTGAATGGTAATTTTTGATACAATATCTCATTTTGGCCATGCTAAGACGAGAGACTATCAAAATTGGAATAGATGTTTGCTTTGACGCACTCGGCTTTCACTTTATTTTTCGTCAAATTCTTTGCTGCACTCAATTCGCGGCTACGGTATCAAGCTCGGCTTCTGTCTTGGCTATATAGCTCCTAACTATTAGATGGTTCAAGAGAAGGGGAAATTAGGATGGGAATGAAGAACAAGTCATAGGTAGTCGAATGGATCTAAGAGGACGGAACTAAGCTTAGCCCCGCCCTACCTTATTCAAAACATGTCTCGCACTTCACTCGTCTGATTCAACCAGCTCACGGCTACGCACGTGTTATTTACTAGCAAAAGCACTTTATTGCTGATGAGTAAGTATGATCGGTCTGTTGCCGATACTTAGTGGGTATTGGAGATAAGCGAATCGGATCAATTGATGTCTTTAAGCTAAAAACTGAGTGGGGTATCTAGGGTGGGACGGCACTTTTTATGGTGGTAGGTATTCGGTATGACAACATGATGGTGCTTGGCGTCTATGGTTTGCCTCACTATATACTCATTGTATATAGAAGGCTCATCAGTCATCCGCAACTAGATATGGATAGTATGGGTTCTATGTTCACCCTAGGAGCATAGCAAGTAGATCTTTCGGTAGGTAGTGTTTGTTATTCGAGAATTTCGGCGTGAGTCAGTTGAGCGTGAAGGGGTAATCTCCGCATTGAGAATACCACTACTCCTAAAGCCCGATCTAAGTTAAGGTTGAGAACCGAAAATCTTTTATCGCCGATGCAACAAGTCAGGCATGAACGAGATTTCCGGTCCCATAGTTGCGGCCACTGGGTCCGGATAACAACTTAGGTATGTAGTCTAAATCCTGCAGCCATCGTCTTGATAACAAAGCTCTCCTTATTGGCTAAGGGTAGCAGTGTGAAGCTTTTTTTCTATTCTCTATTAATCAGCCATGGCCAACTGATAACTATGAGGCTCCGCACACCCGGAAACAGGGGAAATGCCCCCCGCCCCCATGGATGGACCCGATGACTTGGGCTAATCCAGAGCTCTTCGTTGGACAATTTTCAACGCGCGAGTGAGGATCTAGGGGGTGTAATACAAATCTTTGGTTATATGTACGTACATACCAGTTTATCGAGCTCAACGTTGGAGACCTTGGAATAGGCTGTAAAAAAAACAAAACAAATGTACGCAAGTCAGTGATAGTGTATATCTTACCAAGCACACATGTGTGCCATTGATTTATAATACATAACTGCAAGTTTGATGAGGTTGGTGGGCACGAAGCTAGCATAGTCGATCACACAATTCCAAGATTGTCTGAATACATTCAGGTACCCATGCGAGGCGGTGGAAGAAAAAGCTGTCACTTCTGTAGGTGTAAGACGTAGTTTGAGAGTGACAGTTTTATTTTACACCGCCTCGCCATGTACATATGCAGTACTGCAAGTAGGTAGTTACCGCTAGATCGAGGCTGATCCGCGTCTACCAAGGCCGCTAAGGGCCACTACGGGGGCTCCGCGCGGCGTGTGCTGGGGGACAGGCGAGACAGGCTGGATGCGCTAAGCCGGTGCTACGGCTGTAGCCTGTAATATACGGTCAGTGTACGGTACAGGTGCAGGTGCAGGTGCAGTAGGACCCCCTTAGGACCCCCTAAACCACCGCCGTCATTCACAACATCTCTACTTTCCTATGTGACGACATGATTCGCGGTCCACAACCACACACAGCCCACAGCCAAAATGCGCGACTTGACTTGAGTTAGACCGCTGATGAATAATGCAGCATGGAGAAAAGACTGGTTTATACCCGTAACTCCGGGTACGCTCGCCCTTCTTATATTCGGCCGGCTGCTCTTTGTCGAGTGCGCTACGTCAGTCATCAGTCGTCAGTCGATGTGCCTTAGGTAGTCCCGACATATGTCCTTCTGTATCTGTTTTCCCTCGTCTTTCTCTTCCATTTTGGACTTCTGCTAGAATACATCCTTATTCGAGGCTTTGGTGAACCAGTTGCGGGACACATCCTACGGAAGCGGCCGAGGTTCTAGCTACGGAGCGCTCTATCTAGCTTACAACGCCCGCCGACACGGAATTGCTTCCATGTGGGTCACGACAGTCGACGGAAAGGACCTCCAGCTTCAGCGAACCGAGTCTGGAGCTCTTGTGAATCCATGGCACAGAAATGAGATACCCTTAGATGCTGGTGGACTGCATCCCACAGCTGAAGATGTAGAAGCTGGCCGAGCCATAGAAGTGCAACCGGCTCTCGCCGGAACTTGGGGTGAACGAGATGCCGGTGGTGTGAATCCAGAATTAGCCAGAGAAGAATTAGAAGAATTGCAACATAATCTCATCCAACTGCATCAGACACGGACACACGAAACCCAGGCCAGTCGTCGTGTTCGGCCTTCTCGTTCACGAGGGGCAAGGGAAGATGCTGACCGTTCTGGTGCTGCTGCGGAAGCCGGAGGCGATGGTGATGATTTTGAGCTGGGCAAGTTCATGCGTGAGGGACGATTCGAGAGACGCACAGAAGAAGGATCGGAGAAGAGGGTCGGTGTCGTCTATCGAAACCTCACCGTCAAGGGCATTGGAAGTGCTGCGTCATTCGTACGGACAGTTCCCGATGCCGTCATCGGTACTTTTGGCCCAGATCTCTGGCATAACTTCACAAAATTATTGCCTTCGCTGCGATTCAGAAAGCCTCCTACACGAACATTAATCCATGATTTCACCGGATGTGTTCGCGATGGCGAGATGATGCTCGTCTTAGGCCGCCCTGGGTCTGGATGCTCTACCTTCCTGAAAGCAATCACCAACAACCGCGAATCTTACGCTGCTGTTGAAGGTGACGTCTCGTATGGCGGCATCCCAGCAAAAAGACAGAAGAAGATGTACCGCGGCGAGGTCAATTATAATCCAGAAGACGACATCCACCACGCCACGCTAAACGTGTGGCAAACACTAACTTTCGCCTTACTCAACAAGACGAAGAAATCAGGGAAGGAGGATATTCCTCTCATTGCTACCGCTTTGATGAAGATCTTCGGAATAAGTCACACAAAGTACACATTAGTGGGCGATGAGTATGTTCGCGGTGTGTCGGGTGGCGAACGCAAACGCGTGTCAATCACCGAAACATTGGCATCAAAATCAACAGTCATGGCCTGGGACAATTCAACTCGTGGCCTCGACGCCTCGACAGCCTTGGATTATGCTAAATCGCTAAGGATTATGACGGATATCACCAACCGCACAACACTCGTGACCCTCTACCAGGCTGGCGAAGGAATTTATGAGCTGATGGATAAGGTTTTGGTAATTGATGATGGACGTGAAATCTACTCCGGTCCTGCCAAAGAAGCGAAGCAGTATTTCATCGACCTTGGTTTTGAGTGTCCTGAGCGGCAGACGACGGCAGACTTCTTGACAGCAGTCACAGACCCCAAGGAGAGGCGATTTAGACCAGGCTTCGAGAACAAAGCACCCAAGACTGCAGAGGAATTAGAGAAGGCATTTAGAAACTCGGAAAATTACCAAAGACTACTGGAGGATGTGCGGGATTACGAGGAACATCTCCAAGAAACCGAATTCGAAGATACGAAGCGATTCGAGGGCGCCGTTCAAGCGGGCAAGTCGGGTAACGTTAGCAAAAAGTCACCGTATACCGTCTCATTTCCCCGTCAGGTGATGAACTGCACCAAACGCGAGTTCTGGCTACTCTTCGGCGACACCACGACCCTTTGGACAAAGCTATTCATCATTATATCGAACGGTCTCATCGTCGGCTCAATCTACTACAACCAGCCCTTTTCAACCGCGGGAGCTTTCACGCGTGGTGGCGCCTGTTTCTTCTCTATTCTCTTCTTAGGCTGGCTGCAACTAAGCGAGCTTATGAAAGCAGTTTCGGGACGAGCTGTAGCTGCGCGGCAGAAAGACTACGCCTTTTATCGCCCTTCCGCAGTTGCCCTTGCTCGTGTGATCACGGATATACCTGTGATCCTTATTCAAGTGGTCATCTTTGGCATTATCATGTACTTCATGACGAATCTTGATCGCGATGTCAGCAAGTTTTGGATTTATCTTTTGTTCGTCTACACCACCACGATCCTGGTAACGGCCCTCTATCGTATGTTCGCCAGCATCTCACCGGAGATTGACACGGCTGTTCGTTTTTCTGGTATTGCATTGAACGTTCTTATCATCTACACCGGATACGTCATTCCCAAGACACAACTGCTGAGCAAGTATATCTGGTTTGGCTGGCTCTATTGGGTGAATCCTCTATCCTACAGCTTCGAGGCCGTTGTTACGAACGAATTTTCCGCCCGTACGATGCAGTGCGCGCCTGATCAACTCGTTCCACAGGGACCCAACGTCCAGCCTGACTTTCAAGGGTGCTCGTTGAGGGGCGCAGCAATTAACTCTGCTCAAGTCACAGGCGGCGATTACTTGCAGGAGCAATTCAACTACAGTCGCACAAACTTATGGCGAAACTTTGGTGTCGTAATCGCTTTCACAGTTCTATATATTGTCGTCACCGTTATCGCTACGGAGATGTTCAGCTTTGTTTCCGCTGGCGGCGGTGCACTCATCTTCAAGAAGAGTCGTAAAGCGAAAACGCAAGCCAAAAAGATGGAGGCGCCCGATGACGTGGAGAAGAACATGGGCTCAGACTCTAGCACATCCTCGAACAGCTCTGGAAATATGACTGCTGTGAATGACGAATCCGATCTGGAGCAACTGAGCAACAGCGATTCTATTTTCACATGGCGTGATGTTGAATACACTGTACCCTACCTTGGCGGCGAACGGAAATTATTGAACAAGGTGAATGGATACGCAAAGCCCGGTCTTCTCGTTGCTTTAGTTGGCGCATCCGGTGCGGGCAAAACAACTCTCCTAAATACGCTGGCGCAGCGTCAGCGCACGGGAGTTGTCAGCGGCGAGATGTTTGTTGATGGCCGTCCATTGGGACCCGACTTCCAGCGCAATACAGGCTTCTGTCTTCAAGGAGATCTCCACGACGGCACGCAAACCATACGTGAGGCACTCGAATTTAGCGCGCTATTACGCCAAGAGTCCAGTATTCCGCGATCCGAGAAACTGGCGTATGTCGACAAGATCGTCGATCTACTCGAGCTGAATGATCTCCAAGACGCCATAATCTCCTCTCTCGGTGTTGAACTCCGCAAACGGTTGACTATCGGCGTAGAGCTCGCTGCGAAACCGTCACTTCTCCTCTTCCTCGATGAGCCGACGTCCGGTCTGGACTCTCAATCCGCATATTCCATTGTGAGCTTTCTGAAGAAACTTGCGCGAGCCGGCCAAGCTATAGTTTGCACAATTCACCAACCGAGCTCCGTCTTGATCCAGCAGTTCGATATGGTTTTAGCGCTGAACCCTGGCGGAAATACATTCTACTTTGGGCCCATCGGTGACAACGGCAAAGACGTCATAGAGTACTTCTCGCAGCGCGGTGCGCGTCCGTCGCCTGGTAAGAACATTGCCGAGTTTATCCTCGAGACGGCCGCACGGCCGCATACGCGCGAGGATGGCACTAAGGTTGACTGGAACGAGGAGTGGCGCAATAGCGAGCAGGCGGAGAAAGTGATTGAGGAGATCGATGGGCTAAAGAGGGTGCGCAGCGCCGCCACGGAGGATCAACAAAGTGGAAAGAAGAAAGAGGCGTACAAGGAATACGCCGCATCGACATACACACAGACAGTCGAGCTGACGAAACGCATGTTCCGTCAGTACTGGCGAGATAGCTCTTATCTATACGGGAAGCTGTTTGTTTCAGTCATTGTAGGTATTTTCAATGGCTTCACGTTCTGGAAATTGGGCTACTCGATCCAGGATATGCAAAACAGGCTCTTCACGTGCTTCCTGATCGTCACCATTCCGCCTACCGTCGTCAATGCCGTCTTGCCCAAGTTCTTCCAGAATATGGCTCTCTGGGAGGCGCGAGAGTATCCCTCCCGGGTCTACGGATGGGTTGCGTTCTGCACTGCTAATATCTTGGCCGAGATCCCCGCCGCAATCGTCTCAGGCACACTCTACTGGGCACTCTGGTACTGGCCTACGGGTCTGCCGACGCAGAGTTCCGTGTCGGGATATGTCTATCTGATGACCATTTTGATGTTCCTCTTCATGAACAGCTGGGGTCAATGGATTTGTGCCTTCGCCCCCAGCTTCACTGTCATCTCAAACGTAAGTCTCACACTCCCCTAAACAAAACATATGCGTCTCAATGGACTCACACTAACCCATGTCAACTTACAGATCCTCCCCTTCTTCTTCGTCATGTTCGGTCTGTTCAACGGCGTCGTACAACCCTATAGCATGATTCCCGTATTCTGGCGATACTGGATTTACTACATCAATCCCAGCACATATTGGATCGGTGGCGTCTTGGCAGCGACACTCGACGGATCCCCGGTTGAGTGCGAGGTCGCGGAGACGGCACGCTTCGACGCTCCCGGAGGCCAGACCTGTGGCGATTACGCAGGCACATTCGCCTCTTCGGCCGGCGGCTACCTGCTCAACCCTGAGGCGCGCACAGACTGCCAGTACTGTCCCTACATGACTGGAAACCAATACCTCGCTACGCTCAACATCGATGCGAGCGAGAAGTGGAGAGGTACGCCATCACATCTCCCATCGTAACCCCACTCATTACCTAGCAAAACATGACTGATTAACTAACTTCCTCTATCTACAGATTTCGGCATCTTCCTCGCCTTCTGCATCTCCAACTGGGCCCTGGTCTACTTCTTCATCTACACGGTGCGCATCCGCGGCTGGAGCTTCGGGCTCGGATACATCTTCGGGGCCCTGGGCAAGCTCGTCGGCGCGTTGAAGAAGCCGTTGAAGCGCTTCGGTCGGAAAAAGGAATGAGGTGCTAGTTGATATTTTTTGAAAAAAAAAAAAAAAAAAAAAAAAAAAAAGTGTGTTTGATAGCGGGAAATGATTTTAGAGAATTTAGATTAATGCTTAAAGATCTGGGGGTGATGGTTATGTCATAGAAGGGGTACAAACAGATAGAATATTGTCATGCTTCAGTGCATGGCAGATAATTAGTCTCACGGCGTCAATGGGTACCTAAGCAAGTTTCGTTCAAACATAGCAAAAATCAATCAACACTTAGTTGCACAAACCAAACAGACAGCGACGACAATGTTTCACATGAACGTGTATAGCAGGAAGATGAATCAAGTATGAACAGAGAGTAGAGGGATAATTATTAAGTGGTATTTCATATCTGATCCTAAATACAGCAAAACCATAAAACTTTAATTCTACCATGATAAGGGTATATCATAACAAAAGAAAATAAAAACGCAACCAAAGACGTAAAATCTGACACACAAATATATCTCTCTCTAGTGTGTTTACGACATTAAACACGCGGTCTAGTAAGGAGACAGCTGACGATCGCATTATAACAAATAGCCGAAAACCTCTTCAAAAGTCCACTGTTTCTAACAATCGTCGAACTGCCATGTTCGTTCCGTCGTAGATCATGGTCTTCCTAGACCTCATCTTCGAAGAATTTGATCAAGGTCCTTGCGCCCGAAACACCCAGGCCCATGAAGGGGTAGCAGATGTACACGGGCTCATTTCTGACACCGAACTTCTCGCGGAACTCGCTCTTGGCGCCGAGTTTCAGTTGATTTGCAACCGTCTTGTATGTGTGGCTTAATATCTTGGCTTTGATACCGTTGAGGTTGTGGCCAACCTCTAGTTCCGACATGGCGCCAACACCAAAAGTGACGTTGGTAACGCCTGACGATTGCAGAAGGCGTAGAGATTGCGCAATGAGAGCTTCTATACTGCCGGATGGAGACCCAGGGAAGTCAAGAGCGAACTTAATCTGATAGCCATGCTGGGGGGAAAGACGATGCAAGATGACAAGGCCGACGATCTCGCCCTGCTTGTCTTCAGCCCAAAGGTATCGACGATGAGCCATAGAAATCCAAGGCTGGACGTCAGTAATGTGGACTTGCTTCTTGCCTTTCCTGCTATCCTTCCAATCCTGGATACGTTTATCACACTTGGCTCGAACATCCTCGGGGACAGGGTCGCCAAGCGCTGTTGAATGGATTTTGATATCAGCGTTCTTCGCTTGGCGTTCTTTCTTCGTGACCTGTGCGGCGTTATGGGTATCAACACGCTCTTCAGCCACTGATGTAAGGGTCCTCCAACCCAGTTTAGACCCGAGAAGCTCTTCTACCTCAGCAGATACAAGAAGCCAAATGGGACGAAGATCTTCGCTCTTCTTCAAATACCGTAAGAAGGAGCTGATCACGGCTGGGTATTGACGTGAATCGCAAAGCGGGTTACCCATGATCAAAGCGTACCCATTTTCTTCAGCGTAGCCAACAGCAGCACCTGTCTCGGTGTCCCTCCAGACCTTATAACGGTCATCAAGCCACGAAGTGTTGGTCGCATCACCATAGTTTACTATGAGCTGTTCAAGATCTGGTAGGTGCACATGCGTATGCTCTCCTTCGAAAGCATACTTGATAGTATCGGCTTCGGGGAACGGCAATTCATCGGTGACAATCTTTCTCGCAGGTAAAGACTTCGGATCACGAGGGAATAGCGAAGCATTACGGACATCGCCTAGGTTTAGCAAGAGGAACAAAACTCTCTCTAGACCGATGCCACATCCGGCATGGGGTGGTGCGCCCCATTCAAAAGCCTGCATATACTCTTCCATGGTTGCTGGGTCTACTCCAGCTTTCTTCATCCGTTCAGCCAACAGTGTCGGGTTGTTAATGCGTTGGCCGCCAGTGGTGATCTCCTGGCCGCGGAGGAAGATGTCAAATGAGTTTGTGACTTTTTCATCGTCTTTGTCAAGATGAGTGTAGAACGGTCGGGCCGAGGCAGGGAACTTGTCGAGGATGAAATAGTCAGTCTTGTACTTTTCTTTGATCAGCTGCCCCAAGCGAATTTCGGCTCGTGTAGCCAGGTCCTCGTTGTCTGAAGCTGGTTTCCCATCTTCGTCAACCCATCCAGAGTCATTCAGAAGCTTTACACCTTCTTTGAATGTCAGACGGGGCGTCTCTTCTAGCCAGACAAGGTCCTCATGAGGAAACTTTTCCTTGACAATGTCGATTTCCTTACGATACCTAGCGTAGATCCCCTTGAAGATGGCCTTCAACATTGTATCAATGATGTCCATAGCTTCATGGTAGTCATTCAAGATGGCCATCTCAAGGTCTAATCCAGTATACTCAGTAAGGTGACGATGTGTGTTACTGTCTTCTGCTCTGAACACAGGGCCGATTTCGTACACGCGGCCGAAATCGGCAGATATGGCCATTTGCTTGGCCAATTGGGGGCTCTGAGCCAAGAAGGCAGTCCTTCCAAAGTATTTGACTGGGAAAACGGACGCTCCCGATTCGGTGGCAGCAGGTTGAAGCTTGGGCGTCTGAATCTCAATAAAGCCTTGGTCGTCCAAAGTTGAGCGAAAGATGTTGCAGATTCCCGATCGAATTCGAAAGACGCTTTGCATGACAGGCGTTCGCAAGAAGACAACTCGGTTAGCAGTTCGAACCCGGCCGGACACTGCTAGTTGCTTTTCATGCGTTTCTGGGTTTTCTTCGGTCTGCTCCATTCCGAACACGTCGATATGTAAGGGATTGTCCACAGGAACCAAGACATGCATTTTGTCGACGAGAACCTCTAGATCATGGATAGTGCAAGACTTGACCTTCTCGGGTGGCGTACGCAATCGACCCTGAACGTGAACGACGCATTCTGTGAATAAGTGTTCGGCCCAGCGGACGAATTGCTCTGATACGACTCCCTCGCGCACCTGCAGAACTGCCTGAATCGTGTTCGTCGACTGGCGGAGAATGACAAAGGCTAATTTTGAGCTGACGTTGCGGGTGTGATGGACCCGAGCGGTGAAGCTGATGGTCGATTCAGCTCGAGCTATCGATATGTTGGCTATGTCTTCAGAGGCTGGTACTACTTTTTCGTCGACGGTGCCATAGCTTCCACTGATCTGCGGTGCGTCAGCGGCGCGAGCGGCTTCTTCTTCTTGGCGACGCTTTGCTTGGAGAGACTTCCTCTCCTCCTGCTGGGATTGTCGCTTTGCTCGTTTCTCGTACACCGACTTGAGGTGCTTCTTGTCGGAGTCGGAATCGTGCTCGAGGGCATCTGTGTTGCCCATGTGAAGTTTGGTAATGTGATTCTTCGCAGACGAGTGACCGATCATGCGATTCAGATAAAGCAGCGGCTGTTTCAAGGTACCCGGCATTGTGAATGTCGGTTGCGCTTGGGCGCAAATATCGTGCAGATAACGTCGAAGAGCGAAATGAAGGCGAAAGCGAAAGTTGTGGCAGATGGGATGCTGTGGCGAGCCTCTCCTACCGAGTCTCTCGCACTGATGGTGTCAGAGCCTGGGGGCTCCTTCCAATGTATCCTTAGCACTACTCTTTGGTGCTCGCCGTCTATTAAAGACTATGGAAGCCCTCTAGGTATAATACAAATGGCACGATCTATGTGCACAGCAAGCCAGAATTGCGCCGGCAATGAACTAGAATAATGAAAAATTGAGGAAATGAAGCAAGTGGCAGGGAGGGTTGAAGGTCTGATTGAGTTTATAAGGAGAAACTTGGCAGGAACCCGGCGTTGACGGCGATGGCGGGCAAGGGTCGGTTAGTTCGGTGATGCAGTCCGTCGGTAACCCCCTATACTAGGTACTATGTAAGTATGTAAGGCCTGTAGTAGGTACATAAGGTATGCAAGTCAGGAATTCTGGTGTCAGGCTTTTGCTCGCCTCTGTCCGGTGCTTTCCGTCCGCTTCTATTTCCCTTTTGTTGCCCGGCGCATGTGATCTCTAGACCAACCAATTACCTAGGCCCGTGCTTAGACCGCAGCTATGACAGCAGAGAGCGAGATAGAGCGAAATAGCCTGCTGTTGAGGGACCGAATAGGGCTTAACAGGGGCTCTATGGACACAATGGTCTGCAATGGTTAAGTGAGTTCGATTACCCGATCAAGACGGCGGTAGCCTCTAGAAAGCCTTCAAAATCCCGGAATCCCATAAATGATTCCACAGATTTCGAGCCTTTGTCGCGGCCGGCAAATACTTGCCCACGTCAGGATGTGGTGACGACATCGTTTTGACTCGCCCCTCCAGAGCCCCTCCGACACAGCCGTATAAAGTATAGGGAGGTATAGAGGAGTACTAGCGCCCGCGGAGCATTTGCACCGGCAAGCCACTACTGAGGACAATAAGCCAATGACAGCGGGCTATTCCCTGGCGCATCTCCCTTTTTGGACAACACAGACTCTACCAGGGCCTGTCTCGCCTGTAACAGGCCTGTACCAGCCCCGTATCGGGGGACTCTTGGGGTACTTGGGGGGTACTTGGGGGGTACTTTTACATACAGGTAAGTAGTACAACGGGCTGCAGGGATGCCCGAGCAGAATGTGACGCCATCAGTCAGCTCTCGCGACACGGTCAAATCTTGCTGCATCGCATTACTTTTCACGTCCTATAATAGAATGCCCTACGAAGTATATAGGCATGCTAATCTATTCTATGTACTTATAGTACATACAGATGGGAGTCACACAAGGTTTGGTGCTGTGACATAGCTGCACCGAGTCTGACCGAGTTATCGTATTGGCCCGTCTGCTGAATTGCATTATTTTCGTACCCTTGCTTGCAGTGTCGTGTTTGTTGTCAAGTCGAGATTCTAGGCCATGACATGTTCGACGGCGTATGATAACGACGTCATGTCCCTGTGTCCTGTCCTCCTCTTGACTTATGCAAATACGCCGTGGTCAGTGGCCTGAACTTCTGGTCTGAATTGGTGCATATATGAGATTAGATCCGATCCCTGGTAGATCGGATCGGTTAGATGTACGTACATACTGTACATTCCAATTCTGATCCAACCAAGCGAGCCAAGTTCCTGACACTATAGCCAATAAAGTGTGCAACGAATTAGTAGGTATGGTTGTACCGTAGTTCCCAACGTGACAACGCTTGACCTCGACGTCATTTCCAGCTACCTGCAGTCAGGAGTCAGGTTAGCCTTACACTAGTCAGCTCTGATGACACCGCAGCTCTTCAGCTTCATCTATCGGGAGTGCCTAGAGATCTAGATAGCGAGCCTAGCTAACTAGAAGAGTCTGGCAACGTCTTCGTGATCTTGTCTCACGCACTGTACCTAATCCATACATACCTACCTACCTCAGACAAAGACCAAATTGAGTTTGACAGGCGAGGCAGGTAAGATGGGTAGGCAGTCATTGTTTGATCATACTACGTGTTTATGATACTTTCCCCTGCACTACCACAGTCGCGGATCTAGTTACTGTAAATAATTCTTTCTGTGCTCTCATACAGCAGCGCTTCATACCCTCCCGCCGAGAACAACATTCATCTATTGCAATCCCTGCCGCCTAGCCCGGTATGCGGCCGCACGCCAGACACTCGATATACCTACGATAACGGCCCACCCTTGGGGATTTTCTCGCACAATAAACGAGGGCTCTCTATCGCACTATGAGCAGAATGGATGTTGTCGAAGGTATCTCGACAGCTGCTCCTGGCGTCCCAACCAGAAGAGTGTCAGAATCCGAATTCTCAGACTCCGAGCGCCCGACAGTTGCCCAAGACAAAACCGGCCCTCCGCGCTCGCGCCTTTCTCTCCGTGTATCGGCGCGATGGTGGAGAAATCTTCAATGCATTGGGATGAACCTACACTATATGGCACCACCGCGACCGCCGACTCCCGAATTCACCAAATCGATCCCTTCAACACTTTCGAGTCGACCTGGCGTCTTTACATTGCATTTTTACGTGCCGGAAGACTACCACAAAAGCGGCAGCACAGCGAAGTGGCCAGCAGTCGTCAACTTCCACGGAGGCGGATTCACGATAGGCTCGGCGACCGATGATGCCCGCTTTGCGCGATTTGTCCTGGAAAAGAGCAAAGCCATATTTATCTCGGTCGACTATCGCCTCGCTCCCGAACATCCGTTTCCCGTTGCCGTGGACGATGGTGCTGACGCACTACTCTATGTAATCAAGAATGCTACCGAGTTGCGCATTGATCCGAATCGGTTAGCCACCTCGGGCTTCTCCGCAGGAGGTAACATCGCCATTACAGCACCCATGCGCCTGTATCTGTTGAGCCAGACAGAGCCCATCCCTGAGCATGAAATTGTCGCACTCGTCACATTCTACCCAATTACAGATTACACACTCAGCAGGGAAGAGAGACGAAATACCGCGGTGCGACCAGAAGAAACACTTCCGGCATCGCTGACCAATCTCTTTGACGCGTCGTACCTCTTCCCTCCTAACCTAGACGTGGCGGATCCATGCCTCTCACCAAATAAAGCTTCAGACGAACTCCTCATGAAGAGTATACCACACAACGTCTTCTTTTATACTTGCGAGTTGGACATGCTTCTCAAAGAAGGCGAGTATCTTGCCTGGCGCTTAGAACAACCGCCCATCTCCAAGCGCCTGTTTTATTCCATGATTCATGGTGTTCGCCACGGCTGGGACAAGGGCCCTAGCCCTATCAAACCGCCACACAAGTCAGAAAAGATATACAGAGAATGCACTACACGGCTTTGGAGAGTATTTAACGGTGACAAGTTACATTATATACTTGAGCGACCACGCCGCGTACCGCCGCCGCGGCCATCACCACCGCCTCTTCCATCGAGAGGAAAAGAAAGCTAATATCAGCGACTGCCTGAGCGAGGTGCATCTGACCATATATTCGTCCTACATTAGCAAGCACGTATTGGTTTGACACTTCAGATACGCAAAGCTCATTAATCATAATAATTGGATGTGATTTGTTCAAGTAATTAATACTTAAAACACAAGACGCTGTAATACTGTCTCAGCAGACTATCTAGACGATCAGAACCTCATCACAGTCTGGAGATGGATTCAGGAACAACCATCCTCCTAATTCCATTGTATATTTATTACATCCATAGAAGCTCTTTGGGGAAATCTGTCAAAGCGAAGACTATTAGATGGATACACATATGAATGAAGATGAATACGGGCCATCGCACATACATATGATATAATCACAGAATGGGCAGTTATGCACCGTGCCCCACTAAACCAAACCCTGAGCTTGGCTAATGCAGGATTACGGGATGACGTCAGAGCCGAGCGCTTCTAGACCTCAAGACGTCATTACTACTAGATGGCTTCTCAGATGCGTGCACGTCTTGATACAAATCCAACTCGTTATTACCACAATTGTATATCTAAACACAGAAAAGATGGTCGTTTGTGCGCATGAAATGGATATTGTTAAGAAGTTCCCGAAGATTATATCATTGAATAAAATGAGTGTACAGTAATAGATGTGCACGTTATGCCGCGTTGGCACGACGTCATTGGCAAGGGTCGGCTCTACACGTAGGCTGCGGGCATGTCCCTCCAACCAGACTCCAACCTACCTATCTAGAGATCAGACCAGTCAACGTGCTATCTCCATCTGTTGATTCCCATGCTCGGCGTTCGTCAGCGACCATTTGTTTTCGACTGTGTGAACCTCGCCCATCTGCCATCTATCAACTGTATCTAGCCGAACCTCTCGCCTCCCTAACGATCTAGACACGCTCCAGTGGCATGTTCTCGGCTGACACCTGCAAATATTCATACCCACCTGCCTCTCTAGCTCGCACGCCCAAGTGGGCTGACCAAAGCATCCCCGGCCTATGTGCATCTCTGAAATAAAACAGAAACCATACGGTGTTCGCTTAACTTGGTCTACTTGGATTTTAGCACCATTCCCACTTCATCACTTACTTACTTCTCTATCTTGCTTCACTTGTTAGGGCGAGCATTCATTTATCGTTATTTCTTCAACTTTTGTAAAAACCTTTCTGTATTTGTAGATACTGGTTTCTCGGCACACATGGCCAATATGGCCGAATCACATCATGATTCACGACCCGCGAGGACCGAGAGCAATGGCGCTCCAGAGTACGACAGCGCCCTCGATACCGCGAGACGCAGCATGGCGTTGACGAGGGATGAGTTTGGGAGCCTTCCGGGACTACCGCGCTTAGAATATCGGCTCATGGAACATAAAATGAAGCTCTTTGTGGTGTCGGGACTTCTGATATTCGAGGGAAGCCTGCTGCCAATCGTTCTATTCTACCCCCTCTGGTACGCTACCAGCTTACGGCATGGAATTCGTGAGTATAGCCCTCGTGTGCCATGGAATACTTTCGATCTGTCAACGTTGAAAGCCCTAGTCCACTAACTCGACAACATTAGTCTTTGCTATCATCACCTCTTTCTTCGGCCTCATATCAGGTCTCGAATTCGCCCACCGATCATGGCGCTTAATCCACAAGAACGACAAATACCGACCGCTCGACGGCACGCGCTGGCGCTTCGATTTCACGCATTGGACGCTTTCGATATGCTACACGATCATGACGGGAATCCTGATCGGAGCATCCATCCCACACGAGCCACTGGTCCGGCCACTAGCCATTCCCGTACCTCTCTTCTTCATCGGCGCCGGAATGCTCTGTATCGTCACGGGCACTATGTCTGCATTAGACATGAAGACAGCTTGTAAAGTCAGCTCGATACCTAAAGGGGCGCCCCAGCCGCCGTACGTTTTGACTGCCGTTGAGGATGTGGTGGGCGTTGACGGCGGAGGTGCGCGACCGTTCCGTCGCAGGTTATTGGAGAGATACAAGGCAAGCAAGGCCTTCAGACGTCTCATCGCGGAACTAAATTGGTTCTGGGGAATCGGGTCCGTGATCAGCGGGGCTGGAACCCTTGCTGCCGTATGGGTGATCCCTTCACAAGAGATCGCCTACGGTGTTGGTAAGTGTCTACCCCGACACGGCGATATTCATCGACTATCACGAAACAGTGTAGCTAACCTAAAGAAACAGGATGGGGAGAGCCACTAGTGTTCTTCGTTGTTTGGACAGCGATAACAGTCTTCTGGATCCGGAGAGGGCTTCGAAGAGAGAAGAAAGTATGGGCCGACAATACAGGCGAGAAAGCCTCGGTGGAATCGAGCACGGATACCTAGAATACGAACTAAACCGACAGAGCATAGACGACATGATATATTTTCACCACTTTATGATAACGAAGGAGTTGATGATTTGAAATGTATGACCATCAGGCCGGGCAACATAGCGACGACAGAAAAATGGTTGGAAGTTTTCATTTATATGTACCCTTAGTATGTATGTTTGATAAAGCTGCCATGGCTGTACATGGATTGAAATAGAACATATCCCACACGATCTGAATTGGAATCATTATATTCGTGATATAGCAGCTTCGTAGACGTCTTTGCACACTTCACGTTTGGCTTTGGCTTTGGCTTTGGCTTCAACATGACTTCGTGAGTTGAGAACGACATAAGTGTAATCAACAAACTCGGCTTTTTCTAAGTGATAGAACAACGATATACCGGACGAAAAATTATGACTGACTTGAACTTCCAGCTCGCCTCCGGGATACTTTTAATCGGGGTTTAGGTATATTTCAGCTTTACTACCAGATTTACATGTAGAAGCTTAAAATCGCTTAGCTTTTGCCGGTGATTCAAGCTCATTTCGTATTATAGCATTAAGTACTCTTGGTATTAAAAACGCTACGCTTCGTATCTAATATGCTCTAATTGGCTATATAGAACCTTGGCAGGTTACGGAGGTGAGCTGGAACTTTACCTAAGGGGATAGCTTCAATAGAAATTAAATCCAAGGCTTCCGCAAGAGGCATGCTGACTCGGGAGAGTACCAAATCCAGCCCTAGTAGGATACCCGGAGATGCTTCCGCGACGCAGAGCCTTGGCTCTAATTGGAAGCATTTCCACTATCATCGTTAGCTCAGAAGCTAGTTCGAGGCCAATAGGAAGCGGCTGGTTTTGTTGCGCTGAATCATCACAAGAATCATCAACGCAGTACTGCACTATTTATCAATAATAGCCTTAGGCAGGTAGTAGCGTAGGGCATATGCGGACGAGCCATGATGATATCTGGTGCGGTGCAGTTATCCGAGGAGCAGGGTTGGGAAAAATACTATTAGTATTAATACTAATCTTAGTATATACTAATTAGTATTTAGTATTGAAATTTTAATATTAATTAGTATTTAGTATTGGGTTTTTAATATTAATTAGTATTTAGTATTAGATTTTTAATATTAATTAATATTTAATATTAGATTTTTAATATTAATTAATATTTAATATTGGATTTTCAATACTAATTAATATTTAATATTTACTAATAGTATTTTAATAATATTAAATATTAATATATAAAAATTAAAAGTTTTATTATTTAAATAAAAAAGATATTATATATCTTTTAATTAAATATTTAATAATATTAATATAATAATTAAATAAATAATAATTTAATAAGTTATAGCCTTTATTAATAAGCTATATATATATATTATAAAAGACTTAAATATATATATAAACTATCCTTTAAATTATTAATTAAGTTATTAGTTGAATAATTAACTGAGTTACCCCTTAAACAACTAACTGAACAACCAACTAAGCCACCCACTGAGCCACCCCCTAAACCACCCCTTAAACCACCCCCTAAACAACTCCCTAAACAACTAACTGAACAACCAACTGAACAACCCCCTAAATAACCAACTGAACAACCCCCTAAACAACCCACTGAACAATCCCCTGAACAACCCCCTGAACAACCCCCTAAACTATTAATTAAATAACTAACTCATCTACTACTTAAATTATTAAATAAGGTAATAGTGGTATAGGGTAAGTTATTTACTTATTATTAAATAAGGTAATAGTAATATATATTAAGTTATTTCCTTATTATTAAATAAAATAATAATAATAAAAGTTAAATTATTTAATTATATATTATTAAATATAGTAATAATAATATAAAGTAAGTTATTAACTTATTATTAAATAAGGTAATAATAATATAAAGTATTTATAATTATTAATCTTTAAATTAATTATATATAACTTAATTATTAACGCTTATAATGTAATAAATTATTATTTACTTTTTTTTTCTTTTTTTTTAATATTTATTTTTAATATTAATATATATTAATTAATATTTAATATTTAAAATGTAATATTAAATAGTATTATAATTATGGGTTTAGGGCATAGCTATATTAATGCTATAGATAAAGATTTTAAGCTAAAGAAGAAAGGAAGGAAAGATAAAATTAAAATATAAGCGTATATAAAGATATATATAAGTTAATAGCTATTATAGGTTATATAACTTTATTAATATAGGTTTTATATATTTTTACTATATCCTTTTATAATATATATAATATTCCAGTACTATATATATTTAATATATTTGTTATACTTCCCCCTATTAAAATTAAAATATAAGTATAAAATAGGTTAAGGAATTATTTATAGCGTTTAATTTTAATTATAATGCTATTTTATATAGCAATATTATTATTAGGATAGTTAATAGTAAATTTATTAACTATTATAGCTTTTATTTATTCGTTTAACTGTTTAAGCAGTCCTAATATATTAAACTATTTATTATAAAACTTTTATATTTTAATTAATAAATTTTTAAAATTCTTTATTAAGTATTAAGTATTATTAGGATTATAACCCTTTTAAGTAATTTAGTATTATAGTATTTTATTATGCTTTATTATTTATAATTTAAATAGCTATTTAACTTTTTATTCCAATCCTTCTTTAATATCTTTAAGTTTTAATAGCGGTTAAGTTTATTAGGGTAATGGGTTTTTATTTATTTTATATAGTTAATCTATATAAAAGAGGTTAATTATTTTTATTAACTTTAAAAGGTTTAATATATAGCTATATCTTTTTTCTTTAAATATTTTAAAGGGTTTAATTTATTAAAAGTTTAATTAAATAGATAAGTTATTAATTATAAAGCTCTTTTTTTTAAAAAAAACCTTATTTTCTATATAAAAGTTTATTAAGCATTACTTTTTATTTATTTATATTTTTTATTTTTTCTACGTAGCTTTTACTGCTTTATAAGTTACCTTTTATACTTTATAGGTCTATTATATTAATTATTAAGCTAGCCTTTTAGGTATTATCTTTTTAATAATATTTAATAAAGGTAATAATAAAAGGTTTTTTATATTAATTCCTATTAGGACCTTTAATAATATTATATTAATAATTAAATATTAGGAAATATTATATATAAAATTTAATATAAATAAATAAAGGCTTTAATTATTTTAATAATTATTTATATAAAAGTATAATTATTAATTTAACTTTTAATTTATAAACTTTATAGCTTTTTATATTTAAGGATAAAAGGTGCTCCTATACTAATACTTAATATAGGTTAATTTATTAATTTTTACTAAAAAGAATAAAATAAAGAGTTTTATATTATTTAAAATCCATATCTTTAAAAAACTTAAAAAATAATAAGTATATTTATAATATTAATATATTATATTTTTCGTTATATTATTCTTTTTATTAAGTATTATAATTAATAAATAGTTAAATTTATTAATAAATACTTATATATAATTATAGCTATATTTATTTAAAGGTATATCCTTTTTATTAATTATAATATAATATTAAATAGCTATAAGGATTAATAATAAATATAATAGTTTAAATATTTTATTTTAAGGAACTTTATTCCGTTAATAATTATAATAATTATAAATATATATTTAAACATTTTATTTTAATAAAGGCTAATAATAATCCTATTTAATTATTTTAATATATTTATTTTACTTAAGGTAAGTAGCAATTATTAAATAATAGGCTTCTTTAATTAAAGCTATTTAAAAATAAATCTTTAAGTTAAAAGTTTACTTTAAAACGATTAATTAATAGTTTTTATATTTTAAACCTTATTTTTTATTTTTTTATTAAATTAAGTCCATTAAGTTAAAGTTATATAATATTATTACCTTTTTTTTTATAACTATTATTAGTTCTTTTAAGGCTTTAAGTATAATTAAAGTTATATTTTATTTTTTAACTTTATAAGCCTTAATGGTTAATAAATTAATTATTTTATAAAATAATATATCTATTATTATATTCTTTTAATTAAGCTAATATTAAAAGGTAATGTTAAAGTTAAATAAAAAGTTTACCTATTTTATTTATTTTATAAAGAGGACTTTTTTAATAATAAAATATAATAAAGCCTAATAGTTAATTATTATAAAGAACTTTATATTTAATAGCTTTAAATAATTATACTTTATAGTTTAAACTATAATTAATAGTTCTTTATTTTATATAAAATAGGTTTATTTAATTAATAATATAATTTTTAAAAAGTATTTTATAAGCTTTTAAGTATTATCTTTTTATTATTATTAAATAGTTCCATTAATAGCATTTTAAAAGGCATCAGTTTTAATTCTAATAGGTTAGTTAAGTTAAAAGAAGGCTAATATTAATACCCTATAAGTAGTTATGGATTGTGGCCAGTAGCAGTAGGTACCTATGTACCCTATGCGTACAGGGCTACCCTACCACACTTGTGTGCGCCTGCCAGTTTGGACAGCTGTTGCCACCTGACCCACAAACCGCAATTATCCTTAACCTATAAAGGACCTAGCCAAAGAGGGCCACTGTATAATAGTTCTCTTTTCTTCTTTATATTTAAATTAATATATAATTCTAGCTATTATATAAAGCTTTATCTTTAAAAGTAAAGCCTTTATATAATATAGGTTAACTTCTTTATTAATTTAAAAGCTTTTTATTATTTATTATTTATTTTAAATAATGTACCCTTTTTAAATAAATAGTTTAAAGGTTTAGCTATATTATTAATATAATATATAAATATTTAAATAAAGTTATATAGCTTTAAAAATAAATAAATAGTTTAAATATTAATTAAGTTTTTAAATTTTTAATTAATAATAATATTTATTTTTTTAAGGTTTATTTAAATATTTTATTTAACCTTTAAAATTATACTTAAATAATTTATAAAGGTTATATTAAAGTAGGATTTTTTTATATTTCTTTAAAGCTTAATATTATAAAAGTAATATATTATTTCTTTATATTATTTTTAATACTTTTTTTTATTATTTATAAATATTAAAATATTATTAATATAAGCGTTAATAAAAAGGCTAAATAATTTATATAGTTAGGAATTAATAAAGTTTTATTATTAAATAGGGTTAATTTTTAATTTAAAGGGTAGGATTAACTATTAAAACATTTTTTATTAAGTTTAAAATATTATTAAATATTAAGATTTTAAAGCTATTTTTAATTTATAAAAGGTTTTAATAATATTAAGCTTAATATAATATTTAACCCTTTAATTATTATATATAATATTATTTAAATTTAGCGTTAAAATAATATAATCTTTTAAGTATTTATTTTTTTATTAATAATTAATATAAATTTATTTTTTAATTAAATTTAATTTAAGGGTAAAAAGGATAAGAAAGGTATTTGCTTTTATATAAGGTTTAATAAAGCTATAAGCTAATAATTTATTTATTATTTCTTTTTTTAATAATAAATATTAAATTAAAGTTTAATATTAAAGAGGGCTATTTAAAGGGTTATTAATAATAATTTTAAAGATTATATTATATTTTAATTATAATAAAGGTAGTTTATTAACTTTTACCTTTAAGAAAAATCCTTTTAAATAAATTAGCTTTTTAAGGATTAAATAATAAATTAGCTTAATATATTCCAGGTTTTTATTTTATAAAAAGGGAATATATTTATTATTAAAGGTTTTTTTAAATCTTTTTTAATATTATTATAGCTACCTTTAGGGTTATTTTAATAAATTTAATAAATATTAATTTATTTAGGAATATCTTTTTTTTTTTTTCTATTTAAAGTTTAATTTAATTTTTTTAATAAATTATTAAATAATCCTTTTATTTTAAAATTGCTTTATTTTTAAGCTTTTAAATTAAATATTCTTTTAAGGGTATATAATTAATTACTTTAATATAGTATACTTTTTTTTTAAAGTAGCATTCTTTTAATTAATATCTTATTAAATAATAGGGTTAACTTATTAATTATTAAGGAACTTTTATATAATTTTAATTATAGGTAAAAATAAAATAAGGAGGAATAAGTTTTTTAATTAATATAATATTTAATAAGTATAATTTAAAGTAACTTTATTTTTAGTTAACTATTTTAAATTAATTATAATATTATATTTAATATTAATAATTTAAAAGGTTTAATCTTTAAACCTTTATTTATTTACTTTTAAAATAATAATAAAGTATTAATTAATTATATTAATAAGTTATTTTTAATAATTATTTAATTATTATAGTTATTTTAAAGTAGTTAATTTAGCTTTTAATTAATAATTAATTATTAAATATATTTAAACTTTAATATTATATAATATAATAGCTTTTATTTTAAAATTATTTATTTATATTTAAATAAGGTATATAAATTAAATAATATTTTAATTACTTTTTATATAGGTTAAGAATAATTTATAAATTATTAAGAAGTTTTTTAATAATTTAATTAATTTTTTAATTTAAATTTAATAAAAGAGGAATTAATAAGCTTTTTTTTACTTTTTTTATTTTATATTTAAATTATATTTTTATTCTTTTTAAAATAATTTATAATATAATATTTTATTTTATTATAATTAAAGTAAATATTATTTTTCTAATAGGTCTTTTTCTTTTTTTTTAAAAGCTTTATTTTTTTAAGCTTTATTATAATATTTCCTTTATTTTTATTTTTTTTATTATTAAAGTTATAATTAATAAAGCTAATAATTTATTTTTTCTTTTAATAATTATAATAATAATTATAATTATATATTACTTTTATTATTTTATTATAAAAGTATTTATATAATATTAATAGGTTAATATTAATTTTAAATACTTTAGTTTTAAGGTTAAAGCTAATATATTTTTATAGGAATTAAAACTATTTAAATTTAAGTAACTTTAACTTTAATATTAAATTATTAAATTAAAAAATAAATTGGTAAATATTAAAGCTTAGCTTAAAGTAGAATTTATTTAAAGCATTTTATATTTAGGTAGTTTAATTTAAGTTATAATAAGCGGTTTTTAACATTTATATTATTTTAATTAAATTATTATATAGTTAAGTAATGGAATAAAAATAAACTTTAACCACTTTTTTAATATCCTTCTTTAAAAGGGATATAATATAATATATTTAGCTTTTTTTAATATAATATATTATTATATTTTTTTTTAAATTTATTAGTTAATTTTCTTAACTAATTATTAAATAAATCTTTATTTTTAAAGAAGGTATTTAGGTTAACTTTTTAAGTTTTAACCTTTTTTATATATTTTAAGTTTAAGCTTATAAGGTTACTTATTAGGTTAATTATTTTAAAGATAGCTTATATAATTATATTAATTAACTTAAAGTTAATTTTATTAAAGGTACTTTTAACTATACTTTTTTATAGCGTTAGGGTTAAGTTACCCCTTTTTATTTAAGCTTAAAAAGCAATAATCTATTTTTATAGCTATTAAATTAAGGTAGTTTAATTAATAACGCTTATCTTATTTATTAGTTAAAGTAGTTTTATTAATTCTTTATTTAAATTAAGGTTTAATAGTAGAAGCGTTATATCTTCCGGTTTAGGATTTAAAAAGTTTTAAAAGCTATTTTTAAATTTAATATTAATTTCTTTTTCTTTAATAAAAGGAATAGGGTTTTAAATTAATTATTCATTAGTTATAAAAACGTTAAATATAATATATAATAATAGTTATTAAGATTGTTTTAAGTTATTTATTTTAATTAGGATTTTTTTAATTTTAAGGGGTATAAGGTTTAATTTTATTAATTAGGCTTATTATAAAGTTATATTTATTTATTATTAAATATAAAATATAATAATAAAGGGAAGGGTTTAATTTATAAATTATAAATAATAATAATTAAATATAAGTAATATATTTATATAATATTTATTAATAAAAAGAAGAGCTTAAAATAATATTATAATTAAAGGTTTAAAGTATAGCTATATTAATATTATAAATAAAGATTTTAAATTAAAAAAAAAGGAAAGAAAGATAAAATTAAAATATAAATATATATAAATATATATATAAGCTAATAGCTATTATAGGTTATATAACCTTATTAATATAGGTTTTATATATCTTTATTATATCCTTTTATAATGTATATAATATTTTAACATTATATATATTTAATATATTTATTATAAATATTAATTAATAAATATTAATTAATATTTAATACAGCTTAATATATATTAATTAATATTTAATATTACTTTTTAAATATTAAATATTAAATATTAAGCTTAGTATTGACTTTAGTATACTAATTCCCAACCCTGCTGAGGAGTGAAAACTGAGAAGGAAAAGGTAGATAACGCATCTCCCACTTGACCTGGCCACCCAATTGAGCTGGCCACCCCCTTAACCTATATAAAAATCCAATGTTTCAATCTATAATAACTTAACCAATATTAGTCCTACGATTTAATAATTAGTACCATTGAATCCGTTATTTAAAGGGGAATCCAACGGTATATTTTACTATTTTTTATAAAATTTATTAAGCGAGATATTAAGCAATACGCTAAAGGGGCGCTAAGCAAGGATTAATTTAGCGTTTACTTTAGCGTATTACTCAATAACTCCGCGAATATAAGTCGTAAAAGTTAGTAAAGGGTACCGTTGAATAGCTCTTTTTATTACGAATCTAATAGTATATTTTATTATTTTATACGACCAATATTAGTAGAGTTATTAAATTATCACGTGATTAACGCACCGACGTTTTTTGTATGGGCTAGGGGGGTGGCCAGGTCAAGTGGGAGATGCGTTATATCGGTTTTTTTTTGGTTTTTTTTTTTTTTTTAATAAAGGCGTACTCCAGAACTGGAAGGAGGAGTAATATTTTAGATTCTCGTGAGAAGTTGTTAGTGAAGCTTGATGGCGGGTGTTCATGTCACAAAATGAGCTGATGAACTACCATTTAGAGTCAACCTAGAACGACATATGTACAGCCTCAGTAAATCGCAAAATCAATTATCTAGAATAGAAGATATCGGATCTAAATATATGCTCTTTGATAGTAACCGAGACCTGGATGTATGATAAATTACAATGCTTGCTATGAATGCGGAGATGTTGCCGTGACGTAGGTGTAGACCCGATACTAATCTCATAAGTCGCAACAACTAATATCATTATTTTGAGCGTTGTCGAATCAAACCAAACAAGTTGATGTGATCGCTGCTTATCAGAAGTTTGAGCCATGCGAAAGCATGTGTAACCTTCTGAGGCTAAACAGTAGCGCTCGTATATCTGTATCCAGTGAACTGACAACATCACATTTAATCGGCACCATGAAAATGGTTACGCTACGAAACAGGGAAATGCTAAAATGGCCAGTGGTCTTCTGGATAAGCATCGGCGTGAAAGGTCTACTTTAAGCTATAATTAGGATCTTGATAGAAGCGGGAAACTTCTGAAGATCATGAGCAAATAAAGCTATAGATAATCATGATGTGTTTACCGTATTCAAGATAAGAAGCATGTAAACTATACTCCGTATATCCTGAATACCGGTAGTACCCTTGGAATATTGAAGGTGATAGCTATGCCAGCGCCCATAGAAGTGACAGGCACCTAATCTTTCCAATTAGTCACATGACACTTTACAATACTACATTTATTCTCTTACTGTAGCATAAGCCAGTCAATGGCTACTACCCATACACGTGCACATTACATTCCTAGGTATCTGCATAACACCCACGGTGAGAATCTGAGACCTTTGATCGGAGCTATATATAAACCATGAAGTAGGGTGCCATCGCATGTATGCAGGACGTCACCATGCCCAGCGCATAAATACTATGTACCTGTCCAAAGATGGGCCGAGAGGTGACCGACCGCTGCGGGATGGGTAGTATCTACCAGCCTCAGATCATGTATTTGCTCACAGGTGTTTCGCGCAATAATTGGTCCATCGCGTCCGTCGGCGCCGGGAACAATCTGGCATCTTAAGCGCCATCATTGGGTTCCCAGCCGTCTGGTGCTAGCTCATATCCCTCTGGAACAAATGCCGGCGCCACTTTAGAGGAGTCAGTTACACAAGCCGATAAATATTATCTAAGAAATGACAGAAGAAGTCCTGCTGGGAAATACATAATAGTACCCAGGCTTGGGTAGGTACTTGATGTAGGACACCCCAGGAATAGTAGAAGGCTTACCGGTAGTTCCCACGAGGGTCCAGTTCCCGCAGCTCGTTGCACGCTGCCATTCGTCCGCCGCGATCACGATCTGAGGCTGTTGATCGCCGAATATGTCTTGACCCAAGACGTGGCTCCGCGTCGGCGTGCCATCGTTGTTCGAAAGCTCCAAGATGAGAGGCGCGCCGGCATACCAATGCCAGATCTCGACGGCGTCCACGCGGTGCCAGACTGAGGGCACATTCGGGCCTTCAAGGAGATAGTAGATGGCTGTGCTCACAGAGCGGTTGCTACCGGGTAGCAGCAGCTCGTCGCGGAACGTCTCGACATAGTAGCCCCCTTCGACGTTTGGGGCCATACTGAGCTTGTCCACTACCTCCTGCGCGGTGGTGGTGCGGGAGGACAGCCCGGACGGGGAACAAGCGCCCCTGCTGCAACTCGCCACGGCTTGGCCGGGAAGGGCCGCCAATGTGACGCAGGCTGCTGCTAATAATGCCCGGAGCGACATCATGAGATCTGCCTGCCCGTCTATCTGTTGATCGGGGAGTGATGCACTGACTCACGCTCGTGACCCAATGAGACTCTCTGCTCGGCAGTCAAGCGGCAGTGGAACCTTGGCTGCTTGGAGGATTTCGAGGACTTCGTGATCCTATAGGCAGATGGGCCGGCAGTGATCTATCAAATGACAATACGCGAAACCCACGGAGGCGAAACGAAGCAACAAGACGAGGAGTCCTAGATAGGCACCGTACACGTAGCTAGGCTGTGTGCAGATCCCGTTAAGAGGCCCGTACTGTAAGTCTGTCTTTGGTCCCGTCAGCCTACATGTAAAACCCGCCTTACTGCTGCGAGGTCCCTCGATCCCCATCTCGTGCCAACCAACAAGCAACCAGATACCCCCTTGCCGCTCCCCAACTAGCAGTCGGCAGACGGACCCTACTGCTAGCTCGACGGGCTGAACCTAGCTCACTGTTATGGCGCGGTGCAGCGCGTAGCACGGATGGGGTTCCGCTTCGTTTCCTAGCGAATTATAGCTCCCTTTCCGTCGGACTATGCACCTCATCCGGGCAGGGATCTAACCTAAGCGACGAATTACGGCCCTCCATTACCGAGGACCAATTCGCCCATTGCTTCATGCACGAATACGGGAGAGGCTGGTTATGAGTACACTATTTCAATTGCTTTGAAATGCGCAATCTCAACAGACTAGTTACGTGATCATCCCTCGGAACTAAAGAGCCTGCCCTTACTTCCATGAGAGAGAAGCTATATGAAGATGACCAAAAAAAAAAAAAAAGACAACGATGATAGGTATAGTTAGATGGCGCTTTTTCCCTTTCTTAACTCCACGTAGCGCGCGCCAAAGGGTATTGTTTTTTTTCTCTCTCGCAGCCATACAGTATTTGAACAAGAAAAAGAAAGAAAGCCGATATGAGCTGAAACCCGCCTAGACCCCGCGCTGAAAAAAACATATCAATGCCCATCCCAAAGGGTACAGTGTTTCCCGTATAGTACCGATTAATACGCCTCCCGTGGCCCGTATGCCAAAATGAAATGATCCCAACGCCCCGTATTCCCTTTTTCCGCTGTAGTGTGATAAGTCGTATGGGCGGCGGTGTTGTTCCGCCGACTAGCTCGGTGTCGTATATTCGTTCTCCACTACGCTATGTGTAGTGGCCGCGTTTCCCTCAGGTACTCTATGCTAGATTGGTGGACCGCATGTGGGCTCTTCAGGTGCCGCTCGTCCTCGGGCACCGAAGCGGGCCTCGGTGTGCTCCACGGGCGGGTGAGGTTGATTCCCCCAGCATCGGACTCAGAGCCGTGACGGATGTCGCTGCCCACGGTGGTCACATTTCGGTGTGAGACGCTCTTGACGAGGCGGTTCAGGACCACGAACTCGAGCTTCAGCTTCACGCCGTAGATGGCGGGCTTGAAGGCGCCTTGTAGGTAGAATAGGCTCGCGTATTGCACGCCTAGGAGGGCGATGTCGAGGCTGATGATTAATATGTTGATGTAAACGAGGTGTTGAAGCATGGTTTTGGTTTTGCTGACTTTCGCTCGGGTCGTGGCCGAGTCGAGGGATAATTGCGAGTGCTGAAGTAAGGGAGCTACATCGCGTAGGTGCTTCCGCGTCTGCCATATGTACAGAATACTGAGAGTAGTCTCTTGTACGAAGAAAACGGTCGTTTGTAGACGATCCCAGACCGCGTTCACCGGGCCGAGTGAGGGCTTCACCGTTTGCTGTGAATCCATGAGTTAGCTAGCGGTGTTCGAATCGGGGTTGCCTATACCTTGCTTGCTCGTTTGCATGTAGGCATGGATAGATAGAAAGACCACCACTTACTGCGAGAATTCCCAGGGGTATGGTGGTGACGCCAAAAACAATCGAGGTGAATATCAAGATAGCTTTTACCCATCTTAACGTGTTATCATGTTGCATGAGAAGGTATAATCGTGAGTAGAGAACCCATGACTGAGGAACAACCATCAGAAGCCATGAGAGGTAGATAAATGTGATGGAGCCTTTTAGGTTCCTCCAGATTTCGAAATCGGCTAGTATGATGAAGATAGACTGCAGTATGATACCCCAGCTTGCGAGGGCGCACGACCAGAAGTATAGCCCTCGTCGTCGTTTGAAGAATAGAAAAAGCGACACGTTGAGCTCGGCGCCGATATAGAAGGAAATGCCGGCGAAGGCAGCCATCGTCATGGCCGACGGCAGGTCGTCTTTAATCGAATCCATGTTCATCGCTCGCTGCTCAGCAACAGCTAAGCTTCAAGCAGGCAGAGCTCGTGGTAGCGGGAAGTCGTTGGCAGTTATCTATCGCAGATGTACCACTCGAAGCCCGTTCGTGGGCGTGGGAACATGTTTGTGGTTGAAATATGGGGATTGACGGTGACAGATCTGGTATATAGCTCGTCCACAGGGAGGCAGACAGAGACTTGACTGAGGTAGGTATGTTTGTGTATGTACCCTTATGTGTTCTAGGCGGTGAAATGAGACACACCGACATCCCTTGACTTGACTGTCTCGAAGACGAATGCGACCCTGTCCTGCAACTTGCCAGCGCTCACGAAAGATAGGTCACCTCATACATTGTTCCAGTCCTGTCCAGGGCAAAGAAGAAAAATGCAATGTCTGACTTACCGCAGTATACTATACATAATTGCCGTGCCATCTACCTCACACTAGGGTCGGGTCTGGTCGGGCCAAGTACGTGAATGCAGGAGAGTGGTATTTTAGGGTCAGCTGCAAGGATCGTCATTGGCAGTGTAGATTGACGCCAGCCCAAAATATGTAAGCCTAGGGTAGTAATGCCGCGAAACAAGGCCAACAAAAAGTACCCTTGCACTGACTGCGGTATTTTGCTTTGCATCTTCGTCACGTCACTCGACGTGCGGACATCGTCTCATCTGGGCATCTGCCAGAAATTACATAGTAGAATCGAATCAGATTCCGTGGCTGCGCCGCACGAGATGTCTCCGCTGTCACCGTGCACTACTGTAGAGTATGCTCGACAATCATGGCTTGTTCTGTTTTTATAATCATCTCGTCCCCTTCGAGCGGATGCTTCTTTCAATCCCTCCCGACGTGTTATAGCAATCTACCACCTGTAGTTCGGCTACATGCATTGCCCAGATTATCCTAGCCAGAGCTGCCTATTGCCATGTCTGAATCGAAGTGACGGATGAGCGGGGCGTGATGAGTACATGGGTAGAGCTATAATCAACATACTATGTAATCCTCGCCTTGTGCTTGGCTCGACTTTTCAGCTACGAGTGCCAATCATATGAAGGTCTATCCTCCTCTCCTTCATACCGTACGTCGTTCACAGGTAAGATCACTGCCGCCGAAGCTCCAGTCAGCATCCAGTGTCCTGTACTCGCTTGTGAGGCGGACAAACTCGAGCTAAGTTCGTCGGTGGTAACACTACACCACAAAGAGGTAAGATGAAGGACAGATTGGGGCATGATAAGCGTAGGTTGCCAACTCACTCACCAAGCCCTCCCTAGCTAGGTAGGTAATACGGTAGTAGGTAGATAAGATAATATGTACACTAACATATGCCAACAAAGTCGGCGCGGCTTCACTTTGTCTGATTGTAGACTGGCCGAAGGATTGTGACACCTGGTATAGCGTGCACTTGGTTTCGGCGAGATACGATGATTACGAATTACTTCTGTCGCCCTGGATGAGCTCTGGTACAATGACTAGCAGAATGCCTTAGTCATACCTATTTTCATTTGCACGAGTGATTATATGAATAGTCGCCCCAGAGCTCCTTGTAACGCAGACTCAGTCATCGCCCATCCCTTGTTGATGTCAAGGTTGGTCAAACACTTGGCGCCCTACTACCTACATAGTAAGTAGACAAATGATAAGTAAGAGTAGTATCAATAATACCATACAGCCACGCTATGATCTAGACTTCAGACGACCTTCATTGCGAGTCCATTGAGGTCTCACTCTAAATGAGGTGTAGATACATGTCTTGGAATAGCCGGCAACCTAAAGCGCGATGAGATAGAGGTAACCATCATGAAGAGACTCGTCTGTGGGAATGACCGGCGCCCATCGTTCATCTTTTGCTAGTTTTTGTACTGACAGCATCAAGCGCATAGCCATGCCCTTGGTATTAAGGATGACCAAGCGGCGGTTTTCTTCTGCTTTTGACGTGCGCTTATCTCCTAGCACGAAAGGCGGGCGGATTAAAACATCGTAAGACTGATATGCCCTTGTGTCAGTTGCAACATACGGGCCTCCAGAAATGGCTTCCGAAATTATCATTGGTTTTCGTTATGAGGTCTTCCAAGGCTATATATATATAACATACATGATTCATTCCTCAGTCGGCAAAACCCGAATGGCAAGCGCATACCCCCGGAATGGAATGGACCATCTATATCCTCATACAAGCCATTGTCCAACGTGAAAGCTATATCTATGCCCTTGATGAGTATGCTACACAGTAAGTGCAATTCGACATCCACACGACGCCCCAAGCTTTGCCAAAAGTAGGGAAACATGCTAGCGTCATTGACTACTGTAGTAACAATGTATCGACTGAACTGCTAAGGCAAATGTTGGGGTTGTCGCATGCTAAGCACTGGCGACGGAAGCTGGCAATATATCATACCTAACATCATTTACGCCAAGATACTTACTCCCTGTACTGTCCCTGCTACTCAAAGCGCGATCTCCCCAAACATCGATCTAGGCATCCATCCCCAGATTATAACAGTGTGTGGGTACATTGAATCGGATAAGGTGACGTAGCATTGTAACATGATCGCTAGACGAGACAATTCTGAGGAATGATGACTACATACCTAGGCTATAACGAGCGGACAAACTCGTATTCGACATCGTGGCCGAGGCTTATCACTCCTTCAGAGTGTTCAAACATCTTATCTTGTGACATAAGACGATCGCAATTCGCGGAGCAATAAATCGATGAGCTAAACATCCTACTTAAGTAAGTAATTGCTACAATGGAGACTCCATCAGCACCGCCGCCACCCCCACAGTCTGAAAGCCACCCAAAAACTGGGACTCCATCACCAAGTAACGGGACATCGCCGCCAACAACGGTGCATATCAGCGACAAAGCAGCTCTGGCAGCAGCTTGGAATGGTCCTCACCCGATTATCACGCATCTTAATGCAGACACAACCTGGATCCTGCATCTCCCTTATCCTGAGGGCGTAGAGCGGCCATCCGGTCGCAGCCGATTTAACGTATTACTCGATCCATGGCTACAAGGACCGCAGTCCGACGGTGGCCGATGGTTCTCAGTACAATGGCACGTCATAGCGCCAAGTGTGCAGACGATCAAAGAACTCAATGGACTTCTAGCCGAACTTGAAAAGGGTGGCGCGCGCGCGCCAGAGACGGACTCGTATATCGATGTCGTGGCTATCTCGCACGAGTTCACGGACCATTGTCACGAAGCGACGTTACGCGAACTGCCAAGCAACACGCCTATTCTCGCGCCTGATAAGGCCGCCAAGCTCATTCGATCATGGAAGCACTTCGACGCCGTCACCGAGATGCCTCCCTTCGTAGCCGCTGAGACCAAGGATTGGCGCAAGACTCTGGCCTGCGCGCCGCTGCCATCTTGGGTCGGTATAGGGCGCGTCGTGACGCCAGGAAACTCCCTATACTACCACTCTGCTATCCTCATAGCATGGACTGGCTCCTCGGCACAAGAGGAAGCAAACTGTGTCGTATACTCGCCACATGGAATCGAGTCTAGCGCTCTCGCGGGGATGAAAGGCACCGGCCTCCGGACGCTCGCTCTCTTGCATGGTTTAGATGATGTCCGGCTTTGGATGACGAAGCAGCTGAATCTGGGCGCTGTCAATGGCATTTCTGCTGCGCGGGAGTGTGGCGCGAAGTATTGGGTTGCGACGCATGATGAAGTGAAGAAAGGAGGTGGATTTGTTTCACTACTGCTTCGACGGACAACATGGTCTGTTGCGGACGCGGTAAAGAGGGAAGGGGAAAGGGGGCTCGGGAATGGGCCGGGAGATGACAAGCAAGCGGGTGGATATGAGTTTGTCGAACTTGGATCTGGAGATGGGTTAGTTTTGGCATGATAGATGATATTATCTGCTCTATCGGCTTGGAATGATTGTATACTGCGAGTTTATGTATATTACTTGATACACACTATGCCTGTGCGAGTCTATATAGTATATAAAGTACTTTAAAGTGTAAGAGATGATATTCACATTCAACACCAGAAAACACACGATAGAGTGAGTACTATGTTGTCACTTCTTCTACATCACCCCGTGTCTCTCACACTCTCTCGCAACCGCCATGACAATCACTCTATCTCTTGCCGGGTGATATCTTTCTAGCTAGGTGTCAGCTGCACCTAGAGTGGTAATCATAATTTCGCGCTCGCAGGCTTTACCTGCCGTCGGGTATATGTCGATTTGACGTGTGACTCCCCTTGAATGAGCTGTCAAGATCCCACCTTAGAAATCACAATTGGCTTTGCACAAGGGATCCAAGATGACGTACTTGAAATTACTCGAGAAAAAATCTAGATTTTGCTCTCTTCTCTCCCTCGCTCTCAAAGTCAACAGTTTTTATATCAGCATGACTATTACTAACTTCACATCATCTCTATTTCTCTTCTATTCTATTCTTCATACTTTACGTCAAGTACGCACAGGACGTACTTGGCCGCCTGTAACTCCTATTCGCAGTGCCATGTTATGACAGCTATCATACCAGTTTAGTATTCTACCTCTGACGACTCCCCAATGGATGAACATTGGTTCCATTGCTGGGTACACCGTAGTGTCTCGGTCAGGGGAGAGCACATAGAGTGCTTCCTTATTAGCAGACTCGATGAATTTGAGCTCGGTTCGTATCATTCACCGACTACATTCCTCTTTCACTGACGGATATCTACTCACACGCCCAGACAGACGTCGAATTGGTGTAGAGTTCAAGTCTAAGGACTCTCCCAAGTTATCCCTGCTCCCTCGCGTTCCACCCCTACGCCGACTTCAAAGGGTTTGGGCAGTTGGTGACGCCACTCTATATTTCAACAAGAACAAATCTACAAGACAAATCCTGCCAATAAATTTTCCAAAGTCGGTCAATCTCATGTCTCCGTTTTCGGTTGTTAAACATTCCATGCTCCTCGCCATTCCCACTGGTGAACCCAGGTCCTCCAGTTCCCAAGCAGGCCATCGACGAATCATGATCTCAAACCGAACCTACCCCTGCGAAAACATTACATTAGGACATACGCATCACATATCATTCATAACTCATATTCCTTCATATCTATTATCATTCTAATCTATCCTTACCCATCACATCTCATCGATTAAAATCAGCTGCTAGCGCCACTCTGCATGGATCTCATATGTTCACCATGAAAGCTTTGGTATATATGACCTTCCTTATTGATGTATATGTAGCCAAGCTAAGAATTTCCCAGTCCGAATAAGCCAAAAACATTGCCCAGACATTCTCAAGCAGCGAACCGACGAGGTCATTAAACCCGGGAAGCGTAAGTGTACCGCCTCAGCCACAACTCCCACAAGGATGTCATGCGCCGGTTCATGTATTATTACCAGCAAGGTGACAGACAGGCTTAAATCGCAGATATCAGCAGCAAACATGGAGTTTCCTATAAAAAGAACTTTCATCTGAACAACATTAGTAGTGATAAAGGGGTCAGATATGTTCACACAATGGAGTCTATCTATTACAAGACAATACGTGATTTATATATATATGTAGGTATTTACATCAACAGCATGAAACCATATAGAATCATTCTAATGAATACCTCGACATATAGACTCAATCTTCAAGCTAAAGTCCGCCAACACAACGAAACCTATCCCTTTATACAACTAACTCTACGAACAAGAAACCTAATAACATTTCATCACAACTTTCGAAACCAAAGCCATCGATTCCCGTAACAGATAGAGCCAACAGCGTACCTCAAACTCAGTTTCAGCATGTTCACACACACACAACCACTTAAACCAAACCTAGACACAACCCTGCGTTAAATTGATAATCATATTTCACCCATAACTCACATTCACATTCACCACCGAACACACCAGCAACAAGCAAGTATACTACAGTGCCTTCCTTATTCTTATCCCTTCCCTTCCCATACCCGATAATCATCACGCTTCATAAGCCCACCATTTCGCCCAGGAAACCCATAAAATATACCAAATCTAAGCCATGGCGCCATCTCATAGCACATAAACGAACCTCAATCCGTATCTCCTTCAAGTTAGGTGGTATTCAACATCAGACATCTTCACTCCAATCCCATACCTCTAATCTACAACAATCCCCTCAAGCGCCTGCATAGCCCTCGTACCTTCTTTCTCAAAGGCCATAACAATAGTCTCGCACTCGTGCTTCAGCTGCTTCTCCGCTTGCTCAGCATTATAATAAATCCACTCTTCGACCGTCATCTGCTTTTCGGGTGTTGTCAGTTCGATGCCGCTGTTCAGGAAACGGCCAATAGACAGCGCGTTTTCTTTGTCCAAGTCATCGAAGATCTCGTCAATGTCCACAGCGGTCCAGGCATTGGTGCTTTGGAGCCCGGAGATGATGTTGCGCTTAGAAGGTGATGATCTGACTGGGGTTGTAGCAACGGGCGCTAGGGCGACTCGCGTGCTCTTAGCTGTATTAGAGGGCTTGGAGGATGGAGGCTGGTTCTCTGCGTCGGAGGATTGAGGTGATTGGGGTGGCGACACAGTGGCCTGTTTGGCTGCAGGAGGAGGCGAAATAATTGGTTCTGGCGTCACTGGTCGTTGTACCTCCTCTGGTTCAGAAGGAGGAGGCGGTGGCGGTAAAGACTTATCCCGCGAAGGGGCCGATTTCTTGGTAGCCTTCTGTGTGACAGTAGGTGCGGCGTCGACCTCAACCTCAACCTCGTTCACATGCTCAACCGTAGGTTCCGGTTCCGGGCTCGACCGAGCAATAGGGTCGGATTGAGGCTCTACCGGAACCGCCGTTAGTTTCTTACTCGGTCGACCACGCTTCTTAGGTGCTGTGGTTGATGATACGCTAGCTCGGTTGTTTCGAACAATTGTGGCGTTGCTCATGAGGCTCATATCTTGACCTTCAGCTAGCTCATCCATAGACTGTTCTGCCGCAGGCTCGGGTTCTGGAGTGGGTTCTTTAGGGGCTTTCGTTTTAGTCTTCTTGGTGGTCTGTTTGGAGGCCTTGCGGATCCCAGCCTGACGTCCCTTCTTAGGGACTTGGAGTGTCTGTGCTGGTTCGACTACCGCTTCAGCCATTTCAGCTTCCAATGCCTTTAGCTCAGCATCTACTGCGGCATCATCTATTCCGGGCGGTTCAGGGTCAAACATCGCATGATCGGTTTCCGGTTGTTCTGCCTTGGCGGAAGCAACTCTTCCACGTGTCGCTTTCTTCTTCGGGGCTGGAGCTTCCGCTTCAATGATTTCAGAGTCTTCTATAGCAGCGCTCGTACGCTTGCGGCCTCGTGCCGGTTTTTGGGGAGCCTTTTCCGTCTCCATTTGTATGAGTTCCGCTTCCTGAGGTAAGATATCCTCATTCTCTGGTTGTTGATCCTCAGGAGGATCTTCGAGTACTTCAACAACTTCCTCTTTCTTAGCTTTAGATTTCTTTGACTTTGAAGCAGCGGCCTTCTTAGCCCTTGGACGTTTAGTGCCACCCTGTGTCATGATGGATGTTGTGGTCAGAACACTATCATCGTGATCGGCGGGGTGTTCAAGCATAGAAGTAGTTTCCGAAGTTGCGGTAACAACAGACTGAGTAGAAAGACGCGATGCTTTAGAGGATCTAGCTGTTTTGCCTCGTCCCTTCTTTTTGGCAGGTGCTGCAGATTTATACTGGTTGATTAAGACGAAAAAGGGGCATTCAGGAGATCGCTTGTAATGCTCATCCCTGCAGCGCCGTGTCAGTGTTGTACGGGAAAATTGGGAAATTGTAGAGGTGGGCGAGCTCACATAGGATTATCTTTGGGCTCCCACCCATCGAGTGCCAATTGACAGTAAGCGCAGGTTGCCATATCATCCGAGTCCATGGTAGGCGTATACTTCCAGCCCGCATCGACAAGCTTGATAAGTCAAGTCAGTCACATCGACGGTCGTGACAGCAGTTGAGAGAAACGTACCTGCTTCGTCTTACACTTCCACCCTCTCTTTCCATCGTGTGGCCACCTATCCCCGAATGTTGCTTTCCGCGCCTCTATCATTTCGGAGCCCGTAGGATCATCCAATGCGTAATCACCCAAACTCGTCTCAATGCCTGCAACGATTGCCCAGCCGCAGTGCGGTGACAATCGCAAGTGCTCTTCGAAAGGGTTGTCATCCTCTTCCCAGCCGTCCACGTTCTTGCAGCACAGGAAGCATACCGTGTTGTCGGGAAAGTGAGGGGTCGGTGCGAAGTAAAAACCGGCGCGTGCAAACTATATTATAGCAGGTTAGCAATTCTAGTTCCCAGTCGCACGAACAAACTCGTTAGCTTTTGTCTTCTACGTACAGTCTCGGGGTCTAAGTTTCTGTGTGGCCAGGCCAGTCCTTTAGGCACCTTGCTCTTCGCGGTTGAGGCGCGTCGCGAGACGGGCTGCGTGGTCTGAAACGAAGCAAGTCGGCCGTCCAATGTGTAGTATTCCTCGGGCATCTCGCCTGACGCCATCTTAGCTGAACTCGACGCGGCTAGGCCGTTTATTTGAGTAGTTCCTCGCTCGTGTTATGGTGCTGTATAATAAGAGTAAGAGTTTTCGTAGTCGGTTAAGAAATCGTCCAGGCGAGGATTACTGAATAAGACTTCAGAACATGAATGTAACAGCAGTTGTGAATGAATGAATGAATGAATGAATGAATGATCGAGTTGTGGAGCTTAGAGTGTTCTGGGTTGAACCTGACCGAATCGGGAGTTGATTGGCTGCTTTCACGCGTATTGTTTACTTTGCCCCAAGGTGGGGGTGTTTGTGGAGACCAGCCATATTACACCAGCCACGATAGCCACATTCTGTGACAGATCAAGGCTCCCTCTTATTCAGATACATACATCAAGAAAGAAGCAATAAAGGCAAAGGGAAACATGAGTGAGATGCTTGAGTCTTAAGGGCATGAAACCGATTGGAGACCGCCCAGGCTAGTCTATAGATGATAATAATCTACACAGGTATTGTATCTAGTTCTCCTGCGCGAGTGATGCTCCTTTGGGAGACAATACGCGACTAGCTGCTTGATTTATCTGTGTATATTTACCGTGCCTGTCTAGCTAACGCCTGCTACCTACCTTAGGCAGCCGCAAGGCCCAGTTCAGCGTAAAACGCATCGCTACTAGGTGCCCTACCGAGGAACTGCTTTAACGTTTCCATCTCGTCCTGGCTTCCACCACGCTCCAGCACGGTGTGGCGGTATCTGCGACCTTCTTTCCCGTTCATCGGATCCTTCTTGAAGCTAGAATGGAACATATCTGCGCTGTAGACTTCAGATGATAAGTAGCCATAGTACCCGGCATCATACCCGCCGATAAGGTGGCCGAAAGTAGCTTGGCCATTGCCCCAGGTGCTGTTAAGGTGAGTCAGTGAATATTATGGCCGGATGATAGTTGATCTAATAATGTCCGTGCTTACCTTCCTTGGCCGAGAGCTTCGGGGCCCTTGAGACCACAGATTTCTGCACGCAGCTCGTTATATAGTTTGCTAGCATCTAACTTCTCTAACTCTTCGTGGCTGTTCGGCGAGTGCACAGTCATATCAAAAATGCCGAAGTGTAGCTGTCTCAGATTGAACAGGGCGTCATTGACGTGTTTTGTGGAGATGAGCTTCTCAATCAATTCGTCTGGAATCTTTTCGCCCGTCTCATAGTGGTTCGAGAGTGACTTGAGCTGACTAGAAGTCCAGCACCAATTCTCCAACATCTGGCTCGGGGCCTCTACGAAATCCCTAACGGTGGATGTGCCGTGGAAGCGGCTGTATCTGCAGCGACCTGCCAAATCATGAATGCCATGGCCGAGTTCGTGAAATAGCGTGACAACTTCGTCATGCTTCAGTAGCGAGGGTTTCTTCTCAGTAGGTTTCGAAAAGTTGCAGACTAGTGCTGTAGCTGGGAATCGACGCGACCCGTCCTTCTGCAAATAGCCTGGTTGGAGATTGAAATTGGCTGCATGGCCATACTTTCCCTGACGGGGGTGTAGATCGAGATATAGGTATCCGACGAACCCATCGCCTTCAGATGCATCATCCCAAACGGAGAAGATGATTACATCTTCATGCCAAGCAATATCCTCTGCTTTGCCGGTGGGTGATATCCGCTGTCGCTCTTCCTGGTCTAACTTGACGAACACCAGACCGAACAGCTTCTCGAAAATCTCGAGCATTCCTTGTACCGTGGATTGCAAGGGGAAATATTCGGAAATTTTCGTCTCATCAATACTATACTCTTGCTCGACCATCATGCGGTCGTAGAAACGATTGTCCCAAAGGTAAAAGTTTCCATCCGGAGTGAGTCCCCTCGACTCTTCATCCTTCTTCTTCAACTCTAACAGGTGGACCTGCTCTTTTATCCCACCGGGAGCCAACTTGGTTCGAAGATCAGACAGGAATGAGTTTACAGTTTCGGGGACCTTTGCCATCTTGTCTTCGATGCGAAAAGCGGCATGGTTGGCGTACCCTAACATCCGCGCTGCTTCATCACGTAATAAGATGGCTTCTTTGAAAAGAGGAGCGTTGTCATTGCACTATTATGATGGTTAGCTCGCTCCATGCCACAACTGAAAAAGACTCGAAATCGAGCATAGGCTATTCACCTTGTTCTCATTAGCAATAAATACTTTTCTCCGAGTCTCAGGGTTCTTGGCAAATTTGAGAGTCGGAAATAAATCTGGGTATTTGAAGCTTAATTTGACCTTGCCTTCGTTCTCGCCCGTGCCTTTCTCAAGGCCATCCACGACATCGCCCGGGACGCCATCCAGTTCCTCTTTAGTAAACCAGAGACCTCCGTTCTCTTCATTCAGAGCCTTTTGGAACTGGATACCAAGCTGGCTTAAACGCTTCTTAATCTCCTTGAAACGATCTCGCTGTGGGCCTTTTGGCAAGCCGAGGCCGTTTCTGATATATCCCTTTCGCTCCTTCTCCAGCAACCGCAGGCTTTCAGAGTCAAGACCGGGTTCATTTGCTTTCTGCGACTTAAAAGCAGAATCCACAAGGGCATAGATGTCTTCACGCATGTTACACTCAATAGAGAAATCATCCATAAGCTTCTCGGCCTCAGTAGAGGCATTGCGAAGATCGGCGTCTCCCGAGACGTACTGGTAAAAGCCTAGAATTCGAGACTTGAGCTGCGCCTCGTTCTCATCCTCTATCATAGGGGTCAGAACGGAGGCAAAGCTAGACTTGTCTACGGACACATCGGCGGCGAGTTTATCAAGCAAGGAGCGTGTTGAGTCGCAAAGGGCCTTGGCGTCGTCGACAATAGATTCTTTAGTTCCTGTGAAGGTGGGCGGCGCCTGAGGTGGGTTCTTATACTTGTCGGGAGCCATGGTGGCGGTTACGAGAGGCCGAGTCACAATGGACGCCGGGGAGGATGGTCTAGGACGCAGATGGTTCAGATAGGCAGAAAGGCGAACGACAGCCCGTGGAGCAGCCAGATTGGAGACAATGGCCAAGAGAAGAATAGCAATGGAGAGAAGGAAGAGGAGGAGGGGCCGGGAGCTTCTCGACGAGGTGGTCGATGTCGCCAGATTGACACAATGTAGTAGCTCAGAGCTCTGTCCAATAAGACACGAGAGAAGGGGGAATGGGGAATGAGGAATGAGGAATGGACTAAGAGAGCTGCTGTAGGTAGTACGGATAGATAAGGCAGGGAGAGCAGAGTAGAGGTCCGAAGTAGGCAAGGAAAGGGTGTGGGATATGTCGCGCTACGGGTACCTGAAGAGGCAGAACAGAACTTGGAAACGAGGGGCACAGCGGGGCAGTAGGATCGATTACCCGATGAATGTGCTAGAGGCGATACCGCCGATTTACCACCTACCTCTACCTCTACTCTGCTCTACCTACCTCAAGTATCTACCTACTTCTTTCCATGCGTCTGTGGGCACGTCGATATTGCCTAGATACCCAGAAAGAAAGACGGTACCTAGGTAAATAGATAAGAGGGGAGAATACGACGAGCTGATAGGTCTGGGACACTTGGTCATCAAAGTACTGCCTGCCGATATGGATGTGCGATGCAGGTCTCGGATATGGGGTTACGCTACAGGGCTGATGACAAGAACAGCTTGCATTGCATGTGATCTGATGGGAGTTACTTACTTCGTAGTCTACTATGTAGCTGGAAGAGAGGCCGAAAGAAAGGAAGCGAAACGAAAGGTGTGCGGTTCCGGCGTCTCCAGCCAAGTGGCACCTTGACTACGGCCATACGAGCTTAGTGTGAGCGGGAAAAGCTGGGAAGCTCCGGCAGCTGGGACATTTGTGCGGGGGTTCCGCAAAACCACCAGGGCTAATGCAGCCGCAACATGGTATGGATGAGGCGGGTAAGAGGTAGGCAAGAGGTGGGTAATCATGGCATTCTGTCCGTTAAGGTGGTCATCTGATCCTTAGAGGATTGTTCGGTACAATACCTATCTACCTACCAGAAGTCACCTCGTTCTAATATACAATACTCCAAACGTTTCCATACTATTGCATACCATGTATATGCTAACATCGCGCAATAACATGGGGGCTAATATCGATATGTGGCCAATTAAGGAGGACCGCCTTTCCAGGCCCTAACGTCTTGCGTATTCCGACAGCTGTGGATGGTAGATGGTGGTAGAACGCTAGATAAGTCGGAATACTACTTCACATCATGTTAACAATGCGTAGCCAGGGGAGAGAAGGTTGGATCAAGCGTGGCTCGTCTGTCTCTTGATAAACAAACGATGCTTCTGGAAGAGACCCAGAACCAAGGGATGGGAGAAAATGCTGTGCTGGGGCAGGCAAGGCAGGGAATCTCATGCATGAAGCATGTAAGACAGAACCCGCATACTTCCAAGGTCAATAATGTAACTACCAGTCCACCTACTTACGTATACCGAGTTTATGGGCTCATCGTGGACTGACACTTGTTTTGCTTGCCTTTCCACTCTTGATGGTCATGCCGACATAGCACGAGATCAGCCACGGCGTAATGTGCCGTCATAGCTGACCCCTTTGTAGGTAGGTAATTGTATATGAAAAGTGTGGATATTTAGAGCAGAGTAATCTTGTCTGCTCTCGACGTTATAGAATTATCTATCAACTCAAGTATCAAAGGAGAGACCAGATGAGGCCTTCCTAATTCGTACAATATGGTCCCAACCAACATTGGAGAAAGCAATGCATAAACGCCAGTGTCATTTCCGAATCATGCATAATCCCGTCCTCCCAAACTCCCTTTCGTCCAAAATCTCCTTTCAGAAGGAAACACGCCGCTCAATTGGCGAGGATGGTTCGTACAAGATCTGCTGCCTTGTCAGACTCGATTCGACGCATGCGCTACAGATATGCACGAGCAATGCAGGCATGCGAAAGATTAGGTGGCACTTACCAGTATAGTTGACTTGTCCTGAGCTCGTATCTACTGCCTTCAGCAGCTCATCTACCTCCTCGTCTGTCATTTTCTCGCCAAGGTTCGTCAAGATGTATTTAAGCTGGCCGACTCCAATGAAGCCAGTCATGTCCTTGTCGAAAACCTGGAAACCACGGCAGTAATCTTCGGGCTCGCCAGGGTCGCGGAAGCCACCGGGGCGATTGAGGATCTTGGAAAATGTCTCGAAGTCAACTGTGAAAAGGAGTCGCATCAGCACCAGCGCAGGACAGAAAGTGGCAAAGCGAGCACTCACATTCCCCACCAACAGTTCTCTCGAGGTCTCTGATTTCAGCAAGGGTCGGGTTCTGGCCGCAGGCACGCAACAGGTCGCCTAGGCTGTCGAGGGTGACGCGGCCATTTCCTCGCTTGTCAAATAGAGAGAAAGCCTCCTTGTAGTTGGTAGACGCCTGGGGGTTCTCGTAATTAGTGGCCATGATGCTTGATAGATAGTAAGGTGTGTGTTATTCAGTGTGAAATGTGCGTTGCGCAGCGCAGCGCAGAAAGGAGCAATGTAGTAGCAAATGCGGGTATAATGGAGATGAATCAAGAAGAGGCGCAATCGGAGAATGAAGCGAGTTGCAGAGCAGATTGTTTAACAGTATAGCGAGGCTTGTTCGCAATCAATGCTGATGTGATAGTGGTGGTTTGTATGTTGTTTATTGTTGTTGGAGTGATTTTTTAGCGCAAGGAGAAAGGTCAAGCAAGGTTAGGTAAGAATTAGAGTCGGGTTAGGTAATTGCGATGACTGGATTTGGCGCGGATTTGGCTTTTGGGTTCGGGCGGGTTTGTTGGGCCTCGCTATTCACTGTTCGCTTTTCACAGTTCACAGCTCGCTGCTCGCCCCTTCGCTCCAAGACTTCTCGTTTCGCTGTCCTCAATCCAATTGCGCCTAGCCACTCGCACGGCCTGCACTGCCTGCACTGGCTCTGAATCCATTTCCAGCAGCACAACAACGCTGTAGGCGCTGCTCTGCCCTGCTGTAGGATTGCATCGGCGGTGCGCTAAACCGGGGTATAGGGGGTTGCGAGGGGCGCCGTGTTTACCTGGCGCCGCCGAGGGGACGAATCAGAGACTGGGATACACTGGACACACTCACCATTGTGTAGACGTGTAGTAGATGTGTAGCGGTAGCTTGAGAGGTTCAATTTGCAGTGTAAAATGTCGGTGGGAGTGCCGATTTGCAGGTGAACCGGATCGCCGCTGTTGTTTGTTACAGTCAAGTTGAAGAGAGAGGGAGGAAAAGCATGAAATAAAATACAATCTCGAAACAACGGTGAACAAACAGGCTAAGGTTAGGGGAGATGGTCCCCCCTGGTCTGTGTACCATTTCATGCGGTGAACTTCATGCGTCGGCCGCTATAGTGGGGCAAAAGAAATTGCCATAGCAACGACTTGCCGCCAATGAAACCGACCAACGCAAACTTCTACATCCTACCTGGCTTGATGGATCCGCTCCAGGGTAGGACTCATGATTTTCCATTATCATAAGTGTCAGACAACATTGGACAAGGGCAAGACATATACCTATTTCAAAAATTGGGCAGCAACCTTTTATACTACCTATTTCATCGTCATGTCTGATCCTAGTGTAGGTGAATTACACCGGCTGATATTATTGAACCGCAGGGGTTTTAAGGGGTTTCTTCCGTATAATAAAAATATATCATAATTACTTAGATAAGTAGGACTCTATTGCACCACATATATATTCTTACTTCTTCCTCGCCATGATAATATACGTACCCCAATCATTGATAACCTCAGCTTCCCTCCACTGCCCCCCCATTGCTTTCCATTCAGGTGTAGAGTCGATCATATGATCCCACATGACATCAACCACATCACCATCTCCTCCCTCAGCCCTACTCTTCATCTCAGGATGTGCGTCTTTCCAACCACTATAACAACTAAATGTGCGCGTGTACGCCTCAACCTCTCCCAGCGTCATCTTCTTCTTAAGCCAAGCCACAGAATCCCCATCCGGATCGCCAGGTTTGTGAGTGATCCGTGTAACATCCTTCCAATTGTCCCCAGGCACATCCACCGAACCCAGTAGGCCCCGCAGTATGTTCCGCCCCGGTTGCTCCCAGTACGGTGCCATCCCTTCTATACCCGGTGCCACATCGCCGAATCCGTAGACGAACTTCTCCATCACCGCCGTAGCGTTCTCGGCTCCTAGGAGAACACCATCCACATAGCCCCAGAATACAACTGTACCCCCGGGCTTCATCGCCCGCGCTAGCTCACTCCATACCGCACTGTAGTCAAACCAGTGGGCTGCCTGGCCCGCCACCGCCAGGTCGACTGACGTGGGCCTAACAAACGGCGACAGATCCTCGGCCCGACCTTGATGGAAGCTGATTTTAGGGTCTTCTGTCATTTGACGCGCCTGCTTGACCATGCCAGCCGACGGGTCAAGGGCAACTAAGTGCTGAAAATGCGGGCTCAACGCCCTTGCAATAAGGCCATGGCCACACCCTATGTCTACGAGCGTCGTTCCATTTCCCGCGAGCCGAAGCTGGTGGTAATCTAGAACGGTGCGAAACAGTGACGCCGGATAAGTGGGTCGGAATGCCGCGTATGCCTTGGCCGAAAATGTCGGGCGCCTGCAGGTGTGTTAGCGATGTCTTTTCTTTGATTTGTTGCCAATTTCTTGTGTCACTGTCGGGTAATTGGTGACCAGGAGAGCGAGTGGCCGGGGGGGGGGGGTTACTTGCGCGAATGTCGCCATCACAGAGCGGAATGATGCGCGCCTCAACTGCGAGTCGATAGAATCGAACCTGTAGAATTGAGGAGTCGCGAAGTAGAGAAACAGATTTTAAAGAAATAGAAGATAATATAAAAATATGATATCCAAACTTGTAATATATTCACTATTGACATAAGGACTGCTTCCTAAGCAGGGAGCCGACCCTTGGGCTTCCGAATGGATGATCGGGGCTGTCCGTCCGGGCAGATCCAGGGCCCTATCTCCAAGGCGGCACCCCTCCGAACAGGGTCAGCAGCGGGGTCTGCCCCTCTACCTACTCTACAGCACCGGCGTACCGAATACTTCAGACGCGCGACATCTTCAGAAGTCGGCTATCCGAAACAAAAGCTGTGTACTTCCGTTCATCACATATCCAGTCCCCAACACAATCGTTCTTCGACTATATGCTAAAGATGGCAGCCGAAGCAAGCGTGAAGGCCTTCTTTGCCTCCCCGCAATTCGCAGTCGCAGGCGCGAGCTCAAACCCGGCTAAGTTCGGGCACAAGGGTAGGACATTGTCCCTATTCTTCTCCAATTTCACCATGAAATCTCCTAAATCAACGTTACCTTACCAGAAAAGCGACGAACATGATGACAAGAATTTCCTAGGGAACCTGATCAGAAATCTACCCACAGCTCACACACACCCATACTCACTATCCATCATACCCCAGACCCATAACTTGTACATACTAACCACCTCCCTAGTCTTCGTGTGGTACAAAGATCACCAACTCCCCGTAATTCCCATCAACCCAGCCCCATCCATCAGCACACGGTACGGCGAGCACGCAACGGTGAAGTCAGTCTCGGAGCTATCAGATCCCAGAAATACATCGCTATCCGTGATCACGCCGCCTCCGGTGACTCTCGAGATCCTGAAGGAGGCCAAGCGCGTCGGCGTCCCTGCCGTCTGGTTACAGCCCGGCACTTTTGACGACGAGGTCATGGGATTTGCTCGTGGGAAAGACACCGGCGGGTATGATGGCGAGGTCATTGCTGGCGAGGGCGGGGCGGGAAGTGAGGGGTGGTGCGTCCTTGTGGATGGGGAGAGGGGGATGAGGTCCGCTGGGAAGCTTTGAAAGGAAAGAACATTTTCGAAGCTGTTATGTGAGAGTGAGAGGCTTGTACTTTCTTCTCCCATACAATGCAGTGATAGACGACCTAGTACATGCGATGCGTCTATTTGGCAGATCCATTATACAAAGATCAGCCATGCCGTTACAGTATTGAAAGTGGAGCGCTGCGGATGCAACATGAATTTCTACCTAGTGCTCTGGTCCATTTCCCTAGAAGTGTATGGTCGCTTTATATGTCTTTGTTCGAGGTAGATATAGGCATTGTACTTCGAAAGCAGGGTATTTTTTGAAGACAATACATGGTCTAGCTATATTCTTTCGATCCTACAGTCTCATGATTACTAAATAAGCGAAATAGTAAGTCGAGTCGGAATTTATATAAATATAAATAATGAGTATACATTTTACATGTTCTCCCGTTAACTCATGCTGCGTCTAGTGACCTATGTTTTGACGGGGACTAGTATATAAATAGTTGATCGGCCTCGCTTTATTTAAAACACAAATTGCCACGTCTAATTTTTGCAGAGTTCAGACTCTATACCAGTTAATCGACACTTACGATTCCGGTTTACATCTAACAACGAATACACCACATGATGCAGGATCTTTACTTCAGCTAGTGGAAATGACGTCGCCTATAATACAGAACCCCCAGTCTAATACGGTAAGAAGATTCGTGGAATGCTTTTCTCTCGGCCACCATCTCGATATTAACCCTAACACCAAACAGATCGAACTCAACAATGTGATATTGGAGTTCTATCGGTTACTTGACGAGTTGTTCTTCTTTAAAACCCTTACATGAGATATAAACGTACAGAATGGCAAGGAGAATCTTGTGCCTTTAACAATTTCAGAAGACCCTCACTCCAAGCTTTATGGTACATATTACATGTCGGAGCGGCGTATAACTGTGTGGGTAGGCACATACCGTGAAAACGGAGTCTACGACCGCTTTCGTATCGAGAAAGTTTTCTTCACTATACTACGCGAATCTATACATGCCTTCCTGGAGCATTTTAGCGATGAATCCCATCCCCAGCATAACGAGTGGGTGGAGGATAGTAATGGACATGGAAAAGTGTTCTGCGAGCTACTTTGGCTTGTTGGGGGTGTCATAATGCATCATACGAACTCGTGAAGATGGCAGGAAGAACGCCATGCTAGGCACCGCGGACCTGAATACCTTCGTCCCCAATGGCCTAGCGAATGGCCCTTTCCCATACACCTACCTATACCAACTTGCGATTTGGGGGTCTTCCCCCGGATATCCTTTCATGGCCCCTTCTGGATATTCAAATAGGAGCAATCTTAAATATGCGCCTATGACTTCTTCTTAGTATCCACCTGTGGGCCTTGCTCAACATTCTCATATGGATATTTTCGGGTTTAATCATAGGAATTCTACGAAAGGACGTCCTGGGTTAGCCCAACCGGCTTTCCAGTTTAGTAATTCCCGTTAGATTAAGCGATCTAGCAGTTCATACATATGGAATTTTCCAGGATGAATGGCAATATATTCTGATTAATGAAACTGTAACTCTGCCTTTGAATTGAACCACAAACCAGAACTATAGCCAATTGGTAGTAGCCAAGAATTAAATCCTGAGAATAGAATAGTTTGATGCTGAATCGCCATATTTTGTAGAGCTAGGGTGGATATTGAAGACACATACACTAATTGTTCCGAAGCTATGATTGTACCAGACAACTGCCTCAATCAGCGCATTACAACAGTTACAGTCTCATATATAAATTAATAAGCTATTCAATCGTCATACGAGTCGCACAGCCAAACTCTCAAGGAAAATAAGAAGTAATCAATCAATTTGGTGATCAGATACGTATGGCAAGTGCTTGGACTCATACTTGGAGTTTCTAATCGATATTACAGCAACAGCCTGGTGCGGTTTTCAACCCCTTTACTATCAGTTAGGATTATTCCCAGTGTCAGGATGAACCCCAGTGTACTTATATACAATTGGGTTGGTGTCCCCGGCCTTGGGACGCCAACACCTCGCTCATGGTGATGAGCGCTGAATAGCCGCGACTATCGTTTTCCATGTTCTGCAATTCTGACACATGCTTGATGAGTTCCGATAAATTTTATTGTTGTTCGACTACATGGCACTTATTCCCGTAAATTGCCCTAACACATCTACCGCCGAGTTTTTGAGTAGTTCATATGTCACGGTCACATTATCTGTACTGACTGTGTTGGTCATTCAAGTTCCGACCGGCATCCAAGCTCGGGTCGCATTGAATCATTCGCACCAATGGGACTCTTCCTTAAGACAACCCATATAATCCAAAAGCATGTTCCTGGTGGAGTAGCGGAACCACGACGACTGCTGCAATGCGGGGGCTCTACCACTAACCAATCTTTCGTGACATAAGATCTAGCTGGATCGTGTGTACCTACTCGTGGGAATAATTGATCCGTCGAAAGGGTAGGATTAAGAGAGCTGTGTTGTCGCACGTATAGAATAGTCTACGGTTTTAACCGAGTTCCTGCGCAAATAGATCTTCAGCGACGTAAAGGTATATATAATTGCGTTAAAATAAGCAATAATCTTTTTATATCTTATTGTCATAGCAATAATATCGTTTCCATTAGTGAGATCTGCGCTGAGATTTATTTATAAGATGCCCCGAGCGCAACTTTGCTCACAAGGCGCCTTTGGCCGCTTCTTCAGTTGCATGACACTCATAGGAAGTCTTATCCTCAGTTCTTCGCTTGTTAATGCTGTGGCCGTGCCACCAGTCCGTACAGAAGTGGGAATTTCGTCATATTTTTTCGACCTTAGTCAAGTTCAATTGAGTGACAGTCGCTGGCTTGACAATCAAAATCGAACGCTTACTTATATCAAATGGGTTGATGTTGAAAGATTGCTCTATGTATTCCGGTCAAGCCATAAGTTATCGACGAATGGGGTGTCGTCGAATGGAGGCTGGGATGCCCCTACGTTTCCATTCCGGTCGCATATGCAGGGCCATATCCTAACCGCTTGGGCGCAATGTTGGGCGACACTTCAGGACACGACATGCCGCGATAGAGCGACATATTTCGTTGCCGAATTAGCTAAATGCCAGGCGAACAATGCGAAGGCTGGATTCGCAGCAGGTTACCTATCAGGCTTCCCGGAGTCCGATTTCACGCTTCTAGAAACCGGGAAGCTTACCAATGGCAACGTGCCGTACTACGTCATTCATAAAACCATGGCTGGTTTGCTCGATGTTTGGCGTCATATTGGAGACAATAATGCAAAGACCGTCTTGCTTTCCCTAGCAGGATGGGTTAACCAGCGGACGGCCAAGCTAAGTACGAGTCAGATGCAGAGTGTCATGAACACGGAGTTCGGTGGTATGAACGACGTACTTACGGAGATCTATTACTGGACAGGTGATAGTCAGTGGTTGACGGTTGCGCAACGTTTCGACCATGCAGCTGTATTCAACCCTCTAGCATCGAACCAAGACAAGCTTGACGGCCTCCATGCCAACACTCAAGTTCCTAAGTGGATCGGAGCAGCTAGAGAGTACAAGCAAACTGGCACATCACGATACCTTGACATTGCGAGGAATGCGTGGGACATCACTGTGAACCATCACTCTTACGCGATTGGCGGAAACAGCCAGGCTGAACACTTTCATGCTTCTGATGCCATAGCTAGATATCTGAGCAAAGATACTGCCGAAGGTTGCAACACCTATAACATGCTGAAATTAACGAGAGAGTTATGGGCAACGAACCCGTCTGCCGATTACTTCGACTTCTACGAGCGAGCATTGCTCAATCACATGCTCGGCCAACAGAATCCAAGGGATAAGCACGGGCACATAACATACTTCACGCCTTTGAATGCTGGCGCCACCCGGGGGGTTGGCCCCATACCATAACCCCAGAGGACGGAGTTTATCCTGAAGAGTTCATGAAATCTCTCGAAGCCAGCTGGGTACGCCTTCAAGTGGCAGATGCCATTACAGCCGCAGGTTTCAAGGCTCAAGCCCAACGTTATGCCAAGTCCTTAGATGACAACGTTTTTGATACCTGGAACGTAGTACCGGACGGCTCCGTGAAGCTCCCGTTCGACTTCGATCGAGTCTATAGTCCTCTCAAGCACGTGGGTGTAGAGGTGACATCTCCAGTCTTCGTTGCGTGTGAGGGCGCGTTCGAAGAGATCTCGGCCGTCGTCACGGCCATCAACAAGTCGTTCCGCACCGTCGTGCCCCCTTGCTGCGGATTCCACGTTCACGTGGGGCACGGCGGCATACCGCTCAAGCTACGGCCCGTCCAGCGCATCGCAAGCTTGCTATGGGTCGCCGAGCACCTCCTTAATACCGTTCATGCGGGCTGTCGTCTCGGCAACAATCAGTGTCTCGATCTGAGACGAACAAGCCATCTCGGCCCTGTGCCGGCTCTCGAGAATTCAGGAGAAGCTGATACGTCGGAAAGGCCAAAGAAACCCGACGAGTTGAAAGCTTTACAGCATGCTGAGCTCTCCTGGGATCGAGTCGACAAGAACAGAGAGAAACCGACGCACTGGCCTACTATGCGTCGTATAAGCTTGTCCGAGAACACGCCGTCCCGTTCTATCGCCCTAAACTACTGGATCCAGCATTATGCGCCTGACGCAAAGTTGACACAACTCGATATAACAAACGGCGTTCAAAAGATCTTCCGCGCCACTGACACCGCCTCTATCGCGAAGCTGATGTCCCCCGCCTCTACTCGTGGGGCATATAACTTCGTCAACCTGATCACTACAGTAGAAGACTTTGACGGCAGCTTCAAAGAGCTGAAGACGAAGCCCACAATTGAGTTCCGACAAGCCGCGGGGACTCTCGACGAAGACTGGATCATCGTGTGGTCTAAGATCTGCCTCGCGCTGTGCGGGCCCGCCGTCGTCGAGTCCTCCGATGATACATTCTTTCAGCTGCTGTACGATTGTATCAAATCTGAGAAGTCCCGGCACAAGTATAATGTCTTTGACTTGCTGTCCGACATAGGTGTCAAGGAACATGATATCTCCATCGTTCAGGACCGACTTCAAAGTGGCCGACATGAACGAGAGCCGGTGCTACCCTTCCACCGACCTGACGATCGGCCGAACGGCATCCTAGATGAGGGTATTGGGATGGCTTGGCACCAGCAGACTTCACCTTGGCAGGATGCTGGATGGGAGAGCGATGAGGAAGAGGAGGAGGAGGAAAAGGAAGAAAGGAATAATGAGACACCATCACTGGAGGAGGATTATTCTGAGGAGGAGCACGATAGTTGGACCGATTCAGTCGTTAAGAGCGACGAATACGAGCCAACTAGTTGTTGGGTCGAGGATGTTGAACACGATGACATCCAAAGCTCAAAGAGTGATGACGACGATTGGGATGCGTATATAAAGAAGATGGAGCAGCACTCGCTTGGGTTGGATATAAAATGGTAAAGACACATATTGGGTATAATTGATCCGGTCATTTCCAGGCATCATTGGATATAGCATGTTGGCATTTCTTCTGACGCGATCATGTTTAAACTAGCGTGGAAGATGAGCTGGTGAAGTATGTTCAGTTTATACATATATACCTATATATATACTAGACGAAGCGCATCCACCTAATGTAATGAAGCTGAACAAGTAGGATCCTCTCTAACTTCGTCACTGGCGTCTGATGTAATTTCTCGCATAGTGACTGTCTAACAGCTCGAAGCTCCGTTGCCAGTAAAAGTGCCCTGTTTATACATGCCGCCAGCATCATCAAGACACTCAGCTAGACGTGCAATGAAAGTCAGCACAAACTCACAAACAACAAGCAATCGGTCTAGAAAAGACGCAATCAACAAGAGCTTAAACATACCAACTGTGACAATCTTCAGATTGTTTGTCTTAGCCCAGTTGATAAGCCAATTCGTAAGCGTCGTGACAGTAGACTGATACGTCTCGTGCATCAACGGGATGTGACCCTGGCCGCCGGCCCCAGCGCGCGTGAACATGGCCTCACTCGAGCTGGGGGACTGGTTGTTCCAGTCTCCTGTGTCGATGTCGTCGTTGATGACGGTGTAGTTCATCTGCCTCATGACATTGAGGAACTGGCCGCCGGTCTCGAGGTACGGCGGGCGCACGTAAGCTGGCTTGCGGCCGAAGATGTTCACGAAGGCCTGCTCGACCTTCTCCATCTCGCTCTGGATTGCGCCGGCGCTCATAGAGCCCATATGTGGGTGTGTCCTGAGAAAGAAAGAAAAAGATGTCTTAGCGGGTATATCTGCTGTCATCTCTTTAAGTGTTCGTCTCGCGAACTGGCCCTCTGCTTCTCGATTGATCCAAATCATGGACAAACTCACCACGTGTGACTAGCAACCTGATCTATACCATACCGTTAGATCCAGCAGAAACTCCAAACTCAGAATCGGGAACACTTACGCCCATTATCGTACGCCTTCTTAACAGCAGCTCGCTGATTATAGATGCATCCACTATCACCCCCTTCAGTATCAGCAACCCCAGATCTTTCTCATTTCTCTCCAAAGCTTACTTACTACAGTGTACCAGTGAAGAAGAAAGTCCCCTTGACGCCAGCGGTATTCAGCGTATCGACAAGAGACGAGGTATACTGGTACGGCCCATCATCGTACGCGAGCGCCAACACGCCGGACTTGGAGCACTTCGTAATGACACTGCCAGCAACATGCGTGCGCTTCATGACCTCTATAGGATTCGGGACGGCGCGCGCCCAGACGCCGGCCGCCGAGGCCAGGGCAGTAACAGCGTATGCGAAGAGCATCTTCAAGGATAACCGTAGCGTATCGCCTGTAAGATCGACTATTGGTGTTCGCGGGTTTACCTTTGCGTAGGGACGGAGATATCCTGGTTCACGCTCGTACATATATATACGTGCCTTAATGCACGCCTTCCCAGGCGCGCTCCGGCTCAACCATCCTCAAACTGAAAGGAATACCCACTTTCCGTCAGTCCACGCGGCTACACGATATATTTGGCCGAGATTGCCTTGACTCCCAGACGACTAGTCCTGCCATGTAGTCTCGGGCCAGATCAATCGCAGGCTCAGGCGACTTCGCAACTGGTGGAGAGAAAAAAATTAGAGAGAGCACGTTTAATCTGACTTTCCACGAGCCCGGCTTGGCGGTTTGGTTTGGGGCATCTACTTACACCATGTTAATTACCAGGTCCCTGCATCAGGGCACTCAAAGCTAAAGCAAGGCATTTAGCCGCGCAGGCTGTCGTTACCTGAAGCGGACCGGAAGGAACGTGATCCTACGTAGAGCGAAAATCTACTGATATATCCATCAACGTAACCTAGCTGGCTGCTTATACTATTCATATTGTAAGCCACAACTGGGGAACCGAGAGTGAACTACATGAGTTGAAGGCGTCTCAAATAAATCGTAGAATATATTGTAATTATTTTATACAACTAAATATGCATATCCGGCTAAAATCCGAATTCACCGTTAATAACTAAAATATCTGTATGTGTAATCGATATGTATGCTGCGTCTTGGGAAATGCAAGAGAATGTTTCTTGATGAGAATTGCCCATCATCAACGCGATGATCAAAACCATGATCCAATCCCACCTGTTCCAAAATAACCGCAAAACGCCTTATAATTATCATGATACGAGCGTAACGCAACGTGACAGTGCAATATTCTAAAAATTTTCGGGGTTTGTGCTTTCAAACATCCAACATACTCCTGATCTGTTGTGGAGGTGCAGTAATGGACATGCCACTAGCTGTGCTTGAGCTCCTTAACTCAGTAGGCCGCCGAGAAGCCTGAGTCTGAGACTCTAGCTCCCGACCCCTGTTGTCAGCGGGAGGCGGAGGTGGATTGCCAGCGTTTGGGAAGAGGAGACTGGCGGCTGCCTGCACGGTCCGCTCGTTCCTCCGCGGGCCTGGCTTGCCGGAGGGAGCGTAAGGGGGTGGTGCCGTGTTACTTGCAACGCTCGGCGACCTGTGGATCGAGCTCATCTCGATTGCGTTAGTTGTGGAAGCGCCTTCTGCATTCTCAGCTCTTTGTTCAGCCATTTCCTGAATACGCTGACCGCCTCGTACTTCCCGCACGTTGCGAAAAAGCTGATCTCGCATGGCGTCACCAGTGCTCGGCTCACGATTAAGTCGCCGCCACCAAGCCGGCTTATGAGTGATGCCAAGCTCCTGGTCAAGCTGATTGCCTCTTGCGCGTCGCTGGCGGATGAGTTCTTTATCCTCATTAGGCCGCAAGAATCCGGACACACAGAGAATTATGACGAGGAGGAGGCCCGGAAGATAGCCCCCAACATACATAGCAACAAGGTTGGTGTCTTTCTTGAGAGGCGAATAATCAAAGTCCCATGCAGCCAGGGCTTGATAAGCGACGACAACCAAGGCAAGTGGAATCATGAGTAGGAAGCGGAAAGGAACGTAACGAATGAACCCGATGACTCTGTTTAGCAGACCGCGATTTCGGGCTTCGTAATGCCGAACCGAGTGCCACAGGGATACCAGAATCGTCAACCAACTAATAAACAAGAGAAATGGTGCGACCTTGAAACGAGCATCAGTGGAGGCGGGCTTGCCCTTTGCGGCAGTCTGCTCGGGCGAACGCTGAAGTTCAACGGCACCCCAGTTTCTTGGGATTACGACAAAGAAGTCCTATTTCTATTAGCGACCTGGTATCAATCTTGGGGATCGAAAATCTTACCAGCCACCACCACAGATAGAAGAACAAGGGCAACCAGAATTCGAATGTGCCTCTTCTATCAGTTTGATGGAGCACAAATGGGTTGGGATCAATGAATTGTCTCTCCATCCAACTGCCCCAATGACGGACTGCCTCCCATACCAATGCCAGAGAACCCATGTTCATCAGAAACCAGAAAAATACGTTGAGTACAATTGGCAACTCTAGTACACGGTAGCGATCTACATCAATACCGGTGAAGAGTCCAATAAGGGCGGCGGTACACACCCACAGCGCCCAATACCACTGCCAGCGCCTACCTATAGCGTAGAATCTCTTCTCTGCCGGTAGATGTAGTTTTCCATGGCGGGCGAGATTGACCAAGATGAAAACGATACACAGTCCGTATGCGACAGCGACGCCAATTCCGGCGTGGGCGCGAACGCCAGATGGCTCAGTGGCGAGGTAACACCAGGTGCTGTTGACTGATTGACGGGGTATTAGCATAGGATTCTGCGAATATGGTAGCGAGGGTTAGAACATACCAAACGTCCCATTAGAAAGTAGAAGCGGTGGTGTATATGGCTGGTCGACTAGGTAGCACCGTGACCAATTGCTCAGCGTCCAGTTTCCCTCGTAAAGCGTATAATTGAAATACTTCAACGTTGTCAGGTTGAAGTGAACATTGCCGATGACAGTGTCGGTCGCGTTGTCGCCGGGCGGCCACATGGGCGAATCGCGTGTATAGATGTTGGCCATGACAGGCGAATTTGGACGAGTTGGAGCTCGGATTTAGTTGTTACAGCGTCGGTACTGGTGCAGCATTGGTGTGTGTGGTACTCGGGAGGAAAGCCTCTGTATCGGCGGCGAATCGTTGGTTTCCAAATACAAAATACAGAGTAAATATTGGCGAAGGCGGGATAGGCAAGCAGCCGTCAGCACGCCTCTGAATACCTAATGATGATATAGAGGTTTGCTGAAGAGAAAATACCTGCGCGCGTAGACCGGCGCTCGCTCTTCTCTTCTCTTCTCTTGGTATTATTGTATGAGGCGGCGAGTAGGAAGGGTTGATTGATATTTTGGATTGAATGTTGGCGGAGCAGCTCTCCAGAGCTCACCAAGTCCACCTCCCAAGGCCGGAGCTTCGGATGACTGCGGGCGTTGCTGCTATGGAATTCTCTGCTCGAAATTCACTCAGTGACTCCACATGCGACCCAGTTATCAATTACAGAAGGCTGCGATAAGCCCTTGTCTGCCCTTGGCTCTGGGGCACGGGGCGCCGATAAGAGAGTAGCGCGACGTCATCTGCACTAGACAAGGTATGTACTTGAGCACTTGGGCACTTGGACACTTGGCTTCGGCACGCGAAGTAGGCGAGTAGGTACATATGTATGTAGGTACTGCGTGCGCGGTGTTACTGCTTGCATGGTACTTCTGCTCTATCTGTACAGGTACCTACTCCAGGTACGTATATAGGTACGAAGTACATAGTAGTACTGGCACTCCCCGGGGACCCTGGCTCTGATCCGCCCCATTTCTTATTCCCGGCATGCCTGCCAAGCGGACATGTTAAATACCGGTAGCAGACGGTACGAAACTTACTTAGATCGTGATCGTTGATTCGCCAAATTCGAAGTAAACTCGTAGTCCTTACCCTGTAAGGTTAGCTGGTATTTCCCAGAAAGAGTCCACCATCGCATGTGATGCCTGTCTCTCCAGGCTAGGTACTTAGGTACTGTCCAGGTTACAGTACCAGGAACTGAACTAACTTGGACCCGGTTTCCCGTTGCGTATGAGACACAACCAGTCAAACATCATGATTGTTCTGGGCCAAAGGATGTGATACTTTGCGAATCACGAGGCCAGGGCTTCAAACCAGCAGATATTGCGCATATACACCCGCTGCCTACTATGTAACATATTCATCTCTGTATCCAACGAAATATGTATTTCCGCCGGTCCGACTCGCGTCCCATTGAAGGCCATTGGTTAGGACCTCATAGAACAAATGGCGTTTTCGGTAATTAGTTAGAGACGCTTACAACATCCGCCAGTGACTTCACGTCTTGTTGAATTTTCACAGCCTCACAATGTGTGACGGACCTCGTGAAATAAGCACTGAGCTTGTATAATCACCTATGTTCGATCCCGTTTCGTATGGAGCCCAAGGTTCCGTCTAAGCTTCGCAGGGATCGAACAGACCCTTAGTCATTAGAACCAACAGAGGCCCCTAGTGATAACGAGATCCTAACACTACCACTCAAGAGCGGGAGTAGGGAAGGGATATTAGCATCGTCATAAGATTCTGCCCGCTGAAACCATCGGCCTCGTAAGCGAAGATGCGGCTCCCCTTCGGCGCGTCATGACTACCCGCGCGAATGGCCCCCGCCAACATCGTGCATCTTTGCCGCGAGGCCTTCGGGTGCGTTTCCTAGCTTGTCCGTAATGGCTGCCATGGCCTCGAGGTTCCGCGACAACATCATATTGAAGGAATCTAGAAGTCGGGGATAGCGGCGTCATCGCAAGGGCGGAACGGCGCGCGAATCTACTGTTACGGCCTGAATCCACAGGAACTTGCCGAAGAATTTCACATCGCCTGTCGACGTGGAATTATATTATTTGACAGTTACAGGAAGGCGCCGAAGTCGTTTGAGCTCAACTTGCGTGAGAGAATGATGCTGCGCTCATGGCGGCGGCAAGAAGACGTTGCAGTATGGATAGAAGATGAGACAGCGCGCCCGAAGACAGCGAGGCGATGTCGTCGATCTTGCTTGAGTATGCTCCAGTTCCTCTTCCGTTTTGTTTCCATCATGACCGCGCTATTTTACCGCGGTGTCGGCCGTATTTGCGTTTGTAGCTATAAACAGACGGGGGAGACCGGGCGTGAAGTTGAACGTCCAACAGCCCGGCTCCGGACGCTAGTAGGAGAGCGCATAGACGCCCTTCGAACAAGACTCATGTTGACGTTGCGAGTAGCTCAGTAGCTGGAAGTTGGAACAGGTGATACCGGCCACAGGTCGAACCAGACCAGCGGTCGTCACTACATGTACAGCGGCAGCATGGTTCCGCCCATACGTCTCTCATCACATAAGAGTCGACGCAGAAGAGGGATGAAGCGAAGAAAGTACCGGATCGAGTGTATTCTTCTTTCGAGGTACGATCGTCCACACTCCGTCCCGATCAATGTGGCAAGGTCTGCACCTTCAGGGCTGATGGTTCATGATACCCCGGCACCATCAAGCGCAAGACACATGCTATCTTCCACTTAAATGCTTACTATGTCGATCAGCCGTGAGACGACCCTGCTCTAATGCAACGAAAATAATACGAGACCTGTAGGAATGTTTTTATGAGGGTCTGTTTTATGATTCTCTCAGGTATTTGGTTTGCTCTCCTTTTGGTAATTTGGTATTTTACAGCCTGAGTGTGGTGTTTTCTCTGACCCCTCTGCCCGCATGGGTCCGTATGGGTCCGCATGCGTTTGTGATCGCCTGCATACCATTTCCAGAAGCCGTTACTAAATGCTTTACCGAAGACGCCAAGCAGAAGGCCAAGCTACCTAGTCTTAAGCACGTCAGCTAGAGCGATGCCGTCTAATTCTTTACGTCTGGTAGTGGTAGTCAGGTGTGTCAAAGATCCGCTGCTACGGCATTGGTCTACCTAGTAGAGCTTCGGCACAGACATTGAACTTTACCTTTACTAGTGCCGTGCAACATGCTTAGTTGGCGGCATTAGAAGCGAAATGAATCCAACCGATTGAGTTCAATGTATGGAAGGATGCAATTTACATGTTGCGACACAGCGTCTTAGCTGTGCGACGAGTCTCAGAGCGAGCGCTGCTCGGCCCATTGGACTTTTCCATCTTGAAGTATCACTGATCACTAGTTACCTGAGTCACTTTGTGAAAAATAAGATGTGTTACAAACGACACACTTAGGTGGTACTGAGGATCCATGTGAATGTCGTGCCCTTCTACTAAATAGTGTTAGTGTTCCCAAACACATGGTTTGCGTTGCAAGCGGACTCCCAGGTCCATACAGATAGGTTGTCATCCCTGTAGACGTCTCCTATTCCAGAAGACAGTAGGTACGGTAACGGATATAAAGAGACGCATGTAGCTTCTGTAGTGTCAACACCCATTATCGTGCTAACTGGGGCCCGTATCACAAGGCTACCGTGATGAACCGGCAACATGTGTCAAACTCATGTAACCATGAGATACCGGGCTGTTAATAGCCTGATCTTGTGAATGATTAACACAGGCAAATGTTTATCCAATGTATTTCAGTTGTAATCGCCATCTTGATCCAGGTATCAGAGAGCATGCTCGATTCATATTGCATTCGAGCATCCTTCAATTGGTGAGGTCCGCCTATCTCGTTCCGAGGAATGGAAACTGGCTAGGCGATTCGATTACTTTCCACGATCTCTTGTCCTAGCTTCGGAATTGGGCGCCTTGCGTGTGTATAGATTGCTATCAACGATTGATATTCGATCGTGAGATGCTGCCACCCAAGGATATCCGGTCCGCAATCTCAACAAAGCTTCGTAGCGTTTTCCTCCATCGTCAGCACGTGAGAATCGTAGGTTCCGGCTATCTATGTAGCAAAAAGGCCAGGCCAAGCAAGAACTGGCTAGAGATTAACTAAGCCTCGACCAAGGTCGTGAGAGTTGCAGATGAACATTTCGGATATAGCGGTTTTACGGCGTCGCCGTTCTCTACGAACTGATCAGCCGCTAGGAAACACGGATTAATGCCTCCAGAAGACAAACTACTGATAGTGATGGATACACGGCGTGGAGGCTGGCCTGATCGTCGCCCAAGGACAGGAGTTTAGGTTATCTCGGACATAGCTCCGGTTGCTGCTAGGCATCAACTGCTTGCTTAGCACTTCCCATGCTCATTGACGCGAAATGCGGCGCATTGTGGAAGCGGCAGCGAGGGGGATGGAGTGGCAAACTGTCTCCATCGTTGGAGCTATCGATGCAGGTTAACCTCGCGGGCCCTGAAGATCGCAAACCGAGCAACCTTGGTCCTTTTTATAGATGATTGCGAATTTCGAGATTTGCCTTATAAAATATGGTTTTAGTTGTCTTGTTTTTTTGGCATTGGCCACTGGGGAATGTGGGCAGCAAGAAGTTCCGTTGGAGACTCGCCACCACCCGACTAAGTGATCGGCAATCTGGTTGCTGGAGCCTCAGGGTCTGCTCACGCCTCAGGGTCCAGCGATCCATTTTTGTGGCACGTGTTAGACATAGCCAAGCGCCATGGCTACGTGCAGACTACGTGTAAATATCCGAAACGGAGCTCTTTGAAAGAGGAGAGCAGCGACAGCAGGAAGTAAATACACAGGTACTGCACAGGCTCGGCAGGCAACTATACTTGCTGAAGCGTACCCATCCCTTGACAGGTCAGACAGGTTGAGAGGTGTATGTAAACCTCAACATGATAGGTACTGCACGTAAGAGCATGACACTTGCGCTGATGTTGCTAACTAGCTGCAAGTTTGCCCAGGGTTCTACCCAGACTGGGATCTCTCCACACTCTTATCCACCGACCAATTGGCGACAAGGCTTACCTACGCAACATATCAGGTGTTGTCGATTCCCTCTCATATCACGATCTCGAAGCCGGCGCCCAATGCGGTAGCCCCGGTCAGTTCGCCGGCAAAGCACCCAACGAGCAACCAGGAGCGGTAGAGAGGCATAAAGAGTCGTCGTGATAGAATTGCCAAAGGAGGCATTGCCGTCAATTGTTGCTATCATGCATCTTAGGTACGCTTTCAATGCGCATGCTTGGTGGTTCAGCACCTACCTATGTGTACCTAGTAGAGGTGTATTAGTACGACATACTTACAGTATATTCAGGGTACATGGTATGAGATATTACTACACATATCGCCTTCCGTGCTGTACATAGTGTGTAAGGTACTACATGCTGTATAGTGAGATATTTTAGATACTGGTAGATGGTGAAATAGTCGGTGGTAACGATAGCAAATGCCAATATCAAAAGACTTGCTTACCGCATTGTTTCCCTCGCGCGCATATCTCTACTATGGAAGTAAGTACTGTACACTAATCCCATAGTCTGCCCACAGATTCGGAAAGCAAGAGCAGACGCTAATAATGCGTATAATCTATAAAAGCACAATATCTGCAAGGCTGTCGTGGGATTTTGAGGTACGCTTCGATGTTGATCAGTTTCAAAGCCGTTTTGCCACTCAACAAACCCCTGTCCAGTCTGCCCTGTCCACAGCTATAATCTGGAGAATTGTTCTACATACCTACCTACTTACTAAAGAATCCCTGTCTGTACAGCAAGTCGGAGCAGTAGGTATCTGAGTCTGTCTGAGCAGAGTCTGAGCAAGCTTTTAGCGTGACGCTAGCAGTTGTCATCTCATCCCATGCTTGGAATGGTAGGCGAGTAGGTAACCTCAAGTTTGCTCGAGCAGACTCGAGCAACATCAAAATCATCTGCACGTTGGTAGCGCGCGGTTTTGGTGGTAACTACCTCAGTGTGTTCATAGTGTGTGAAAGATTACTTCGGCTACGTGCGTAGATGACCATAGATGGACATAGATGGACATAGGCGTAGGTGATATCATTTATACATACTTCGTAGGTATTACGCATAATTATCATTTAATCTCGATATTTCCCACCACGCCGGTTCTCTCCGGGCTCCGAGCATTACTACTACCTACCGGTACACTGTCGGGGTAACAAGGAAGATCTTACGACCACTTCCTGTATATTTCAACTGTCCTGTGCACGAGACAGACAGACAGAGTGTGCGAGAGTGTGGTAGGTATGTGTACACGTGCCAATATTTCGGCAAAAAACCTACCGGGTCTTACTCAACCGACCCGTGGGCCATGTGTACGAAGTAAGTATTGGAAGCTCATCGACCTCTACTAATACATACTTAGGTAACTACATACTTAATACATAATAGTGTGCTACCTCTTACTTACTACCAGTAGTACCTATGTAGGCATTGAAGGGTGTCAAATGTACATGTTAGAAACCACTTACTCTTCGTCGCGACAGTACTTGGTGCCAGGGCAGACCAGGGCAAGTCGAACACTTTAATTAGTATCGTTCGCAGTAGGCAGTGTACTCGCCATTTCAGTATCCGTTTTGTCTTAGTTACGGCCAGCGCTGTATCTACGAAGTACTATGTAGTCGACCGTATCCAGCCAGAATCCAGTTACCAAGAAGACGCAGGTCTTACGTAGTGTGCGCAAGACTGGAATCTCTGGCTGGGTCTGACTGGGTCTGACTGGGATGCAACCTCGGCGGAGAGTGTCACTCCTCTGTCCACTGCTTCCCGACCAGAGAGACTGCTCCGAGTACATATGTAGTACTCGACTGCTCGACTGCAAAGACCCTTCGCGCGCAAGGAACACCAACCGGCATGACGACGACGCTGTCTTGGTGCCCCATGGCTGGCACGACCATGCAGTGGCTGTGGAGCTGGACCCTGGATCGCCGCCTCTTCGGCCACATGCAGTTAGGCCCGTGGGCAGCCAGTCTCGCCAGTGGACAGCCAGTGGACTGCTAGTGGACTGCTAGTGGGCTGCCAGTGGACTCGCGGGGCCACTCGGCACGCACTATAAGAAGGTACGTACTCACCACCGCCTGTCGATGCAGAGTCTGTCTCTCGATCTCGAGAACCCTCGCTCCACACAAACAAGGGTCGTCGCATCGGGATCGAGCTTTGCATCTCATCTTCCACCTCTCGGCCCTCGATGCGATTCCCTCGTCGCCCGCACCCTCACCACCAGAGAGAGTCACCTCCCACCGGCCACCCAGCTCACAGTGCCGGCAGCCCGTACACGTCCGCTGCCGACCGCCCGAGCCTCTCTGTGATGCCCTGGAAGTCCCCTACAAGTCCCCTGCAATGCCCAGTGCCGTACTGTGACCTGCACTGCCTGCCGTCTTGTACCTGCTGAGTGCTGGCCCCTGGTGGGCGAGGGCATTCACACTTTCTCGGGTGCTTTTGCCAGTGGCCCATCTTGCCCCCTCCATCCCGTGCACCCCCGGTCTTTCGACACATTACTTATTCGTTTTCTCTACAATCTCCATGTAAATGCCAATCTCTCGATCCCCTCTTCCTCGTGTTTTCGTACTTTGCCATAATTTTGCCCAGCGACATCTTTCGTGGTCTCGACCGGGTATCCATCCACCTTCGAAAACTACAGCTGAGACAACCTCCAGCTCCTCCTTCACAAGGATCTGGTCCCTTCCTGCGTTATACCGGTAGCCTACCTAGCGATTGCAGGGTCGCCAATGACTCGGATCCGATCTTGAGAACTCTCACTTTCCTTCTCGTGATCGTGCCCACAGCTTTTTCCTATTTTACACGTATTGTATGCTTTGTTGCTGGCGCGGCCGGTTTTCCTCGTCGTCCGTCCATCCTTCTACTTGTATTATACTCACCGAGTGGTGTGTGGTATTCGATAATTATAGGAATACTCCACCACCGCTAAACATACCTTTCTTGCCTACCTATCTCCTGTATGTATGACATATGACGTCGCGTTTCCTCCTGTGACTTCTTCCTTCCTTTTTCTTCTTTCCTTGTGCCATATCAAGCACATCCTTGCACTTTTACCGAACAAGTTGTTTCAACGCTGCATCCATCCTCATTTATACCATGACCTAGCTGGTTGTCTTCACCATCTGGTTCAGTCTCACGATCCTCGCAGCTTCTAGGCTTGCTTCCACTTGTCACCTATCTACTACTGTGCTACACCTGCGGGTCACGGTCATATTTTCACGTCCTTCGAATACCATAATCAACCTGCCTATTGACTTGAACATACAGGTCAACTGTTGCATTGGCCCACGCTACCAGGGCAACATCGGATCTTCTCTGACTACGCACCACGATGTCCAATTGAATTGGAACAGTTGATTATCCCACCATTTTATATCCATGTGAAACATTTCATCAGCCATGGCAGACCCCAAGAACACGGAAGAGGGTGTCTATGTGCCACCCACCCCCACCGTCACGTATACCAACCCCAGGAGAATAGCACCTGAGAAATCTATCACCTTGCGACATCATCGTCTAGCTCGGGATTCGTCAAGACGACACCCCCCACCGACCATTCCTAATGCCCACTCGAGTGTAGCTGAACCTGAACGTCAGACGAGTATAGTTAGAAGGAATTCATCGGATGAAAGTAACGAGACAAAATGGAGCGAACCCAGACTGTGGTTCGAAGAATCGAACCAGAATGCGAAGGATACCCTTGAGACCAGCGAAATGGACATCGATCCTCCATTCTTCCAAAAGGAAACGGACTCGTCGAACGAAGAAACCAATAACCGGGTCCCGTCGCTTCCCGTGTACGGGCAGGGTCAGAGTCGGGGACCTTCATTTCGACCGAGTGTCACAAAAAGTAGCAGTGCTGATGACTACAGGAGTGTTATTGATGACCTAACTATTGAGAACAAGCGTCTTCGAGAAGAGTTGAGGAAATTTAAGCAAATGGGTCCAAATTCCTTACGAAATGATAAACTTTTCGAGGTCAAAGTACACGGCTTACCCAGCAAGAAAAAGAGGGAGCTTGAGGCTACGTTGCGAGACTTCACTACGAAGCTCGAACGCTCAAGCACTGGTGCCTCCACGAGTCGGAAACGAGCCTCGGGAAAGTCCAAGGAAGGAAACTCGTCTGGCTCGAAACACACGTCATCTACTTCGGGCTCCAACTCGAGACCTGTTGATTCGGCCTATGCATCCATGGAGACGGGACAAAGTTCCTCTAACCCTCAGCCTGGACAAGCCAGGGCTGCCCGACTCCGATCGAACCAAAATATCCAGCAATATCTACGAGATATCCCCGAAGGACTGTGGCCGAGACCCGCTAAGATGACTGATCACGAAAAGAAGAAGCTTGTGGTTAAACGGCTAGAGCACCTCTTTACAGGGAAAATGGGCCACCCGAAGGACGAGCCGGTGCCGGCGTTGATGCGTCCGCCGGCGGCTGTAACGGAAGATGTTGAAATGGAAGACAATGGTGCTAAACTCCGTACTGTTCAAGAGGCAGCGCGAGAAGCTATAATCCGAACGGGAGATTCGCGCAAAAAGACAAGTCACTCAAGCACGGGCGCTTCAGCCTCAAACACACGTACTCAGTCACAGTCTCAATCCAACGCCGACCAATCTAATTCCCGTGATAACGATAAGGATAGTGGAAGTGGAAGCGGGAGAAGTGCCAAAGAGGGCAAGAACACGTCACCGCAAGACAGCGATGAGCCATTTGAGCAGCGGCCCACCCGTCCACGTGATCTGGACCCTGATCGAAAGCAGGTCCCTGCCGACAACATGGAGTACATACGTCATTTAGGCATCGTTGCACCTGAGTCTGAGCCCTACTATTCATCCAGAGATGTGTCGCCAGACGCAGAAGGGTGGGTTTATCTTAATCTCCTGGGCAACTTAGCGCAACTCCACATACTTAATGTTACGCCCGACTTCATCCGAAGCGCCGTCTCGGAGAAGAGCACGAAGTTTCAATTGTCTCCAGACGGTCGAAAGATTCGATGGCGCGGCGGTGACGAAGGCACCAGATTTACTAGCGACAGTGGTAGCAAGTCTCAAACCTCTCGTTCAGGCGACGATTCCGAAGATGGATCAAACGAGCAAAATCAGCGAAAGAAACCAAAGGGGTCCAAATTCAACTTGGGTGTTCAGAATTCTAACTCTTCTCAAGACTTCCACTACAAGCCTCTCTTTGTGCATCACCCGACTTCCCTGCCAGATGGACAGTTGTCCAGTGTGGATGAGAGTTATTCGTCACTGGGGCAATCCGAAGATAGCAACGGCGGGATGCGTTCGCGGTGGGCCCAGAGCGGTGTTTCGCCCGAACAGTCGCAGCAACGCAAGCGACGACGGGATGGTGCCATCATTTACTACAGCGGGGCACCTTTCTGTACGGATCTCTCTGGTGACTACGGTGAGGGTGAGGTATCCGCTGACACATACGATATGACGTCATCGGATGATCAGCAGGGGCGGCTCAGGAGGGAGACGGACCCTGTGCAACTCCACCTTGTCCACCGCCCCTACGTCAATCGATCCCCTTCGGGATCTTTTATTCAAATAAAACCACTCAGCGAGCCCATGTTATGCTCGATTACCGATCATGCAGAGTCAATGTCAAGTGAGGACGACAGTGGCATTGAAGCCGACTTCTCTTGGTCAGACTCTGATCAGCAATCGCGATTAACTAATCTTGAAGCGAGCGGCCTTGGCGGTACATATCCAGACGATCACTTTGTTGTCGTCGTGTCTACTAGACGTCCCAAAAATGTCACATTCTACGACGACGACGATGATGGCGACGATGATGGCGATGCCAGCTCTGACGAAGACCGTGAGTCGCTTAAGCAGCGGCAGCCCGTCAAACGTATGAGCCATGATACCACTACTTCACGAGAAACCGCCGATTCGATTGCTAGTAGGATGGCCACGATATCAACCACATCTCCCATGGCAAAGAACAACTCTGCTCGCAGAGTCGTAAAAATCAAAATTGAGTATGTCGCTAGCGAGACGCGCCGCTTACCACCCGTGCCTCTGCCACCACCAACCTTCTTTTTCCGCTCGGGTGACTCCGAGGATACTGAAGAATACGGTCCAAGTTTGGATGACGATGTCTCCGTCTCCTCAGAAAGGAGCGTCTTGAGCAAACGACCCATGCTTGAAGGCAGCCCAGGCTCTGACAATCGTGATCTCTCCGGGAATGATGAAGAAGACGACTTCTCTGATAGTAGTCCTAGCCTTAACTTTGAAAAAAAGAAGCCTTCCAAACGACCGAGTAGGATGTCTGGAACAGGAAGCGGAGGTGTGCCTTTGTTGTCGAAAGTACACACTGGGAGTTCAGCGGCTACTGCAGGTGGTGCAGGCAGCGGCTACTACAGCTCCATGGAAGACGCCTAGTCACGCATTTTTTATTTTACTATTTCCCCCCTTTTCTGCAATATTCGCGAGTGCTACTTTTTGGGGGCGACATCTCGTCAATCTTTATGTTTGAGTGGTTTATAGTAAGACTGGTATTCGGAGTATAGCGAAGCGAATTTGGTTTTGTCACATTGGAAAGAAAGGCGCCTACGGGATTCTGAATGGAAAATCTTTTTTTTCGGTGATACCATCAATTGCACGCTGGAAAGAAAACTTGGGAAATCTGGGTGGAATGGGTAATCTTGAATCATATGACCTGTCGGTAGACTTCCATGAACAATATTTAATTCGATCCTACCAAAAATGAGCGTCCATTAATGAGAATACAATCAACTGTCTATCTGATGCTTCTCTCGCCTTGTGCGTGCGCGACTCGATTATTTGGGAGGCTTGTTGACCATTGAATTTCACTGCTAGTCGAGAAGGAGCCTCCGTGCCAGCAGAAACGGACTGCTTAATGGTTTATGCTCGCAGCCTCCCCAGCGACCTCATCCTAACCCCCCATCCTTGAAACGAACCATACTAAGTGAGGTTATGCTGTTGAGCTCGGCAGATTGCGCAGTAGTACTACTGGCTAGACCGGTCTACTAGTACCGGTAGACCATAGGTTCACAAGTGCTACGTATGGTCCGAGTTTTCGTGTTTCCAGGGTCCCTTCGGGCAACACATGTGCTATGTTACGGGCCCGGACCATGATATCATCGTTGGTATATAGTACAGGTAGCTCCTCCTCCCAGGTGAGATGCTGTCTTGGTTTCACTCGTTGGTTGGTTGGTCTCAGGTGGAAAGCAGTAGGTATTGTAAAACCCTCTGTGACCGATGAGATCCAAGGGATCGGTTACTTTACCTTGTAGGAATGTGGGTTGAAATTACCGAAGGTAAGGGAGCACGTAGGTACCGTAGTTCGTTAGCGATGGAGCTAGTCGGGCCTGGACCCTCTCGCGCACGTTTTCGGGTGTACCCGCATTTACATACAGCCCTATCGAAATCCTTCCTTGCGAACGGGGGTATGGCGTCATAGCTATGCTATGTAACCGGTGATGCGAGTTTTGTGTTTGGGTTTCACACATCTGTCTGCCTGCGAAGAACATATTTCGTCAGAAGATATGGATCGAGGAGGGCGAGGCGCTGTCAAAAAAACTAGTCCGGTTCACCAACACCACCCACCTACACCTTCAACAGCCGTTTTTTAACCCGTTTTTGGAGTTATTCAAACCTATTCTGACCTATTCTTGTCAGATTTTTAACGCTTGTGATAGGTGTGTTATACGCTTAATTAAAGGTGTAGAAGGTGTTTTTTTATGTTGTGTTTTACCTTGCTACCAGCATTTCTAAAGCTATATTTTATAATGTAGGTGGACCGGACTAGTTTTTTTAACAGCGCCTCGGAGGGGATGTGAAGATTGATGGAGGGAGAAGGAAAAGAACGGAGTTCGATCGTGATCAATCTGGTATTATGTATACTTGTATACTTGCGTGGGTAGGTATTGATCTCTAGCATTTCGTACTCTAATGTGTGTGTGAGTGGTTGGGAGAGATGGTCTTGCATGAGGTAGAATAGAGGCTTGGACTTCTACAGATCATCTAACTATGATAGGGGAAGAGGTTCTAGAATTGACGATGGTGACGCCAATGGCTCCTGCGAGACGTTAGGATTTTCGTGCCTTTGATTTATCGCATCGATGAGGTAAGTCTCAGATATGTGCATACACCAATCTCGGTTCGGGAGCCATTGTGGTTTTTATATGCGCCTGAGTAACAAGCCACATTATGTGAGAAGCGCTAGTTTGAAAACACGCGAGAGGGAATTCATTGACAATTTAAAGAACTGTTACGCAAATGTAGGTATTAGGGGCAGAGACAAGTCGAAGAGGAGTTGATTTTATGGAAATCTGTCGGTTCCATAAGGGCACCCTGTGAGCTGGAAGTTAGTGTAGACGAGTTGAAGTAGTGCATATATGGGATAATTACAGAAGAGGCAGGGGAGTTATCTTGCCGTGATATCAGCATGTGACCCATGCATGCCAAAGATATGCATATCTCTCACGATCTAAGAGGCGAGCACAAAGGTTTAAACCAAGCGACGAGTGATGGCTTTCGCTGGCCATATCAACAGATAGGTCTAAGAGCGAGAAAACACATCGATTCTTCGAAGCTTCACTTGAGACGGTACGAGTTACTAGACTTAACACAAGTTATACTATCACCGATAACGAGGCCATTCATGCACCTCGTACTCACACACCGCGATCGAGTGGCAAGGCGTCGAAGGATAAAGGGGCAAGGCAATAGCTTGTTTACTCGCGCGCTAACGCAGTGGCTTGTCTCCAACTGGAACCGCATAGCGACGGAAATAGACTGATGTCACACAGCTCGTAAAGACCAACATTTCCGTATGTATGTCTCGGGCTGCTTCTATACCCTTAGATAAGTCGGTGAATATGTTCGCCGCCTTAGGTGCGTCGCAGGACGGGCCGCGGACGATGATAGAAGTGGAAAATCCGACTTAGAAGATGCTATGTTCGCATTGCATATGTATATGCATTCACCCGAATCATATAACTACTCTCTGTGGTCCGCATCCCGCGTCCCGCCGGGGTATCATCTATATTAAGTACCTATGATTCTGCCTCGCAATATCTGCATGTCTCAGGACTTTCACAAGATGCACGAGGTTTTTACCAGGTAGTAACCTAATCAATAGCTCTAATAATTGCAGTTTTATTGCTAATCCCACGAGCCTGTACCGTCCCACCAGGCTGGAGGGCAGACATCTAAGCCTCACTTGAGATAGCGTACCAGGAAGGCCATCTTGTTCCCACATTGCGGTCAGGAGCTTGCGCTGAGCGTAGGGTTTATTCTCTTTAACGTTGGTTATTAGATGAAAAGTTCGACTTACGTGATCTAGTCCTTCTGTTACTAGGATACAGTTTTATGCTTTATTAGTTCATTGGAATCAAGTATGTGAAAGACTATACAAGCGACTACACAGACGGAGATAGCCTTGAGCTGTAGACGAGGCGCTCAGAAAGGCAACCATGTTGTAAGCCCTCTGCATCTCGTCTCAAAGCTCTTTGGTTCCAACAATTCACACGCACATGATCTCTCACGAGTAGCACACGAGTATGTTGTGCTGCCAAGCCTGCAGTTCACCAACAGACCTTTTCCGATGCAGGACTCTGAAACCCCTACCTACCAACCCTACCTAGAATAACGTATTCTTTAGCGGAGCCTTAGGAGCTTTCTTCAAAACCAATAAACTACGCCTGTTTTCAATAACGTTAGAGCTGTTATGGAATATCCATGCTAGCTCTTCCGCTGGTTGCCGAGTTGTGGCGGCTGTGACCGAGACTATCTCAAGTCGTTGCTAGCTTGACGATCGTCTAGCGGCGGTAAATTGGTGATCTTGATTGGGCGCCTAGCGCCCCCCAAGAAGAAGCCCCTCGGCCCCAAAGGATGCCGCAGAGCAGAAAGCCTTCTCAAGTGCCCAACGCATCAGGATGGGTCCTGTTGGTGAAAAGAAGGATTTGTCCTGCAGAATGTGTGGGCTGAAAGAGCATTTTCCTACTGTGTCGTTGTAAGAACGCCTAGTTGCCTAGAAATGGCCGGCGGCCGCCAGCCGCAACAGGGGTTGAGTCCCATCTCCTGCACCCTGCGATTGGGTAGCCGGCTGGAGGGTTGCATTCTGGTTGATGCTGTTAGTTCCAGGTTTGCGATCGGGCAGAAGTAGACAGAGAGGACATGCTAGGCGTGGCGTAGGCATCATCTAAATAGTCTGCTGAGGTCTCCTTTCCCTAAAGCTCATACTTTTTCTCTTAGCTTGCTAACCATGTCTTTTGATGGTTGAGATGGACATCTTCTCATATCTTGGATGATTTCGTTGGCTACCCCCCTACTCAATATTTGGGCTTCGACAAGATGCGATTACTGCACGTGAAGGATAAGAAATTGAAAGATTTCATAGGCCAATCTATACCCCAATATGTCATACTATCGCATTGTTGGCGACCGAGAGGCGATGAGATCCTCTATGAGGATGTTGTGTACTCGGAACCAAAGATCTGGAAGAAAAAGAAGAAAAAGGCAGCTGAAAAGGTGATCAAGGCTTGTGCGGTGGCCAGTCATCTTGGATATGAGTACGTCTGGATTGACACTTGCTGCATCGACAAGCGGAGTAGCTCAGAGCTGTCAGAGGCAATCAACTCTATGTACCTATGGTACAGGAATTCCGATAAATGCATTGCATTCCTAGATGACATCAAGGTACTTGAAGACATTGGCAAAAGTCGGTGGTTTACTCGTGGCTGGACACTCCAGGAGCTCATTGCGCCTGACAACGTGCGGTTCTATAACAAAGACTGGTCCTATATTGGCGATAGGTTTGCAATGGCCAAGACAATATCAGGGATTACTAGGATCGACGAGGTAGTATTAAGACACGGACACAATCCCGAACTGGAAAACTGGGATGATCACAACTACTGGGAAGACGGCGTTCACCACATATGTAACTGTGGCATCAACAGCTTCGACTCAGACAGACTTCGAGGGGTACTTGAAACCTTTAGCGTTGCCACAATCATGTCATGGGCTGCTGGTCGTGAAACATCGCGAGAGGAAGACATAGCCTACTGTCTGAGTACGCTGCCCCAGATACCCATGACAAGACCATTGTGCTGTTCTCAACGCCCAACACAGTATATGGATGAACCCTATTGGCTGACTTGCAAATTTGCAGTGGGACTATTTGACGTAAACATGCCTTTATTGTATGGCGAGAAAGGCAAAGCCTTCCTACGTTTGCAGGAAGAAATCATTCGACGAACCAATGACCAGTCCATCCTTGCCTGGTGCTCAACAAAGACGGAGGGTATGGCCTGGTTTCACGGACGAGATCTGGCCAGTAGTCCAAATGACTTCGCTCACATCGGTATCAAGAAGAAATGGTCACTGGAAGATCCTATTTATGATGATAAGTCGAGGCGCGAGATCAACATGACTAAGGAGGGCTTGGAAGCAGAACTGCTTTGTTTTCCGCTCGCTCCCGGAAACCAGTTTAGCGAGGAGAATGAGTGCTACCTGGCGGTGCTGGACTGCACACTTGGCGATAACCCATTAGCCAAGCCAGCTATTGTCATAGAGAAACCTCCGTGGGGTGCTGCTAACATGTTCACTAAAAACTTATGCTTCATGCTCTTGGTCATGACGCCAGGAGACTCGGATTCCCCCGATAACACTGTTTCCAAGGGTGTCGTAAGGATAGCTGCTTACACATTTGATGGTGAGTCATTACCTGCATGAAACGAAACTTAAGAGCTCACAATTTTCATTAGGCCCAGATATGTTCAAGTCAATGGAATATGAAAAGCAAATCTTTCGACAGGAATTTGACTTGAACGAGGGTGTGGTAAGAAAACTTACTCTCTCGCGGATCTTGCTTCGCCGAGGCACGCACTCGCGGAACCGATTTACTATACCACCAATTCGAGCCGAAAATATTGTGGATTGCGATGCTGGCGAATATTCTGTGGACTATGCATTACCTGAATTCGACCAGTCTGACAATGTAGCAGCACCTAACAACGAGCATTACGGCCTGGCTTTGCTGAGGAAACAAGAATCTCCGCAGTTCTATATTTTTTGGGGCCTAAAAATATTCGTCAAAGACGAAGGTGCTAGGTACGAAAGGGAGGATTTATGGTGCAAGGTCATACCAGCTGATGATGAAGAGACGACCAAGGTCTTTGCCTCTGTTAAGGAATGGTGCTACCACCAACGGGCGGAGAGTACGAGTATGCGACACGACATGCTAGATTGGGCCATAACGTCGGAGAAGAGGTTTTGGGGTGTCAGCGAAGTCGATAGAGCAGTGTTGCATATCGGTGAGCTACGCCGTGAAGTCGTGGTTGAGATAAGACGTAGTCGCTTCTTGCAAGAGGCGTTTCTTAATCTCACAGTTCATGTGAAGCTACCCCCTCAAAGGAGTCAAACGGTATAAGTCGAGATAATAGATGAATATATGTGTTACGATATCCAGTAATTGAGATACAAAACCCCTAAATCTTTGGAAACATTATCATCCGAGAATGAGAAAGTTCGAGCTGGATGTGGTAGATTGGTGTCTTTACCTACTAGGTAGATTATGTTTGTGACCAGCCCCACATGGGTAACACAACCACTTGTGACCGAGTGTCAAGCCACCTTTTTTGCTAGCTGCCCCTCCATGCATTCCTCAAACATGTCAACACGCATCTAGTCTACACAGCACCACGAATCTTGCGTTCCTAACCTATCCTTTTTACGCCTTGTCCTGAAATACCAAACTGCCCTAGTCATTCTCTATAGTATCGGTAGCCCATTGGCGGGAGGCACGCCTTACCGGGTTTTGCCATGCCTGATCAAGCTGGACAGGCAGTAGCCGAGTATGTTTCCTATGATGACTCCGTCAGTTTCGCATGTGGGCTGACATCGTGTGTCTAAAACCAGGAAGGCATCGGCGCCCACTAACCCTCGAGGGATTCCTTGTGCACCGTTTGTCGACAAAGTTGAGGATTATGTTTCGTCACGCCAAGAAGTCGAGGCAACCCTGCGCAACTTCCAGGAAATGATTTCGTATGCCCTCTCCTCCCCCGGATACCGAACTTTGACCCGACTCAAGGGTTGATAGCTGCGTGATGGCATATTCAAATTGGCGAAAGAGGGGATGAGAGAGCGGACCAGAGCGTTGGGCTGACAATGGAGTATGTCTTAGGAAATATCAATTTATGGAGTTGAACCTGCAACGGAGAATCGCCGGTCTGAAGGATAAGATGCCCGATATACAAAAGACTTTGGACACTGTCCGCTTCCTCAAAACGAGAACAGTACGATACCTCCTTGAATTCCCAGAAAACATATGATATCTGACACAGCACGCGGTAGAACGATTCAGACCCAATTGACACAACCTTTGAACTCAACGACACACTTTACGCCAAGGCGACAATACCACCCACTGACGAGGTTTATCTATGGCTAGGAGTACGTGGAAAGAGCCCATCCTTATAACACATGGCTCCAATGCGAACCGCTGACGATGAGCGTAATCCCAGGCCAACGTGATGCTGTCATATCCCCTCGATGAAGCGGAAACGCTTCTTACATCTAAATTGGCTGCCGCCAAACAAAGCCACTCTAATTGTGAGGAAGACCTAGAATTCTTGAGAGAGCAGATCACAGTAAGCATGAATCAGATTAGTTGCGCTCGTGCTTTGACTGACTTGGTGTGACCAGACAATGGAGGTCGCGATAGCCCGCGTATACAATTGGGATGTGGTACAAAAAAGAAAGGAGAAAGCCGAGGAGGATCGCAAAGGGACGGGGTCGAAAGATGGAGATGACCAACCTAATGGATGACACAGCGGAGACCTACGCGGCCCGAGGAAATTGGGATCACGATTTAATAGATGAGATAGCAAGACATTAAGGGGGAGCATCTCGTCAGCCAATTACCCAACTGTATCTTAATCATGGGCGGGAGGTACGAAAGCAGCTTCATTATGTCATACGGTACTGTAGGCAACAGATCGACCTAATGTTAGCACGACCTATGATATCCTGCAACTAATTTTGACACAGATAGAAATCAGTCAACTCTTATTACATACAGGTGCACGCTGAACAGATATGGACACTAATATATATAGAAAATTGAATTATATCAGCAGAAGACCGGGAGTAGAATAAGCTCATAACCACAGTGGCGGATTGTACTATAACCCCGCATATGAAAAAGCCCCGGAACGGCCATCTTGCCCCGGGGGCAGGATGCCGGTACAAGTACCACGTTTCTTATCCGCTCCCATGGAAGAAAAGTAAGCGGCAATTCCGCAACATCCCTCTGTAGGTAGGTATTGTAGACGCCTGCCTACATGTACATAGTAGTAATTATAAGTACCTCGTATCACCTCGACTAAAGCTACTGGCTAAGAAATGCGTTTGGATACGTGTGGAATGACGGTGAACCAATATCCTCATTTCCCATTCTAAACCCCCTATCGAGGAATCCACCTAGCTAGTCAACCATAACTTAGTGTGCCTGTGGCCAAGGTGATACCTAAGGCTAAGTAGATCGTGACCTCGGAGTCTGCTGCACGATGCATGCTTCGACAGGTACCCGGGGGTGTACACCCATGTCGCGTCAGCGGAATAACCACCTTGCCCGCCGCATGTGTCTGCATCAAAGGTCCTACTTAGTGAGGGCCTAAACTCCTTATTTCCCAGTTCGTTCTCCTTCTCCACACCCTCCCCCCCAAATACCTGCGACCTACGACCGATATTTCGAAAGTCTTCTTTTCCAGCTAGCATCATTTACCCCCTTCGCAGCTTCCTACTCTTCATATCTACTCTCCCATCAATCTCTACTCTCCTCCCCTCGCCTCACCAAACCACTGACGGCCATGTTTTCCACCGCCTCAGCCGCGGCTCCCAAGAAGCCTGAGCCCACTGAGTTGGAGCTAGATCCCAAATATGATCACTACGACTTCCCTACTACCTCTATCGAGGAACGCGAAGGCCATCCCGGTTTTGTGACCCCTACCCAACAGGCCCAGGTTCATCAATTGCGGATGATGCTTGAGAGTGAAAACTTCAAGGGAAAACTTGACACCTTGACTTTGGTATGGTGCCTGCTCGAATTCTCTCTCCTATCTTGAGACCTAGCAGTCATAATACTTGTAGCAAACATGTAATCACTAACGGCTTTGTCGAAAAGTTACGCTTCCTTCGTGCCCGAAAATTTGACGTGGTTGCTGCCAAGAAGATGTGAGGCCTTTCATATTCCGATTGCTCCTGTATTATATGAGTCTAATAATGATGGAACGTGCAGGATTCAGGAGTCGCAAGAGTGGCGACAAGCCATGACCATCGTGGAACAAGAAGACAAACAACTCGCCGGAAAGCCGAGATTACTTTCGAAGGCTAACAAGGATCCTCTCAAAAACCCTCCCCCACAACCGCTTAACATCGATGAAGAGGTCAAAATCTGGGATCACGACGGAAAATTCAAGAGAGTCTTGTCAGATTACTACACTCAGTTTTATCACAAGACAGATAAGGTTGAGATCTATCATCATATTGAGGTACCGACAGCTCTGACCAAGTACACAGGACGGACGACCATGTTATTTCGAGAAGCTCGGAGGTGTCGATTTCGCCGCACTCGAAGAGAAAGAATACACGAGCGATAAGATGATCCTTAACTTAGCTGTCGAATATGAGAGGATGGTGGATCCGCGACTACCTGCCTGTTCTCGCAAGGCTGGCCGCCTTGTCGAAACTTCATGCTCTGTCTTAGACATCGCAGGTGTAAGCATCCTCCGCCCTGGGAAGATATATAGTTATATCAGACAGACGTCGGCGATGAGCGGCAACAACTACCCTGAACGCATGGGTAAAATGTTTGTCATTAATGCGAATCGTTGGCAAAAAGGCGCCTGGACCATCGTGCAGAGCTTTCTCGACCCAGTCACCGCCTCAAAAATTAATGTCCTTACTGGCCCTGAGGCCAAGACCGAGCTACCAAAGCACATCCCGATAGAAAACTTACCGGCCAGTTTCTATGGAAAGTGCCAGTGCGAAGGAGGCTGCGAACTGAGTGATGCAGGCCCATGGCAAGATCCAGAGTTCAGACGCCCTGCCTGGTGGGAGAAGAATGATGCAGCCACCACGATTGAAAATAAGCCTACCGAGATCGAGAAAGCCACCGCTGACGGCGAGGCGCCCATAGTGGAAGACACCAAGATCGAGAGCAAGCCTATTGAGTCTGTGGAGGGCGCTGGTGCTCCTACCTCAAGCGAGGCACCGGTGACAGAGGAGACCAAGATTCCTGCATAGGTGGACAAATGTCAAGCCAAGAAGAAACGGGAAGCCCACGATTCTGGTTGTTGTGGATAACGCTTGTGATGGCGTTGATACCTCGATGCCTCGACAGGTAATTCAAGTGTATATCCCTCACTTTTTTGCCGAAGGTTACTGTTCAATGGGGAGCGAGGCGAGGTCGAACTGTTTAGATCAAAGATATATCGAAAAGGAAAGAATTGGGAAAGACGTAAATACATGGAAGGGCATAGCATAATTTTCAAAAAGGCATTATTCTCTTACATGTGTATATATCGCATGCTGACATTGCAATCTGCGAGTCAGTATGCACGCTTCGAATGTTCCATTCTTCCTTTTCACGTATGTGACAAAAGCCAAGATGGAAAAGAGGTGTCGAAGTGGGTAGGGTATCATTGAATTCCTAGCAATACATGTCACTTGGGCCCGCATGGACCAGTCGTTCATAAAACACAGATAAGTAGGTCCATCGCGCACGGCCCAGTAGCTCCCGCGTCCCACGCCATCACCGCTCCGTGATAACATATTCGCCCGCCTTCCGCGCCCTCTCCATCCGCGCGACGACAGCCGGCATCTCTTTCTTCAGACGGCCGAGTCCACGCACGGCGTCATCGAAGCTCGTCTCGACATCGTCCTGGCGCTCCAGAGGCGTGATCGCCAGCACGTTGGAAGAGCTAGCCGCTGCCTTCTTGCCATCTGTATCTGAATCAGATGGGGGCGTAGGTTTCTCGAATTGTGCCGTAGCTAGAGCATTAACTTTCTCGAGGGCCTCCTCGTCTTCCTTGACGCCTTTACGAGCCGCCTCGGCCCAAGCACCCGCAACAGCCCCCGGGACACTCTTCTTCAGACGCGCAATGTCGCGGAGGAGATCCTCTTCCTCGGCCGTGAGGGCCTCGACGCGGGCGCGCTTGCGCGCATCGAAGGGCTCGAAGACTTCTTCTGGCTCGGAGGAGGTCGTGAGAGACGCTTCGGAGAGGAATTGCGAGGGGTCTACGGGGAGGCCATTGATGGTTAGGTTCGGGGCGGCAAGACTGAAGGTCTTGATGATGTACTAGATCAATTGGTGCGTTTACGTTAGTTTTCACTGCGGAGGAGAAGTTGCGCCTCTTGATTTACTAGATAGACGAGGAAGAGAACAGAAAGGACGTTAAAACAAGAGTTTGCCTCAAGATGTAAGGGATACAAAAAGTAGGGACAGGGGAGGAGGCAAACTGTGGAGGAACGCTACACAAAGATCTTGTTGGGATGCGCTTGTGTGGGGATGGGGCGCGATGTGCAGGTCTGTATGTGGTGTTTTGCTCAAGAGGACGGACCAACGGCCTAGTGAAGGAAAATAGTAACAATAAGTAAAAATAGAACCCGCGAGGCACATAGAAGCAAGGGTCAAAAAGAACAACGGAAAATGGGAAATGCAGGGGAAAAATGCAAAAACATACAACACCAGGGATTCGCTGGTCGTCACCGACCCAACTACTAATCTGGCGGTATCTGGCTTAGCTATGGGGGAGCGGACGGGACCCCGCGTTCTCCAGATCCTATGGTCGTATGTGCTTGGAGCTTTGCTTAAACATGCATATATATCGAGCAAGGGGCTCTCCATCCCTTTCTCATTTGCTCTTCTCTCCTTCACCTCAGTCACTCGATGCCAAGACTTTGGCTGTGACGGTAGAGTAGAGGATGGAAATGCACGTGATTGGAAATGAGATTTCAGGATGCTTAAAACTGCAATTGAATGGGATGCACATAAAAAAAAGAAAAGAAAGAGAAAAGAAAAAGAAGAACCATCATACCTCGTTCACCTGCTCCTCGATCCGCGTCCGCAGCTCGTCTTCGGTGCTATCGTCGACGGGTGGGAACGCCTCGTCGATGCGGGCTGTGGCGGCGCGTCGGACGTTTGCGATCAGGTACGCGAGATCCTCGGGCGCCTGGAGTTCGATCTTGCGCGCCGAATCCATTGCTGCGCCGGGATACTGCTGATGAATAGGCTGTAATCTCCCGAGTATCTGGACGAGACCTTAGTTGTATGATTGATTGAAGCGATGCCTAAACAAGCAATCGAGATGGCTTGGTGGTTTGGTCCATGTGGTGTTTACACTGTTGCTGAATCTTGTTGACTTTTGGAGGGGTGGACTTCGATTGTTGAATGGGCCGGGGTATATTATCTTTATAAGATGTATAGAGATCCCCGTAAATGCATATTTCTGCCCATATATCGCCGACCATTTGCGATGGTGTTCTGATCTTGCACTTCGAGAAGCCTTATGCGCAGAAGATCACAGGATGATTGAAAGTCATGATAACTAAGCTCGGATTCATAAATGATATCTACGAGACCATTTGGAGCCACTCGTAAGTTCTTCATCCTCTAAATGCGTGCTACCTTCCAGGGATGTATTGAACCACTGCCCTTTATATCTGGACGGAATCTACTATGAAATTTTGAGGCCGTAACTGAATATAGCAGGCAAAATACGACCCGAAGGGCACCAGGCTATTATCGTTCATACATGCCAATGTGTATGATTCGACGGAGCCATTGCGGAAGTGCGAATTCCCATGCGGTGTCAGTTACACCTTACCGAGTCTGTTCATCCGATCATGGCTGTGGTCGGGTTCGTACATAGAAGCACGCATTATATCTGAGGCGATGTAACATGACAATATGCCCTTCGGCACACCGAGTATCACAATAAAAGAGACCTTCGCTCTAGTGAGGCTCATGTCCCTAGAGCACCTTTCTGCAAGAGATAGACTTGCACGACTTCATCCTCCTCGCCAATCTTTGGAAGCGGAATTTCCTTAACCACCCGATACGTCCAGCTCTGATCGTCCAGAAGTTCGAACAATGCCTCCTCTGACGAATGTCGCGGTTTAGTGGCCAATAATACAGAGGACTTGGCAGGGCCCTTGTTCTCTTGGTCGCGATGATGTTCCTTCAAAGTGTGTAAAGCGCTCAGCGTTCCGACTAGAGCCGGCAGCGAGTCAACATTGTACGTGCAGTCACTTAGCACAATAAGATCCCATGGCGTAGCCGAAACGAGGGGCCCGAAGCGGCCCTCAAGACCTTCATCCCAGTCAAGATTTTCGTACTCGATGGTAACATTTGCGCCCTCCGTGTGACTAGTCGCAAGTGTCGCTTCAGCTTTGGCAATATTTGACCTCGCACGTTCCTCAGCCTCTTCTAGATCTGTTAACAAGACTCTAGAATTCTTGAGCCTCCGCCCCTGAGCGACAGCTGCCGCCGGTAGAATGGTAGCAATTGTGATCCCTAAGATCCCCACGCCGCTTCCGAGCTCAAGGACATTGAAACTGTCACGCTCTATCGGCAATACTTCGCGAATGCTTTCTGGCGAAGAAGATGCGTCCGCGAGGTATGCGGAGGTGACTACGCCTGCATCCCAGATATGTCGCGCTATACTTTCGCCGATGTCTTCTTCGAACTGAAGGTTTAAACTCTCATCACTTTCTCCGCGTTCTCCAGCACCGTGATGCATCCTCAGTCCAAGCGTACGGACTGACACAGTAGCGCAGACACCATCCACGAACTCGAAAGTCGCTGGCATTATGACACCCATCCTTAGTATCGGATTCATGTCGACCGTCCATGGTAGAACATCGCCGACATGTAGAGCGCCTAACGGCGCTGATGGCTTCCGAGGCCGTTGCTGCACGGGATAAATGGAGAATCTGCAGTTCACCAACTCTTTCTTCAAACCCGGCGCTAATGTAAAATTGGCATCTAGGACGCGCATTCCCGTCTTCCACTTATACCTGCATGTCTTTGCCCCCCGCAGTACGGCCGCACCTGAGCGCACCGGACCTGCAGCGGGATCCTCGACTGCCACTATCAGATCGATTGACCCATCCTCCGGACATAGAAACGAGTCCCCAAGATCAGTGGTGATTGTAAATAGTATCGAGATGACCAGCCTTCCTGTGGAGGTTAGGATCTTCGCTGGGCGAAGGAGCCGAATGTAATGCATCTTGAATCTCTGCGTACCGGAGCCGTGCAGTTTTATAGCCCTCGATATAATGATATATCCTCCATAGCGAGTTGCATGGTAAAGAGGTAGTAGAACCCCGGGTCTCGGGCTGGCTGCGGGACACCGATAGGTTCTTCAGATTGTCCAAGATAATGACTGCATCTACCCAATCATATAATTTCAGCTTTTCGGAAACAAGCTTTACTGCTGCAGTTAGCCATGCCGAATATATGTAAAATCTCTCAAATCAGGTGTCTAGGTAGACTCAAAACGTCGCTGCATTGGTGCACTCGAGGAAAAAGGTTATCAGGTCCCAGCTATGACCTGCCGAGGTGAACCCTGTAAGTTACTTACTTACTTACCAGAAGTCTGTCGGAGAAGCTTGGTGTACCGGTGCTAACAGAGATTCATACTGAGTACGGGTGTGTTACCTACAGAGCGACATCTCGTACCCCACACCAGCATAGGTACCATTCTTCAGATTTCTTTTCCGAATGGGGAAAGAACCGCAGCCTCACTTTGAAGCCTCATAAAGTACTTAATTTTCATGCATGTTTCCGAATTCTATGCACTGTCCGTAGGAGGTATAAACTAACTACGTACATGTAGGTAGGTACACTACACTACCTCAACTACCTACTGTAGGTACACTGTTGCGTACATGCCAATTTTGATCAAAGAATTGAACACCAATAGAAGGCATGTTACTACCTAGGCATTCTCACAATCACAAGAATCGCAAGCTGACAACTATCAACTAACTGCACTTTACAGACCAACATATCAATGAGTCAACCACTTCATCCAATGAGACAAGACGACGTCAGAACTAATACCAACCGGGGATAAATCGACCCAGCGGGATGCCGATAACGCAGCATCGGACAGGATAGCGTGCATCTCTCATGGTGGGATGAGTCCTTCTTTCGTGGGGTAAGTAAACCTGACGCAGCCAGCCTTATCAAGTTCCGCCGGCCTCCCTCTCTCCCTCTTCTTTATCGCACCCCAGCCCTGCACATGCAGTAGTATCTACACTACAGTCAGTACACTACGCAAGTGCGTAAGTACTTAAGTACACCGCCTCCAGCGTGACCCCGCAGTACAGTGGACAACACACTGTGGCGTTCGCCTTGCACTGTAACAGGCCATTGTCTCACGACCATCCCACCAATCAAGTCGTCAAAGATGCCTCTTTTCATTCCTTAAATATCTGCAAAGTAATCGTACTGTAATATACTTACTTACTTTACTGTAAGTAAGTTTCTTGCACATAGTTCAGCCACAGATATAGGACCTATACCGAATCTGATAATCAACCAAGGACTGGATTACCTTCGCTAGATTACGTACATGTGAAACAACGTTCGCTCCAATTAAGCGCCGGCGGAGGTCCAGGTGTCCCGGTATGCGGGTCAGTGAGGTACCGGTATACTAGACTAGATACTTAGGTAGTACATACACTTCACTAGTAACCCCCACTACGGTAGTAATTTATGTACCCACTCACCTCTAAGACGTCCTTCGTTCGTTCATTTCATCCATGAGCAGAAGACAACCAACCAACCCATACAGTAAGTTAAACGGTTGACGCCTAAGGTGCTGCCAACACATGTAAGGTACACATCTCCAGCGCTCCATTAAAGAAAATACCGAGAAAAGAAAATAAAATAAAAAATCATCAGTTTTAGTATTGCAACCTATAACTATGCAAGTTCAATTGTGGACAGGTACTGTACATGAGGTAGGTAGTATGCCCCGCAATAACGTGGTGTCTCCCTCACGCAGTCACAGCAGAGAGAGCAAAGAGAACGGACGGGAAATGTCTTGCCGGCGTTTACCGTACCACCTACGGGATGCATGTCTCGACAGATGACAACCCGTAACTTGACGACGTGTTTGCTAGTTCGTTGGGATTCGAAATTTCCCGGGTGCGTTGTCATGCCGTCGTTTGCTCGCCCTGTCACATTAATCTGGGCCTCTTGCAACGTGACTGATCATGAGCTGCTTCAACCCCGGATGACTCCAAAGAAGATACAGGTATGGAAGCCCAACTCATATGCGTAATACTGGAGCTCTTGAGGGGAAAAAATACAACACATCCAGTGCTCTGTTATTATGTATGGCTGAGCTGAGAGAAGAAGTCTTCATAATGTGGTGATAATAGTACTATCGAATGGCAGGGCAAGCTGTTGTGGGGCAGCCGTCACATTCTAAGAGAACAACGGCTGACTCCGACCCTACCCGAAAGGGGATGATATCATGTAATGGTATAGAGAAACGCCATAACAAATTCGACCATAACGCCCAAACTCCTCTGTCCAGCCCTCCCAAGGGAAGAAAGCGATCAAAAAAAAAAAAAAAAGACAATACCCTCGAATCGTAACTTGCTGTTCTTTGTTGGTTCTCCAAGCCTAGCATAGAAAACAGCCCCATCTCAATTCCCCCGTAGAAAGGAAGCTTGTCGAATTTCATGGCCGTGCTCCCATGCAGGAAGTGATATAACCCGAATCCAGGCGCCGTAGTATTGCGAAAATGGTCATGTAATCTTGCGAAGACGTTTCCAGGTCTATGAATAGAAAGTGATCATGGGCCGTCGATAACCATGTCATGGCAGCATGTTCTTAATTTCCTCGTCACTGAGTCGGATCTCGTGAACAGGCTCTCGGCGGTTCTCCAAGGGTTCATAGTCCAGGTCAAGGTATGAAGGGAGAAACATCTCGGGGTTCCACATGAAGCCTTGGCTCGAGGCTAGGTACGAAATCTATATGAAGAGCCGACAGTCAGCTGTGCTCTGCCTGTTGGCATGATCAAGAAGAATCGTCTTACCAGCCGAGGCGGGCCGTCTGGCTCGCCAACATTAATATGCGTGCAATTTTCTTTAGACAGAGCGGAGCCTGGCACTGGGTTAGTATGAACGCAAACAGTTGCTCGTTCATTGCTGGGCAATGGTAGGATTGATGTGAGATATGCAACGTACTTAGCAAACTCGGCCGACGGTGGTGTATCGCCTTTGACTTGTGAGCGGACACCGGTGTCTCTGGGCCAGCCGAAGCTGGAGACTGTGGAGAGCTTGAGAAGGAGGACGAAGAGCTCATGCAAGCCTTGGTTGATTGCCCACAGGGACTAGCTGAAGAGCGCGAAGTCGGAATGGCGATAGTAGATGACATCATGGTCGATAACGAGGGCGAGCGCCGATACTTCGAATTCGAAATAGCACTATCGCAACAGAAAGATACAGACGTTGTAGAGTGGTGAATCACGGTGCTGCCAAGACTGGCGACGAAAGAGCAGCTGTGATCATGAAACAAAGTTGTGGACTAGCACAAGTGAAACGCCACAGGCACTCCAAGTTAAGACCGAGGACGGAGGTTGGGAGCAGTTTCAATAGACCTAACGATTGAGCGAGACACAGTCTGACGCTCATATAAAAAGGAGGGGTTAGAAGCAGTCAAATAATGACAAATGCGGGGAGAAAGAATCCAAGAAGCAGGCAATGAAGGATAGAAGTAGAAGTAGAGTGAAATAGAGTGAAATGTAGAGGTAGAAGTGGCGGTGATTGTGAGGCCTCGCCGGAGTCTTGCTGGAGGCCAGGGGAGCGGCAGAGTGACTCGAGATGTAAGGCGCGTATCTCTGTACTGTGTGTGTGTGTGTGTGTGTGTGTGTGTGTGTGTTACGTCTGGGGTTGGTTGATTGCAGTATGAGGTACGCCGTGGTGTTGAGAGAGACGAGAGACGAGAGACGAGAGGCTGAACAATATGCGGAAAATGTTGATAAGGACAAAATGAAGTTCAAGGAGGTCAGATGGTGAATTCAGGAAGTAGGTACAGTATGTAAAGTCAAGGCAGGCAGGTAGGTAGGGTCAGGTGCAGGTGCAGAGACGACGACGTGCAGGCGGTTCGGTACATGAAGTACTACATACCTCCATATGGAAGAAAGATACCGGTATGACAGGTTCGGTAGGTACAGTACAACCAACACCCGATCCAAAGCCGTCGGAGCAGGTATCGGAAAGAGGGAACCTGGAAAGTCTTCCTTACTACATATGTGCCTAAGGCATACCTAGGCAGGCATTCAATGGATTATGGATTTGCCTGTCTGTACAGTATCGACCTACTATGTACTAGACCCTGCCGGTAGGTACTCAACAGTAGGTACAGACAACCTTGATCAGACTTGATTTTATCACCCCCAATCTGCCCCAACCGAACGAGCCAACTGTACATGCAACTTGGCATCGACTGGCCTGTTGGTCTCTATCTGCTAATCCCCGTGGCCAAAGAGGCACTCGGCACACTGTACAGCTGCGGGTGGTGACATAAGTGCGGCCCCACGGTTGCCCCTCTCCTCCAAAGCCCCACTACGACCTCCATACCTTTAAGCCAGACCAGAGGCGATACAGTTACAACTTGACAAGGGATGCCTACTTGAGGTAGGTTAGGATAACTAACTGACTGACGCATACATCATGAGGCATGATAGGTAGCTGAGTATGGGGTAAGTGCTTATGGTGGTTCCAGGAACTGCAAATGGGACACTGTTGTTTTAACGGCTTATCATATTCGGATATATGAGCTGTAATTCACAACTGCTTGGATAGAGTCTTGACTAATTATGCAGAACTGGTGATATGACATGGGGTATTTCCAACCAGCATACCTAGGATACAAGCATAGGCAGAATAGAAGTATAATAGATATAACCTTCTATGTAGGCATCCAGCACCTAATAACTCTAGTGATTGGCTGACTGACTCTAGCCAGGGCAATATCAAGCAGAATCAAGTCTTGCCTTTGAGGGCGAGGCCTGCATACTTAACCTCCAACACTAAAGCTGTGCAACACCAGCCTGTTCAGTCATGATCCAGCCAGATGGTCAGGGCGAGGTGCTGCAGGTAGGAACACAGTGTAGCAGTGCAGGCGAGAATGATAGCTGATGAGCCCATTCCTTGGCTATATATCGTCTTCACCGAGTCCTGAGCCTGTCTTGTCTGTCTCGTCTGTCTGCCTTGACTCATCCGCAATCCAGCAACTTAGGCGGTGCCGGAGGAGGGAGGATGATGCGATATCTACAGTGTGCTAGCCAGGCATATAAGCACATAGCACAGTAGTTAACCGTTGACAAATGACCTGACCACCAACCGACTCGCCGTTCAACCCCCGTACTAACTACCAGAGAGGTTTAGTTACCCGGCCCGGAACGGTAGAGGTTGCATCATTTGGTTTAGCACAGGTTTGGAATCCTTGGTTTTTGATATGGTGAACTGATCAATGACTGGCACATTAACAGGGGCTCTTAGTCTTATCTTATCTTAGCCCCAGCGGAGACCTCAAGTGCTTTCTTTTTAATGCATACTCCTCCTATTGGCATAAGTATACATCTGTCTTATCAGAATTGTGGCTCAGCTTGCTCAATGGGCAATTTATCCCATCTACGGTTAGGCCGCGCTTAGTGAAGCGCTGAAGGCTACAAGGCTGGCGTCGCCTCTCCAGCCTAGGTACCTAGGTAGCTTTCACTTACAGCATACAGCATACAGAGCTAGGTAGTCACTTCTTCCGTCATCTACTCCATCATATTTCTGCATTGCACAACAATCAATCTCGTCCTGATCTCTGGTGCCATCACGACGCAGCCAGACGCCGAAACTTCCGCCTCTTCCGATCTACCCTCCTCACAGAATTAGGTCAAGATGGGTGATGTAGCGGTAGAGAATCCGGCCAACACTGTGGCGCCACACAGCAAGCCCATCCCTTCAACCATACCCAATGTCGAGAACATCGAGGGCATCCCGTCGCAAGGAGGAGATGAGTACGCCACATTAAAAAAGCTGCAGCGGCATCTAGAATACATCCAGCTGCAAGAAGAGTACATCAAGGATGAGCAGAGGTATGCATGTCCGGGTTTGCCCCATGCCCCTGGGACGAAGCATGAAGCATTGGGCGAGGCTAACGCCGTCAAACTGCAGGAGTCTAAAGCGTGAGCTTGTACGCGCACAGGAAGAGATCAAGCGAATTCAGAGTGTACCTCTAGTCATCGGCCAGTTCATGGAAGCGATCGACCAGAAGTGAGTTACGACTACGTTTATCATGCCGCATTGTTTTCTAACAGCCTGTAGCACCGGCATAGTTCAATCCAGTACAGGCTCGAATTATGTTGTACGGATCCTTTCTACACTCGATCGCGAACTATTGAAGCCATCGTCATCCGTTGCTCTTCACCGACACTCCAATGCTCTTGTCGATATTTTGCCTCCTGAAGCTGACTCGTCCATCGCTATGCTGGGCGCTGACGAAAAACCCGATGTGACGTATGCTGATGTCGGTGGGTTGGATATGCAGAAACAGGAGATTAGGGAAGCTGTCGAGCTTCCCCTAACGCACTTCGATCTTTACAAACAGATTGGTATTGACCCTCCACGAGGTGTCCTCCTGTACGGTCCGCCAGGTACGGGTAAGACTATGTTGGTCAAGGCTGTGGCCAACTCAACAACCGCGAACTTTATTCGCGTTGTTGGTTCCGAGTTCGTTCAGAAATATCTTGGTGAAGGTCCCCGAATGGTTCGAGACGTTTTCCGTATGGCTCGAGAAAACTCCCCAGCCATCATCTTTATCGATGAGATTGACGCCATTGCAACCAAGCGTTTCGATGCGCAAACCGGCGCCGACCGAGAAGTGCAGCGTATCTTACTTGAGCTTTTGAACCAGATGGATGGTTTTGACCAGACTTCAAATGTGAAGGTCATCATGGCCACGAACCGAGCGGATACGCTCGATCCTGCTCTGCTTCGACCAGGTCGGTTGGACCGAAAGATCGAGTTCCCGAGTTTGAGAGATCGAAGAGAACGGCGTCTTATTTTCTCAACCATTGCTGGCAAGATGAGCTTAGCACCCGAAGTCGACTTGGATAGCTTGATTGTACGGAATGATCCGTTGAGTGGTGCCGTTATTGCTGCGATCATGCAAGAAGCTGGTCTTCGGGCTGTCCGGAAAAACAGGTACAATATCATCCAATCTGATTTGGAAGATGCGTACTCTAGCCAGGTCAAGGGGACGAGTGACGAGAACAAGTTTGATTTCTATAAATAAACTCATACAGGACGACATATCAACCGAGGTATGCCTATTTATGAGGGCGACGATCTTCTGGAGGCATGGCATAAAATAGGTAGACAGAAGTTCGGATGAACATTAATGAGGACTAAGCATTCTACTGAGCACAATATTGCTCAATGTATCAGCAGTATTTATGGTACACCCATACTCGCAATATTTCATAACTTCCTTGAGATTACAATCTCCGCTCCCCTCTGATGCTGCCTATTGTATAGCTCCGAGGAGTTTGGCAGTATAAATCATGTGGTGATGTCGTTGTGTGATATTTTCTTTTTCTATTTGACAACACCGTCAAATTATGCGCTTGGTGTATGAATATGTCCCCCTCGAAAGACTAAAAGAGTACGAGTCGTCAGAGTTCGCCACGCTCTCTCATTGATAGCCGACCTGGAGTAGTTGAAGTTTATAAACTCCACAAACTCATTCAAGACGGGCTTTTCTCTGAGCAATATTCCTTGAGATAGCTCGTTTCAATACTCGACTATTTCCAGGCTTAGGGAGAAGGTATTCAATAGCCAAGGATGAGGGGACCAAGACTGCGTCTTACGCTCTAAACTAGAAGAAAATTTTCCGTTTTCTGGGATGGAATTGCTTCAATGGACCAAAGAATCGTCGTTTACACCGACAATGAGAACGCTAATACGGAATGGTGCAGCGATCAGGCTCTGCTCGGTACGCGTACCGGTCGTCAATGAGTTCTGTAAATCTGGGAATTCACATCCTGTGCGAGCACGGCACCATATCTGCGAACTCACCTTAATCTATCACAGTGATCGAAGAGGCAATTTTCGAAGACCGCTGATTAACACGTGAGAACAGGCTGAAAGGAAAGTGATTTTTACATATCGTAACCTTGAGATGAAACTCAGTAGCATTTGTGAGGGAAATTGCTGTGTTTGACAGGGCGGCTTTCCCGGCGTCTCAATTTCTGTTTGCCTTGAAGGCCCATGGAAATAGCACTGTTGATCCTATTCGACTGCGTTGTGTAATTTGGGCTCGCGAAGACTGGGTTTCACGGCTGAGCCCCAACGGTGTGTGAAAGTTCACACTAGATGTTTCTCGCTTCCAATGATGTTACCCCTTTGCTATTGGGATACCGATTATGATATTTGTTCTTTGGTAGTATTGCAATGCTGGGCAGACAGAGGTTCGGAGAGAATATGCAGCACGAACCAGTTCTCCGGTTACTACCCATGCTTGAGCATGTGACAAGACTCTGCTCTTCAATCTCCAACTGAACGAATTCTTATTCTATGAGGCCGCATGATAGAATTGTCCATCGAACCCAGCGACACCGACGTCTATCCACGCTAGGATTCATGAGTGAAGATGCTCTGTCATTTGACATCCAGCATGTGAATTGGCATTACCGCCCGAGTTCAAGAGTGAGCTGGTGATTGCACAGCCACGTTCTTCACTCCAGATTATATACTCGGTAACCCCCAACAAGGGCTTGGCAGGCAGACAAATCCCCGGTCCGGGATCCGTTCCTCCCAATGGTCAGCAAATCTATACGTCGGGGACTAGGATTGAGCTCCCTTGCAAGTCTAGCTAGACGGCTTAGAGACATATAGGCAGACACTCAGCGGAACGGATCGCATCGAACGGCGGCAGCTAATAATAGCCGGGCGTCTCAGTGGCCCCGCGTCAGCATCTGTATTCGAGATTCGTGAGGAACTTCATCATCCATGCTTAATGCATCTACAAATGTGCAACTTTGATCGCTCATGGATGCCTTATCTGCGCTAAGCATAGCTGGCACAGTGACTCAATTTCTCTCCTTCGCTGGTGAGCTGGTATCACAGGCTTCCGAGCTTCATGAATCAGCAAATAGATCTACCGCAGAAGTTCAGAACGTCGACACTGTCTATTCCAATCTCCTTGAATTCAGCTTTGGCCTGAAAAATGCCAATAGAGATCTTTCGGAGCTAGAATCTAACTCGGACGCGAGACACCTGCTCGGGCTAGTCGCCGAGTGTCAGCATGATTGCAATAAGTTACTAGAGATCACGCGCATGCTCAAGGCAGAAGGCGAACACAAGACGTGGTACCAATGTTGTCGCAAGGCGATTGAGTCAAGATGGAGAATGCCCGAGATCCGTCAACTTGACGAGCGACTACAGAGAACTCAGCTGACGTTAACTTTACTAATCTGCTCTATATCAAGGTCTGGCCCCTTTTTATTGACGCTTGATGGTGTCCGACCGAGCTGCTGCATCCCAACTTGGGCATGAGCTGATTCGTGACACAGTGAGTTTCAGCACCTCCAGCAGCAACGTATTGCAAAACTGCAAAAGGACGGCGGACAGCACCGTTTGAACCAAGACCGCCAGTTCGCCGAGCTTCGGGATATTTTGCATTCCATTCAATCTCAAGTGACTAAGTTAGAGAATTCTGGAGATGGCCTACATCGGATTCGACACCCGGGGCCTGTCATTGAGCTCGAAAAGCAGATGCAGAACTTGTGTGTCAATGCGAACGATATTCAGAAACAGCAAGCGATATTAGATACATTGACCTTCGAATCACGAGTTGTACGCCACCAAGCCATACCAGAGGCGCATCCAGGCACATTCCAATGGGCTTTCTCTACTAATGAGGTGGATGTAGAAGAGCGACAGGATGAAGCGAAGCTTTTGCACTGGCTTCAGGAGGGAGAGGGAATATTTTGGGTGACCGGCCGCCCTGGTTCGGGAAAGTCAACATTCATAAAGCATGTGGCCGATAGTCCAAACACTCACGCTGCATTGCGACAGTGGTCGAGTCCATCTGAACTAGTCATATCTAGTCACTATTTCTGGATATTCGGCACGCCGATGCAGAAGTCAAAAGAGGGTTTATTGCGGACACTTTTGTTTGAGGTATTCCGCCAATTCCCGTCGCTCCTCAAAACCGTATGCCCAGAAAGGTGGGAGTCTGAGTTCTCGTCAAGCGCCGCTGCGAAGCCATGGTCGACTAAAGAACTTCGTCACATCTTGGAGCTGGTTACATCCCCAGAGGTCGATGTTAAGATTTGCTTCTTCATCGATGGACTTGACGAATACAATGGCGACCATCTCGAAGTGTCCGAAGAACTTCTGAGACTGTCCCGACTGAGAAACATTAAGTGTTGTATCTCAAGTCGACCTTGGAACGTCTTCCACGACGCTTTCGGCTATGACAGGTCCCAATATCTGTGTCTACACAACCTCACGAAACGCGACATACGCCAATATATTCAGGATCGGCTAACCCCACACCCCCGGTGGCAAAGACTTGTTGACCAGGCTAATTATGATAGTCAACTCATCGATTACATTGCAGAAAAATCGCACGGCGTATTTCTTTGGGTGTCATTAGTTACTGACAAGCTCCGGAATGGTCTGACGAACGACGACGATTTATCTGATCTCTCGAGTCGTTTAGCCAAGTTTCCTTCAGACTTGGAAAGCTTCTTCGACCACATTTTACAGACAGTAGAACCATTTTACCACGAGAAGATGGCTGGGACATTGAGATTAGCTAGGGCTGCAGAGAAACCTTTAAACATCTTGTTTTACGAATTCCACGACGGAGAATACCGCGATGACGAGTATTTCCTCCACATCAAGCGGCCGCGATCAGACGGGGAGCGAGAAAGCATACGAGACCGAGTCCATCGACGCTTGAACGCTTATTGTAAAGGTTTATTAGAAGTTCATGGCGATCGAGTCGAGTTTCTTCACCGTACTGTCGCTGATTATCTCAGTCTACCTGATGTATCGGACAGACTTGCCGTGCAGAGTCCTACGTGGTTTCATCCTGAGCTGTCATTAGCAAAAGTCCACTTAGCCTACATAAAAATACTACCACTCGGCATCCCACACCGGCGCCATCCGGGGCGTTATGATGGGGGTATGTTGGACGAGCACCTCCGCGCGGTATTGGCCTTGGCCTCTACGCACGACGCAGAGAAAACTCTAGTTAGAGATAAATTTCGCCTCCTCTTGTATGACATGGAGTCTGTGTTAACAACAGCAACTCTGGGGACCAGCGCTGCCCGCGCGTCTTCTGCCTCGCTGTACTTCAGAGAGCGGCTTCTTCAATCGCGACTACCGAAATACCTCGAGAAAATGCTTGCAACGAATGTAGAATACTTGGAAATCTTTGACTGGCCTCCCCTCGCCGTCATCCTGGAAGAGGGGTGTCCTAGCCAGCACGTCGAAACGATCAAGCTCCTGTTCCAACACGGTCAAAAGCCGAACGGAGAGTTTCCACTCTCGATTTCGGATAAAGCGAAGCCTCGAAACACACCATGGACATCCCTCTTGTCTCTTTTAATACACCAAACCAGAGATGGACTGACATCTCGTTTGCTCCCCTATTTCGGCCCGTGTCTTCGCGCGGGGATCTTCGACTTATTTCTCGACTATGGAGCGGACCCGAACGCGCCGGTATACCGCAGAGAAGGACAGCAACCTACAACTGCGTGGATCGACATTCTCTTCGCTTGCTTTGAGATCGAAAGGCAAGACGAAGAACTATACCTGCGCGTCCTGGGCCAGCTACTACAGGGGAACGCTTCCGTCAATCACGTGGTTCCGATGGATTCCGGGAGTACCCTGTATGGCGAGGCCACCAGCGAGACTATCTTGAAGCGCTTCTTCCAACTATCTCAAGCACTTGATTATTCCCATGACTTCGTAATGCGAGTCTCGGAGCATCTCATTCGGAGGGCCGCGCGGGCGTGCTGGTCGCTTGGTGCTGTGTGGCCAGAGGTTAGACTCGCTTTTGGTGATGCGAAGACAAAGCATCTAAAGACAATTTACCGTGCCGAGAGGCCCTCGCGATTATTGAGGTGTGTGTCATTATTGAAGGTCGGCAGACGAAAGCCAAATGATAAGACTGCACGGTAGTTATTTGATCTGTGGTGCTTGTTGCAGAACACATCGCTGCTGTAGTTATACTGACCCAGGAATATGGGTTGCGGTTGTCACATACGTTCTTCCGGAGGAATCTAGTGAGCTCCGAAGGTACCCAACTATGAAATACTCATATCACGGACAACTTCCGTCTCAGAGGTGTTCCTCACAAAAGAGGAGCGATACGATCAATTCTGGGCCCTGGATAAGGAGGTAGAGAACTCACAGAATTCCCATATACAAATCACTTTTCCCAACCTACGCGTACCCGACCATCGGTCCTATCTACACCCTCTCAGAAAACCAAAAGCATGATCATGCGCGAAGAGCCGAGAGATTGCCAGTCAAAAGGTCCATCGTCATCATATTACCACCCCCAGCGCCCACGCCGCCGTTTTCCATGGTAGCCATCATCTTCCTCATCTGGGTGCCGTCGTTTCCGCCGAATCCGCGGCCGATGATTGCCTCGGCCAGCATCCGCAACTGCATGGGGAACCGCTGGTCCCCGTAATGCTCGATGATGTCGCCCTTCTCGACGGCGCAGTGAAGGTCCTGCCACTCGTCCCTGTCCATGCCGAGCTTCTCGCAGGCCTTCTGCTTCGCTGCACTCCACCACGGAGGTAGGAGTCCGCTTCGCGATGCGGCTTTTCGTAGAAACTTGCGGAAGCCAACGATACCTGATTCGGCGCCGCCGTAGAGGCTGTCTACGGCCGTATTTTGTTCGAAGACGTATTCATCCTCGACTCTCATGCGGTAGGCGTCGATCAAGACACCTGCGATGAATTAGTACGATTGCAATCTTTCGCAGCCAAACTTCGTCTTCTTGGATGAACGGGCCACTCTGTTGCTAGGTACTAAGCGGGGTGGCTAGTAGCACTCACTGTGACAGCGTCAGTAGTCTGGAATGAGCCAACGGAGCCGTTTGTACTTACCGATAGACATCTGTCTCCGGGCGATCATGTAGATAGGTGTTATTGTCGAGACGGGTGAAGGGCTTAGTGATGGGCTGCTCCAGACCTTTGGACGGAGAGAGGACGGATGCAGCAGAGGATTGACTTCCTGTCTCCGATCTTTCATGCGCCTGTTTGCCACAGAGCTTCTTGTGCGTCTTCCAGTCCGCCTTCTGGCACTCTCGAGAACAGTAGAGCGTGGTTGTGCATTTGGCACATTTCTTCAGATCAGAGGAAGTTTTCTTGCAAGTGTTGCAGTTTCCTTGCATTTTGGCCAGATTTCCCACGTTATTGGTCCTGATATGGGAGGGAATGAGGGGAATGAAAAGGATGAGGACAAGATAAGAGGGGGAGTTTGCACCACTGACACTTCACCTTTATATCAAACGGCAGCTCCTGGCACGGATCACTAGGCACGGTGTCCAGGCAGCAGAAGCAAAGAAGTTGTGCTGCCCAGGTTACGAGCATTGATTGGTACAATCTACGTCTACGTTTCTTGTCTCAGACCTGGGGGCCAGCATGGGATAGCTGCAACGGTTTATACCGATATTCGGTCTGTTGCGTTAGTTATGCGTCTAGATTCAAAATATAGTCCGTGCCTCACAGATATCAGCGCTTCGCCTAATGAGCCTCCTAGGGTTGTGGTTGCCGCGGGGTGCTGTATCGTCCTGGTCGTATTTGCTAGGCAAGAGAACTACAGTGCAAACCTCAATTAGATGCTGACAGAGGCCTTAGGATATAGGTAAATAGTGTGTTTATCTAGTATTAAGTAGACAACTCAATGTTATGGCTCCTACGATTCATGTAGCTGCCTCTTTGTTCAACCAGTCCTACGGTGATGTGGTTGGTGTTTGAACTGTATACCTAGGTCTCGGCCAATTCCACCTGGCACAATTTGCCGCACATCGGAGACATGAGAGAGATGTGTAGGCCACCATTCTGCTACCTATTAACAAGCCACTTTCAGATATCACGGTATTCCCAAGCTCTGTACATGTTCTACTTGTGATTCATTTAATAAGCAAATGTATAAGGGCTACCTAGCAGATTAGGGCTAACTATCTACAATTATATTTCACAATGAAGGCAGATCATAAATAGGTCACTGCTAACAGAACTGTCATCCACTGGGCAGCTCAAGCCCAAATAGAAAAGCGAAATTCATTATAACTGTAAGAGGCCAAGGAAGGGTTTCTTTGCTTACTTGAGTAGTGCTTGCACCGTATTAAGCCTGACTGATGGGATCTACAGTGTTTCAACCGCCGCGCAAGATCTACCCACGCATCAGTTCCACGCACCAGTTAAAGGATGAGAGGCGATGCATATACCGCGGGTTAGGTTGCCCAATCATTTGGTGACAGGGCCCTCCCATTGTATTTTCGTCACCGGCACCGGAGACGACATGGTTTAATGATGGAGATCCCTGCACGTGAGATGCAGGTAGACATGCAGTGTCTAAGTAGGTTGGGTATAAAGTTGATAAGCACACCTTCCGGAGCGTGACGCAATCCAACAGAAAGCACAGAACATGGCGTTACAGGGATGCAATGCGAAAGATTTTGCAAACACCTCAGCTGCAAGATCCTTGTTGTAAGCACCGATAGCAATCCTATATAAGCAGAACTAGACTACTGTATATAGCTACCTAGGCAGCAAAGGTCATGGAATCGTGTACCCGTGGCAGTACACGCCCCAGTATAAGGATGATGAGATTCCTTACTCTGGTAATGCTGCAGAGAGCACATTGGACGTCGGAGCCGGTGAGTTTTGAAGGGGGCTGCATCATCTCGTCCCGAGGATAGCTTGGTCTTGAACATATTCTCCTCAAAGGGCGCCACTTTAACTTGGATGTGAATGTTAATCGCAACTGTACTATAGGAAGCAAAGCTACGTGTCGCGTAAAAGTTATCCATTCCGCAAAGTTGGCTTAAAGTAATCACATGCTATCCTTCGTAATGGATGCTCGTGGCGTTGTAGTTAAGGTATTGAATGCATCTAAGGATCTTTTTCCATTGAATCTAGACTGCAACATGGTGCTTGACTTCGCTCGCTTGTCTACGTCAAGGCCGGGGATGTCGAATCTACTTGCGGGGTCGAAACTTGGAAGCAAACTCAACCCGAAAGCCTTGCTCACAGCCACGAAAGAGCCTTGCATACGTACGACTAACCCATGTACGGAGTAGTGAACATTGTTGTTGGTACTGTACGGTATCGTTACGTCTACACCCCAACCTGTTACCGAACCTTTCGGAGCGTAGGATTTTGCCAAGCGAGTCATGGCTGACGGGGTGCGTTGAACGAGTTCTGCAGGCACCTCAGCTGCAGACAGATTCCCTTCCCTTGCCACGATACACACAGGGTTCTGAGACGTACGGGGGTAGAACGAATCCTCTGTTAAGGAAGGATGTTTTTGGTATGCACCGGTACAAACCTTCTTTCTCGGCTTTCACCCACCGGTAGGTAGTCAAGGCGGAAGTATACCTCTATGAGATGGGAACCGTTGTGGGGATATCAACGGCACGATCGAGGCTCAATAGCGCCGTTCTATTTAGCACCCCAATTGGCTCAGCTTGCTGCTATTGGTACCTATAGGTATTGTACAGCCGTAGTAAAAGCCAACATTCTGCTGATTCATACATCCTACCTGCTTCGTCTGACGCCGCGGCCTGTGCCATCTCGAAAATGCACCTTTGGTAGTAGGTTTAAAGACCGCCTTCCGCCCATACGTCGTCCTCTTTTCAATGCAATAATTCATCCCCATCCACCGTCTTTCCACCAGTCTCTGCTCTTACTATATGTTCTCTCTAGTTGAACCCTACCTAAGTTATACCGCCACTGGTTGGGCCCACGTTTCCTATGCAGTTGTCTATCGAAGCTGTCGTTGCTGTCATCGCACTCCTCGTCGCGATCCCACCCGCTGCATTGGCCCTTGCGCAGTTTCGCCGTCGATGTTCATCACAAAGGGCCACTCGGGAACACCCCCAAAGTATGGAGTTTTCTAGAATGTTAATAAATCTCCTGTCACCCGATATTATATCTATCACTAGGAAAGTTATATGAAGCTGTGGACTGACACTTTGAAATTGGTTGAGACTGCCTACACTTGATATACATGGAGTAACTATATAAGTACGGAGAAAGACAGAGAGTGTGGCGAGTGGAACGAAGGGATGAAGGGATGACCCGAACACAGGCTAACTAGTCTTGGACAACACTAGCCGGATTAGAGATCGAACCGATCGCCCGGGGTCGCCTTACACCACCCCCCCAGAATCCCCCACCTTGGCGTACCACATCGATGCGCACCTGGATGTTTGTCGAGGCGACGCGGCACGAAACATCTTTCCAAGACCCCTGGGCTGCTGTCTGAGAACATTCAGTTTCTTCATCTTCTATAGCCTTTGTTGTCTCGAATATAGTCCCTCGTTTTATTGGGCAACAGGGGACACATCGTGGCTGCGAATGAAGTTGCATCCTCGAGACTATACCTACATATATACCTATGTACAGAGCTATGTACTTACTAGTACACAACCTTAAATGCTGTGTTAGCGTGAGTCCCACCTAACCCATCCCAGTTGATGCGCGGAGCCGGGTTTCGGTAGTTGTGCATTGAACTAACCCGATCGATCTATCTGCTGCCACTGATTCTGCAGAGCTAACGCTAGAAGCTGGAAGCTAGCAGGGATCTTACCAGGTGAACGAACCGCCAACCTTGTCTTGTCTTGGGGAGGATTTGTTTATACTTTCGACCTGTTCACCACACTCTCGGTTTTATTGGGGGATTTGCGGGTTATGATTAGTTCAGGAGGGAGGTTTCAAGACCTCCACAGCGCCCCGCTAAGGTCGTGGTGAAGTATTTACTTATAGGTACTAGACACATACTGTCTGGTGCTATGCATCGTGCAGGAAGCCGATATTCACATGTACATGCGATGCAGAACTGGTTCATACATAGAGTATTTTGTCGTCCGCAACATTATCCATCTGTCAGGCACTGGGTGGCTGAGTCAATAGCATAATTAGACCAAGAGAACAAATCCAAGCAATAACCGAGCGGTTCGCTTGATCTCTTATCCTACAGTTGAGCCTTACATCTATATACACGACAATGATCTTCCTTAACAGCGAATAGCTTTATCGACACAACCCGACCCAAAAGCACTTAGGGCTATGATCTCGTCAGATATCCACAGCAGACAATGTGGATTGTTTAAACGCTACTGGCAATTGACCGAAAATACCAAAAAGCTATTCCGAAAATTTCCCCGCAGCCGCAAGCGGCACCTCTACTTGCGCACTACCTAAAGAGACGATTGGCTGTAGAATGGTGGTTAATAATAAGCGTGTACAGATGGCATGCATAATAATAAACATACATAGATAGCGTGCATTATATATAAAAGGTGAGTGTGTTGAGTTGATAAGATACTATAGGTGCGAGTAGGTTACTTGAAGGCAAACGGCACGTCGACTTGAGGTTCATGGTGGCATGGTTTTTGAGGAGGACCACCTTGTCATTTCAAAGCAAACAGATTTCCAGGCAATCTTCTGTGAAACCACAGGCTGCCATGAACAATCCTCATTGTTGTTTCAATTTTTGCTTACACGTTAAAGTTGTGCCTCCCCTAGAGATATACTTTTTGTCATCCTTACATCTTGTCACCGTGATTGATACATTTATGGGGCCTTTCAAGAGGTGACTTGCTGTGTTGACTCAACCGTTCTTTACTGCTTCGACCATCTCAGGACCAAGGATGATGAAGAATTGATGACAATTGAATAGTACGACGTATCTATTCCACCGTATCGTCCGCAAACCACCGAAATGACCTCGATGCTGGCATGGTAGACTCCGTCAATATAGATGCTGTCATGAAGAAATGCAGAAAAGGTTTGATCCTCTGCACTGCCTTTACTCTGATATTGAACTCAACATGCGAATAAACTTCGCTTGACAGGTTTTTGCGATAGTGAAGTTAGAAAAAGATGGTGACCGTGTGCGAATTGGAGAGAGCAAGCATATGTGCTTATACTCATAAAGAAGAAGAGTCCAATTAAGAGGAGTACAGACCAACTTAAGTCTAGGACGTCACCAAGCGTTGATATAAGCTTACGAATGCCCTATGCAAGCTATCAAGCTTCTGGCTCTTAGAATGCTATGATCACATCATCAAGTACCAGTTGGTCATTTGTTAACTAGAATAACGTGACTGAACTCAACTAGATTATAAGTCAAAGGTCCAGCTCGAGGACAATGTCTTCGAAATATTTCAGCATCTCCTTTGTTCTTAAACAATGCGATCATCAAGTAGAACCTTCTCTTGCGACATGAAGTATATAAAATTTCTCAAATCCGCTGGACAAATCGAAAATGTTTAGGAAGCCAATCAGATATTACTATTGAAGTCTTCTCCAAACTTAACAAAGCAACATCGTATAAACATGAACTATATCCAAAAACCAAAATGTCACCAACAATCACGATTGTGCGACACGCTGAAGCCAGGCACAACGTTGAGCCTAATGGTGATGCTTTGCGCGACCCCCATCTAACTCAAAAAGGTGAGGGCCAAGCAAAGACTTTACAGAGCACATTCCCCCATATGTCCAGAATCAAGGGTGTTATCTCGTCCCCAATGAGGAGGGCAGTTCAAACAGCCCTCCTCGGCTTCGGCCCGGCGATTCAAAAGGGCAACATGAAAGTCATCCTCATTCCAGAATTGCAGGAATCAAGTGCGCGACCATCGGACACGGGTTCACCAGCGGAAGTCCTTCAGGCCGAATTCGGTAACGTACTTGATACTCAATTTCTATTCGATGGCTGGGAGTACAAAGACGCAAGCACTACCTACGGTGGGCGAGACCAAGCGAAAGTCGCAGAGCGAGCGCGTCTATCTCGCGTTTATATCCGCAGTGTTGCGAAGACCCTTAGCAATGACGACCATCTTGTTGTCGTGGCTCACAGCGGCTTTATTCGGCACTTGATTCAGGGTGCCCCTAAGTTTGGCAATGCTGAATTTAGAGCCTGTAAATTCGTTGACATCCTGGGCGACGATAGCCTTGCTCTTCTAGCCGAGGTCTCTCTGAAAACCCATTAATTCCTGAACAAACGATGCTTCTAGCATCAATAAGATTTGCCTTAGATAGACTTTCTCCTTTAATCAAATGATTTAACCCTACCTGCGAAATGCTAATTTAAGATGCAATAGATATCACGGTGGGTAAAGTTGCCTGTTCTAAACAATACACGTGCATGATCAGTTCAAGAATTCTTTTTTTTTTTTTTCTATTCAATTATTTCCCAAATTGGAGACACAACATAGGGGCACAACAAAGAAACTATACGTATGTAACCTTAGCCTTAGCACTCCCTCTATTAATCCTTGGTGTAATAACAATGATCATTCAGTGTCAGCATCGCTGTAGTCGGCATCTCCGTAGTCCCCATAATTGGACGGAGGTTTGGATCCCCCGGTAACATTAGGCTAAGCCTCATGGAATCGGATTCTTCGCCAATACCAACATTACCAAAATCAGTATTAAGATATTCATTCCATTCAATCAAAGACCGAGACGCGAGAGTTTTTATCAAGTCAAAATAAACCTCAATATATTCAATAATACCATCGTTCGCTATATAAGATATACCACCGATTAGTTTCTTTGTTAGATGGTGTAGACGGATTTTGGACTTACCGCACGTGATGATGTGGGTGGGCTTACGACGCAGTATTCAAAGTAAGATGGCTCTGTTAAATTAACAGTCCAGTTATATATTGAGACAAAGTCCGGCGCCAAGGCCAAGAAGGAATTGGGTGGCCGAGGACTTTGGCAGCCCTAGTAGATCAATATATTCTCAATATCATCAGTTCCCAGCCTAGGTCTCTTCCCTTGTTATCCTCCTCCTGTTGAGTGTCCATGGACTTTTCGTTCCGACCAGGTTATTCTGGCCGTACTTCACCCTACTGATTGCACAATTAGCTATTGGAAGATATTCAAACTAAGGACCAGAGGAGATGTGTTATGAACTGTATCGATGATACTCTGTATAATTCTGCGTAACTGTTTCTTGTGCTTCCTTCTATTCACTCATAAAATAGAACATATCTCACCGAGTATTTACTTGAAAAGATCTCATCATGAACATAATATCCCTTCACTGGTTTACATTATACAGTTGTTGTAAATAAGTTTCATGATGCTATATCTGGTGACCCCGTAACGTTCGGGCTCAGGGTGGACTGCAACCCAAGAAGACGAATTGGACGCTACTCACAGCAGAAGAAGAACCAATCAAATCATAGAAAGCGTGTACATCGGAACGTCGGTAGTCATGGGTGCTGTGCTCACTGTTAGGCTCCTAAGGCTGAATCTGACACAGCTAGCCCCCTTCCCCCTTCATGGTGTAGCTGAGCTCTACGACCGAGTTTCATCATGTGTTGGGGTTGATGACAACCGAGACAAATTTACGCCATGATACAACCTTTGTAAGCTTCCGTAGTATCATCCGATTGTGTACATTTCCGCAACGCCAATGAAAGCTCACTATATCCCTGTCTAGGTGCACAGGAGGATCTGGATGGATCACAATGGGTAGCATTAGAAACGATAGAACCTGAAGATCTAAGCCGGTAAAAGCGTTGAACAGCATGGCATCATTTATATCCGAATGAATCCCTCTACAAGACATCCGGTGAGCATTATTCACTTTGTTGAAGTCGAGGCCTAATTTGAGTACGAGTTTCTTTTGCGCGGCACTACAAATAACCTAAAACCCGTTTTACGACAATGCGTCTTACATCACCGATTGGGGCCAGTATTCTTCACGATCTATCGAAGTGATACTTTCCAGTTCGATACGTTTAGTCAAGTTGTCTGAGTTGGCCGATTTTTGTGCCCTCAGAAGCGCAATGATCGAGCCACGATTAGTACCAGTGTATGAAGACGGGCTAGAGAGAGCTTACCCATACAACTCAGCGCTCGGATCTAGCGAGGGACAGGAGATGAAGAGCGACCGTCTACACGTTGGCCCTTCCGCTAAGAAAAAGGGGTACCTTAATATCATCCGTGGCATGCCATTATCGACTCTCATCTTAGCCATCACTCTCATCATCCTGATCATCGCTGCTGGAATCGGCGCCGGAATTGGGGCTTCCATCGGTGCAAAGGGCTCAAACCAGTATAGCCACCTTTCTCTTCTCTCACAATTATCATGAGGACAGCCTCTAAAGTAAAGAAATCGTAGATCATGTAGCAGTGCCGCAACTGTTCCATCACCCGCAACCTCTTCGCCTGACCCAGCCTCAAGCGCCAATGCCACCGCGACGTCATCCGGCGTCTATACCGTCGAAACAAACGTGCTTCTCCCGCTTGACTGTCCCGGCCTCGACAGCACGCCGCAGACCTCCACATTCGCTCATCGGACCTCGACATTTCAAATGTATTGTCGCAACGCATACACCTACGACTCGAATAAGGCAATTCTTAGCATAGTGAGTTTTTTCCCATCGACTCCCCGAGTGAGGATGGCGCGAGAGTTAATTCGCGACGTGAAAAGGTCGTTTACACTCTCCACGACTGCCTGCAGGCATGCGTGTCGTTTAACCACTACGTGAACGCAGACAATTGCACGGCAGCAATGTTTTTCTCAAACTTAACGTCGACGCTTCCGGAATCCGGGGCCAACTGTTTCATGGCGACAGACACAGATGTCTCCTCGCTTGAACCTAGCGAGGAAGGTAACAACTTGGTGACTGCTCTGATTAATTAATAAGGGTCTTGGGGGTATGATATAGTGACTCGTGATTAGGAGGACCTTAGGAAGCCCATATTCGATACTTTTTGAATGACGAATTGTTGGAAGAGCTCATGTCTGGCTGTGTTTCGAGCTGGCTATGTGGGAGCTGAGTGAACATTCATGTCTGCCTGAGCATGAATTACATGCCCCCAACCGCTCCCGGAAAGTACGTCTAGCAAGCTTGGTTATGCCACATTCATAGGAAGCGAACCGAGTATGTGTGTCCGCACATACAATAGTTGCCAGCGCCATACGAGCCGCCCACCACAACCGTGAATTCAGGCACGTCGGCGCCGGCCCGCCATAGCCTTCCGTACGGCCGAAGCGCAAGGCGAACTGCATGTTTAGCTTGTACGCGTGTAACAGCGCGGATCCGCTTAAATGACCTTGCGTTTAGCGAAGTCCGCCGGTTTCTAGTACTCTTATCGAAATCTAAGGTTGTATGCGTTTATACAGTACAGCTGCTAGTGATGGTGACGGCAAAGCGAACAGCGTCGGGGAGTTTTATCCTATGGTCTCGGTCGCGAATATAATTAGATAGTTAATTTTGATTAGTGAGGTTGCCATATTATTAGAATCATATCTGGCATTGACCTCAAACTGTAGAATCCTTACCCTGAAGTAGCAGAGTTGCTACCCCTGTATATCAGAACCTATAACCAGGCAACTCAGAAAGGAGAGCCGTGCAGAGATCTCACATCACCTACGTTGAGAAGTATTACCATCTTTAAACAGGACGCCACGTAAATCTCGTCACAAGAGCACCTCGAAAACGAATTCAGCGGCACGAGTATCACCAACAACACACGCACGCACTCACGTCTTGGAACCAATAAGAAATAAATGAACCAATAAGCAGCTAGATAGATACCAACGATCTACCTAGCCATCCTCGCAAAATCTCCTTCCGGGGATGAAGGACCCGCGCCCTCATTACTTACTTCATTGGGTATCTCAAGTTGCGGCGAACCTATTCAGCCTCAACAACGTATCAATACAATCATGGTACAGTCTCACTCACACCCAGCCTATCTGTGCCCTTCATTACGCACACGATCATCGCAAAAACACTTGTTGTCCCGAACCCAACCTCCACGAGACCATCCAGAATATAAAATAAACGCGCTGCATCCTCATCACCATCCATACCACCCCCAGAATAGATCTTCGCGTTCATCAATCATTCCACCGAGCGAGGGCGCAAATTCCCCGCTCGAAAAAAAAGCCCGCATTGCCCTAGCACCGATGAGACCAGCTCAAAATGCCTAGCCAGGTAGTGAAGCTATGAGTTATGCAAGACGCCGAAGAACCGCTGAAATGCATGTAATATGTCCCGTAAAAAGTATAGACGCCATGGCCTGAACAATATCCCCATACGCTCTGAACGCCTGCGGCCCTGCCAGTCCGGAAAGTGCCATTGTCGGGAACGAAAAAGTTGTGAAAAGAAACCTAGACCCATCGTGTTTTGCGTTTTCCGTGTGCCATTCTAGTGCGGATTGCTGCTATCCATAGTACACGCGACAACGTCTATCTGTCGCTATTAGGAGAGAGAATGGAAAATAAGTAATACAGTAGTGGGAAGAATAAGACGGAAGTCGATAACCGAGCTGAATGCAAGGAGGGATGTAGAAGCTACTTTCGATGGCAAAGAAGCTTCGACACCGTATGTCTCAACTAGGTAGTATATCATGTGACTAGAGGTCTGTCTCGATGAGGAAATAAGGTACGCAAACGAGGTAGCGCGGCGAGGCAACCGTTATGTTGTCCGCGGGCTGCTGCCTGGGTGTCGTTAGTACCAATATGAAAATTTTGGGTATATCCTCCGCCTTCATCCCGCCATATTTCAGCGGTTGCAAGGTATAGCACTGGTTCAAGCAGTGAATGCTAACATGACGAGTGATGTGCAGTATAATGTAGGTAGCATCAAGCTTGCGATCACGAGCCTAGGACAATGCCAAGCTCGAGGAGAAGCTTCACAAAGCGTGTATGAAGTTCGATAAAGAAGTCGGGTAAGCCCACAACTTCGGCAAGTCCACGGGCCTTTGGTGTGAATCCACTTGGTCCCATAGACCCGCCCATTCGTTGCATATAACCGCCTCGACTGCCTCCGGTCAGGAAGCTGCTGGTATCACGGTCTCTGTCCTTCGGGTTGTCGGTGGTGCCTCCGCCGAGGCCGCCCCCGAGCCCGATACTGGTCTCATGAGGCCCCCGACCTCGAATGCGGCCGTTTCGATAAGCAGCGTTCAACGCAGCCACAGCGCTTCCTTCTTCCTCGCGCTCTCGTTCTCTTTCGGCCTCCGCCTCAGCAAGTTCCTGGATCCAAGCAGCAAGGTCGCGAAATGCGGCAGAAATGAAGCTGAATGCTTTCATGGCCAAGCGTTCCCGGTGCGTACTAAGCGCCAGGAAGGCGTAGACTCGTTTGCGGCCACGCGCATGCATGTCAGGGATTCGGAATATGTAGGCGGTGGTATAGCCTGCGGAAGGATCGCCGAAGAATATGGGACCTCCGCTGGCAGCAGATTGTGGAGTGGGTGGTGCGGTGATATAGCCGGGACCAACGGTCATGGCGGAGTTTAACGAGGGCGGGACAGAGGGTGCAGCTCCGAGGAGCGTAGGTGAAGACTGGGAGGCTTCGGGACGCCGTGGGAGAGTCTCGAACGACAAAGTGCGTAAACAGGAGGCACGCACGATCGTGTAGGTAGTGGGCACGGTGGGTTCGTGAGTTGATGTGTAGTCGAGGTAATGCGTGTGATGAGGCATGCCGGACTTCGATGTCGCACTCGTCTGTGAGGTCGATGTGGTGGGTCGATGTGGAGGGCTTGGACGGCCGATCGAGTTCGGAGGTGAGGTCTCTTCTTCGGCGTCGGATGTGTAGGACGACTGCGGATTAGAACATGGCGGGCTTGCATCGGCCAGGCTACCGTACACGCGGGCATACGGGGCACGAGTCCTCATAGTAGGACCTTGGATGTCTGATTTAGAATCAGTCGCCCTGTCAGACTTCGAGTCTGCCGCATTCGTAACATCTTGGCGCTTGGGGAGCGTCAAGGCACAGTTGGCGCAAGGACTTGCGCGCTTCGTTACATATTCGTCGTAGGTGCGTCGAAAACTGGCGTCGCGCCGCGGGGCGCCGGCATTCGTCGCCTTCGTCTCAGGAAACTCGTCGGCATGTCTTCGCGGGCTTTGGGGTGGCGTTTGTACTGCCGATGCATTGGGTCGGCTCGCACTGGTTGCCAGATTTGAAGCTCTTAACATCGCGGTTCGGTGTGTTTGCGCATCCTGGTCAGACGTGGTAGCAGAAGCACTCCGTGTCGCATTCAGGTTTAGTTTGTTCATGGAATCGGTCATAGCTGCCGACGCGGCCGCTGATGGTGTGGAGGTGGCGCATGATCGTGGTCGGCCGATGTCGACCAGACTGTCGTCATAGCATCGCCCGCAGGGGACCGGCAGGCCTTCGGTGACCATTAACGGAGTCGGACCATGTAGATCGCAGTAATGCGCCAAACACAGCTGGATGTCAGTGGTTAGCGACGCGAACAAGATCGGCATGCTGGCGACAGCCATGATGACAATGCTGGCAACCGCAGCGTAAACGATGCGAACGAATGCGCACAACGAACAGACAAGGCGAAGATAGAAACAGATTGATGTGGAGGAGAGAAGCAGAGAGGCTGGATTGGAAGGGCCTCAAAACGACAAGCAGAGAAAAAACATATTGGGTGCGAGTCAGAAAATGGTTGGGTCATTGGGTAGACATTTAGGTTTGGGCAAACAGGGTGAGACCAGGCTGTTGGGACAAGAGCGGAAGCTACACTGGGAGCGTCGGGCACACGTATATGTAAGTAGGCAATGTGCGTGGTGTATGGAGGAATCATGTGTGAGAGAAAGGGATTATCATAAAGTAGGTAAGTAAGTGTTCTGTCGCTGACTGGGTTCGGCCGAAGCAGGGATTGCCCTCGACTTTGGTGCCCCCCGTCCCCAAAGAAGCAACCAGTGTGCTCACAGAGATGGAATCAAGGGAACAACGCGCGTCAGAATATGTGCGTGTGTATGTGTGAGCATCGTCGAGTGCTCGCGGTACGATAGGCACGATAGTGACACCGGTACGCTCTGACGAAACACAATGGTAATGAGATGGTGATAATGAATAATAATGACACTAAACAATAGGGCGAGGGGCACGGCAGATGAGTGGTATACAATGGGTATACATTGTATACATCGCACAGATACTGCGCAGTGTAGATAAGCTTGGGGGGGCCGCTTCTGCTGACCCTATAAGTAAGTACTTATGATGTACTTACTTACATACTTGGGGGCAAATTATGGGAAACACTCCGGGAAATACTTTAGATTTGACTGTCACTGGGCAGGGGGTGCGCGCCTGCGGCTGCGGAATGAGAGATAATAGAGGTAATAAAACGAGGGACGAGACCCATCGTCGACGCCGCGGGCCAAACATACGTAGTAGGTCCTGTAGGCATTCTTGCTTCTTCCGAGGCCTTGGTTGCAAGAGCGCGCGCGACTCTACGCGACCAAGCTCAGCTGGACCGACCGCCAGCAATGCCAAGCATTGGGTACCTAGTCATTGGTAGGGAAGTAGGATATGGAATGATTGGAATCTGCGCATCGCACCGACCCGCCGCCCCCAAATGAGATAAGCCAAGTGAGATCGGCCGCTCTCGTGGGATGGGCTGTCGCTTATCAAGAGCTGTCATGTTGCTACGGCTAGATGTGGCGCCGGGACGAGAGGGAAGGATGGAGGAAGGGGAAGGGGAAGGGGAAGAGGGGAGGGGAGGGGAGAGGAAGCAAAGCGGGAGACGGGAGGGGGGTAAGATGAGACCAGCACAAAAGTACAAGAGCGCCTCAGCTTCGCAACACCAGCAATGCTACAAACGTGAGGCGGTGAGGAGCCCTGAGCTACCATTCGACGAGGTTCAATGGGGTTCAATGGGGGATGGGGGAAGGGGGAACAACCAACGAGGAGCGTGGAAATCAACCGGGAGGCATGGCAGCCATGGCAGCCATGTAAAGTACCTAGCCAAACCCCAGGCCAAGAAGCAAATCAGACAATCCAGACAAGATAACGCCGGTGAGACAGGCGAGCAAGACGGTCAGACAAGCACAACCGAAGCAGGAGTTTGCGCCCCTCAGCATCGACGAACAGGGAACGGGGAACCGGTAACGGGCAGCGGAAGATGCGGAAGACATGGAAGCATGAACAACGAAAAGGATTCAATCGTTGGAATGGATGGAATGGAATGGAATGGGAAAAAGGTAATCAATCTCCAGGCACTTACAATGGACGTCATGACGACTGCGCGCCCTGCCAGGGGTATTATGCAAGGTAGAGCCGACTCTTGCTCTCGGTACGTCCCAAGGCCGTGGCCCGTTTCTCGAAGCAATAGTATGCCGGTTATCGATGGCCGATGGTGTTGCAACCGTTACCTCTGCCTTAGTATTGGGGTATTCAAGTTGCTGGAGCGAGGCCTGGTTGTCGTGCGGGGCGCGTGCCTTTTGCGGCCGTCTCCTCTTCGCAGATGCTCTCTAGATGTCTCGTGTATCGCTGTTGTTCGCAAAAGTTGTCTTGCGCTCTGTCATGTAGCCACGGTATAAGTTGATGCTGCGATATTTGACTCAACTGAACCGTGTGCCGTCGGATAATAAGGAGTGACACTACTGCGTCTGGCGAGGACTACGGAACATAATTTCCAGAGAACGCTTCGGTTTAATAATAACGTCTCAGCGCCAAGCCCATGGGTATGAGCAACGCGTCCAGCAACGACGAGGCGTAGAGAAACCGTCGAGTGATTTCGGGGAGTTCGGATGAGTTCGCCGAGCGGTTCCACGCAAGATGTTCGTAGAAAGGTCAACGTTACAGCCCTCGATCAGACGTTCTCACCCAGGTCGGATGATTTTAAGGGATACTGGAAACAAGGACAATCCGGTATATCCAACTAGTGTAGGTCTCGACCTCGGAAGAGTGAGCAGAATCAGCAGGGCTACCAGGATGCGCGCAGACTATGAGGTCGGCGATAATCGTCGCCTTTTCAACATAAGTCGTCTGGTTTAGGTCCACGCTTTCTTGTATGCACGACTGTACATGTAAAGAGGTAATAATATTCCAATACGGGCGACTGTGTACGCTTGGGGCAGTATATCCAATAAGGGAGAAAATAAAGGAAGAAGGGTCACCCTGGAGTAAAGAAGGGTCGGAAGCTGTACTCTTTTTGTGATCGCCTCATCGAGTTCGTCGAGAACCCGACAAGATGCCTGTCTGCGCTTATCGGCAGCGCTTTGGGTCCTCAGGCCCCTCTCTCTTATTGCCAAACGTCGCAGGCTCCTCGCAAACTCCTCCTGGGCCTCAAAGCGGAGTCGAATTACCAATCGACCCAGGCACGCAAGGTGAATGGCCAGCTCGTGGAGAGAGACATGGGCGGGTTGTGCAACCGGCTGTAAAGCTAGACCGCATGGAGAGCTTCCAGAAGACCGGCTGGAAGGCAGGGATGACAGGAACGGGGCAGCTAACGAGCAGGTCTCCGAGCAAGGTCTGGCACACTACATGGCAGATACATGGGCTGGCCTCGGCCTTGTCGCGTGTCGAGCTACCTACACTACCTACATCACTCTACCCTAGACAGAGTGGGTCCAGCAAAACACCACACACATGCCATTTTCCACCAAAACTCTACAACTTCCAGCGCTAGCCATACAGCCAGATCATACAAGATAATTCTGAAAGTTGGAAATTAAATAAAAGGTATTCTGAAGAATAGCATATTCCAATCTTATATTTTTTCAATTTTTCTACGTAAATGTATAAGGTAATAAGGTAAGTAGACAGAATATAACTAATCATATATGGTAACTATAAGCTATTAAACTTAAAAGGTAAATAAAACATTTATTTTAAATAGGAATTTTATAGAATTTATATATAATATAATTTAAGCATTTTTAAATAATTTTATTTACTTTATATATTTTTCCTATTTTTATTAGCTATTGTAGACCTGTTTGAATATATAGAGTTTTGGTGGGAAAAGGGCCTAAATGGCATGTGTGTGGTGTTTTGTTGGACCCACTCTGCCTAGACTAGTCAGTCATGCTAATTCCAGAGTCAGTACAGGGCAAAACAGGGGTCCCAGACTCCCAATTGCCATGTGCCTGGCGACCTGGCGAGTCGGGAATTGTACGACTTTGCCATTAGTACCTAGCCTATACATAGTCTGGTATAGCATCTGAGCAGAGAAGGACAGGATCAGCGCCTAGTCGGCATTATACAACGTACTCTAGAGTAGTCTGCTGAAAATGATTATTGATCAAGCCAGTTGCTTGTTCCGCTGTATCTCACATTGTCCCTACTGACCTAATAGTACCCAAGTTATCTCCATGCTTAGTATACGGGTTTGAAGTGAGTCGGGGTCATAAAGATTCACGGAGTAATGGAAGTTTATAGATACTCGAGAGAGTGAAAAAATGACTCGTCTGAGATTCTATTACCTGATTCCTAGTGAGGCAGGTACACCCATCTTATTAACTCCCATTCAACTAGTGCGGTCATCACTTCCGCTTGCTTTCCCAAATAAGGAACCACTAGTCTCAACTTTCCATGTCGTTTTTTAACTCACCGACACTGCCGTTGTAAATCACCGGTTTTTGCTCGTCATTCCTTTTTGCTTACTTCTCTTTTTTCTTTTGTTATCCCTTTACAGATTCGTTGAGTTGGCAATACATGAGCTGATATGGCCGTTGTGTGGCGGCAGGTATTAGTTGGCCTTGGGCCGTTTCCTATGAGTTGTAGCTCGAACATTCACAGAAAGCTTCAACCCCTCTCTAGATAATACTGGAGTAGTGTACGTAATCGGCCCTAGGAGAGCCCACGCTAATTCCCCCCTGCTTGGCATGTTTGGGCGTTTTCCACGGCTGCGGGTTGGTTCCCTGCTATTCACATCTTCAAGTGTCAGTCCGAATCCCAGCAACTGAGAAACGCGCTTGTAATCGCAACATCGTTCATTGGCTGGTAACTACTAACTTACTCGAGATATGGGTTTCTTGTGGAACCAGTTCCTCTGCTCTAGTGCTTTTGCCAATCCACCGACGGGCCTACTTCTTACATACGGTACTTACAAACTTAGTAGGACCTCCATGAGTAGTCTAACTTGCTTTAGTTCGTTTCATGGGACAGAGCACAGGGACCCGTAAGAGCATTACCTTGCCAAAGATCATCACTATGAAGTATAGAATTGCCGAGAATAGAAGAGAATTCGGTCCGGCAGAGTGGTTAACACCGGTGTAAACAGGGATTCACCGCATTTTAGCGGAGGCCTGTCTGACGCTTCGGTAAAGATACCTAGGCGAGCGATGAATGACAACATGAGTAGCACAGCCAAAGCTCAAGAGAGAGACAACGTCAACGTCAACGCCAAGAAAAACAGCTGTACCGTAGCTGCCTCTCTTTTGAGCTCGCTTACCCTAGTTCTGAACACTCTCTTACCGACAGGCACAGCTATGCGCCCAATATTGATAGGTAGAACTTCCATCTCGTCGGCCACGAGGACCTATGCAGCGTGATATGCACGACACGTATACTAATAAACCTGCAATGTGCAACGGGCTGCATTCAAACTGCTGCAGTGCCTGACTATGTACCTACATATGTACTCCCCTTCGTGCAGCGATTGGTCCCTCTCGCCTGCATGACTTGAACATCTTACACCACAACACACGGCTGAAGCGCATATTTACTTTCTTATCGCGTGCCAGGTGGTCTCAGTTTTCTTTTTTATTTCCTTTTTATTTTGTTTTGTTTTTTTCACAGGGCCCTGTAATGTTGTCTGTAGGATACCTAGGTATACTTATGCCTTGCCAAAAGAAAGTATCCAACACTCTTGGGCATCAACTTCTGTCGGCTATGCATCAGCTAGTCAAACCTAACCGGAGACAGGTGAGGTAGGTATCCTACCCACCCACCCGATCTACTCCTACCTAGGAATAGACCACGGTTAGGCAGTCCAGAAATGCTCCAACCTCGGATATTCCGATGGGAACACGGATTGATCGTCTCTTTGTGTCGGGGATTAACTCATCGCGTAGGTATTACTGATACTTAGCTCCTAGCTGAACACCGGTCCGGCACCGGTTATTTGTAGGTTCGAGGAGCAGCGAGGAGCAGATCGTTGTGTGGGTATGTATCTGGGTCTCAGTAATGCACAAATCTCGGTGGACATTGATTACCCCGCCATTGAAACAAGTCGATCAGCCTCTTGACCTACCTAGTAAGACAGTATTTGATAGACACAATGTAGGGATTGCTGCGAGCTCGTCGTCACAGGTTCTTCTCCCCCTCTTTCTCTGCCCGTCTCCAGGCTAGCGAACCTGTCATGGAATACCGGGAGACAAACGTGAAGCTTATGAGGTCATGGGAGGAAGCTGAATTGGTGCTTCTTTCATTATTTACACTCAGTCAGTCACACCGGGTAACTACCTACCTAGGTAACTTGAACACTGAAACCGTCAAGGCACAGCTTTACGCCGAAGTGTTCCGTTCGGTGCCGAGATTGCTCGAGAACCAAGTGCAAACGCCTTTGTACACGCGCCGTTCAGAAAAATCCATCAAGCTTCGTGCCCTCACTACTACCATACTACTATGTAAGTAAGTACACACCCGCTCGGGCTACGCAGCGTGGCGTGGCGTGACAGATTCTGTATAGTATGCCTAAGTAAGTCCCTGGTTATATTCAGGGGAAAGGTCTCCATCCCCGTTTGTTACATGTTGCGCCCCGTTCCAGCTCCGTTTTCAGCTGCACGCACTATACTTAGTATGCCGAAATGAGAGCATTGCCGGCGTGAATGTGGGCTACCGAGACACATACCTACCACTGCCATCATCCCCGTTATCGACGTATCGACTAAGTAGGTGCTCTGTTATGCTCGATCTATTTGTGCATCGCTATGCCAAGGCGAGTCTCCGATACAGGCTAATACGGTACCTACATGTTTATCAAAGCGTATTTTCTCGAAGCTGGCGGACTTCCACATGTCGCCGCCAAGAATCCAATCAGCAAGTGTTTAGAGAATTTATCACGCCACTGCCTGTTCAAGATGGAGACCAAGCTTTCCATTTCCTGGAACCTCGTGGCATGTCAAGGATGCAAATCCATTGTTCTTACTTGGAATGCCCAAAGCACAGTACGTGCTCCTCCTCCAAAGGTTACAGACATGTGAGCGTGGACTGGTCGAGGTACGCGAACTGCTAATTCATGATCATGAAAAGCGCCCGGCCGACATTGTCCGACTTTTTCCGTTTGCCAGGGCTTTCGAGCGTGAATGGTTGGTTACACACACTGAGCCGGATATTCCCGCCGAAATCTCGAACTGATGTGGTTGTCTGATGGTTGTCTGTTCCATCTTGCGGCCCAATCCCGAGTTCTTTTGGTCTTCCGCGTCCCACCCGTTTTGGTAATACCCTCCGAGAATCCGGGGTGCATTGGGCTCGAGACACGTACCCGTAAAAGATCATGAGAGGACACGGCCCAGGATGTAACCGCACGGTTGGAACAGATGGGGAATTTTGCCAAACCACGTGCAAAACCACGCGTGCTGAGGGCCTCATGCATTGAATCAAGATTCGCTCGCTTGGTGCTCAATGCCTGAACCCGGGGTATCCTTTCAGTCACTCGATTTTGCCCAGTTCCCCATCTCAGCCAGTGCTAATTACTAACAATACTTGATCGATGTTACAGTATGTACCTCCTGGCTCACGCGAAGATAGATTATAGCCCATCTTCATCGCACGGTCACCCTATCATCATAAGTAGCCATCCGAGCAATATACCAAGTCAGCTCTTCTACAAATACACAACTGACATCAACAACCAATTCTCTAGCCGAGTTTATTGCCTGCTACAGATAAGGGAAACGTACGATCCTCGCAGTTGACCTTTTTCTCTTTTTAATCTTCTTATTTCTTCGGTCTCTCTGCCACATCATGTCCTGATGATAGGATCTTCTATTTTGATGGATAAATAGACCAAGCAGGCAAGCAAGTCGGTACTCCGAAAATAGACACAGGCGTTCACGAGATTGGCTATACTACTATGTAAATAAGCCAATGCGCGATATAATGTGCAGACACGGGTCGGCTCGAGGTTCTTGGCATTTCACGTGGGCGCGTGCAAGGGTAAGTGAAGTCATGCCGTCAAAGCGCTGCATTGACGAAGGGATGTTTTACACGCGACGACTGATGATGGTTCGTCCGAGATCTGAGCCCTGCCACGCGCCATGATGAGACCCCATCCAACGCTCAAACAAGACCATTCCTGCTCCGTGTTTCGGTTCCGTACCATGGTTGCCTATATCACGGTAGACATATGCCCATACCAGCGGCAAGCTAGAGAGTCTACCACCTACACTCCCGTAGTCTACCCGTAGTATACTCAGTGTACGTAGGTTTGGGTCGTACTGAGGTCGAGGTCGTATATATCCATCACCCTTAGTATTGGCTTACCATGCCACGCCTGATGTATATTTGCAGCCCGCACCTACGCCAGTAAAGCAAGACATTTGCTGCATGACTCTTTTGCAACCACACTCCTCCAGATTGCCTACTTTATGTACGGCCCACCACCCGCGCGGCGGGGATTAACCTTCCTGTACAGATTAGGAACGACTTCTCAATGCGGTCGTGATCTTCTTTCTCTTTTAGGATTCCTGTGCCGCCTGGGATTGATTCCTTGCTGCACGGCTACGAACTGCTGCATGTATACAGTACTATCGCTTAGGCGGCTGATGTTCCGTTCCCGCCTTGCATTAAGCCGTCGAACCTTGGTGGTGTTCAACACTTAAAGTGGTAGCACTATAGTCCGTTTCATTGTGAGATATTGCACGACGTTGACGTCGGGTGGAACGAGGGGAGAGTTTGGTGTCGTAGTGTTGACGGCAAGACGGCGCGCTTCGCACTGGTTACAGCCCATATTGCTTGATCCGTGCGTCAATGCCTGCAATCAAGGATGTACACAGTAGGATATGTCTTGACTTCTGTCTCAAGAAAGAAGGACAACCATCTTGTGTGGTTAGGCAAAGGGTACTAGACGGTGATAACTCAACTTACCTAGACAAGACTGGTACATTGAAACTATCAGATAGTGATGGGCCAATTTTGCACATTAATAGTCGTAGTCTAAGACCGTGGAGCTGGTTCCTTTTACCTTTTGTGATAACGACTATCCAGCCAGCTGTAGTAGCAAGAACACAAGCAGCAAAAATGCTAAAGACGAAATATCACGAACCTCAGATCACTAAAACTACCCATTCCGAATATCATTTTAAGTATGTTGTTCTTAATGCGATTTTAGGGAAGTTCTATTTTCCATATTGCACTCACCCCATATAGCTATCTCTGTGACATGCTACTTTACATCGTATGACGGACGGCGTATCTAGTTTCGTTTCGTTTCATATGGGTCAGCCGAGCTACAATGCGTAAGTAAGGACATTGTCCGTTAACAGTAGGTATGTCCCTGAGAGCTACCAAAGCTCAATAATGAGACTTGTGAAGAACGGTCTAGACTTTGCGTATATTCCCCGCTGAAGCAATCTAAGGGGAGTAAAAAAGCATACTTGCCAGCTGAGTGCTATATCAGCAACTATGGCATCACCCTCTCCAACCTACGCTGGGCCGAGAGTCGATTGGTATGATGTGAGCAATCCTGAGATATCCTTTTTGTACATTATGTGGGCTTAAGAGAATAGTAATATTGAGAATAAGGGAATCACTTACCCAAGTTCGGGGTAACAATCTCGAATATCTGCAACGCCGATAAAGTCCGAGCCAAGCTGTATTCACTTCTCAGAGCTATCTCATAATCATCGAATGCATATATATCGAGAAAATAAAATTGGAAGCAGATTATCAATGATATCATCGAAATTTTTTTTTTTTTTTGAAGTGGTCATATATGAAAAATTCAAAAAGCCAAATATCCAAATATCAAGGATGCTTGAGGATCATGCTGGAAATACTTATCAAATCATAGTAGAGAAGTCCCAGCATATATAGTGACAGATAATGAGCACTGACACCACGTCAAGGACCTTGAATTTTTCACATGTACTCATGGAATCGTTTTATTTCGTACCAAGTCATGTAATTCGTACTGTGTAAAGCCCGTGAATCTTGGTATCTGACGACCTCAAGAAAATGGAGACTTGGGCCGTTCCAACATCTTCCCATCAAGTTCAATATCGACCTTCTCATTATAAAAACACAAGCAACCCGCAATGGCTGCACACTCCAGCTTTGGAGTCTTGTAATACCAAACAATGTCCTTCAGCCTCTGCTCATCCCCTTCTCTGCCCCTCCAAGCAGAACGTCGTAATAATTTGCCTCGCCCTTATAAGGACAGGCAGTGACGGTCGCACTCTCACGCAGTAGATCCAATCGCACCGACGTGACAGGGAGATAGAACCTCACCGGTAGTCCGGTCTCATAGAGCTGAAAGCAGGACGGGGCGCGAGCGACTTCGGTACCACGAACCAAGATGCGTACAGGTCTCGAGGAGAACACGACGTCGACGCGCTTGAACGGGTCTTTGGGGTGGATGTCAATGCGCGCATCCTCTTCGAACCAAGCGTCTACGGCGCTGAACTCAACGCGGACTAGATCCTTCAGCACACCCGCCCGAAACACGATGACTCGATCCGTGGAGGCGCCGCCAGCGCTCAAGATAGCGAGCCTGTACCCGTCTCCGGCGGAGGAAGACGCGGGAGAGTCCGGGTCCGAGAGGACTCCCTCGGCAAACGACTCGCGCGGCACGTAGTACGTCGGGTAGTAAGCGTGTTCCCACACGTAGACGGCGCGTGTCGTGTCGGCGACATAGGTCCCGCCAAGGCGGACACGGACGCGCTTCGGCGCCGCGGGGAGGGTCTTGACGGGCCCATTGGCGAGCAACGACCGCGCGAGCTCGTCTAAATTCTTGGGTGGGGGCGGCATTGAATTTTTTTTATTTTTTATTTTTCTTTTTTCTTTTAATTCACTCGCTTCCCTTTTCTGTGTGTGTGTGTGTGTGTGTGTGGATGACTATACGAATACCTATGTATCATCTATCTACTGTACTCACATGCAAGGATAATAAGTGTACCTAGACTTGTATTTACGGGCCCTGATGGGGCAGAGGGTGGTTTACCGCGGTCACGTAAGACTAGGATCAAGCGTAAGTACCTCGAAGCGAATTCTCGAAAGATACTTCTTTGCAGGATCCATAAACGCTAGCGCGTAAAAAATACCTGACTAGGTACACTTAATCCAACATGGCAGAGTAAGTAAGCAAATCCCGACCTATCCTCACCTCGGATATTTTACAAATCATACCTTAGGTAAGGAAGTATGCATGTAGGTAGGTAGCCTTGGGTCATTTGTACGCATCTCATCTCGCTCCCCGCATTTGGTATCCCTACCTATGTAGGTAGGTAGTGAGTAACGCATACCTACGTAACCTCGAGTGTGTCTGCTGAGAGAATGACGACGAAATATGGTATTTTGCGATGACCCACGCTAATTCCTAATACAGTAATTATCGAGGCCTCTAACCCCGGTGCCCCGGATACGTCGCTCTTTCGCTAAGGAATTCTTCCGATACGACAGCGGTCACGAAGGATTCTTCAACAATTCACTAGTGGCACCTGCGATTACGGGGTTACGAGAAAGAAGTAGGTAGGTACTAATAGTAAAGATAGTAGGTAAGGGGGTGTGGTGTGCTGGATTTGACCTGACGGGACCTACCCGTAGCGCCTCCCCACATCCCTCGCTTTCGCCCTTCGCCCTTCGCCCTTCGCCCGTCACCCGTCACCCCGTCACCTTCCCGTGACCACCTCTTGTATGGGTAGGTAACACCACGATACTCCCTTTTACTTACATTCCTATACGTACTGAGTACACATACCTGAATCCAGGTAACCTTAACCTTGTAGGAGCGGTGTTGGTACGGTGCTACCGCTGTGCTGTTGCTGCTGCTGCTGCTGCGGATTGTCCTCTGCTGCTCTTAAGCTCGTCCCAGCGTCAGCGTCACAGTCACATCCCTTCCCTCGCTTCCCTCGCTTCCCTCCACACCATGGACCACCTCACTTCGCGCTTTCGCCGCACCAAGAGGGAGTCCCCGAGAGCGTCCCCCACGACGCCGTCGACTCAGCATCCTTCTCCAACTTCGCCAACTTCTGCTGACGCCAAGCCCGCCGTTCCATCTCTTTCCATCACCACCACGCCCCTGACGACGCCGCCGGCGTCCAGCAATGGCTCTCACAGCCTGTTGCCCAAGTCTCCTCTCCGCAGCTTCGGTCCTTTCCGCACGGCCCGTAAGAGAGCACGTTCGCCGCCAGCACTGCAAACCACCAACTTCCCTGCTGCCGTCATGGCTAATCCGTCGCCCGCTGACACACCTGTCGACACGCCCGTTGACGAGTCTGTGACCCCGTCCGAGCGCTCCCATAAGCCACAGTTACCACCCTTCCTAAATCTCCCCGACGCAAGTATGTACTCCGCGCGTTACAATGTGCTGGCGGCTTTTGCTCCGCCTAGACTGTGCTGACACACTCACTTCCAGTAATCGGGTCCAGGTTTCAGGACCTTATTTACCGCGAGCGTCTCCGCAGCCAGCAGGGTCTCCAGAATCCCTCGTCAAACTTTCAATTCGCACGACTCCTATCCCCCGAGACTAGGCTGCTGGACCGCTACAGAGATATCCAACCATGGGCCAACAATCGTGTTCGTCTTCCCGTGCCCGAAGGCAAACTTGACTACATCAACGCCTCTCCGATCGTCTCCCCATCGCCGCTCTGTCCAGATACGCTCCCAAGTTTCAACTACATTGCCATGCAAGGACCCAAGGCGAATACGGTTGAACACACCTGGCGGATGGTTGCTCAGATGCAAAGTCCAGCCGTTATAGTCATGCTTACCGATACACACGAGAACTTTATGGAGAAATGTTACCCATACTTTCCTCGTAACTCGCATACCGAAGGAATCGAGATTGGCGAGATGGACGAGTTTGAGGACGGCTTCCGTGCTCGGATCGAATGTGTCAGCCTGGAAGAGAGGCACGCAGGTGCTATACAATTGCGTAAACTAAATCTCCACGTAGACGGCCGCGGTGATACTGCTGTCTGGCATCTTCTGTACCGAAAATGGCCCGATTTTGGTGTTCCGAACGTGGATGATTACGACGGCTTTTTTGAACTCATGAGGCTCTCCAGGGATTTGAACTCCAGCACAGATAACCCTCGTATCATCCATTGTTCTGCTGGAGTCGGACGAACCGGTACATTTATAGCCCTAGAGACTCTGATGCGTGATATTAATGAAGGAGCTATGGACCACCTAGACCTGGATCCGGACGATGAAGATTCTGACCCTGTTTTCAGAACTGTCAATCATCTGCGTGAGCAGCGGCGCATGATGGTACAAGCTGACAGCCAGTACGCCTTCATCTACAGGGTACTGCGTCGGCACTGGCTCGAAAGGCATGATCTTATAGACCACGCCACGGATAATGAACGCGCATGCAAGAGGTTAGAGGTTTATGATGATCCCTTTGTCGAGAACAACGGTTAACCGTGTTTCAAGAAATCATACTACACCCCTGAGAAAAACTACACTTGGGCAGGTGCGCAGGTCGCGCCGTGCCCGACCAGCTCCTCCAGTCATCGACGACAGCAGCGATGATTCAACGCCAGGTGGTGCATCCCTCCGTGACACAGAAACCTAATCCTATACATAAGCAATGAGACCACGACGACGTATATCTTCTCAAACTTGGTGGCATATTTCTACGCTATCCCCCCTTTATATAGACTAATATGGGTTTGAGATTCACGCGCCAACATATAATAGCAACCTCAATCGTGGGCCATTTCGATTTACGCGTCCTACGACGCGTGTACAGATAACCTGGTTTGGTATCATATGACAAAAGGCTTGCATTCCATTGGCGAATAGGAAAATTCTTGGGGATTGTTAACAGGGAAACGAACAGGGGGGGGACGAGCATCTTTGTATTACCACGATTGAGACAGGAGTACAGGGGAAAACCGGCGCCTGGCCCTGACCTGATAGAAGGGCTGGACCATGATGATGAACTGTTTCGTTCTAGATACCCCTTCCTGCATGCTTTTATTAGAGATAGATTCAAGGCATATAATTGCTTATTACTCGTATGAGATACGGATTCACTCAGATCATTGTTCACCGTGTCTTTGGGCGGATTTGAGTACCATTCGTTACCTCTGTATAGTTCTAGCTACCTATCCACGTCTACAGTCTGGGAGATTAAAAACTTTTACATAGTCTCATACGTACCCAAAGATAATTAAGAGGCGCATAGCGTATTACTCGTCTCTAGTTATATCAGAACGATCAAAACCCATCTCACCCGATACAACTGCACTACCAAAGAAGTGAGTATCGCCAATTCCTCAATATTAAGGGGAAATAGCGGGGTAATATATGGCGCCTCGGGTTGATCATCTTGCATATCCTTCTTAGTGGCTATTTCTTTGATAGCGAGGTCAGGAGTGTATTGCCGTGTTGGCTTAGTCTCGCGAGGGTCCACTCAATGGGTGCCCGCGAGTGAGACAATTCGTATATGCCTAAGTCTAGGTATAGCAGAGACAGGGGACTTATTGCATTGCTGCAGCCTTGCAGTTGAGATGTCCAAACGAATGTGGGGAAACGCGAGAGGTATAATTAAGTTTCAGTAGGGCACTCGAAAAATGCAGAGGTTTGCTGGGTGCTTGGAACGTACAGGGCTTGATGGTCGTCTTATCTCAAGGATTCAAACTATAAAGGGGGGAGGTGGAAGACGCGGATTCCATATGTATATGGGCCTTTATATGCGAAATGACGAAGCTTTATAAAAAAGGGAGTATATCAAAATCTTGAATGATGCAATGGTACAGTGAGACGAACAGAGTACTTTTTGACTGGGGGTTTATATAGGCGTTGACTCAATCATTACGTCTCTTCTCTCTTGTTCTAGTGTCAATGAAGAATAACGTGCAGAGAGACTCCAAAATTCACCCGGGCAATTAACTATTTGAGCTTCTAATTGAATTAAACCGACAACTTTTCTTTGTCGGTGAGAGTGGGCTAACAAGGACACCTTCCTGCGTCAAATTCCCCACGCAGCCAGAAGCAAGGACCTCTTATTGATTCGATTCGACAATACTACAAAAAGAGACGTCTATGCACCTTGTGACGAAAGTAAGTACATAGTTTATTTTGGGATTTCAATACTATTTGGTGCATACGTGAAGCCGCTAAGCTACAGTCCACGATGTATCTCTCCTATTGCTATAAGACTTAGTCTACCGAAATCCTGATGTCCGCGAGGTTAGTGTCTATAGCGGTCTCCCAAATCCTAGAATACTCTCGAGCAGCCCTAGGCACATGCTATCATCGTCGGCCATATGCACACAAAGAACAGAATTCGCTGTTAGGTCTGAGGCCAACATTGCTTCGGTTGTATCCTTCGATCATAGCCTCATAGGCGCCATTATGGTCCATGACCATTTTGAACTTAGGGAGCTGTCTAAGCTCTTCCGCGGCCTCTTCCTTGGCCAGAGAAACCATTTCCTTGACCCAGTGTTTGAATTCGCGCTGGACCGAATGCTGAGAGTCGGGTGCCAGCCCAGGGCTATACCACATGCGATGCCGCCAGTAACGAACAGAAAATGTGTCGACGTGGTGAAAGCCAAAGTCGGCGGTGAACCAGGTATCTAGTATCCTGTAGTGCTCGGACATCTGGTCCTCATCTATCTCCATGTCGAAGTCTTCATCAAACCACTTAAGGCTATTCTCCAAGCCTTTAAGCGGCCTGCGTGCTATATGGGCGCAACTTCTATGTACAGCGTAGAAGCTCATCGCCAGATAGACCGTTTTGAGCGATGGCAGAAAATATGTGAAGAAATGCGCAGGGAATGGACTAACTTCATCACAGAGTTGATCATAGTTTGGCGCAGTTATTGTTCGTCGGACCTCTGCTGGTCCATTGATTTCGATAGCAATGTGCTTAATCTTCCCCCTAATTTCGGCATCGAAAATGCTTGTGACGTAACGTTGCTTGCCGCGCCGAAAGTAGAACATGTCGATGTCCCAGTTGACATAAAAGAACTTGTGCAAGATAGGATGCTTTTTTTCCTCACCCTCCATGTAGCAAACACCACCTCTAAAGCTGTGAGTTTCGTACGTGTTATCCGCCTTAAACCGATGTAGCTGGCGACCGGCGAGGACGACTTTTCTCGCTTCCCGACTAACTTGTATTAACGCCCGGATAGTGGGAAGATCATATATCCAATCCTCATATTCGTTGTAAAAAGCCATAGAAGTCACCATGATACGAAAGAGGTTTTCACCAGGAGATATGGTGTGCAACATGGGACTTCTAGGTAGTCTATAGTAAGACCAAATCTCATGGCGTAGTTCGGTGGGCAGCCAATTGAATAGTGGAAATCTTCGTGCCGGCATGATTTATGGAGTTGGTGACTCGTATCTGTTGTAAAGATTGGTTGATGGGGGTTGACACTCTGCCTCTGTTTAACTAGACTGAAGGAAGAAATAGGTAGTGGTAAGGGTTGATTGAATATGATACTATTAAATAGTCAGCGGAAGACTGAAAGAGACGCAATATCAATTTTTCTTAGGCTCTGATGAGCTGTTCAACGTGTTGCGTGATCCTTGAATGATTGATCACGTCCAGACGCCTCCTTACATTTGTCACACTCCCTAGGTCATGGAAGGGAGTGTCATGTTTCATCATATCTAGGAGGTCAATGATACGCTCCAAAGATAGCCTGCTCACGCCTCGTCATGCCCATACCGTTTACCCTCAGTGAATCAATTTCTTTCTGCTGTTTTAATATGTATACTACACTCCATTAAGCCCTATCATTGCTCCACGGCGTGTGGATCTTGGAGCACAACATGCTACGATTATCTACTCATGTGATTTATAGGCTTTCTCGTAACATCTATCTTCAAGGGCGGAATTCCGTGTAACGCTCGAGCGACGCAAGGCAACTAAGTGAAATATCCCCTCATGGCATGTTTGTACTTAGTTCTTGCATATATGGTTACTTTCATATATCACATGGGCAATCCCTTGCTCTGGCTTAGCAGTGAATTTGATTCGCAAAGATATTGTGTGTTCAAGGAGGGGGGAAAACATAACATTCTGCTCCAAGATGTAGGAAACTAGGGAGGCGTACTCCTTACACAAACAAACAATTACCTCAACTTCCGAAGAATTAGACTGGCTCTGAAGCCGGATTCTTTTCGCCCCGCCCTTTGTAAACCTATCGTGTTCCAGTGTATGTGGGTAGACACAAGTTCAGGCGAACGTCATACAGTGAATGCATTCTTTTAGCGAGATAGTTGTACTGTGATAATGATTTGATAAAGGTGTTGATTTCTCAGTGGCTGAGTTTCGCAATGCATGAAGTAGAAGATTAAAAAAGGCGATAAATCTCCTAGATGTATTTAACATTTTAGTTCTTACAGTGCATATATACATTCCTCTATTGCCATATACACCTGAGTGACCCTGGCTGGAATCATTCAGAGACGCCGATGATGAGAATGCTATTAGGGATGTCATTACTCTAATGAACAATAAAACCATGTATAGACCATCGCACGAGTGAATAAGCGTTTATACCAGCGTTCTTACTGGAATATGAAGCATTTATTAAATGAGCCTTAGAAAAGCCTGTTGAGAAATGTGAGTTGTGATTACTAGCAATAGGAGGCTGCTTTAGAGACCTTCTAACAAATGAATAATGCAAAGCTTTGCACTACAGTATCTTTGTGAGATGGTCAATTTCATGATCTATATCCGGAAAAAGCATGTCCTTGTGTCCCCCTCGTTCGACTCAGTAGGCATACAAGGTACTCTGTTTATCCGACACAAGTTTGTCCGAAGAAAACTCCAATTGCACTCCCAAGTGATAAGTCGAGTCACAATTATCCGATCATATTATCACTACGAGTCTCGAATTTGATGAGAATGGAATCCCTATAGACCCAGGAGACAGCGGAGATGACCACAACAGGGTTTCGCCCTTAATGCGCGGTAGTGAAATCGTGGAGGCTAGGCTCAGGATGGGGACGCAAGAGGTTAACGAACGGGCTAGAGAGGCGCGAGATTATTTCAACAACTTTATGCACTTCGAATACGAGAAATTAGTCGGTAATGGCGCTTTTGGGATCGCAGTCCGTGTTAAGTTGACGGGTGTCAGGCGCTCACGTAGGCTGATTGTTAAGGGGGCGCGAAATGAAGACGCCGCCCATGAACTACTGCATGAGATCGATATAATGGCAGTAAGTTGAAAAAAAAAACATTCTCACACGAGAAAAAATTAGGTAGGAGGGATGTGGCTCTGGTCGAGAGATACGCGTATGGGTAGACTATGCTGACTATACCGCTTACTCGCAGAATCTGAACGGCTCAGCGCATATAGCAAGTGTCATTGCGTATAATGATGGTCGAAGGTATCGACGTCGTCCACGTAATGTAAGCCATCTTCGATCAAGGTTCGTTAGGCAGCTATCTAGCACCTTTGGGCTCAGAGAGCCATCTTACTTCTTGGCTGGGCTCGCCGGCCCCTCGTTGGCCCTCGAATAATACCTCGAAAACGGAACAATGGATCAGTTCGAGAATAAATTGTACGGCAACCGCGAGACAGTATCCAGTAGGATTTTGTGGAGAATATTTCTCTGCTGTAGGTCACGCTGAGACTTCCGTAAAGGGATCATGTGGAATAATTTAAGGGCTGACCCGGAGTGTTAGTGATCAGGGCATGCGTTGCCATGAATTATCCACCAAATGAACCATCAGGGGCCGATCCAACCCTCGAAGAGTTGGGTAATACACCTTCAAGCGGGCTCGTTCACGCTGATATGCATCCCGGTAATAGTAAGCGATTATTCCGTTTTCGCACTAATAAATTGGCGTTCTCTACTTAGCTGACTCGAAATAATAAAGTACTCTTTGGAACAACAGGAGATTTCCCAGAACATTCCATCGTTCCCCCAGTCAAGCTGATAGACTTTGGACTGAGCTATCAAAGTCCTGTGGCCGTAATGCGGAATATAACGGATATAGCAGAATATGATGTGGCTGATTATACAGAGGCTCGTACCTCTCGGGCTTTTGGCCGTGAACTATAATGGTATAATGACGGAGGGATCGCCGCTTCTGGATGCGCGATGGGCCGAAAAAACCCGGCACCTAGACCCAGAACTGCTTGACATATTACTTCGTTGACCTCTATCTGTTTCTGGTAGCGACATGATCCCATTGCTAGGTTTCGACAGAATCTAGCACTTCATTTGGCCATGTTAGCCACTGTGCCCAATATTCGCCTAGGAATGCGGTGATAGAACGGATGATAAAGGCACCGGCGCCGCCAGATACCCAGTAGCCCTTCGCATCGTGTATGAGGAGTGCGTAGTATGCAACGATAATGAGAGCCTCTGGTTGTCGTTTCTCTACAAGGTTGATGAAGCTCGACGGCACCCGAACGGCCCACTGATGTAAGCGCGTTGCTCGGAAGCGCCTATTATTGGGTTTTTCTTCAACATGTGATACGTCTTGCAGATATTGTAGAGCGGTGTTGCAAGGATTTAGTATCGATGGAGTAAGATTGGTATTGGCGAGAAGGGTCTCGAGATGAGCTAGTTTCCTACTGAGTGCGGTTTCAGGGCCGGCCACGTTTAGAGATTGATGAAGAAGATCGATTCCAACTTGTTCTTGGTACTGTGTCATGATGAATGGCCACCACTCTCCGCACATGAGTCGAACGCCACCGCAGATGCGGAGAGCAGCGACTAATCTATCCAAAAGCGTTGGAAAATCGATCCGGGTTGAGAATGCGTCGAAAAGGACTTGATGTGAGAGGAGCGTGGAGAAGACGAAGCGGGCCAGGACATGATCGTGATCGGTTGTGTTCAAGACCTGAGCGGCGTTGAACAGGGTGAGCGCACGTGTTTGTAGATGCGCCGCCTCTTTTAGGTAAAAACATCGCTGATGTGGTCGCTTGACACTCATATGCGCGGCTGATACAGCGAGAGCCTGGTCCATCAAGTACGGGGCTCTCGCGGCGGCCCGCACCGTCATGGACATGTAGCCATCGGCAGCCGACGACGTATAGACGCTGTCCCCCAGGACGCCTACCTTGAAATTATGCAAGAGCTCTAGGTGATGCAATTTGAATGTTTGCTCAGTAGCAGCTAGAGAACTGATTGTGAAAGCCGGGTCGTATATGGACCAAGGTGCTAATACAGCTGCACGCCGGGGTGCTTGACCAGATTGCGCGGACCCGGATGCACCTGAGGCCGGGCATGATGAGTGAGGGGAGGTTCCGGCGGGAGCAGCTCCGCACGGGACAGGCAGAGCGGGAAGAAACGAGCAAGACAGCTGACGAACGTTACAGTTGGCGCACGATGGTTTTGTCTCGTCGCATTTCACGTGCCGTCTTTTGCACTCGCTACAGCCGTGTCTTGATTTTTTGGCGGATCTTCTCTTCATATTGCGTCTCGCCACTCATCCAATTGACGGCGCCAACACTCTGCGAGGTTTGATGGGAGCTAAACGAAGACTGGAAGGCCAAGCAAGTAGACAGTTTGACCGGGATCACGGGAGAGGGCGCGATGCTAGTAATGAGAGACAGAAGTAATCGACCTGATGCCTGGATACCTGGATATAGGTGAGTAATCTCTGCACGTCCTGCGTGGCAGTGCCTGGGGCAGTGCAAAATCAAGGCGGCCCGTCTACTAGAGATTCGAGGTACCTAATGATTCAATGGGCTTCGTCTCACCCGAAGAGTACATAGCTAAGCATTCAGTTTATTATACAAGCCGAACTATATCCAATATCTCCTGCTGTCTGGAAGAAATTAACCCTACTTAGAAGTACTGTCTCTTGTTCCAAAGCGAATGGTCCGTGTACATGGGAGGAGGCAGTGCAATACACTCAAACTCAAATGAAAGATCGCGATCATGCACCAGCGATTGGAAGGATGCTAGAACCGCATCACTTGGCCTGAATGATGGATAGCTGCTCCACGTTGCGTGGGCGCTCCGGTCGTCGATGCGAAGGTCGAACCTGTGGAGGATGTCGTTTGCATACTCGATCTCCAGTTCAAAGTGTGTGAGCCTAGGCATCTCATGGATACCACGGACAACCGCGGCAAGAAAATCATTCATGTTAGCCTCGCAGACTCGAGCAAAACTGACTCGGGTCAGAGTCTGCATATCGCTGTTGTCATCGAGAGCGTCTTGTTGCCCCTGTACGTCGTGAAACTCATACAGCCACTGATACGGCCCAAGCAACGGCAAGATCACAAGGTGCATCTTCTCGAGGCGTGGCCACAGAGGCCTACTTATCATTCCCATCTCTTCGTCCGTTGGGCACAGAAAAGTGTGATCCAGACGGCCCCGAAAGTGGAAGCAATTGACTCGGGAAGATGCTACGCGGAGAGCCGTCATCAGCCCTCCTGGCAGTTCGTCTCCCGCCCAGCGCTTTGAAGACTTCGTATGATTCCGCAGATGCCGCGAAACTCCCATAGGTAGCTGATCAGCAAAGCTCTCATAATACTCTGTTGACAAGGCCTCGAGCCCCATGGGAATAGAATTGTAGAGGGCGATGCCATCTGCGATAAGTCAGCTAAGATTAAATCTCCAGTATTTCGCACTGCAAATAACCTACTTCTTAGACAGCAATTCTTTAATAGTTCTTCAGTCGCATTTGTTTCTTTTCCTTTTACGACAGAGAAAAAGGGATACAGGACCAATCGCTGGATTCCTGGCAGAGCGTCGCGAAGCTTCTTGAGCAAATTAGGGGAGAACGGAGTTGGTCCGCTCTTGACCCCCAAGGAAAAGCCTTCCATCGCAATCGTTGTTTCACAGCCTAACACAAGCTGTTTGACGAAGTCGAGTTCAGGAACATCTGGTACATACCCGCCACCCCAATCTAGTTCTGTACCCATATTTGAAACCACAGAGTTATATAAAAGTATACGAAGAGTGGCTTCACAGAGACTATGTGAAGTGGTGGCCAGCCTTTGCTTCAGAAGACTGAGAGTTACAAAGGCAGGCTTCACTTGGCGCGCGATAATCCCGCCGTTGTATAGTATTTGAGTGAGTATCTTTTCGTCCCCATGAACTCGGATGTCTATGGCCTTGACGTATTCGAGTCGGGTGGAGGTCCAGATTTTGAGCGCCCCTTTCAGCCGGCCTTCGCTAAGGACGAGCAAAGAGAACGTTCTCCTTTCCACGAGCTCCTGCCATTTTCTACTGAGAGGGGCATAGCGCCCGAGGCCCCGAGAATTGTCAAGGTTGACAGGCTCATGCCTTTCTTGGGGTTTAGGAGGAATTGTGATCACCTTCCGCTTACATCCTGGATGATAAGGAAATTTATCTTCGACCAGGCCGACGTCCAGGAAGTCGAGGATATTTTCAAGAATTTCGGTACTTAACATAGAGAACGACATGTTGACGGGATATAAGAATCTGCTTCCGAAATCTTGGTTGTAGACATTATGACCAGCTCGAAGTCTTATCCATGACGGTTTTCAGAAGCGAGTAACTAGTTATAGATGTTGAGTTTTGGTGGCAGAGGTTGTCAAATAAGCATGGCATGTATGGACTATGGAAATGAACACCGATAAATAGAGTAGCAAGGTCGCCAGAGAAGGAGGATTGGATGGGGTTACAGCTATATAAATGAAGAGAGTTGGCTTCTCTATTATTTTCCGAACCTCGATCCTTGTATGGCGTGCCGTGCCTATGGATTGATTGTTGCTTTTCTACTGAAAAAAGCTAGATCCCTACATACTCCATAATCAGAGCAAACAATATTCTTTGGGTGCGCTCCATAGCTCGGCTGTTTGTTCCAGGTCGTTGATATGGTCACAAGGACTAACAGGGCCTTTCAGCATGCACATATCTCGCTTATTGGCTCGACCATCATTTCCCCTTGAGGGCCCTACGGCAAAGGCACACGATGGATAACGCTGCTAAACAACTGTGGGTAAATCAGGTTCTGATCAAGTGCCCATGGACATGGATTCTGATCAATCAAAGTAAGTCCGATCTTGCCGTATATGCCAGTGACTTGCAATACTAAAGTCAATAGTCATAGGTGAACAATCAAGCAGATAGTATACAAATGGCATTGAATGATGTTCCAGGAGACTTCTGATGAGGCTTCCTATAATATTACGCTATTCTTCATGATAGAATTTTAGGCTTGCCCCCGATAATGAAGAACGATAGAGCAGCAGTAATTGCGGATAGTACCGCGAACACAAGATTCATATTTCCATATCCGATAGAATCCTTCAAAGAACCTGCAACAACGGGCCCTATTGTAAGCCCAGTGCAGAAGAAGAGTGAATTGAACCCGTAGAGCTGAGCATATGGGCCATTCTTTCCAAAGAATCCTGGATTTGCCTTGTCATACTTCTGCACTACATCACTCGCCTCGACAACACTAGGCGAACCTATAATGGCTAACCCGACCCCATTAAGTGCTAGAATAGCAGAGTATAAGATGATGTTCTGCGACTTTGGGAGCAGCTCTTGCGCGGGAATTCGCAGCAAGATCAAGGCTGGCACCATCCATCCGAACCCAATTACCGCCGCAAGTTTCGTTCCGTATCGGTCAACAGCCCAACCTGCCACGGGCCCAAGTAATAAATATGGCACATCAAGGGCAATAAAGATAAGCCCTGCTTGTAGAGGCGAGAACTGGAATAAGCTTTGAGCCTCGGTGGTGATGGTGGCGTCGTATGCAGCTAGCAAGACGGCCTGAACAAAAGCGAGGCCAAGGCTCATGAGCAAACGTGGGCTCTTGAAGCAAGCGAGGATAGGTAGTGCATGTATGAGACTGTTTGGCTCATAATGGATCTTATACGCTTCATCTGCCTTCTTCGGTAACAGGGCGTCCTCCTCAGACGCTTCATGATCAGCTTCATCAGAATTTTGATCAACTCTTGACCCCATATCTCGTGGATTGGCCTCGTTATCCGGAATCGACTCGTTATATTTTTTGGCTGTTTTCTTCTCGACGACAAGAAGTCTCATCAGGAAATCTAACACAAGTATGCCTGCGCCTAAACCAAAGACCCCGGTATATCCAGTCTTCTCATATAGCACGCCGCCTATTACAGGCGCCATCAACTGCCCAATTGAAATGAAAGAGAAAATCTAGCAGCTGTTAGTTTCATCTTGATTTGTAGCATAACGTGAACAAGTGAAGTGTGACTTACTGATCCGATGACTTTGCCTAGATTCTTGGGCCCAACGGTATCAAGCACCATGGCAAGACCGATGGTCCAGACAACTGCTGCACTGACGCCCTGGAGAATGCGAGCGACAACTAGCACAGCAATGTTCTTTCCAATAGCTAGCAGAATAGTTGCGGCAAGTAGAGCGGCGAGTCCGCTGAGGAAGGGTAACTGCCGAGAATTGGTGCGGTCGGCAATCCATCCGGCGGGGATAGACGACACCACGGATGCACCAGCATATGCTGCCAAAAGACCTGATACATACGACTGGATTTTATCCTCTGGAACGGAAAGCCTGCTTCGCAGCATGAATGGCAGTACGGGGACTACCAGGCCATAAAGAAACAAATCTGTAAAGAGACCGACCGCTACCGTGGTCAATATGAAGAGCGTGTTTGAGCGCCAACGGAGCGCCCACGGTGGATTTCCCTTTGCCATTTTAGATGAGTGTTGATTTTGATGGAGATTCTAGACGAAGCCGAAGATTGTATGTAACCTAGCAAGGTCTAATGAGGCTACATAGGACAAAACTTGGAAGATAAACCATACGCAATAGCCATCCTAGAGTAGCCGCTATAATTATAGCAGGTAGACCACTGAGTCCGCTATAACTACAGTGTTTACCCACTATAAATATAACAGCTATTATGAGGGCTGTTACGAGGGTTATTTTATTGTGAGTGAAGGTTGTTGCACAAATGGCCAGCCTTGTGTAGGGAAATTTGAAGAATAATAGCCTTGCATGTAAACACTGAACTTTATAGTAATAGCTTTATATACCTAGGTATATGTAGGTAAGTACTTAAGTACCTATTTATGTGTACTTACCCCTTCTATAAGTATAGTGGATAGGCGCTAAAGTCATAGTGGGATTAGTGGCTTAACCTGCTATCATTATAGCGGTCAATGGTCTTTTGTTTTTCCTGGGGCTTTTTCTTTTTTGTTCCTGCAGATCGATGACCTCATACTATCAACAATATTACACACGGGATGTAAGGTCAGTGAGCGAGTGCACACCATTCTCATCGCTCAAAAAGAAGTTAGATTCATGAAGACTCACTAACGATTCTTCGTGGCTATATGCATGTAATCATCATATAGAAGCGTAAAACTGAGTTGAGAGGAGCGTATTGAGAAATGGTGTCGTCTCATTAGACAGCCAATAAGTCCACCATTTGTGACAGCTTCCTATTACAATCAATTACACGGCCTGTGTCCATTCACAGCAAGTTAGGCGGCACAGTCTCGTACGTCTCCCATCCATCAGGTATCTTGATGACCGCCGACCGTACGTAGATATGACTGCCATTCGACCAGTCTAGCCCGTCAATACACCCGCCCTTGATACTAACAGTCGAACCTGGCACGCCGTCTTTCCCAACGATGCGATGGAATAAGCGAGACCCGCACTCTGTGCAGAAATAGCAGTCCATCTTGCCTCCCTTGTCCGTGTCGCGGGTGTACTTCTTTGTCTTGGACTCGAGCTCGGATGACAGCGGGAACAGCCCCTCGACTGGGAAGATGGCCGAGGTCCCGAACGCGGAGCTGGATTGCTTCTGGCATTCGGTGCAGTGGCAGAAGTATACCTTCAGCGGCGTCGCCGTTGGAGTTGGGAATGTGACGCGTCCGCATTGACAGCGGACTGTAAGGGGCTGCGCTTGGTCCAGGGTCGTCATTTGGCCGTGATCTTTCGTAACTCGTGTTGTGTACCGCAATACTTGTTAATTCAGATTGACTCTGCCGTGGTCACCGTTCTCCGTATGGTGGATAACGGCGTTCGCTGGTGCTGCTGAGGCTATCTCGTCGCGTTGAATTGAGCCTAAGATGAATCTATTGCAAGCCCCCCCGCACGGATGCGTGTACGAACGAGGCGGGGTATTTATCTATACATGTGAAAGACCTGCTGAAACATTCACACTCGAGGCTCTGTGATGAAATTGTATTGCCGACCGTGATGCCTAACTCGGATAGCCTATCCAAAGCAACTTGATCTGCCGTGAGACATGCTATTGTGAGTAGATCTACTACAGGACAACTATACAAGAGTGTGGAGGGTATAGGGTATGTTGCCTTCAATCCAATACTGCTTGAAGGCCAGTGGCGTCTTGTGATTCCCGCAGCTTCTTCACATGGAGATCGTCTGACTACCTAAGATAGGTGTGTAGCAAGATATTCTCTTGGGTTGCGCTCTATTCATGTAATTAAGTAGAGATGCTGTTCTGAATAGAGAGAGCATTTCCTGAGAAGCGATATGATACACTGAAGCACGCGGTTTCGTTCATTGCCGAAATGATGTTCATACATCATGCTGACAAGATAACATCACTTATTCCTAAGCCGAAGGGGGAGTGTCAGTAATATATTGTTAGATAGATGAACCTTAAAATTCACTTGTATAACTCTTCAAGAGATTTGGATACAAGCCATTGAACGCCGTGGTTACTGCTGAATATACGAAGGAAAGTTCTGGTCTGGCTAGTAGCGCTATACGGGAGTAGTGTTTTAACTATATACATATAATTGTGATGTATACATTACCCGCCCTTACAGGGCTTGTCTGTGTAGATACGTAGATAGATTCACGGCTAATATTAAGAGACGTCAATCTTATCGCAGTCTCAACTACAGGCTGCTCTCGTTGTGGCTCGTTAAACCATTTCTTATAGAACGAAGTTCTGTTTATAAGCTGCGCTCAAATACCTGATAATGGTGATAACACTTTGCATACTCAAGCAAGGAACGGACATATAGGCTACCTACAATATTGACAGTCCTATTGACCATATTCGTCCCTACTAGATATATACCCCTGGAACCTCGAAGGTTTGCACTTGGTTTTTCGCAAAATACGACCAAAATTTAGATCCGCTCAATGTAGTGTCCTTATACGTAGCATACCGCTCTCCAGAACCTATCTGAGTGCTCCAGCGCTGGATTGTCGCGCCGCTTGAACCTGGTGTGCCGAATTGAGACAGGTCGAAATTGAGGTATTGCGAGTTTCCCCAGTTGACAGCTACTATTACTAATTTGTGGGCAGAGGTGTCGTAAGCAGCAACCGCATAGTCGCATCCTGAATCTAAGATCCGCATGCCAGCTCTGATGTGCCGAGTGAGGAGGGCTAGGATAAAGTACTTCTGTGTCGGCCCGCTGAGAGTACGAGCGTCGTTGTCGCCAGTGATGAGACCCCAACCACCGCCATCGACTATCTGCCAGTAGACCCACGCTGTGGGATGTAGCCAGCGGAAGTCTAGGATCACATCGCTGATCAATTGTGAGCCTGTCGCATCATTCTCGCCATACTCGCTATTCCACAGCTTCTTCTTGGATCCTACAGCCTGCGAATAGAGACCCGATCGATCGCCGCTGCCATGCTGGTACCCGTGAACGTTTATCTGTGCTACAGAGGCCTTTGCAGTTGCGTTCAAACCTTTCCAAGTGCTGATTGCGGTGTCATAGTTTGTTTCATCCGAGGCGGATATTTGGACCGAAGTTAGTCCTCTGCTGTTGAGCTCAGACCGTAGACGAGGAAGTATATCTTGCTGTGTTGCGACAGAAAAGTGGCAACCTTCTTGAGTTCCAGTGCGTCCGTTCCACCAATTAGAGGCTGGCTCATTGAAAGGCTCAACTGTGTTAAACGTGATCCCCCAGTTGTTCTTGGCATATAGCGCGATGGTGGAAAGGTACACGGCAAATTGCTGGTGATTCCAATTTTGCAAGTTGTCAGACGAGCCGTTGTCTGATCCGGAAGGATTATGGTTGCTGCACATCCACCACATCGGTGAGTTACTGAACAACTCGAATAGGTTCGCTCCCAGGTTCTTGGCCTTTTGCATCATTGATCGTTGCTTAGCATCCTGGGACCATAGCCAACTTGAAGATGCTGGGTCGCTACTCGTCCAGTCAATCCAGTACCCGTCAATGAGGCGGGATGGAATGATGCTGGGAGATTTGATCATTCCTTCTCCGTTAACAGAGTTTGAACTACTAGCGCCAGCATTATACCGAACAATGTTCATCCCCAAGCCCGGCAGAGTGACACCGTTCAATGACACGCTATTCAGTGAGAAGACAGCATTTGCGAGGTCGTCACGATCGCCGAAAGCAGCTGCCCACCACGCGAGGGAAGTTCCCCAACCCTCCCAGACCCCATAGTTTGAAGATGCAACAATTGTTGTAGTGATATCTGCAAGGGCGGCGTTGAAGCCGAATAGTGTTTGGGATAAGATGAGAAGGAATGGTATATTCATCTTGTCTAGCCTAGACAGTTACGGATTTGACTTTGTCGTATCCTCAACCATAGACAAGTCTGTAGGCTAAACTCATACCACGATAGTTCAAGCTTTCTGCGAAAACAATCTTTCTATGAGTTTGCTAAGACATGTGAAATGATGCTAGACAAACTATTACGAGTTAGAAACCGGAAGACCTTCCCCCGCAAGCTTCTTCGCGATTGGACCGCAAATGACTGTTAGCTTGAGCACTTAGTCACAAGTGGTTACATCTCCACCAAGTGCTACACTGTTTCTAGATTTCCATGCCAATCGAGGAACAGGTCCGAGAACACCACCGCTTCATGGAAACTGTTGGCCGCAAGGATTGTAGCTTAGGTTGATAATTGGTATAGGATATTCCCCGCTACCTGCATGATCTATCCCACTTATAAGTAAGTATACGCCGCTCGCAAGCGGGGAATTCCAAAATAACCACCCCAAAGCGCTTCCCGGGAAACTAACTAAGTTTTAGCCCCATGGGGTGATCGTCGCTAAGCCCATTGGTTAGAGGTTATGAGAATTGAGACTTCTTGGTGTCACATTATAGGAGATTACATGACACGTGCTGTGATGATTAGAGTAGGGTCGGGCGGACGATACGGACACCAGCGTAGCTGAGTTGGGGACGAAGCCAGGAATACGATCAGTTGTTTGGCGCGCTAATGAGACAAGGTGCGCCCTGCATCTGTATTTCCCCGAGCAATTGGCTCTCCCCTGTTTTCTCCTACATACCGTGGTATTCTCTGGAAATCGGCAGCGTAACATCGTCGTTCAGATAGCGCATTACCTTGAGAACAAGCGGACCTTCCGCTCTCGTCTTGAAGGCCCGAAAAATGCTCCATCCAACCATTCCTTTTAAAATTCTCATTTATTGGTTACCTAACAGGCCTACCTATATGTAAAGGCAATAACAAAGTGCCGATTGGTTGCTGTGTTCTAAGCCCGCTTTGGGGAGAAAAAAACAACAGCGTTCATGCTCGAGGAGCTGGGGAGGGTCCGAGGCACATGGCGAATATATGCCATCAATCCGAGACCTAGCCTGAGATTTAGTCAAAGGGCCCTGGCTCAAGTCCACCATATCGGACAACGATGTCACCACGGATCGATATCACGAGCGTTATACCACCTCATGTTGTGGTTCGCTTATGCCCGCGGCCCTTCAGGATCCCACGAATCGTGACGCGTGACGAGATGAAGCTCCTCTTCGCCCAAGTCCCTGACTAGCTTTGGCGGTTATCCAAGCTTCTCACCGACGAGCTTGGGAGCCACGACTCCTGATGGACGGCTATAAATGCGCCCGACGTGACTCCAGAGAAAGGTCTTTAATACGTATACTACGTGAACAGCGATTGAACATGATTTCACGACTTGCTCTAGGCCTTGTGGCCACCGGTTCCCTTGTCGCCGCTGGGCCTTGCGACATCTACTCCTCTGGCGGCACGCCCTGTATCGCGGCACACAGCACAACTCGTGCTCTATACAACTCCTACTCGGGCTCGCTCTACCAAGTAAAACGCGGCTCTGACGGTGCCACCACTAACATCGCGCCGTTGTCCGCCGGCGGTGTTGCCAATGCTGCTACTCAGGACTCCTTCTGCGCCGGCACGACATGCCTCATTACAATCATCTATGACCAGTCTGGCCGCGGTAACCATCTCACACAAGCTCCACCCGGCGGCTTCAAAGGCCCTGAGGCGAATGGTTACGACAACCTGGCCAGCGCGACTGGCGCTCCAGTGACGCTGAATGGCCGGAAAGCATATGGTGTCTTCGTATCGCCAGGCACGGGCTACCGAAATAACGCTCCCAGCGGCACAGCTAAAGGAGATCAGCCGCAGGGCATGTAGGTATGTATCAAAACTTGCTGTATGGTCATTGAGTCCGACCACGACAGAAAGATCTAAGTGTAGTTTGCCAGAGCTAACCGTTGCCGCAGTATGTGAACCTTCCGTCTAGAAACGCGACTATCATGACCTGTGTAGCTTTAAGAATTATATAATAAGGAACTAGGCTAACAAGGTTCTTAGTGCCATATTCGATGGGACTCGTACGTATTCCCTAGAGTTATATTCTTCCTATCATAGCAAATTGCGAAGTCAACTTTCCCCCTTCAGGGTGAATTGCTTGGCGCAGAAACATACAGAGATCCTCAATCCCGCCTCTTTAACCTGAACAGCAATCACTAACTCCACCAGATTATAATTCCGGGTGTTGTTTCGACTACGGCAACGCGGAGACTAACAGTCTCGATACTGGCAACGGGCATATGGAAGCTCTCTACTTCGGTACCAACACCGTCTGGGGCAGCGGTGCTGGCTCGGGTCCTTGGGTCATGGCCGACCTTGAGAACGGCCTGTTCTCCGGGCGCGGCTCTAAAAACAATGCTGGGGATCCAACGGTCAATTACCGATTCCTCACTGCAGTTCTCAAGGGCGGGCCAAACCAATGGGCCCTCCGCGGCGGCAATGCCGCATCTGGCTCGCTGTCGACGTATTACAGCGGAGCGCGCCCCACGGCATCAGGGTACAACCCGATGAGCAAAGAGGGTGCCATAATCCTCGGCATCGGAGGAGACAACAGTGTTGGCGCTCAGGGCACGTTCTACGAGGGAGTCATGACCTCTGGCTATCCGTCTGACGCCACCGAGAACGCGGTACAGGCCGACATTGTAGCCGCAAAATACGCTACCACATCGTTGACCAGCGGCACTGCGCTCACAGTCGGTTCCTCGGTGTCGCTGCGAGTCACCACATCTGGCTACGATACACGCTACCTCGCACACACCGGCGCTACCATCAACACTCAGGTTGCCTCGTCATCCAACAGACAGCAGGCGAGCTGGGTAGTTCGCGCCGGCCTCGGCAACAGCGCTTGCTACTCGTTCGAGTCCAAGGACACCCCAGGTAGCTTCATACGGCACTACGACTTCGCACTCCGGCTGGCCGCCAACGACAACAGCAAGCAGTTCAAGGAGGATGCCACATTCTGCACCCACGCCGGTCTCAGCGGCCAAGGTAGCACTATCCAAGCCTGGGGTTATCCCACGCGTTTCTTCCGCCACTACAACAACGTTGCGTACATTGCGAGCAACGGCGGCGTCAACACATTCGACTCCGCAACTTCCTTCAACGCTGACGTGACCTGGGTGGTCGGCGCCAGCCTCGCTTGAGTCCCGAGCTGTATCTCGCGCCTGCTTAATTTGTTTCCTCTCTTCGTATGTAGGCTAGAATCTGAAAATACGTGAAGAATGACACTCCATATGTCCGTCGTGCCGCCACATCCTGTATCGACTGTCGAAGTAAGAGATGGCCTCCGACAGAATATGGCGGGCAAAGGAAGCTTTGCAACTATATTAGATGCTAGATTTGACGGCTTGACGGAGAACCTTTAGGCTTGTATGTGATATAATGCTGTTTATATGATATCAAACTACAAACATGTAAAGCCTAATGTTCGCAGCTTCTTTAAACGTTCTACTACTTGTTTTGTTGAACTACCTTTGACGCCATCTCCTTCCCGTGTTTCCCGGCCTTCAATCGTGCCGTCATGACCACATTAGATTACGACCCCAGTTGTATTTTATTCTTTTCAGTCTCTTCTTCATCCCAATTCAGTTCCAAATACCGGCTAGGTTCTCAATGATTATCTAAAAAAAACAATTGTTCTCTGCTGTTGAATATCTTGAGTATCTCTTTATTGTCTTGAAAATCCCGGAACTGTCGCTATATCAACCCCAGAACAAAGCTCTGTTCAAGAGGGTCAAAGCAACCGAGAAAACTAAAGATTTGTTTTCCTGGATCATAGATCGTATGTCTTACATTGGTTAGATACGCTTTTCTTACTAACGGCACAATGATATCCGCGCAACCGAGGGCCTCGTGATGGAATTATGCATTTAGAACCAGGCGAGAAACAACTAGTCGACACAGTTAAGACTTTCTTCTCAGAAGAGCCTGGTTTCGTTTTCCAAAAAGTCGCTGGGGCCGGGGCTTTGGCCGTTACGCTGTGCTTTTCCAACAGATTTGCGGGGCCAGACGATTGCAGTCAGAGCCCAACCCTCAGGCAACCAAGGTTTGAAGGCGGAAAAACAATTCTTAGCGGTAATTGGCTAGCCCATTTCCCCCTATTCCCATGCTAGGGAGTATGTGTTTAATCACCCAGTAGCCGTTCGCATGGGCTCAGCATATAGTCACCCTGCTTAGAATACCGTTGGTGTCCACGTCCGCGAGAGGGCTTCACGAAAATACAATCATCACGGAGTATGTGGAGAATGGGAGTCTCATGGACTTATGAGACAGGCTGGGGGAACCCCGAAAGCTACTGAATCGGTTGCTCTGGTCAATATTTCTTTGCCGTAAGTCTAATACATCATTCCCACCGAGGAACCCGAGGAGCCCTCAAGCACATGTCTTCTTATTACGACTTATAATCTAATACAGAAATAGTTGTGAATGCTTGTGTCGGGATGGCTTATCCACCGGCAATCCCAACTGCCAGCCCAGGGGCCCAGAAGAACAACTCCTTGAAACACAGCCAGCGGATAATCGCCCTCCTCCCACCGTCGAGCACGCCGACTTACATGAAGGGAACAGTATGTCCTCGCTTACCAGCCCACTAACCCTCTACAACATAGAAACCGACTCTCAACCATAGTTATGATTAGAAACTTCGACGCACACGAGCACCGTCTCTTTCCATTACTCAAGATCATCGGCTTTAGCCTAGCCATCCAATCAGACGAATCTATCGAGAAGAATATAAAAGCCATCGGTAAAGCAAGTAATCACATCACCCACTGTTTCCCCGACTTCCTTAACCCTTAATCTACGCCGGCAAGAATTCCGGCGGACATGAAAGCTTCAAAACCAAGGTCATGTGTGATCTGATGTGGTTCGGATATAACACCAATGATCTTATGGATGACAAGCTACAAGGCAGCAACCTCGACCAAACTCTCGATTTCGACCTGCTCTTTATAGCGGCGGGGTGTATGAAAGAAAACCTAAGAGATCGGCCTACCCTCTCCCAATTAATCTCTGCCGTACGCCCAAACATACAGAAGACATACCCAGATATACCGGAGGGGACGGATGCCTATATTTACGATCTGATTCAAAGGTATTTATTAAATGCTGTTTGATACTCCCCGTGCTAATGGAGACTTGGCCAAGATTGTTATTCCGCGGGGAAAAAGCTAGATGTAATAGATATGCACGAGATAGCATGGGATGGTGTTGTGGTATAGTGGGCATTTCGGTATATAAATATAATGTCTATAAAACATATTTGAATGATAAGTAGAAGATCAGTGAGTGGACAATGCATACCTGTTACGGTATTCACTTCTGAACCTGCGACAGTGCGTTTCATCCTTGATAGGACAGGAATATATAAGCGGCAAATGGAGTGAAGTTGAGCAAAGGTAGCCAAAAAAAGGATTCGTAAGAGATAATTTGATGATAGGTCTAATTCACCCAAAGTCGAATCTCTAAAAGGGTGCCGAGTGTACTCCGAAACATTCCATGAAGGGACGAATACATCACTTATGATCATGGCTGGAATCTCATAATATATTAATAAAGATCAGCATCTTATCATTAGTTCACAAGTATCTGACTACAAGGGCGAGTGAAGGGAATCACTCCATAATAGACTGGATGCTAGCGAGATATGGTGACACCAAATCTAGGAAAATTCTGGGGTATCAATCTCGTAACGCAAAATGTCCGAGTCCCATCAGACCCATGCTAGTCACCATAGGTGTCAAGTGTTGCCCAATCGACATACGGCTATAACTGAGTTGGCTTCGCCCCAAAAGAAAACCAGGCTCTGAACAATGTGATCGTCATCTCATTACTATCTCCATCTTGCGATTACCCCCATCTTAAAATGAAAGGGTATATGTATCCAGTCGTCAATCGTTAGCTAGGAAAATAACCAAGTTCTGTCATGTCCTTGTATCCGACCTTGTCGTGGTTTCATAGGACCATGAGGGGTAGATGGAGAGAAAAGCAAAGCGCTGGAATGAGTCCAAGGCAAAAATACAGGAGGAAAAGATAAAGAGGAGCAGAACATGATGGAAGAAAGCCGAATGATGGGAAAACTAAATCATGACGAAAAAATGGAGGCATGATACCGGGTTATGCAACGAATGTAAAATGTTTAATTCATAACAGACCCATAACATCTAACGCCGGCGTGTACCGTGAGCACAGGACCTCAAACAATAATAATGCAATTGTAGTCGTTCGAAATATGAAATCTGTCGAAGTCGAGAGACGACCCTAGAGCCGTAGTAGGTTGCTCTAACACCTTCTATCATTGAATGTTTTGATAGGAGACCAATGACCATCGTATGATGTTCGACCCTCATCTAATATGCTTTGGTTGCGTTTCCTTCGCCTGTGGCAACCGCAACGAGAGTCTCTAGAGCGCCCATACCCCGTTCCCCGGGGGCTTCTTCTCGGGGGGTTGGGCGAGAAGTATTGTCCCTCGCCGGGAAACCTGAGAATTCTCTGATGTTGGGATGGACCATACGATCAAGGCGAGTGATTTTTTCTGGAGGCATTTCCCCGCTTTGGTGCCAGGCACGCCGCTTCGACTCGCGGGAACTAGTTATTGAAGGTGCCGACATTGTATACTGGTGCGACACTCGAGGGGGAGTAGATCTTGGTGGGTTCTGAACCATGACGGATTCGTGGAACCTCACGGTGTGGGGGTTCATTCGAACTTGATCAACTTGCGCGTCCATGGCTTGATTCGCCTCACGAGCCCAGGTGCTAGCGCTATCAGGAGGGGCAGGATTAGAGGCGATGCCAAGGCGAGTCAACCCTTTATGAAGATCCATGGCCCAAGCTGGAGAGTTCCACCTTTCCCTTTCCTCAGATTGATGCGCATTTGCTGGGAGCAATGGTGGGGGGTGGAGCACGTCAGGTCTACTGATCATCGTAGAGACATTCTCTCTAAAAGGGGAAGCAGGTCGGCGGGGCAGGTCAAAGGAAGAGATACTAGGAAGGCGAACTGGACTAGGAGGTGGTTGTTGTTGTATGGGCATTTGCCCATGATTCTGAGAAGAACTTGAATATTGAGAATCCCCAAGTACTTGGCTTAGACGACTACCAGGACTAGGGTTGAAATTATTCGATTCTGGATGCCACGTACGCCGGCGCAAATCTTCCGTAACTGAAATAGACTCTCGTCGGGTAAATGGGATCACAGAAGTAGTAGGTGAAGCTACAGTACTCATGGATGGCGAGTATGGGGTTGGTTGGGATCCATTAGTAGTATCAGAAGACCTGGGCCCAAACGACGGGCCGCCAAGACTCGAGCTGAGCTGGGATTGTAACGGTATTACACCCGACGGTATGCTGAGACGTCGAGCGGGAGGAACTTGGGAGTCGAGATACAAGCTGCGAGAGCGCGAATGTGATGAGGTAGGTGAAACGATGGCAGGTCCCCAATGAGGACTGTTTTGACCAGTAGAGAATGTGGCTGACGTAGGTGTGCTGAAATCGCCGGGTGAAGGTGGCCGATGAGGGTAGGATTCGGATGGGTATGGAAATCGATAATCCGCAACAGCCAGGGCCGGCGGACGGCGCCGGATATCGTCTCTTGTGCTGAAGTTGGACCCAACAGAGCTAATGCTTGAAGTAGAAAGAGACTTTGAATGGCCCCGTACCGGTGCACCAATGCTTCCAGCAGTTGAAGCTCGCGCCCGACCTGGCTGTCTTACTCTATCTGTCCTGATTTGTCTTTGGAATCGAGTCCCTGTCGCAGCAAGCGAGTCAAGCGGTATATCTTCGTTGACATGAACGGTTTGCGCATGTTGTCGAAGGTTATCTAGACGAGAAAACCGCCTCTGACAGTGGCACTTGAATGGTCGTTCACCGGTATGTTTCCTGTTATAAACAGTTAGCATGGACGTCCCTAACTGCCCTATGGGTGGCCACGAATTACCGGACATGTCTGGCTAAGTGTTCACTGCGTGTAAAGCTGAGTTTGCACGGTGGATACTCTGTGCAATAGAAGCGCTGAGACTTCTTCTTCTTATTCGACTTTGCACCGTCCGCATTCCCGCCCTCGTCGTTGGATCCGGTACTATCTTCGTGTCCGTGAGCTTCTCCATCAGAGTCGTTCATATCCACATCTTCGGAGTCTCCCCGCGGTGTTCGAGTGACCTGTGAATTATCGCGCTGTGGTGTTTCGATCTCTTCAATACTTTCGGGTATTTGCACGGTTTGGGGAAAGGGTGAGCTTGGAAGAGGGCGTTGGCCAAAGGTAGTCTTTGTCGGAGTAGGTGTCGTTGGAGACGGTGCGCTTTCGTCATGTTTTTCAACTTTAATCGCCAGTGGCGAATTCACAGGCCGGAATGTTGAGGCCATGACGCTCGATGTGAATGGCGAACGAACTCCACGCCGCTGTGTAAAATTTCAAGGCAAAACAACCTAGCGGAGGCTTGTTCGTCTTTGGCGAATACGGAGGGATGATATCGGCGGCTTCAGACGGTGTTGGTGTTTGGAACTGCTCGTGAGAGAGAACTGGACGTGGGCAGGAGGGGCAACCGCGATCGGAGAATAAGGGCAAGAATGAGAGGGGAGCGGGTTAGAAAGGGAGAGAGTATAGAGAGGGAGTAATTAGGAATCGTGTCTTTCATTCAAGACAAGTTGCATGCAAGGCACCTGGACTGTGTCGGGAAGAAGTGGTGTCTCAGCGCTGAACAGCTTGATTGAGATGATGATGGAGACGGGCAATGTGTGGGGGCCCAGCGTGGGCCTTGGCCTCGTCAAGGGCGGCGGCTGAAGCTGAGACGAAACGAGACTACCTAGATAACTAATCTGGAGGGCGACGGTCTTGCAGCCCTTTGTGCGCAACCGGTGAGTGTTTGTGCGACCAGGCACCGGTTGTTAATGACACGCACCAAATGCCGGACGTGTTCGGTATGCTATTTCATAAGTATGGCCACCTACAATACCCGACAGACTATACTACGGCGTACAGTAGCTTCATGCCAGTGACGAGTGAAGGACGACGAGGTCTGCAGGAACGGACCAACCACCAGAAAGGGAGGGTCCAGGCACGGGAGCGGTACTCTCGGCCGAGTGCTCACAGCCTATGTCCGCGACAATGACAACGACGAGGACGACGGCTGGGACAGTTTACCCTGGGCGGAAAGCGCCTAATACCGGAACGCGTGTTGGAAGATGACAGCCTCTAAATAAATTGAAAATGGATATTGTATTCCGTATGCGTGGGCTATCTCGGGGCTTGGGCTGAGGCGACGGGAATTGATTGACCATTCGTCTGTTCGGGATAAGCGGCGGGATGGGACAGAGGGTGATTGTTGTACAATACAGGACTTTGATGACAGGACAATAATAGACGGGACGGACAGGTGAGAGACGGAGACAGGTACGGCGTCAAGACCAGGGAATGGGACAGATCAACAGACAGGCAATACTCTGTAGACAGACAAGACAGGCAGGTGTAGAAGCACTGTATTGCAGGTAGATCGAGGGTAGATGGACAACTGGACAGCAGGACAACAGGACAGAGGAGGAGAGCGAGAGTGAGTAGTACCTAGGCGTCTACGAGCGGGCTGGTGTTTTGGAACGGTCCCGGGCGGGAGGAGGCGAGGTGATGCGACAAGAGGGGCAACAACGGAGAGCCATGCAGCGGGACAGAATTGATAATGATAATGATGATGATGATGATGATAGATGAGGTCGGTAATTGACGGTCATGACCCATAATAGAGGAGAAAGGCCAGACACCATACGGTACCCTACTCTACCCTACCTAACCTTACATAAGTAAGTAGAGCAGCAGAAGAGTGAACCTGGAAGTGCGTGCGTGTGTGTGTGTGTGTGTGAGTGAGTGTGTGTACACTACGCAAGGGGGTGGAGGGGGAGGGTTGACTAAAGTAGGTAAGTAAAGTAAGTACCAAGTAAGTACATAAGTAGGTGAATACCTGTGGGAGCGAGTCGCAGCAAGATCGTAGGAAGTGGCTCTTTAGTACACAGCCGAGTGAGCCATGAGGCATGTTAGTGTGTTAGGTAAGTACACACATACATAATATACCGAGGTACTTGTGGAGGTGGTGTATATAGTCCTACTTGGCTACCAGTAAGGTCGAGTCATAATAAGGTACCTACTGTATCTTACATAGAAGTAAGGGAGCCAGCCGGACAAGGAACCCGGACGAGGAACCCGGAAGAAGGGGAATTCGAAGAACAGGTTCTGGCCAGGGAAGCATATAGGTAAAACAAGCAGGCAGACAGATGGGCGGGAAATGCAGCGGGCGAGACGGGAGAAGTTGGGAGAGGTCGAGGTCGAGACACACACACACACAACACACACATAACACACACTTGGAAGGGTACAAGAATGGTACAAGCAATGGTGGAACTGCACTGAGGACGAGGTGACGAGTAGCGTGTGCAGCGTTGATAGCGTACCTACATATGTACCATACCTACGTGTAAGTAGGGTGCCTTCAAACAAACGTAGTATAGGCATGTTACCTCCGACTATCTACCTACCGTACCTAGGTATTCTCAGTAACTGCGGTCCTTGGAGCACGGGAGATCCCTAACATAACGGGTCGTGGAGAGAGCATGGATTCTTACTACTGGGTTCCCATCTTTAGTATGTGTGTACTCTGTGTGTACCTACCTGAAGGGCCTGGAAAGATGGACGCCTCTCTGTGTTAGTATCTGGATGATGCGGATGGTGCAGCTAATAGCCTGTTGCTCGGTGTCCTACTTCGGCCAATTACCTAGATCTAGGTTGTAATTCTGCTATTACCTACCTAGGTACCTACCTACCTACCTACCTAACATAGCAGGTGACACCTGTCTGACTACCTAGGTAGCTATGTAGGCATTTGATGCTCTTTCTATTCTCCCTATTACAAAGAGTATATGAGGGTATGATACGAAGCAACCTGCTACCTACATATATAAGTATAGGTATACTAAGTATGTATGTGAACGTAGGTAGGCCACGGATGATGTAGCGAATGCCTTAGTGCCCCAAAACAGGGGCGTCGTAAAGGAGCAGTGGACAGTACCTATCTAGGTACATGGAGTGGATGGTACGTCATGTACGCTACAGAGTACCTAGGCAGGTAGCTAATTGGGTGGATGGGTTCCAGTGCAGCTTGGCAACTATGAACATTCATGCACAACAGAAACCGTGTGCCTGGTAAAGTGGATAGGAGTAGTAGAGGATGGTGAGAAAGCCTGACAGATTGGTATAATAGCTTCTGTAATATCATGAAGCCGATAGTGCTGGTTTTATATATAGTACCTAGAGGGTAGTCGAGCAATACTAGGTACTACATGGAAGTAGGTACCGGTAGAGTAAAATGGTATGAGGTGTAAGAGATTCATTCACAGCTTATATATGTACCTCCTAGGTATACACATAGTACATAGTATATACTTATATATATGTATATCCCTGATGCGACTAGAATACCTAAAAGTACTTAGTTGGGTAGACTGCAGGGAGGCACAACGAATACATTGAGCCTACCTAGGTACTTACAAAGCGTTTCAACACCTAGCCTTAGTATGTATGGAGTACATGCGTCAGTATCTAAGTACGGGCTAAGTACCAATCGTAGTAGGCAATGTGGGGTTTAAAGACCTTGCTCAACCTCGAGAGGCTGCCAGTTGTTCTACTTACCTAATCGGCTAAGGTACGCTGTACGCAAGGTACCCACTGAGTAATGCCAGGCACGGATCGTAAAGGCGGAAGGCAGGCACGAGGTACAGTGCTTTAGCGCTGGTACACGCAGTTACAGGTACCTTATAAGCCTTACATATGTACCTGGGAAAGTACACATGTATGTATGTAGGTAGGTACCTACCTAGGTATTTAAGCTGCAAGTCTTTTACTAAAGATCTCTCTGTGTAAGGTAGAAGGCTCAAATCGGCTTAGAAATTGCATACAAGCTGATCAGTGCGAGTTGTCCCAACAGTCAACACCAAACACCTACGCAGATAAACCATCATTGTTCAGCCAGGTAGCTTTCATCAGACTCTCATCAGACTTGATCTACTACCTAGTCTACACGAGCTATGATCATGTGCCGCCATTCCATTCCGCTCTCCATTCGAGTAGTACTATACGTACGGCGTGGATGTGCGGATGGACGGACGTATGAATAAGCTTACACCATGTGTGTTCTTTTTTTGTACCAACAACCGCTGGGTCAGTCCGTGCCCTCGAGATCACATCCGCAAGAGGTGTCTTACACGGTACCCTAGTGTTGAGGAAAAAGCATACTTACATAGTAGTAGTTCCTACCAGAACCCGGGTTATCGCTGTTGCATACACGTGGACTTGCGGATCCTCTGTCCATACCCATCAACCCGGCGGCGTCGGTTCTCGCCTCAAAAAACAGGGGACAACCCATCGCTCAGACCAGAGATACGTTACACGACTCCTAATTGCTGAAGACTTACATATGCCCTTTTCTTCTTCTTCTTTTTTTTTCTTGGTAATGCCATCTACAGAGACAGAGGTTACTACGCTGCCTGGGATAATATACGCAACAGAAACTACTCGTCTAGGGTCTGTAAGCAAAACGGCCGATACAGCTACCTACTTACTCTTCATTAGTGATCTGCATGTGACTTACTGTAGTCCTTGCGTGAGTAAATGTAGGTACCTAACGATGTTGAATCTGTATTGGAATAGTTTAAGATACGCAGGCGGCTGTACTAAGCTATATACTACTAAAGCCGCCGCTTCGACCGTAATTGGTATATGATCCCCGTACAATCGCTACCCTTTCTCTGTCTTTAGTGTATTCGAGCCCATCAGGTTGTCAATGCGACGTCGAGCTTCGTAGCACGTGTAGGTTGTCTGTTTCATGTAGATGGGTGTGATCGTCTTGAGCCTTCTAGAAACGATCGTCTTAGGGGTGACGCCAAGGGTAGACCAAGGGGAACGTTGTCATGGGTTGACTGGGGGTTTGGAACTACTACTTAGGATCTCTACAATCCGGCGGGCGGGAAAAGACAAAGTCCAGATATATAAACAGTTTACCTACGGGATAGCCCTCCGTCGAATCCAAACCACATCGCACACGACTACCGCGGTGTATTAACCCCAATGTTGCTCTTTCAGTGATTATAACTGTCAACTCAACTTGAACAGATGACGAAGCTTGAACCCCTCCCCCACCGCTCTACCCTGGACACAAGTAACCCTGGTGATCGAAGGTCTTTATTTAGTAACGCGATCTAACGTTGTACTTGTCAGTACGCTATTTACGACTTGAGCCTAGGTACCGTTTTCAAAGGTACTCTCCACACTCCTAGCGATCCTCAGCGCCAAAATCAACTCGCATGGGAGAATATACTAAGTAGCTTATAAGTATGAAATGCGGATGGCATCTACGCTCGTTAGCATTGGACGCGTCCAGCTGTGCACTGCAACGGCATAAAGCCCGCTTCGTTCACAACCGATGTTCGGCGGCGGGAGTAGGCATTGTGGACTGACTTGGCGCCTGGATGGCTTCACACCGAAGGCCAAGATGCCTTGTACGGAAGCATGTGTGCTGGCCCTCGCCAATCATGCTGCACGATGCAAGGCACAGTGTCACTCCAGAACGACCTCCCATGGTCTCGTCTCACGCCCCTCCCCCTCCCTTTTCCCGGCTTATGCCCGTCCACCAACTCGGTGCCAGCACCCTACAATAATGATATCGTACGGATTATCTACTTAACAGTCACCACAAGAGCGTCGAGGTTACGTCTTCTGTGTTATCCGTAGCGGCCCGAATCAACACGTTTACCTAGAACGGGGGTCCATGTCCTTACTCCGTCGGCGTGGTACACACTACACCACCAATGTTAAGGTCCTTGAGTCACAGCCTCGTTCCACACAGCCTTCATATAGGTAGGTATTCTCTGCTATCGAAAACTTGCTCAGAGACCGCGCGTTTTCCCGAACAAGGCTCATCCGGAATTCACGGTATACATGTCTTGTCTTGTCTCAGCCGTCTCGCGACATAACACCCCGTAGACAGCCTGCTTCGGCTTTATACACTTCAGCACTACCCATCACACCAAGAGTAAATAAGCATCAGAGCAGCCGCACCTCTAGGGCCTTTATCCGTTTATGCCTTTAACAATGGCTGTTGCCCGGTAGGGTAATCCATGTTCCCCCGGGCTGATGCGCACACAGCAGTGGCCGGATACATGACGCCCAAAACGCATCATTCTTCGCTCGTAGTGGCAATGACTCAGCTGTGGTGGTGGCTAGGCCGTTCCAAACGGAAACCCAAGCGTGGTTTTGCTTTTTGGTTTCCTTTTGTTTACCTTTCAGCTACCCATCTTGCCGTCGCCCATATAGCAGTATGTCTCTAGAGCGGGAGGCGCCACCGTGATAGTCGAAAACAACCATGCAGGTTTGCGGCATGGGGGTGGTATAGAAGCGAGTCATTATCTCAGAATAGCATTCCACAAAGAACCAATCCTCGATGCTAGTGTACAGTAGTCAGGTCTAGTCCGGCCTGCCCCTCCCCCTCTCGAGTTGATCTGATTCTTGGCGTGTTCCTGTTCGCGGCCGTCGCGCCCCGCATGCTATATGCTTGCGTCACTGCTGTTCTCCAATGCTCCAATGTGTCAATGTATGTGTAGGTGGAGAGGAAGGCTAAGCGGCTAGGGCTAGACTACAGTAGTTCGACATACCGATCGCTAACTACACTCGAGATGCTAGGTTCTTCTCGCCATCGACAGCATTATATGGACGATAACAGCTCGAGATATCGATGTGCTCATAGAACAATCCTAGGCATCGTGCGTGGAGCTGAAGCAGCAACACCCCTCGCCCCTCTACCTAAGCACCCTTGCCGTCGATCGATGCTCCCCCACATTCGCCCTGCTGTACGAACAGCCTTCGTAAGTGTAGCTGCTCCGATGCCTATCTCATAGACCAGCCCAATGATCTTTGACAAGCACTTGGTGCACATGCCATGTACTGCACTGCTGACTATTGAATCGACGACTTGCCAGTTCGGCATTAGTCGAAGGTACAGCTCCGCTAGTGCATACCCCAAGTACCTTGGTAGCGATGATATGGATTGTCGTACTTACGGTTGGTTAACTAGTCACTGAGAAACTGACAACAGCAAAACCTAAGCCAACTTAGCAAAACCTTGAAATTGTCTAGACGCCTTCCTACATGTGTCCAGAAACATATCGAGCGTTACAAAATGACATAAAGCGGTTTCTCCAACAATAGGGTAGTTACAAGTAAATCTGCCCTGCCGTTAAAACACGCCCAGTGACACGAAAGTATTTACACAAAGAAGATGATTTGCCTATTCTTTGTATAAATCGGCGACACCTCGCCGCACTAAAGAGACTCGCAGCAAACTATTTGGTTTACCCAGGGAGAAACCAAGCAACTTCACAAACTAGCAAAAGCCAAAGCACACACACAAACAAAACACGACATCACTCTGTAAGCAAACATGTCTCAACCAACACCGTTTCACTTTAACCCCCTAGCCGCACCTTTCTACCCATCGCAATTCCACTGCGCTGACCCAGTAAGCCCACCAGCTCAGCTTTTGTGTGTTTACGTGGCTCCATGGCACCAAGAGCCCGCCCAATTCTACCCATATCATCATGTTCCTGAGCCGAATTACTGGTATGATTACAATCCAATTCTACTACTCAGACTAGGGCCATCTATCTCCCCATGAACATATCCTCCACTGAATTCCGGACATATGCCGCTTATTGGTAATTGGTAGGTCTTGTTACATTGAACTTGTTTATATACCTTGTTCCACGCAGCTGCGCGAATTGAAGGCGTTTGGATTGATAGCAATGAGGTGTACCGGCGCTTAAATAATGATTTTGATAGTTGTTTCAGAGAAACGGTCAGTTTAATTGAATACAATCATATAACACATGTCAAATTTTTCCATTCGTAGCTCAGTAAACTATTTTTATCCGTTATAATTAAATGCGGAGGGTACCTTGTCGGCCATAAACTTCAACTCCTCATCAGGATGGGAGGTTGAATATACATATATAAATGCATCGACGTGCGCAGGAACATTGCTTTAAAGCCGGGACTAAACTCGTTATTAGTCTCAACACGCTGCTAATATAGATTTTGTCTACACATCTATGCTTGAATTTTCTTTCTCTGGTACGCATCATCGCCGTTCTTACCTCACGACACTGCGGGATTAGGTATTTTTAATAACTACAGCAGCTCACGCTCAAAAGTCATGACTAGAATATGAGTAATTGGAGCTGCGGCGTTTCGATAGTAGGGAGAATTGGAAGTCTGGGGACTGTTTCGGTTTGAAAACATACGTAATATAGAATGCTTGCTAATGTTGACTTATAGAAAGGAGATCATGGCCATTTCTATCTGTTGCTCTAGGTCTGGCTTCCCACTCTCTGATGCTAGTATTCATTGGTTAAAAGGCCAGCCAAACCCCTCGTCTCCTATGTCTAAGCTTCCACGACAATATCTGGTTCTTTGCTCAATCCCGCGCTGAGAGCCGCGTGTTCGCATCTCTTCTGCTCCTCCTCCTTCGCCTCTTCTTCCAGTATCTTCATCCTCCTCTCTTCTGCCGCCTTCCTTTGGGCCTCGGCCCTTTTCTCGTCGCGCTCTTTCTTCTCCTTCTCATACTCGATCCGAGCTTTATTCCCCCACTCAAGCAAACTCGACGGATGTATCAGGCACCAGACGACCAATTCGCGCGTCGCAAGAGTATCTTCCAGCGGGCTGTGCGGTTTACGACTCGCCTGGATATTCACATCCATGAGCTCCTTGCACGCGATTTTGAGGGCCCAGCGGCGCGGAAATCTCTCAACGGACCCGAACGCAGCTTGCGCTAGTAGGACCGTGGAATCGACAACGTTCCGGGCGGCGATGCGCAGGATCTTGAGATCGTTTGGCAGCGCGTGGCCTATGAAGATAGTGTCCGAGTCCGCGACGGCGAAGATCCTTGCGCGCGCCTCTGGCCATCCCTGCAGCAGCACCTCTGATTTACTCCTCGCGTCGCGCAGAACAGCCGGGGTCACGCCGGTGATGCGGGTAACCCAATTCTTGACACGGCCGACTGGCTGGACCAAGGTGTTCAGCACAACGCTACCGCTGAGGAAGTCCACGACTGAGACGCTGACCAGGTCCTGGACATGATCCTCCAGCTCGACCATCTCACAGTCGATAACTAGGGCGGCGTACGTCTTGAACCCAGGGCGACTGCCAGCTTCCGGTGGAGGTAGTGGTGTGTTATTCCTGTTCACTTCGTTGCCTCGCATGTTCTGTCCGTATTGAAATACTGACAGAGGGACAGGGAAGCCATCGGACTTGCGGCGCTCGCTGTCGAGTAGCTGTGATTTGAGAAGTGGGTACACGGACACGTTCAGCACTGGCGACGCCCACGAGTATCCATGGTCAGGTCGTTGCTGAAGCGCTGCCTCCAAGTCACCGCTTTGAGCCCACCAACTGGGAAGGAAATGGCGAGGGAGAGGCTCAGTCATGGTTAACTCGGTGAGAGAAGTTATCGCTGTTTCTATGTGAACTATCTGGCTTGATGTGCACGCTGCGCCGCTAGTAAGGTCTGAAACGGGTTCGTCAACGTCGCGCCTTGCCTGATGATTCTGGTGTGAGTTCTTATGTGCATCGAGACCACGAGGTGTGTAGAAGACCCTGGAACAGGGGATGCAGCTGCGATCGCTCATGTGGCCAGTGCTGAAGGCATGTCGGGTTCGCTCATGAAGCGACTCGAAGATGAGATGACAATCGCTGCAGTATCTTTCTTTCCCCATGGTCTTCTCTTACACATGGTAGTAGTGTCTTCCCTGGCAAATTTTATGCAGGCGGTAACGAACAGCCCTGGTCCGCGCACCAGTGTAATGAGGCTGGTCACCAGCTACCTACCAATGTAGGCAATCTGTTTGAGCTGAGCTGGTTAGGCACGAGGTTAACCCAGGCATGTGGGTAGTAGGGTCATATAAAATGAAACCTTCTGCATTTGAAGATGTCTTGAATGAAGTGATGGTACGTTGCTGTAGTAATTGTTTGGATATCTGGGTATAGCATCAAGTACTTGTCATGCAATGATTTGCCCCGGTTTGCCAACCTGCAGGCTGTGGCTGCGATGGCTGGATGGCTTTCCACAGTTGTCTCTATGCTAGGTAAATGAATAAAAGCTCAAGTATGACCTTAAGCCGGATATAGCCTGGTGAGGTCCCTGCCTCCCATTTCGAACGCCTGACTGCACCTTCCTAGGTGTCTTTTCGGTAAAATAAAATAGAGAGATTGTGATGCTATTCCAAATGGCATGATGCAAAATACCACCATACCTTAATTACGAGTATCATTCATTAACTTATCATACCAGCGAGAAACGCCATCACTCCACCGTAAAGCCCTACGCTGATGCAGATCTCTTGGCTTGCTCGAAGCCTCATCACATTGCCTTGAACCAGTGCCCCTAGAATTCCAATTCCCACCAAGCATACTACAGTCATACGCCCAATGAAGCCTGGAATCACCAGGAACGTCAATATTGGCAGTGTGATGGCAGCGGCTAGTGCCAACGACAAGTGCATCAACGTCTGCTTGTTTGCCGCATCTTGTTCACGAGCAGCACCTTGAACAGTGATATGACTTGGGGATGGGGTTCTTCCTTCATCGTATCGGCGGGAGCTATCGGACTGTGATAGGATCGATACGCGACGCCGAGGATGGAAATCGGTGATATCGGATCGCGAAATAGGCGTGACTACGTCTTCCTCATTCGTCGCCACTTCTTCATCGCTATATCCTAGCCATACAAGGTCGTCTGTCGCATTCAAGAATTGAGTTTCGACCTCAGCGATCGGTGCGTAGCTCCCGAGGAACCCTCGATATTCCAGTACGTCAGCTGGCGTTGGAGCCGGCAGCGAAAGAGTCTCCCGAAACGACGACAAGACTCGGTCTAAGCATTGTTAATACTGAAGATGGCACATCAAAGCTTATCTACTTACTGTATTGTTCTAATTTGAAAGCTATTTTCCCAAGTATATCAGTTCTGTGCCAGTGCAACTCGCTACCCGAAATAGACTCCGCCCTCCTCGAGGCTGGCACAATACCATTCGGTAGGCGTCGATTTTGCGTATCGGCGTTATCGCTACAACAGCTGGAGTCAGTAATTCCTCTTTCGGGTAAAAGTTTTGGGAGTTCTGCATACTCCCGAGACACACTTGTGCTCCTATCAGGCAACTATGGCCTTCGGGGGTAACTAGAACAGGAAGAAAATGACTCCGGTGGTTACATACAGATGGCGCAGTTGCTCCTCAAATTCGCAGATCTCGTCCTGAAGATGAAGGAGTATTCGATGATTTAAGGTCTCAAACCGCCGGTAAATCGGCCGTAGAGGTAGTCCCGATCGATGTACTGATGTGGCGGATAATTTCGAGGCTACCAGCTCATAGCCAGTCAACGGAGGCTTTTCAGGCCGGAGATGCTTGATGAATTGCTGGTTTGGTGCTCGGGGAGTGATGTCGTCCGGAAGGGTGTGGAAATGTTGAACTTTTGCTCGTGCCATCTCAGGAGTGCCATAGCTGCGTCTCTTGATCTTACTTGGTTTTGTGCGAATCCCAGTCTCTTCGAAACCAGTGCTTCTCGTGTCACCATTGACGCTGTGCTCAGGGCTGGTACTTCGAGGACTATTGCTCTGCTCCGTCTCATGGTCACCAAAGACGTCGAAGAGATCTTCTCTCACACTGCTTGAAGTAGAAGCAGTGCTATGGGTTGAAGGCGACGTGCTCGTAGCCGTATCTGCCGACGCTTCCAAAGCTTCTTTGACTGTACGTTGGATTCCTTCGGGAGTTAGTTGAGGGGAGTCCGAGTCTAGAAAGCTCAAAGCATTAGGCTTGTTAATGACAGGCTTCCTTGATCTTGCAGTGGTTCCTTTTCCAGAACTATCCCTCCTCGGTGCAAGTGTGTGTGTCACAGTTTCACAGCTTCCACTTGAATCTTCCGACTCAGTAGCAGGTCCTATTTTTGACAGCTCAGATAGTGGAGTCGGATCACATAGGTTCGGTTTGGTCAATGAGAAGTCATCCTTCACAGTAGACTTAGAAGAGTTGTGGTCCTCCTCTGTCTTCTCAGTTGATGTCGCGGGATTTTCGACTGCCACCTTTTGCGGGCCTTCCTTGGGCAGAGAGATGTGACTGGGTGACTGACCCCGTACTGTTTTCTCATTAGAGATATTGACCGCAGTTGGCGATCTTTTGTGTGATTTTTTAGATTTTCCAAAGCTGTGGTCAGCCTGGAGCTCTGGGGCCTGAGTGCGTGGCCTAGCCTTCCTCGAGCCCGGATGGGGACACGGAGAAGTGTCTTGTCGCACGGTATCCCCGCCATCAGCCATATCGACGACGGCTGATGAGTATGCCTGGCTCTTGACTGGACTGTAGAAGATAGCGTACTGAACGCTATCTTGTTGGTTTCAGGTTTTTCCGTGGCCGCAACAACAAAGATTCTACGATGAAGTGGTAAAAGGCAACGAAGCATAGGGCAGAGCTGTGTCTGATTGCGCCCTGTTGGAGGTCTACGCGTGTACCACAGCACTGCTCACGAGGTGTTTGAATTTGATTGGGTATCGATACAGTTGAGGAGAGACAAATTGCAAAACTGGGCAATCAAATGCATAGATTGGAGAGGTGTATAGAGGAATATTTAGGTATGGCCCAAAGCTTTGCACCGATTCCTGGAAAAAGAATTTCAGAAGAAACAACTTAAGGGCGACATGCCCGGTGGACAGAAGAAGCAACTGGGAGCAAAATAAGACATCGAAAGCGAGTGTCACACACAGTTGCGACAAATGCGCGCATGATTTCTTCAACAGTACGCACGGAAACACGAGCTCTGGCTTATCATAGCCGGATGTGGGGGACAATGAATACAGGGAGGGAGGCAGAGATGAGACACACACGCATACATGGACGCTCACATACGTCCACACATCGACATTGAGAGAGGCACGTAGAGCGAGTGGATAGGATAGAAAGAAGACTCACTAAATACCATGTAATCAAGCAAGGTGTTATGATCTGCCCATAACATACCGGTACTACCCTCCCAAGCTCCTACCTACCTGCCGACTTCGACCGCCAGGATCAAAAGCGGGATCGAAGACCATGTTTGGGTGCGGGTGAGCAGGTCTGAGAGGCCCGAGCTGTCTGAACCAGTCGAGCCAGTCCCTTGACACCACCACCATCAGTCCATGAGATACGAGCATGTGATGATTGATTGGCTAAGAAATCGACCATTGCTTGCAGGCGGCGTTTCGGTGACGTTAGCCCTGCCGATCTTGAATCGATATATTGAAGACTGGATTCTGACTGATATATAGCGACTGTTCACTATTTCTTTTCCGTTCATGGTCTTCGACGACCAGGCATTGTCGCTTTGGCATTGAGACGTCGAGGGAAGAATGGCCTCAGTCGGCGTGGTCTGCGAGATATGGGGGATCTACGGTTTGCTGTCTGTACAGCATACCTAGGTACATACAGCTCCCTGTAGGTGCCATGAGCTTGGCTCGCTTAGCGGGGTCATGGCCCAGTCTATTTGTAGGTATATTTTTAGGAAATGCGATTCCAAGCGAGCGATGTCATCCACTCATTAACCTATTTCAGTATATACGCGCCTCTTCGGGATTAGCACGAACACTTCGCTCGATACTCAGAAAAGCTTCAGCTAGGTGCGAAGTAAAGCCCCATTAAGATCTACCCAAGCCTACAATTCGCCGACTTCGTTGTTGGGCAGCGAGTATCGCGGCCATGCCTCAAATCCGACCTACGACGCTGAGCAGGTACTTACTCCAGGGCCAGCTGGTTACTAGAGGCTGCCTGCGAGCACGACCTCGAGTTCAAGCCCCTTCGATCACGACTTCACACGCGCAGCAACTCGCACAATATCTTCACACCGACACCAGCGACTCTCCTTCAAATGCACCCGCCCCAGTCCATGTTCCTTTGCGCAAGCAGCTGAAAGACGAGGCGAAGAAGCAAAAGGCGCTGGGTAAAAAGAAGAAGAAGAATGTAAACAATCAAGTAGTTGATGGCTGGGAGCTTACGGTCGGCATCGAAATTCACGCGCAGCTGAATACAGCAAAGAAATTGTTCTCGGGTGCTACGACATCTTTCAACGACAACCCGAACACTCGCGTCGCCTACTTCGATCTTGCCACGCCAGGGAGTCAGCCTCTGTTCCAGAAAGAAACACTTCTCCCTGCCCTGCGTGCCGCCCTAGCTCTCAACTGTGAGGTGCAGCCTATCAGCCGGTTTGACCGCAAACACTACTTCCACTGGGACCAGCCATCTGGATACCAAATTACACAGTATTATGAGCCCTTCGCCCGTGATGGCCGCATACAGCTGCAATCCCGGGATGGGATTGCAGCCGAGGACGGCGAGAGTGTTTCCATTGGCATCAGACAGGTCCAGATGGAGCAGGACACGGCCAAAACTCTAGCGCAGCCGGGCGACGTGCACTGGATTGATTTTAACCGCGTCGGCATGCCTCTGATTGAAATCATCACTCATCCAGATATCCATTACCCCTCAACGGCCGCTGCGTTTGTGCGGAAGATTCAGATTCTACTCAATGCTGTCGACGCATGTGTGTCGGGCTTGGAGGCCGGGGGGTTACGAGCAGACGTCAACGTTTCGGTTCGGCGGACGGATGATCCGAGCAGCCCTCTCGGCCAACGCACAGAGATCAAGAACCTGAGCAGCTTTAAGGCGGTAGAGGACGCCATTATCGCTGAGCGCGACAGGCAAATTGCGGTCCTCGAAGCCGGCGGTGTAATCGCGGGCGAGACACGCGGCTGGTCTATAGGGTCAACAGAGACTCGACGCTTGCGCGGCAAGGAGGGTGAAGTTGACTACCGCTACATGTCAGACCCAGACATTGCGCCTCTTCTCATCGCTCCGGACCTCGTGGCCCATCTTCGCGGTACAATGGGCGAGCTACCCGACGATGTCGTAGACGCTTTGATCCGCGACTTTGGGCTCTCCTCCAAGGACGCCATGTCTCTCGTCTCACTTGACAGGGGTCTGCGCATAGAATACTTCTGGAACGTAGTCGCCAAGTTGCAATCCCAGCTCAGCGCCGACGCATCCCAAGAGCATAAAGCTTGCTTCCAGCTTGCGGCGAACTGGATTCTGCACGAGTTTGGCCGGTTCACGGCCGAACGCAGCGATGAGTCCGCCCTTGATTTAGGGTTTTATCCGGAGGGTGAATGTGTCCGTGTGCCGGCACAGCATCTTGCCGACTTGATTCACCACCTCTATAACCGTAGGATCACGGCGAAAGTGGCCAAGGAGTTGCTCTGGGCCATCTTTCGAGGCCGTATACCTGGTGAATATCGCAGTATTTCTGATGCAATTGAGAAAGAGGGTCTATGGTTTGAGGAGTTGTCTTCAGATGAATACGCCGCGCTCGCTGATGACGCGGTTCGCGGGCAAGAGGGTATCTTGCGTCAGTTCCACGCTGCTAAGGTTTTCCCGCAAGGAAAGCTTATGTTTCTCGTTGGGCGCATGGTCAGGCTGGGGCAAGAGGAGCGCATTGATCCCAAGAACGCAGAGAGCGTGATGAGGGACAGGATAGAGCGTATATACGTCCCGGCTTTGAAAGAGTAGCATTGAGATGGCTCCTCACATTGTTGTAGATATGTATAAAGCACGTATATACTAAATCGGGGCACATAGAAGTAACAATATTTATACCCTGTGCCAAAAACTCATAGGATTTTTCCAAAATAAAACGTTCAATTATAGCAGAGCCCTTGTCGCGCTTGAACTATTCCCAACTATTTAAAGAGCGGACGGGTTTAGGGACACGCCTTATTAAAAGGATTAATAAAGGGATGAGTGAAACCATGACAAGAACCGAAGCCTCCCATTTCCAGACAGAGACCTTGACGCGGCAACGTGGCCGGCGATGCAAATCTCGTTTTCCTCAACATCAAATACGCCTCTGCCTTAATCTCCAAAATATCCCGCCACCAAGACGACTCGACCGTAGAAAATCAGAATACCTCAACGCCAATCCTAATCAAGCCTTCTATAGTTTGATACCTAAAAGCACCAAACGCCGTTCATCCTATGTATGTTTAAGGGTCATCGTCCCTAACGATAGCGGTTGTGGGTCAGGCCTTGGGCCCGTAGGAAAGTAGCAATGTCTTCGACACCTTGTGGGCAGTTGATCCAGTGGCCGCCGGTTGGGTATTCCTTCCATGTCACTGTCATCCCATACGTTATCAGTGTATCTCTGAGTCGCCTTCCCTGTTCGATCGGGACCGAGGGATCGTCGGCACAGTGGCATATGAACACCGGGGTGTTGCGGTATACGTTATGGCTCGACCCAGAAATTTTCAGCCCAAGCAGCTCACGAGATTCCTGCGCAGAACTCCCGCCCAAGGACATCCACCCCGAAGTGCCTATGAATGCACATAGCCTCCTGTTTTGGCCCCGCAAATTCAAAAGAACCTGGATAGCGGTGGCACAACCTTCTGAAATCCCAGCCAGAATGACATTCTCAAGACCAACGATCCTCCCCTCATATTCTACCAGCTCAACTAGCTGCGGTACGACATCTTTCAAGCCAGGGCGTTGGAGCTCACGACGCTCATCCGGATTTTGTATATCCACTACGTCAAACCACTCCCGCATGGTCTGATCCAGCCGAGTAACGAAGATTTCGTTGGCCTGAGGAAAAACCCATTTGACAGAGGGGAAGATGTGCTGCACACTTTCGCCCCGGCAATCACGAGTCTCCCATAGCTGTTGGCTTAAAATGTGGGCACTGCTGCTGTGGCCGTGGAGATAGATGATGGTATGTGTATGTTCGTTGTGAGCCGGCAGAGAGACGGTATATACCATGATTGGCACCACGCGATTGTTCCGCTACAATAGCGCCTTCATCGAAATAGGAGCGCCGTGGTCGGACTGGGAGGTGAGGTTGGTCGATGGAACTCTGAGATGGAGAGACAACTGTCTCTGAAGAGGGGTGACCAGGGATTCCAAGTGTGTAGACTAGGTTCATACCTTATGCTCCTCTGGCTTGGAGCCAGGTAATTCATTCCCTAACGGTATAGGTCGAATGATCGACACTGACTGTGCCTTGGACGTACGTAATCTGCCTTAGGTGCATTCATGTATAAGACAAGACTCAAACTCAAACTCGAGACAAACAAACCGCATCGTACGACGCTTAGCAATTCTCCTGACTACGTCTTGAGATCTTGATATATAGTATGGTCAACAAGTTGGGTAGAGGACTCGGTATTTTAATAATCAATGGCTGCAGAGGCTCGGTCTAGACCCCGAGCGACGAATGAACAATCGCATGATTGGTCTGGATAGCGGCGTCTACACTATGGACGGTGTAACCACGGCATTGCCAGAGCGCTGCCCGACCCCTGAGGCCTGTACACCTTACAGTGAGCGTTTTTATGCAGTGCGACACCTTGAACAACCCCAGTACAACGATTGTGGTTGCCTTACCAGCGTCCACAAGGCGGCTGAAACAGATTATGCGTATTCGCAATGGGAGTTCGGAGGCACAGCATACGAAGGAGCTGATTTGATCATGATAGGCAGAGAGAAGGCAGGAGGGGAAGGGAATAAGTTAATGTTGTCTCAATTGTATCGTCCGCGCCCTCCTCGTTTGCTCGTACGTGTATTGACTCATCTGAAAGCTCGCTAGACTCTAAGGGTCGCATAGTTCATATGATGGTCTGTCAAAACAAGAAAGGCGCCGCTGAAGATGGAGACTGGTCTTACTCTAACTTGCCTCAGGGGGTGATTTGACTGTTCCACCCGCAGAGGCTGCAACATTCCAGTCATTCAAGTTGGAACTGACGGACGCTCAAACGTCAATACCACCAACTAACAGGGGTCAGATACTGGACAATTTGCCGTAGTTGGTATGTCCAAGTTGCGCTGTCGCAAAAAGTTTTCTACCCTTTCGTGTCGGTTGAGGGGTGATTGTTGGTCTTGCCGCCGCCTCAAGTCGTCACTAATAGCGGCGTGCTTCTGGTCGCGTAACTCAACAATATTCACGGTATGGTTGGTAACTCGTTGTGCTTGTGCGTAGCTCCCTAGAATCACAAAAGCGCATAACACGATAACAAAAAGCTCGTTAGACATGTATACAGGGGTTTGGGGCGGCTTTTCACCGTTCCTCTCGCACCGCCACCTCTCCCAGTCTTCCCAGGTAGCGTTCCTACTCGCATTGCCCGGCTCGTTCCGCCACGACCGGTCAGCTTCACGATAGAGACTCTCCAGTGTACGATTACCGCGCCAGCCGGCGCCGTACAGGTCGTATGCCCTTCGCTTGGCGTCGTCGCTCAAGATCTCATTTGCGGCCACTACTAGGCGATATCGCTCTAGTCGTACAGCGAGTGGGATTGGCGAATCAGCAGCTGCGTAGTTCCTATCTGGATGGTAAATCTTCACCAGCTGGTAGAACAAGGCCTTGTCATACCGCGCATCTTTAGGCTGCGCGAGTATCTCGTAGGGTGTCGGATGGACTGAGGTCGGCCAGGTATAATCTGGAGGAGCGCTAGACGGGCGACTGTGGGAAGGCTGGGAGGCGGAAGCGTAGCAGCGAGTAAAGGGACGATTACACTCTAACAGCGGTGCTAGCTTCACATCCCGCGCTGGAAAGCCCATATGTTGACCACGATGTGCTCGTGGTTGCTGGTTCTTAGTAGACAATGGTGATGACGGCGATGTCGATGACGACAACGGCGTTGTGCAAGTTATGGGCAAAGAGGCCCCATGGGCGACGAGGTCAGCGCGTGAAGATAAAACACGGGTAGCCTCTTTGACGAGCATATTCACTTCTCAATAAACATCTTAATGGCTGTTGCAGATGGGCCAACAACGTCTGGGAGCTGGCAATGGATCAATCAATGAGCCATGAGCTTGGTGGAAAGCAACTACTTTATGTCATGAATGAGAGGCAATAGCTAACAGTGGGTTCTGAGGGGCACGCTAGGTATTAACTAGGTAGGTAAGTACTGGGTACTTCTACTTGGTACTGGGGTGCTTGACTTGCATAGTAGGTAGGTACTTCAGTACATAGATAACGTGTACCTGTCTATTATATTGGTTTGAGGTAGAAAAGTGACTGTATCGTATATAAGTATGATGCGGAGTTCTGTATTGGACCAAAAAGCTAAATGGTTCAACACTGTAATTAATTCCTTTAAGAACTAGGTACCGTAGTAGGTATATTATATTCAGACCATGTAGTAAGTATACAACAGGGGTATTTGAGCCATCACATTCGGGATGTAGGCCTATCGATAAGTTCCTCAGCCACAAGTAGATGCGAAGTGGGATTGTATGCATGGAGGTACAGGGTACGAGCCGATAGTGCTGCTGCTGGCTCATACATAGGTACATAGGTAAGTTACATCCTAATCGCTCACTCCCGCTTAATACTACAGAGGTAGGTACATCTACCTAGATAAGTACCCAGTACGTAGTACTTATTTGGCGGCACGCTGTGGCACAGAAGGTAGGGCTCAGCCGAAATGCGCAGAAAGCAATCAACATCAATTGAATCCTCATCGCATCAACAAGCTCCATTCCCAAAAAAAGATTAAATAGCGACAGCTTTCAAAAGACTACCTTCCCATTCCCGCCAGCTTTGTCATCTGCACACATGCATCTAGCATTGTTTTAGACATCGCAGTTCTTTCATATCTGCCACCGTCCCAAACGTCTCTACTGCCCTCCTCCTTCCCCTCTCGCAACTCTTCCGACACATTCATCCACACTCGCGTCCACCAGCCGAACACACGGCGGGTTGCAATATTGTGTTGCTGAACTATCTCTAAAGGCCGCACTGTCCTCATCGAGTCTCCCTGCCTACATTCAGTTTCACCCTCTATACCAAAAGTCGTCACTTCGGACACCTGTCGATCATATCCTAGACGAACCCGCTCTGGCCTGTGCCCTTGGGAAGCTACAAGTAGTTGACTCTATATAGCTACCATACGTGCTTCAAGGCTCATTGGCATGTACTTTCTCGGTAAGCATATCTTTTTCTCGCTTCCAATAATTAAGCAACTATGTATATTCAGAAATGTATCCGTTGTTTCATTTATGACATTGAGGCAACCCAGCAGACCTTATCATTGCGAGCAGCTTACTTCTTCCTTTTGTTCTGCATGGGCCTAGCACAATCAACGAGTTGATGTCTCAAGTGTCTTGGCACCTAAAGCTACATGTGTCCTGTTGCATCTAACTTATTTTAAGTTCGAGAAGCTAACTAATCGACTCAGATCGTCACGGTATATGAACACGTCGCCTGTCCAACTACCTTACCCGATTTCTCCGTCAACCAAGCTGCAACCTGAGCTGTTCAGGTGCATGTACATTGAGACTCAGCATTTCATCCGAAAGTTACCTCGTTAAAGAATCCCGCTCATTGATTGAATTAATCCTTCGTAATTCAGTACAGCTCTGCGCCTATAGACATTCTCCGCCATAAAAATGACCGACTCCATAACTGCAAAGCTACAAGCTTCAACACTCAACGATGCTGCAGATAACAGCGACTGGAAAAAGAGCTTGAATATCCCTGTCCGTGATGGCAGACAGCAAACGGAGGTTCGTGTTGAAAACGAAGATTGTCATGTTTTCGAGTTGTGAAATTGACTGGCAACCAACAGGACGTAACAAACACCAAAGGTCTGGAATGGGAGGATTTTTCGCTTAGGCGAGACCTTCTGATGGGCATTTTTGAAGCCGGCTACGAAAAGCCCTCGCCAATTCAAGAAGAGGCCATTCCCGTAGCCCTAACAGGCAGAGATATATTGGCTCGAGCCAAAAATGGCACCGGCAAGACCGCCGCTTTTGTGGTACCGACTTTGGAACGTATCAACCCAAAAGTCAACAAGATTCAATGCCTGATATTAGTCCCGACCCGAGAATTAGCCATGCAAACATCCCAGGTCTGTAAAACTCTTGGGAAACACCTTGGGGTCAACGTCATGGTAACCACTGGCGGTACAACACTTCGCGATGATATTGTCCGTTTGCAGGATGCTGTCCACATAGTGGTGGGCACTCCCGGCCGTATCCTCGACTTGGCCGGGAAGGGAGTTGCGGACTTGAGTGAATGTCCCATGTTTATCATGGATGAAGCGGATAAGCTATTGTCAATTGAGTTCACTCCTGTCATTGAACAGCTACTACAATTTCATCCCAAGGACCGCCAAGTTATGTTATTTTCCGCCACTTTCCCTTTGTCTGTCAAGGACTTTTCGGATAAGAATATGTCGAAGCCGTATGAGATCAATCTAATGGACGAACTGACCCTCCGTGGTATTACCCAATACTACGCTTTTGTGGAAGAGAAATCGAAAGTCCACTGCCTAAATACGCTGTTCTCCAAGCTTCAGATTAACCAGTCGATCATCTTCTGCAACTCTACGAACCGTGTCGAACTGCTTGCGAAGAAAATCACGGAGCTAGGCTATTCGTGCTTTTACAGCCATGCCAAGATGGCCCAGCACGCTCGGAACCGCGTTTTTCACGATTTCCGCAATGGCGTTTGCCGCAATTTGGTCTGCTCAGATCTACTCACCCGCGGCATTGATATCCAAGCCGTAAACGTCGTCATCAACTTCGATTTCCCCAAGAATGCCGAAACATACCTGCATCGTATTGGACGCTCTGGCCGATATGGTCATCTCGGTCTGGCAATCAACCTAATAAACTGGGAGGACCGATATAATCTGTATAATATTGAAAAAGATCTGGGCACAGAGATTCAACCCATTCCACCCACCATTGACAAGGCCTTGTACGTTTACGAAAACCCAGAGAACATCCCTCGCCCAGTGAACACATATGGCCCGAAACAGCCTCCAGCCAATAAAATCCAACACGGCGAGACTTCGACACAGACTGCTCAACAAAACACCCCCAACCCGCCTCAAGGAAGAGGGCAGGGTGAATTTCGGCAGCAGTCTAACCGTGGGGGTCGGTTCGATCGATATGACGATTCCGTGCCACCCCGTCAATATCAAAACAATCGGGGCGGCAATCGGGGCGGCCGTGGCCGTGGTCGAGGCTTCCAGCACTTTAGCGGTCGCGGTGGCGGTCGTGGTCAGCCCCAACCTCCACAGCAAGCCTAGCTTGCCAACACCTCTCCATTAATTACGGGCCACAATCGTCTATGTTGTAGCCATAGCTCCTTGAACTTGTACATATTTCACTATCTGGATCAGTCTTGACTTGTATCATACCCACCGCGACGTCTCCTTTGGTTTTCTATTTTATTTCACTTTTCTAACACCATCTTCGGTTCTTTGTTGAGATCCGTACAGCATCTGACGTCATGAGACGAAACTTTCGATGTTTGAACGAAATCGTAACCGGGGTCGGGAAACGGCGTTTGGTGTTCAGTATACGAGGACGCAAGCCATTTTGGGTGGGGTGGAAGCCGAAAATGGGTGAATAAAAGGCACGGATGATTTACGCATGTCTAGAGCCAACGTCGGTCTCGGGCTATATCGCATTTTCTAAATCTGCCTTGTCTATTTGATGAGACTGATTTGACTCGGTATGACACCGAATTCGATTTCAGAGCATTTGGACGAGCGTTACAGCACGATACCCTTGATTGCAGGAGGTTCTGCCCGTGGTGGAACTTTGAGGGAATGAAGGAGGTCTCAATCCAACCAGACACGATTAGTGTCACTGCACTGCATCGATTCGACAGCAGGAGCATAGGTTGGCATGGTATACAGTAGTGTGTGTGATGCACGAAGGACTACTGCAAAACGACACTGAGGCGGTGGTGTGGTGTCGTCCATTGTCTCGAGAGCTGCTCAACGCCAGGAGTTCATTACACAATAACAGGGCCACGTCTACTTGATCACGGAAATGACTAATCACCAATCATATCAGACACAGGGCTAGGAGGCAGGTACTTTCGAGGAGAAAAAGAAAAATCGGTGATAAAAAAAACGAAAAAAAAGACGAAAAAAGCTATTTTTTTTTGGGAGGGGCGCTGGACATTCTAGATAGTTCTCATACTGGTGAGCTGCCCAGCTCAAGGCCAGTGGGCTTTATAGTAGTCTGAGCAATAGCGGTGGTCATAGTGCTCATCACCGTTTTCCCTTTCCACTTTCTGAACCCCGAATATTGTGCTGTAACGTGGATTTATGCTCCCGCGTGACTTGTGGCGTTGTGAGAGTACAGCCACGTGTAAAAAATAAATGATTGAAACAGCATCAGTATGTCTGCATCATTCGAAACGTAGACACATATATAGCCAGGATAAGATGAAATCCCACCTATGTATCTAGAGAATCTTGAGGCAGCGTCGACATCTACTCCACAGAGCGAGCCGATCGATCTTCGGATGGAATGAGAGCCCGATGACATGGAAATCCGAGTCGAAAGAGCCCAATTTAATATCCGATAGCCATGATATATATATAGATATACATGCTTGGCTGTACAACATCGTCGCCAGAGAAGCGCGGGAGGGCACCTAGTGCATGTTCCCTTGGAGACTATTCAAGGTTGCCTTTGTGTAATGCACTTACTTAATGACTTCCGCGTATCCCGCTTGCGTGCCCGGGCTGTGTAGATGAATACGCTGGGCATACCCCTCGTGGCAAGAATGCTAGTGTCGACGGGGGGCTCGCGTTGTGTCGGGGCAAGAGACAAGCTTGTTGGATGGACCACCTGCTGGTGAATAGAGTACCTAATGCTTACCGAGCTTGGATACTGTTGTATGGGAGAGGGAGAATCGTGTAGCGGATACGGTTGTTCGATATGATGTGGTGGCTGGTCTACAATGAGCTTCCCATGTTGCCCTTAGTGTGAAGGGAATAAATGTTAGGGAAGGTTGGAGATGGGTTCGGGTTTTCGAGTCAGGTAATTATTATTATTTTTTTCGAATGGCACGTGCTAAGCTGGACTGCTAGCGTCAGCCAGCCCCCGCGGCGCAGGTACGTATTTGGAGACAGGGGTAGTTAGGTAGCTCGATGTTAGAGGCGTTAGGTCATGCAGGTCTCATCTTGACCTCGACGCTGCAGAACTTCAGATCACGTACACGGATGCTTAGCTATAGAGAGATTTGGAATATCTTCCTGTTCCGTAGAGGTACTTGAGTAATGCATTTCCCCAGATGAGAACTGGTGAAGGTGCAGGGCTTGGTGTCTCCTTCAAGCTGTCTTCTGTGGGCTTAAGCTCACGCTTCAGTTTGATGTATTCCAAGCGGTGATGACGTGACTACTCTAAAGAAATGAAGGCGATTACGGATGAAGAAATCATTGACATATTTTTTTTTACCGCATCCGATGGATAATGATGAGAACGTGAGGCAGCTGTTTCGAGTTACTTAGTGAAATACTCCGAGTCTTCAACTTACAATGTCTACGGCCTATTGTGGCAAGTCTCGAATTGTTCCAGAGCCAAGGGCATGGTCATAAAGAGTACAAAGGTAATCTCGAAGAGTACATGTCAATTACCATTGGGTCCTAAGATTATTCCATGTTATCTAGATCGCATTTATTGGAGCTCATCACCGATACTCCGGTTTATCTTGGATCTAACCAAGTACCTGGGCGCATCAAATCCCCAGCGCTTCGACCTCATTCAATTTGGTTTCCCCTGAGCTGAAGGTATCTTCTCGTATTAGTGGCAACTAGTGAGAAAGGCTGGCAAGCATATACCCATTATAACTACAATGACCATAAATTGAGCTACCCGCTGTTCGTATAGAAACAAGCCACACAAGGTCTGCATGCCAGTCTTCCTTGATGAACCAGTGATTTGTGGGAGAAGAGGATACCGGAGTCAAACTCTAAAGGAATTTAGTGTGCTATGTATTGCTAGGCTACTTTGAAAGAGTAGGGGGTAATCCATATTCAACTACAACATCAGACTCATTGTCATGGCAGAGGAACCTTCGCAGCTGACTCTTTTCTTGTTAAACAACTTAGAATCTGCCCTCCCACATCTGATGGAAACAAAGACCTGAAATTTCTTTCCTTTATCATCTTGTTCTATAATTCCATAATGTGGTGTTGGACGCTTTGCCCAGTTGGAGAGATATTACAGACTAAATCCACTTTTGGTCATTGGCCTCTGATGATACTATCAGTCAGTGGTGTTTGAAAAGAATCATACATATGGTCGTATCATTCTCGTGGTGAGATCACAGGTTACTTAATTCACCAAACATTCTATGTTCCCCTGAGGGCTAGGGCTGCTAGAAATACATTTGTAGATAGTACCCAAAATCTAGGCAGGTAGGGAGTAATATGCATGCCTTCGATGACTCCAAAATGAAGACCTCTGGGGGTTACCATGGCCAGAGTCTCCTATTGTTCCATAAGAGAGGTTGATGCTGCGTCTCTTTGAAGGCTGGACAGTGGAACTCCAAGAGCGAAATACTTCCAGTTGCAAACCAGGTATTGTAGCCCTAACAACACAAAACCATTTATTGTTGTGGTATTATGTAGGGTACCACCCTTCCATTGTTGGCCCCAGTCACATTGTAGTGAATAATTCAAACGCTAGTCAAAACCCTTGTTTGCTTGTTTGCTTCACACTGGTCGCATTGACCATAAGGTGTCGCGTTCGTATAGAGCTCTCTGCTTGAGGTTCTTTCACTGTATTCTCTGTCCTGAAGTATCCTTCTTCAACATTTACTGGAATCCATGGGACCCAACAAATCTATTTCGAATCACAGCCCTATTAGCTTGTGATAGCTTCAAATATTTTCCCAGCCACTCTGGATCCAACCCCTTGGGGCTCACATCCGCACCAGACCATTCTAGGAAAATTTACAAGCTTCTTTTGCATGCTTCCAAGCCCATAAAACCAAGATGAGCGATCACAGCCGTGGCGGCTCTCAGGGCCGTAATCTTTCGTAAGTACCTCTAGTACTCCTTGCTTTCTATTTTGTATGGCTTCAACTGTGCGGAGGACTCGAAATCCTTTCGAGGATAATAATCTGTTGGAGTCCTCCACAGCTACAGAGCTCCTTTGGATAGTAATTGGAAGAAGGGTAACTAACTTCAAGTTGCAAAAGAGGTTATTGGCGTTCCGCAGCCGATATTCCTGGTGGCACACCACAGGCGAACAATCCAGTTCCAAATTCCTCGAATTATCGAGGCGATCTCACCAATCCTCGCAATAAAAGTGCAGATATCCCGGAGTCTGAGAATTGTGCTACCTGGTGGACAAATTGTATGTATTCCCTGAAACAAATTTCTTCTTGCTATGGCCAGTTGCGGAGATGAGATCCTCCTTTCAGAGTGGCCAACATATCTGCGGAGCATGTATAGCTCCTCAAGCCTCATCTATTCTTAGTAAAAAGAGAAGATATTGATTCCAGCGAACTATAGTGCCGCCTGACTGTACGTATGAGACGCTCTTCGATAGCATACGGAATGTTGGTGCAGTAAGCCATGCAGTTATCAACCCGCCACTCGGCGTACACGGTACAGCTGCCGCAAAAGTAGAGTTCTTTGACAGGGCCTCGGTCGATCGCCTGATGGTCCAAGCCAACAACGGCCATATTAGAGGCCATCTTCGCTGCGGCGGTCGGATACCGAACGTCGTTTTAAACCGAATTAGAGTCGCTGCCCACTCCAACACAGTCCCCAGCGATCATGGCAATAATGGTCACGGCTCCCGTGTTCTCCAAGTTGTTGGCGATTCCCGAATCGTCCGTCAAAATTACCTGGAGACTGTACTGGCTAGTCCAAATAATCGGGTCATATATGGCTTGGAACGAGCCCGAACCTTTACACAGGCTGATGGGTTATCCTGTGTTGAATTCCGATTTGCAAGCTATACTGTGCAGGCTGCTCGAGCGCGTAACGTCTTCATGGCACAGAAACACAGGAAAGATATACCTGAAAGCGAGAGGGCTCTGTGGGAGGGCGTTACTTGCCTTTTCGGACCGGACCCGTGCCAATAGAAGGGCTTAGTGATTGACAGAGCTTCTCCTGAGAAGGATTTCAGTCTCCTTCTATTTGCCTGCTTTTAGGTGCATAACTTTTAAGGATATGAAATCAGCGGTATGACCTAACACATCAGAACCCGATACTCTGCGCCGTACCTGAATTCGTCAATACATTGACTTCACAGGTATCGCAGTCAGGTGGAGGATATATGTACTACTTTTAGACTTGAACGTCTAATGGCCTCGGTTTGACAAGGTGCGACAATAGGAAGCTCCTGAAGCATGCGGATTATGAATTGAAATAGTTTCACAGCAGATTTGATAATTGACTAAATGCTTTAGCTTAAATCACACTGTAAAAATCATCTCGTGTTGTAGATACAATGGTGGTTCGCAATTGTGTATCAAACACCAAAAGATTTGAAAGCCTACTAACGCCGAAGTCAGACCAACATTAAGGCTACTCCGTGTTCTGCTGGCTCTTGTTAAGAGGCTGCGACTAAAGCCGGCCTAATATCGCCTCTCCGTATCAACGTTCGCGTGTGCAAATAAAGAGGCACGTATGTCGAGTGAACTCAAAGAAGATTGTTATGTACTCGAAAGCCTACAGGTTTCTTTCCGTAAACCGTGACAGGGCGTTGGGCGGTGCAAAAAGTATTGAGGACGAAAAGCGTGACCACCCCCTATTACCTCTTCTTGGGCTTAGGAATGTGTACATCACTTCCTTAAATCAATAATGCAAGTAATCAAATATTCTGCTTTTGTTCCCGATCGAGGGGTGCATGAGCTAGTAGGGAGATTTGATCGTTAGATGTCAGGCGCGCATCTTCGATATCGTCGTTGGTGATGCACCTGGAAGAGTCGCCGTTCATGATCCTGCCTCCATAAGTTAAGCAGCAGCGGGATTTAGACACTATAACTACGCTCAGGAATCAAGTGTTCGAAGCGAAGGCCTTACATGGGAACCATCTTTGTTGATACACCATACAAATGCTAGCCGTAGGTACATATCAGTAAGGCCTCTTCATTTACATGATGATATCACTTTGTCTTAGAAGAAGGTTTGCACAGGTCAATATCGATTGCGATCAACTTTGCTACTATGGTGGCAAGACCTTAAGCTTGTTTTTTTATTTGCCTATAACACAGGGAAAAATATAGTTGATTGATTGTCGACTGTTAATAAAGTAAATCACAGCTTGCTGACACAAGCTTAACTGGGACCGCTAAGCAATGCCTTCATGAGAAAGTAGGTACTCGTATTTATCGCCACCTCTGTACTTCAACCGGGTCGAAATGGAAGGACCAAAATCAAGTGTTAACTGATGGAATGGAAAGTCTGAAGAAATCGAGCAGAATGCATAAAATCGTTAGTGGTAATAGAAGATATGCCCCCAATGAGTATTCAATGAGCAAAACGAAAATCCAGTCGTCTAGTTCCCTCGTCCTTAGAGTCATGCGTATATGCAGAGCGTTCCTGGAAATATTAGTACGTATACAAAATGAGTTCGAAAATTGGCTGCTGTTACTTCAGCCGAGATCTATAAACCGTACTCACCTCTGGAGTCATGCTGGCCCACACTCGATCGCGGTGTCTATTCCGCAAAATGTAGTATACTTTAGCGAATACTATGAGAACTAGAGTGACCACGTTCAATGTGATTAGGATGGTGTTTCCTCTGTGGTATAAGGGCCTGTCTGATTCAACGTAAATGTTGTTTGCCCACACATTGCTGAGTAGGTAGATCACTGTGGCCCTTGCTCAGCTCTGAGCTTTCACATATGTTCGGGTTTGGGTTACCAAAAGAAAAATTACTCGTACCGTTTTGAATGGTAACTGACATAGCTCTGGCACCAACCCCATTGCAGTTTTTTGAAAGCCAGCCAACCATTATAGCATGTGATGAGGGATAACTGAGAAGGACCGTCACAAGAGTGTACGTGCCCCAGACGTCTTTTACTACTCCTGGCCAGAACCGGAGGGCAATCAAAGGTGGCAGGGTCCAAATGCTCTGCATCATCGCGAATACCGCGCATTCTTTATACCGCTCACTAAGCCAAGTGATGCTAATCAAGGCCAGTATATGCCCGACAGATGAAGGGATAATGAGCAGGTTAGTGACATACTGTTTACAGATACAGGTTAACTAATAGAGCAGGTAGTCTATTTATTGCTCTGTCTTTAAACTCACAGTATCGAAGCCAAGGCTTCGGAGGGTGATAACAAGGTAGGTATTTGGTGGATCTTGAGGAACATTGATGAAGAACCCTATCACATAGATGGGCCATAGGTCGAAGTCTTTCAATGCATTCCAGATTCGCCTCGGAGTGATAGCTTGGCGATTGTTCATATCACCTAAGAACCGTCAAGTTAGCACTGCGATCCTATGGCAGCAATAGAGGCATAAGATATTATGATAGCCACCTTTCGATGGGTCGTCTCTTAGAATACGATTTACCGCAATGATCTCCTCACGGTCAGTAAACCAACCATTTGGCCTGAACCAGGTCTTGGTCTGCACGATGGATGGAGGCATCATAAAGAAAGAAGCAATCGAAACTGTCAATGGTATGAATCCTTGTATAAGAAATAGCCATCTGCTTCGAGTCAGCTAAATTCTACGGGAGTTATATTTATTGGGTATTTATCATTACCTCCAGCCTGGCCATCCGGCTACTCCACGAAGATGAAGTATCCCAATTCCGGTGAAAGTGAAAATAACTTTCTCCCAAACTAGAGTTGAGAAGAAGAAACTGACCGGAAACTTGACATTAGCACACGCAACATCTCGTTTAATTAGCTATTAGCCTCAACTTGCCTTAGGCGAATAGGGAGCTCCTTGCTGGTATAGAAATAGGACAGCCATAGTATAGCATCAGGAACGAAGCCCCCCTTATAAGCGAATCAGTCTTCATAGTTGCTTAAGTTGCCTATCATGAAAGAAAGAGGTAGTGACTGACTACTAATAAGCCCAATAGCCCCCGTAAGACGAGCAAGTTGGTTTTAGTTCTGATTGCAGCCTGTGATATGGCAAGAATAGACCACGTAGTCAATAGGATTGGGGTCCAGCGGTCTGGGCCAAACTTCTTGGATATCAGTTGCGAGGGGAATTCGCTAACGATGAAACCGACCCAAAAGAGAGTATTGGCGAGATTGAAGTCTGAGTAAATAGTCAAATATTGTCACTTCGTCTAGAGCATAGGGAGTCGTTGGAGATTAGCGTAGCTAGCCCACCATTGGTATTCATATTAAGATCTTGAAGCAGAGTCTCCGAGACTGCTTGCGTGATGTTACCATTGTCTACATGAATGACCGTGAATATTATGCACTGATTTTGGAGGATATTAGCGGCCACTGTGTGATTTGACGTTGAAACACGATTGTCCGATCGGTCACTAACCACCCATAGACAAGCGCGCAAATCGATGCGACGGACGAGTCGCCTTTCTTCCTCTAGTGTCCAAGTCAATTGAGGGTCAAAACGGTGGCGGCCCTCGTAACGAGCTTGTTCATAGATTTGTCGATATCGTTCAGCGACGTCAGGATCAGAGAATGGATTGTGTCCAGTACTAGCACTGGTACTAGCCGAGGCATTAGCTTTGACTCGCTCGAATGCTTATGGGTGGCTAGGTTTCGAACATGGTTTCCGAAGTATCTTGGCATGACTGCAGATTGGTCGAATCGCAACGGCTGCTCCCCAAATGAGAAGTAGAAGACATGGTGCGCTATTAGTGTCCTCGCGACTACGATCCCCAAGACGATGAATCAGGTCGAGCTTTTAGGAATACTCTAGGATGAAGTCAGTGAGCCTCATAAGTTGATTGACTAGAGCGCTTTATACGGAGCTTCATAGGAAGAATGGTGGGGGGGTTTCGTGTAGTTTTCGGTGACTACAGAAACACTATTCGAATTATACGACGGGTAAGTATATATATACACGTATCTAAGCGGGTTTGCTTGTAGTACAATGACAATAACAGTGGGCGATTTGTTCGATTAATTAACCGAATGTACAGACTCCTATAAATAACACACAAACCACAAATGCAGTAGCAATGGCGCCGAAGCCACCATGTAAGTCACAGACCATAGATGGCCCGCAAATCTATCGATGGAGCTCTTGGTTTGAACATACAGAATAGGCCGACCCATTTTGATTAGACTGTGCGGAGCGCAAAGAGACCGCTGGAACGTATAGCATATTAATTTTCTCACACGCTAAACGTTCTATTCGTTCATATTTTCTGCCAAATGCCATGCCGCCTTACTGCCCGAGATTGGGACTTCTGCTTTTGTACAGCCAGAGGTAGCACAACAGCCTCCGTACATACCTACCCCCCTCCAGTGCTATTGATATCTACGCATGCGTAGCATTTTGCCATTCCCATACTATATTACCCCGCTTATTGTTTCTGATGATCGAAAATCTGGATCATCTCAGTTAAAGCTGAATGCGACCCAATGTGACAGGCCTACAAGAGAGCTATAAGCTAAGCACGCTTAACAATGCTGCATCGAAACCCTTCGAAAGAGAGTCACTAGCTACCGCACAGCTTGTTGCCGATCTACAACAGATAGGAGATATCTCTGCTGGCTTTAGAAAGTTGTCCATTTGAATAAAGCAAAGAAACGTTGTAGAGAGAAGGTACTCTGAAGCTCGTTTCCAACCTGATCTAGGTCTATACAGTAATCATTTCATCTACCTACCTCGTTTATGTCACTGAAAGAGTCATGCCTCAACTTTTCATTACGTAAAATGCACCCTGTTGAGTGATATCTAATATCTGACCAGCATACGACTGTGAAATAGACAACCAGTCGATCCAGGTTGTGCGAGCTTCGTTGGTCTATAACTTATTTAGATCAATATTTTTCTTGTCAGGCTCAAGGCGATCAGAAATGCGGGGTTAGGTTTAGATTATGGAGGATTCAGGGTCTTGAGTTATATCGAATCATATTGAAGTGATTTATTGATACATCATTAGGCAGTTGGGTACGTTTTGTCTGTAAAATGACATCCAACGCAATATAATAATGTAGAAACCTCCACAACCCTGCGATGTATGGTTCTGGGAGGCATGGTTTGCCTTAAAAGGGATGGTCCCCACGTTAAAAATCAACCAACCAACCAACACTATAGTTTCCTTTATAAGTGAGATGAAGGGGTCTTATATATAGTTAATACTTTGTCAATCGTCAAGTTTCACTGTATTCCACTTTAGACATCCCTCACTTGAAGATGAGAGCTGTAAAGTATTAGGGAGAACTTTCATATGCAGCTGAACATTTTACACTGTCTCGCCTGCAAACATTGGTGTACACTATCGTATTCGGATTTTTCGAAATACTTGAAACTGAAGACATTCAGTCCTGGGTGATTTAAGTCGACTAACCTTTGGGGCCCTTGCATATACAGTCAAGACGTCACCATGCCAGGCCAGGCCAACGGAACGAGATATTCAAGGACCTAACCAAGGCCTAGAAGGTTATTATTGAATTGAGGTGATTTTCCAACCCTGAATCTTAGCTCTTGTTATACCTACGACGACTTCTCTGCTGACTGGTATCATAATTCTACTATAAGCAATTTCTATAAACCCTTATACCTTATAGAAGAGTAAACTCTACTTAATAACAATATATAACCAATTGACTGGCTCCCCTGATCTGACAGTAGTACTGCAATGAGAACTGTGATCATTCATATCAGTTACTCTCGCACTTAGGCGGGGCTTCGCCCACGCCCCTGCGAGTCTTGGGATCTCTGCAAGTGGTTTATTAAGCTCTATCTCTTCAGTTCCCATATGTACAGGATTGCCAGACTTAGGTTGAGCCCACTCCGTGACTCTACCTGACTATGACAGTTACATTTGAAGCTGACAGTGCATGCCGAATGTAGTCTAGGATTGCAGCTTCGGATCAAGTATCCGCCGATTGGCTTCCCATATAATGCGCTCAATGTTTAAGTATGACCCCGGCGTGAAGTGGTAAAACACAATAGATGAGCATAGCGTAGTAGAAATTTATGTGTAAGCCTTTCATTATTCCCTCTTCTATTTCTATCTCAGTCTTCAAGGATTTTACTTCAAGCTGAGAATAATAAAATCTTGTTGTGATTCCACTGAGGTCAGCATTGAGGGTGCGAAATGAAAGGACCACCAGTGTCTTGACATACCTCGATACCATGATTTGCCAGACTCGTACTAACGTATTCGTCACAGGCCGCATAAATCCAGATGTTTTGGGATTGTCCGATTCCATGGCTCTCCACCCACTGCAAATTATTCTATGTATTTATCAGTAGGCTGTTGATTGGGTTGCAAGTCCAAAATCGGTGCACACTGGCATCATAGTGTTTTGAACAAGGCCAAGCCTCCATGACGTACCATCGGTATCCGTGAAGCAATCAGATCGTGCTCATTTGCCCCTACGGTAGAGGCTCCATCACTTGGAATAGCATATGCAAGCTCCTTGTTGTTTTTGCACCACTGCCTCGACCACATTAGTCCTGTATGTAATGCCTTTCCCCTCACTTGTTCACAGCTGTGATATGGCAATACCTTAACGAACTCAATTTCCTCCACGTCTCCTTCTGGGGGGCGTATAACCAAAGTCCTCGAAGTTGCCAAGCAAGAAATATCAAGCCTCGATACAAAAATAAGTCCGGATCTAGGCACGGATACTTCTTCGTCATGGCGATCCGACCCCCCAAGAAAGCACCAAAGAAGTGCGAACTCCAAAGAGTTGGTCCAGTAGACTGCAGGGCTCCTGCAGAGGTAACCACCACCATGTGCGAACCGCAGAGACGGCCCAGACGCCTGGAAAGACCGCAACAGCGCCGTGTCAAGTGACTGTGTGCAGGCGTGGAAGTACAGGCGTTCGCCTACGAGAGAGCCCGCGAAAGAGGAGTGCTGGCCCATATACCGTCCAATTGCTGGGTGATCAGGGGCATGTACCCCTACTGTTTCTAGGGGTATCGGATGGTGTGTATCGGAAGAATGTTTCCTCGAGACATTGCAAGTGTTTGAGCAGTCCTTGGCATTCTCGGTCTCGACAAGGGTTGTCATTTTTACTCGTTGTCAGGTTTATACTTTCAAGTTTAGTTTCTCCCATCAACTGTCTTATTGTGTGCTATGGTATTGAGCCACTTCATGATCGTCTTGAATCCTTCAGTCTTATACCAAGACGCTAATATCAGCTGACGGCGTACAGCCAGATCGATTTTACTGGATAGTAACCTGATCCGGATGAGGCTCTACCCGAGCGGGAAAACACGGGGTTCGAGGACTTCTATTCACAACATCTCTCTCCACGTCCTCCCCTGCTACTGAGGGTTTGATTGGCTATTTGGCTGACATGCATCATGCATTGGGTTGCGTTAGGAATAGTACTTGGAGCGAGACTGACAGTTGCCGCCAAATGCGGATAAGAGATTCCCGATTGTCATCATTGCCTAACATCCAGAGAACTAGAGATGGTCGCAGGGTGGAGCGGGGTAGCTGGTCACGAGGAGTAAATGCCGCCCTGAGAGATTGAAGGAACGTGATGTCTGTAAAGGTCTTTGCAAAACCACTGTCACCAAACCTTTAGACTAGACACATGATCGGAACCTAGTAATAAGTGCTCCTACCAAGCTTGAGGCACCCCAATAGTGTGGCAAATAATTATCTTAGAGAAAGAGATCATGAGAGCATCAAATTTGCCGCCCGAATGAATTACACGGCTCGATATATCCCCTCCCCTGAGGTGTTCTTGGAGGCCCAACTGAGCAGGGCACGACGCGTGAAGGGATTCAAGACGACGCCGCCTGCCATCGAGGCCACAGCGCGCAACATTAGTGGTCTAACGCAAGAGGGAGAGTATGTTGTGCAGCTCCTGGATGAGCATCACCACGAGCTTGATGCGGCCGTCGCCGATTTTGACGGTAATTTGACCCCAACAGCCCATATGTATGCAAGAGGCAATATTAAAGACTCTGTATCGTCATAGGGAAGCACCTCAGCATCTCAGAGATCAGTAAAGATACTTTCTCCATCCCAAAGCTCGGCCCCCTTCTGGTAAATCAACGTCAGAAACTACATTGCGGACTGGGACTGTGCTTGTTGCGAGGTATCGAACCTGGAAGATATACGCGGAGGGGGAATATAGTGGCGTTCGCAGGAATCGGGTGCTATGTGGCAGAGACTATCGGTCGTCAACCAGGAGGCAAATTCATTGGTATTATTCATCCATTTCGCATTCACGAGTCTAAATCGAAGAGCTGCTCACAACTTCCAGGACACATCCGTGATTTGTCGAATCACAGTGATCCTGCGAGTCGTGCAGCTCCATATCGAAATACAGAACTAGTGAGTGGTTGCTATCTTACGAACACGTAACTACCTAGGAAACGTTTACTCTAACATATTATAGCCCTTCCATACTGACGCAGCTGATGTTGTTGGTATGTATGTGCTTTTTGCCGCTCCGGACGGTGGCGAGGGAACATTTGCATCCGTGGCCCAGATCTGCGATACTCTGGCATCAGAGGATCCCGAACTAGTCGAGGTATTAATGAGAGAAGATTGGCCTTTTGTTAAGTATGTCACACCCATTTGCAACGAAAGACAATGTTTGGGAGTATTGACGCAAATACGAATTGTGTCCTTAGACCCCCAACTGGTGGTCTCTACTATACTAGATCCGTCGTCTCTCGCTCCCCTGTGCTCTCACACATACCAGAGGCGTTCTTTAGCCGTGGCTTCTTAATCGACAACCCCGAGTCAAGCAGTAGGCGGCCCACGTGTGTGCCCAACCTAACAGGAATGCAGGCCTATGCGCTGGATGCGTTCAATTTTGCGGCACAGCGTCATGCACTTGAGATAAGATGGCAGTCCGGGGATGTGTGTTTCTTTAACAATCGTCGGATCGTTCACGGCAGGAACGCCTTCCGCAATGGTCAGTCAGAAAAAGAGACAAGACACATTCTGAGGCTATGGCTAGGGGATCATCAGTTTTCCGGGGAACCACCGCCGACTTTAGTACCAAGGTGGAAGAAGATATTTCGGGCAAGATCCGAAAGTGACAAAGGGGACGATCTATGGCCACTCGAGCCTGCACCGTAGTTTATTCATTACTTGTGGAGCTTGACGCAGAATCCCCTTTGTAACGGACCTGCCCTGCATCCCCTGAGAGGTAGAGGCAGTACGTGGGGGGTTCTTGGTTTGAAGGTAACAATAGGAACTAAGACGGGTGTCCGTTAGGGAGGTTTAAGGGGACTCCTACCACTATGCAGAGATAGAAGTCTGGATAGCAATCTAAAGAGTGAATCTTATTGTAAGTTAATAGTTACTAGTTACGGGATCCCGTGTGGATTATATAAGCAACAGCTGTTACAGCTGGGAGCAATTGACAACAGTTGTCAATTGGAGAATGAACGTGACGCGTGAGATTTCTACGTGAATGAACATAGCTTCATTTTTCGATCACAGTATAGCCAAATTAGACTTTAGTTAACAATACCTTCGTTTATGATCGTCTGCTCCCTGAAGGCGATTATAATTCACGGGCTGCCTTACTCCAGGCGATTAATGCGTGGACAACCCTAAGGGGTTATGCTTTTGTAGCTAGAAGGTCAACGAAGGAAAACAGCAGTAAATTATTATTACATATGCGACCGCTTTTTCCAGCCCAATAATAGGAGAATCATTAAGAGCAGCAGTGTTTATATTTTAGCGGGTAATAAACGCTTTTAATTTTATAAGACGAGGCAGTAATTTAATAAGAAAAATCACTGGAGGATGGTAATTCCTACTGTGAGAATCATAATGATTAATAGCTATAAGCGGTAATGGCTATAGGCGGTTGTAGCAGTTAAGATTGTCTTAACTGCTAGTTCTTCTATTAAGGCCTACGTAATTCATACGGGATCCCGTGTTGTATTGGGCCCCTTCGTTATGCCCAACCTGCGACCGTGGGAATGGTAAATCCGTAACACACTTAAGTCAACATGGGGCACAAAATGGTGTTGTGGTAATAAGTCTAGAAGAGAACTATCGTGTTGATGAGGAAGAGCGTAGCATATGACTAGACTATTACGATCGAGTCTTTCGTTAATTTCCCATCTCTCCATTCCATAATCGCCTCGCCGTGCATGATGCCATGTATATACGAACCCCCGATGAATTTATGCTCCGGTAGTCCAGCACACCTTCGAAGAATAAAGGGGGTACTCCCACCGAAGAGCACGCAATAGACATCATTCACCCTCATCCAAGAGGGTCCAATACCATAACGGCCGTCTGAGGTGACGAAAAATCTAGTCCCCTGTAAAACAGTGCGGCTGACAGTCAGAAAACTTCTAACGTCGATATTTGTATCGCTCTTGGTGTTGCCTACCAGCCCCGATTCTGAGCTACAGTATTTGTGGCAATAAGCTCCAAACTCCAACTCATGCTTTTCGAGGTCCTTCTCAGCTTCTTCATAGTATTGATCCCGTCCCGTTACGAGTGTCAGCCCCAGGGCGCGCTTTGGGTCTCGATATTGCGAGCTGTGAGCGCTTGCGAGTTCCCACGCTGATTCGATAGGGTTAGTAGAATAACCGCCTTCCATGGTCTCTCCAGTCTTTCTCTTAAAATCCTCACGATGCATGACGGCGGAGACCGCTTTGACTGTTCCTATCACCAATCCCTCAAGACGAAGAGTTTTTTCAGGATCTGCGGTGGCTTCTAGGGTACTCGGGGGCTCAAAAGTGCTCATCCCTTCCTGTAAGTCTGCGTCGAAGTAGGGTAGATTTCCCGAGAGAGGGGTGTAGGGTATTCTCCGAGCCGTGTTGTCCCACTGTGGCACCCACGATGGATTCTCTGCAATATCTACAGACTCTGTATGTGCGATTGCGGACAAAATATCGAGTCGTCTCATTTCATGAAGTAGTGTAACCGTAATGCGCCTAAAAACCTCGCTCTTAGGTAGTGAGTAGTCGGCTTCCATAATTCGTTTGTGGCCTTTCTTCGAAAAGGCTGCGGGATGGTCGACAAAAGCAAAGACGTGGTCTCTATGGTCGCTCGAACTGAAACGGCTGCCAGCCGTAAGAATGTTGCTGAACTGTTTGAACAGGATTGTCACACGGCCCTGTTCTTCTATGAACTGAGCGCGTTTGTCTTTTACATACGGGCTAGCGTCCGCCCAACAGTCTGATATGGCCTCAGCGGACCAAATGCATTGAAATGCATCGACTAGTCTTCCCACGTTTAGATAGACTTCCACCGCTGCTAGATCAGCTCGCTCAGCAATCAAAAGCGGCAGTTGCGCAACGGGGCTCCAGCCAAATCTCTCAGTCCCATACAGCAATACGGCCTTTCTTGCATGGCCGACTTCCTGAAGCACCCACACACGGGTAAACCACTCTCGGAGATAGAAATTCTGAGCAGCTTTCCATCTTGAGGGATCTAATAGCGGGCTATCAGGCGGTAGTAGAGGGACGTCTTCCACGTGGCCGTGCGCCGTGTAAGCTTGGTTGAAATGATCACTCATGTCGCAGATTAACTGTTTTGCGACGTAGGCATCTCCCTCTGTGTCTAAACCAACCCAAATCAGAACACTGTCCGCTCTCCGGTACATGTCACCCATTTGATTGACTTGGGCTCCAAGCTCTTTGGTATCTTCTTGATTGATGCACACGGCGTCTGCCCATATGAACATACTGTCTGTGGGCTTGCGGATGTGTTGGAGTGCATCGTGTAGGTTTGAGAAGACCTCGTGGTGGTGACCATCAATAATAATTCGTTTGGTTTTGTTTTTATTGCCCCAGGCATACGAGACCGCATCAAACGGCGGCGCGTTGTGCAGATTGGTGGTTATCAGGTTGCATACAATGGTATCACCGAAGTTACCAGGCTGCAAACGTAACAGCCTGATCCAGTCTCCCTGGGGGAGATGACTGTGCTTGTACGACTCCATAGCCAGCTAACCTAAGTTTCGGTCGCCGAAGACACAAATTATGGGAGTAATACAAAGAAATCGCCTGTGTCATGAGGTGATCGTGAAGAGAACGCGTGGGTGAGGGTGTGATGAAGATGAGGGGTTGATGAGAATGGTTGTTGTGGCCAGCTGGTGGCAGTGGCCATTGAATTGTACCGCAGGCCAAGTAAGTGGTTAAATTATCCAATCATTTCGTAGAGTCACACAGATTCCGATTTTTCATTTCAACTATAAATCAGGTAAGACGATATGAAGAAAAGCGATTGATTAAGTGTATGATATATATCGAATCATTAAATACATAATTTAGAAGTTTACTCTAAACCTCGGCCTTTAGAGTGGCATAGGTTGGGCTACGGCCACTTTATGCAATATCGTTCCCAAGCATCAATTGGTAGGTAGTGTAAAAAACGGTCACTTTACATATAGGATTTATTATAGGTATATTAAAATTATATAAGGAAGAAGATTTAAGCTAGTTATATATAATAAAATGCTAAAAAGATCTTTATTTTATATTTAATTAATATTTCTTATAGTTATTTTAAAAAAAAACATTCTATTATTCTTTAAAGACACAAAGAGCGATTGCGTTTGTTGGTCATGTTGAGATTCTCAAGGCTTCTTTGACGGCTCATACTTGTCCGCTTCAATTAGCCAGCTCAAAGATCCACTGCTCTCTCCTGGCTTCTGCACTTCATTCTTACCGGGTTCCGGCTTTTTCTTGGGGGCTGGATTTGGCGGCTGATATTTATCTGCGTCCATTAACCATTCAAGGGATTTAGATTCCCCCGAGGTTTGCTGCTGGCGCCTGGTGTCAGGATATTCAACCGGAATTCCAGGACGGTGAGGGGTGCGAATGTGTGCGGGGGATGGGTATGTTGGGTTCTTATTATCCTTGCTACCAGACATGTTAACAATTGTTTACTAAAGTGTTGCTGTATGCAGAATCTAGAAAATATTATTCAGTACTCTTGGCGCTCTTTAAGTAGATAAAACCAACTTAGAGCTGTTCAATAGCATCTCGTATGTCCAATGATCAGAATCATAGCTTTGAATAACAAGGAGCTCTAATAATTCAAGCAAGGATGTGTTCTGAAACAATAATCATGTTTGAAATATAAAACAAACTAATTGTCTCTATTTCCGTACAAGGCTAGTACTACCACCTATTTCGTAACAGGCGCAGCTAGAGACAACTTATATGAAGGGCAAGTAAATAAATATTACTAGTGTTGAGGGTTTGAATTTCACGGGGGTTACTAATACCTTGTGAGATGAAATTCTTTCCAGCTACAAAAACAAGAAAGATTCAATTTTCCTCTTTATTATGAGTAAGCAGAAGTGAAAGTTCAACGCTATATCTTTAATAGTTAGTTCTCTCTCCTTGATCCATCCTTTTACACTCTATTTGACTTACTCTGTTGGTATCATTAAAGTCAGTGCCATAATCAAGATAGTGATCATCAAAACACGGCGTAAGATGAGTCCAACGCTCTTTACCACTTCTAGCAACTGTTAAGCATGTTATTGTACCATGATAGTTACCATGAAAAGCCGGCTATTGTGTTCTGCTCCTCCGATAGAAATTAGCGCATCTGTAGCCGGTCATATTATCAACTCTTCGCGGTTATTAGAAGTCTTTCGTAATCGATCGTCGTGAATACGGGAGAATGCCAGCCAGCGCACTCTGCAGTTGCTCCCATAAACTGGCAGTTTTATCCATATAATGAAAGCGACCAACAAAACGGGGATAACGTACCTTGGGTGAGATTCCATTGGATTACCTTCGTTTTGACCGCTCTGATGAACTCTATCAACCGTTGTTACAGCACCATACATAGGCAGTGTTTGCAGGCGGCCAGCCCTGGCCTGACAACGTTCCATGTGATATATTGTTGCATTTAATTGCCCGAAAGCTGAACCCTTATCTGTGAGATTTTCGAGATGCGAAATCTTCTTTGATCGAAGTAGTAACTCCAAGCTAAAATATTTGCATGAAGATTTTATTCTTTACCAATTAAATTCTGCTTAAGACCGATGTCGACATGCTCAGAACAAGGGGAAATATGTTATGTTTTACCAAGGAGCGCACGCCGTAATTTTGCCGCTACTGGGTAGGTATATGGGAGATACGGTTTGGAGAGAGGTATCCCTAGCGACATAGCCGCCTCTGGAGGTAACCTGCCTTTTCAGACGAGAAGTGAGAATACGGATGAATCGGCGATTAGGAGTAGACCACTCTCCTACTACGAACAGAACCGCCTATCGGACTAGGCGGTGCTAATTCGACAGATCCCGAGCTACCCCAAACCGCCAGGCTGCAATGATCCTATACCCCACAGGTCAGCTCTAATGCTGTAATGGGGTTACCACATTCCGCTGGGTAGCGGTTGAAGCCCCTCTGCAGGTAGGTATGGGGCCTCTGCTAAGCGAGAGACATATGTCGCTGCATTTCAATACGGAATGCTCATTTTGGTTAGTATTCAGCTCATACTGTAACAATCGAGTGGTGCTATAGTGCCAGCGGATAAAGAAGGAAATCGAGACATATGCGACTATACAACCAGTTTCTTTTCTTTTATGATCACTCATGCTTGTCGTTATCAGCAGCTGAGCGTTTTGTCTTATGTTCTTCCCCAGGGTTAGGAATTAGTATACTAAAGTATGGACTAAGCTTAGTATTAGTACGAACTAATTAGTATAACTATACCAAGATTAGTATTAATATTATTAGTATTTTTCCCAACCCTGTTCTTCTCTACATTTACATACTTATGCAATCCTGCTGAAACCGGATTCCTTCTAATTGTCCAGGATGACATTTAATACCAATAGTTATGATCCTATATGTACTTCTACTATATTATAACCAGGCCACAGCCAAGACAAGTATCGTATATGTTGTTCTACAAAGGTCTTGAAATCTAGAATGACGAGAACGAGAGAAACACGCTACGATATTCGAAACAACGATCTTGCCCTATTATCAGGTGTCATCAATTTATATATACATGTTGCTAGCCTTTATATCTGGACTGATAGGATATTGTCGCTTGAACAGCCAATCATGGTGGGTTGGCCTTAATATTCATCAGCTGGTTCAGCGATATCAGAATATCCCCAGCCTGCTGAGCCTATTTGAAATGAAGGCCTAAGGTAGATAGAAGAACGATCTCAGGTAAACCATGACTGCGCAGAGGGCTCTCACTGGCTATGCCCGGAGCTGAACACTACATGCTCGCGCTCTCCGTATGCCACATGAAGTTACGCAGTCTTCCAACTGGTTCTATTTAAGGCTAATGTTATCAAAGAAGCTAGGCTCATGCAAGTGAGGGTCTAGAGTCCAACTTTATGTGGGTATAACATTTCTTTTAGGCTGACATTGCATCGGAGGATACGGCAAAGCAGATAAACAGCGCTAAAATTAAGTGAGTTGCGGCTAGAGTGCAGTACGTCTACAAAGTTTCTTGCTGCTAGAGTAGGCATATCACAGAAACTCCAAATCACCTTGAATGTGCATGGAAAGCTGGCATTATGTGAGTGGTTTCTAGGCCCAGGCCAACACCGTATTAGATTTCATGTAATGCCAGGTCCCAGCAATCAAACACTGACTACGTTATATTGCAGATCAGCTCGACAAGTGAACTAGGCATGCAAACTAGAAGCTAGCTACATACAGACTTGAGCTGATGGTGGCGATGGGGCGAGGTTATTGGTAGGCTTTTTCTGTCACAACTCTGAGATAGTCGGTATATCTGTTGTCGTCTGTTTTGCGTTACATAGCTTTGGGAGTGGTGTTCATAATGGTGATATATAAACTATATGAACCTCGAGAGAGAATTGCTTCCTATTCATAGTTCACATAATTATAACCTCCCCACCGTCCCATACATCTCATTTCTTCGGCCTCAGCTACCTGAAAATGATAATCCCTAACCAAGATTTCTCTGAAAATCGCCTTCAGTTTGATTATGATGGACTGAATGGGGACCTAAAACGACTGTCAATAGACTTCGGTGATAACCTGAAACTTCAGGCTCTTGGAAGTTACTCAGAGGATTACGAATCTATGTACAAATCCACCATGAAAAGTGGAATTGAATCGCTAATGGGGGCTACCTCTATTGCCAACAGCGTGGCATGGGAAGATGCCATGGCTTATGCGAGAGAAGTTATTCTTGCACCTAAGGACAGTGAAGAGAGAGCGGTAAATCGTCCAAAAGTCTTTCTTTATTTCTCATATTCCGGCTTCGTATACTATACTCTCCTGCACCGTGCTACGGGAAATTTTCAAATATACACCTTGTCCATGCTAAGAATGATGCAGCTAATCCATAGAATGACAGTCATCTCCGTGGACGCGGTCTTGCTCTGAACTCCACAAGGAGCTCCTGACGCGGTTTGGTCCCGAAACTCTTGAGGCCGCCGAAACGGGTACGGCTTCTATCATCAATAACTATTACAACGGCGATAGGCTTTCGATTCACCACGTCAACAAGAAAGCTAGCTATTTACGCCATCGTCACGATGCCAAGGTCGGAGCTGGATTCTATCCGCAGTCGAGTGCCCTCGCTGCTACCTGTTACCAGGTTAGTTCTCTGGAGTTATGTTTTTGCCCTTTGTGAATGTTTCGGGCCTCATTACTCCTGAACATGAGCTGAACCCCTTCTCTATCCGGAAATTACTGACTCCAGTGTGTGTATAGAGCGCAGCACTCCCTTGCTCCATAGCAATGTCTTGGTTTCTTCCCATCGAAAAGGCAGTCAAAGCAGCGTATATCTCCCATCTGTCCGTCTGTGATGATCTTGGAAGCTTCACAGGAGACGACTATGACGTCCGAATGCGCATGGTTGCCATAGCAGCCGGCGTGGCTCACCAATTTGGTGGGAGAGCCCTTAATGTTTTCGTAGATGGGACAGCCAAGCAAGCAGTCGGCGCCGTCCTTGGGGTGCTGCGACCCATCGAGGCAGCTATGGCTTGGAGGACAGTGAATGGATGCGGCACGATTTATAGCAAGTACAATTTCGGTGAATGCGATCTCGACGTCGGGTTGGTTGCTCCCGTCGTGATGATGGCTACACACGACCTACTTGACTGGAGATGCGATGTTGCCGCTGGTAATCATGAGAATGCTCTCTCAGCTGTTCATGGGTTCGGCATCGCGTCGCCGTTCCATGCCTTCTTGGAGACTATGCTGAAGGAGGTTCTCACCCATCCTCGCTCGGGCTTATACGGCATTGCGGGGGTTCTGTACATGCATTTTACCATCGGGCGCTATGGTGCATGGGAATACCACGGCGAACATAAACCGGGCTGTGAGCAATGTGTGCGGCTTTTACACAGAGCTACGAAGGCTGCGGGTCTTGTTTGGGCGCCGAAGCCTCCGCCGAGCAGCTATGCCGAAGGTGACCAAGCACGAGAATGGGGTAGACTTTGGGCGGATCATTTCACTGACGACGGTTCATTGGTACAAGAAGTGGTCGGGTGGTTCCAGCACCTGATCAAGTCAGGTGAAATTTGGCTGTTCGATGTGTTGGCCGAGGGAACACAGCGTGTAGATGCAGATGTAGATTGGGCATGATGTTATAGTGGAATTGCAAGGACGCGTGGTTTGGTCTGGAACTATGCTGAGCCGTAGACTGTAAACTTTTCGGGAATACCAGGCACGAATGCGTGTGACGATGCTCATAGTCTTACCTAGAGGCCTAGAGATATTGCACAGCACCCGAATTCGGATTCTAGACTTTCTGCCACCCCTTCTACCTTGTAATAAAGAACAAACTGACTAGCCGACCCATCCTGCCCTTTCGAAGGTCAAAACAAGGATGAACAGTGCTATCGCTCTCCATAACCACGAGGGGCTTACTATAACCATTGACTTATATACCAGTCTACCTAATCGCAAGAGCAAGTTTGTAGGACAGGCTTGACTCCGTAAAATGTGGCTTGTGATTGGACTCGTTTCAGAATCCCCGCCCTAACGGTATGACAACATGTAACAAACAAAAGGCAAGTGTCACGGGCCAATTCCCTTAACTCTTGCATAAAGTAGCTCAATATTTCTCCTTGACCCTCAGCTCTTTCCTGTAAGAGATAAAATCTCCAAGCTCCGCAATCCTTGCACCCATGCCACACATAGATGTTCAGCAGCAGCTTCATCCATCTTGTGCCTTCAATATCCTTGCGAAAACCAACACAGACCGAGAGACAAGTGGCGGATGAATAATGGAAGTGGACGACAATATCGACCTATCTAGCCGAGCCAATGTCGAGAACCACGTTTCAAGAGAGCGCAGCTCAAATCCAGAAGACGATATTCAAGAATACAAATACAACTATCTAACGACGCAAAATGGGATAGAAGACATCAGCAGATATAACAAAGGTGGATTTCACCCCATCCATCTTGGTCATTATCTTGATAATAGATTTGAAGTTTATCATAAGCTAGGAAGCGGTGGCTTTGGGACTGTATGGTTGTGCTGGGACCGTCAACTATCGAAATGGAGAGCAGTCAAAGTGATGACCGCGGACCACTCATCGGACTCCGCGGAAGCTAAAACATTCGACTTTCTCACACAAAATTGCACCCTCGACGAGCTCGACCAGAACCACATAGCTGTCCCACTGGAGACGTTCTGGATTGACGGGCCTAACGGTCGTCACCTCTGCCTAGTCATGCAGGTGTATGGCCACCCTGTATCCGAGTGGCGGTCAGATCTGAGCAGTCTAGATCCAAGCACGAAGAAGCATACAGCGAAGATCTGCGGGCAGATCACTCAAGCCTTGGCATTTCTGCATGAGAAAGGCGTTTGCCATGGAGACTTCCGGCCGTCGAACATTCTCATGAAGCTTGATCAGGATGCCTTACATGAGATCGCTCCATGCGATATGGACAGATTTCTTGGAGCGGCCGAGGCGTATGATGTTCAAACAAGATCAGGGGGGACTCCCCTCCCTAGAGGACCAGAATATTGCGTAACAGCGGTTAGTTCCACGTGGTGTCAGAAGCTATTGATTCAGGAGGCCGCTGTTGTGGACTTCGGCGGATCGTTTTTCACCCACAGTCCGAAAGCCGGTAGCTGTATACCAAGATCATACGCGTCGCCAGAAGTCCTTTTCCGTCAAACTAGCGGTGTTGGTGCAGACATCTGGGCTCTCGCGTGTACAATCTTTGAGGTTAGAACGGATGAGCGGCTGTTTGGCACGGACTTTTGGGAGGGCTCCAAGCCGAGTAGGATCCTCTATGAGATTGAAGTCATCCTTGGTCCATTAGCAGAACCGTATAGAGAACCACGGGATCGTGAAAACCTAGAGGGGCCGAGCGCGATGCCTGGGCTCAGAGAAGAAAACGAGGAGTCTCATTTGGCGTCCTTGGATCATGAAAGGTCAAGCCACATTGATGGCACAGGGTACGACAACATCCTAGAGGCTATGCTAGGACGTGAACGAAAGAAATACCATTCCCCGTTTGGCGAGCATAGCTTTGAGCCTCCAATTAGGTATCGATATGAAAAAGACGAGGTACAAAAGCTCGCTGACCTTCTTGGATGTCTTTTCAAATATAATCCAGAGGACAGACTAAGAGCTAAAGATGCTCTTCAGCACCCATGGTTCCAGACTACTGCAAGTTCGAGAGCATTATGCACCAGAACCAGCACTCAAAAGGCCTCATGGATTAGTATATTTCTGGACACCATCCGAGGGCTTCACTGGTAGTTACCAGCTATATAATACAAGAAATGCAAAATTGTCCTTTTCAGACGTTATTCATTAGCCGTATATTGTATTAAGTCACGCACCTTGCCAAGCAACGATTGTGCGTAGTCTTCGAATGTCATCTACATAGGTCGCGACGAAACGCTCAATCTCACCGAACACTTGTAGAAGCCTTTTACATGAAGGTGCAGCTAAGGTCAAGGTCACACCAAGCTCCCGAGTTCCACTGGTAGTCGCTCAAGCGGTAATTAGCTTTCACTCTGAAGATGCCTTTAGTTCGTCGTTGAAGATATTGGCGTGATACGAAGGGATACGTTTGGAGGGCGGCTGGAGATATTGTCGTGGTACGAAGGGATGTGTTTGAAGGCAACCATCACAGTAGTTATGGTAAATTTGTCTACGTGATCACCTTTTGTGTATCATGGGGCACTAGAATTCGGTCACTAAGCAAGATGTCACTGGTTATAAAGGCTTCCATATTCTCTCGTTTTATGAGTTTGGCATGGATGAGGTTCTCGTCTCATAAAACATATTTCTTACGACCTACTACGTGTACGTTAGCAGGAACAAGCATTGAAACTTATGGACTCAGAACGTCATATTATATTCAAAAAACCATCATCGTCGACAGGGGATGGAATTGTATGGACTCCTCCAATGATTCTAGGCCCAGGAGGACCACACGATGATGCCCTTCGGAAACGAATAGAGAAGGGAGCATACAGAGATGAAGCCGGTAGAGGTACGGTGGAAGAACCCAAGGTCAGCGTTCCTGTTTTCCCGATATTGTTCAGGATTTTTTATAATTTTATAGGTTATGTGGCTTTCTGAACCAGTGGAGCATGGCCTTGCTCAACTTGAGCAGTTACTCATGGAACAGACTACTAGGTGTGGGCAAGCCTTCATCTGGGTTTTGTAAGTGTCTCATATCTGGAAATGAATCTGTATTGATGAGTTGTAGGATGGGTCCCCACGATCAATCATCTATATCGACAGCTCATCGAATTTTCGGAACACCTCCGCAAATGGCTGATGACGATCCTCATGTAACTGTTCGAATGGGGCCAGATAAACACACATGCAAGCTGCATGGCCATCTGTATCTTCACTATGAGAGAATAGTGTCAGAGGGAACAGATAACGACACCATGGTTGCTACTAGGCTCATGACTGAAGACAAAAGAAATTATGTCGGTGGAGAGCCTCGCCACTTGTGGATTTGGGGTCCTTACAGCCGAGAGTGTGCAGCTTGGCCCCGAAGCCATGTACACCGTCCTCCGCCTCCTTTTGTCAGGAAACCAGGGAGATAAAAGGAGGTGCTGCCCTGAAGTCACGCAAGTGGGGTTTTGCAGTAGCAAGAGTTATCATGTGGGTAAATCAAGCGAGGGAACGGAGTTACTGTTTCCCTCTCACAAACGGGGCGGGAGTGAGGGATAATATGTGTACGACGACATGTGCCAAGGAGCCTGCGAAGATGTATTGGTAATATCATTTAGGTCTAGGATACATCTGATCACGCATCACTGCTGCACTTCCAACGTATTATATCTTGCAAGGGAGTTTAGCAATTTAAACAATTTCTCTATGTAACAAGGGCAGATGACCGCGCTTGGGATTGAAGTTAATTACCCCCTTTACGATAATATGTCGGGGCTGCAAAGGTCCTGGGCTAACCAATTCCTTCCTGGCCTCGGTGGCATGACTTTGACCCTGTTTGCAATTGTACTGCCTGTCCTGACTGCCTAGGTCTAGTTTGTACAAATTGTTTCATTAAGCGACGTCTGTATAACCTCAGTTTTGCGCTGCATAAGCCCGTAGCCGACTGCGCGTGTAACATTCTGTTTGTACCGGAAAGACTCTAAGACGATGGGCAAAGTTAAGAAGTCGTTGCTAGAAAGATACAGAGATTAGAATAACAAGGGCAGAGATACTGGGCTTGGAACTTAGAATTCAGATTATAATGAACAACTAGGGCTGCATAAGTCCTTGACCAACTAACTCCTTCTTGGCTGTTGGTCGCTTAACTCGACTCTACATACAGCTGGTTTGCCAGCCCAGACCGCCTAGGTCTTTGGGGTCTGTTTCAAGAAGCGAAGTCTGTATAACCTCACTTTCCAATATTGCCCTTTATTGCCTGCAATGGTCCTCCGTACGACCGAAGCGTAAGGCGAACTGCATATTCAGCTGGCATAGCGGTTGTGCGTGTAACAATTAGTTAGCCTTATCATCACTATTCGAACGGTCATACGGTCGAAGAGAATCAAATTGAATTTCAAGCTCTTTTCAAGGGGTGTAGTTGTTTCTTTGTCAAGTTGAGTTTGCATCCATTCGAAGCTTACTATAACCCCGCGTGATCCCCTATCTACACCTTGAAGAACACGATTCCGCTCACTGTTCGATGCTTCGTTCAGAAACAGCCATCGCAACCGCTGTGATTAATCACTAGAAGATTTCAAAGGTAGAGACAAATCATAATAGCTCGCATATGATACATAGCGTCACGCAGCTGGAGCCACCCCTCTTCTTCACTTCGTTTGAATGCTTGATGCTGTATTGCTTCCCCGCACCTCCGAATTTGGCAGGCGTGCTGGTTATCTGCTGACGCCATGCGCACCACCTGACCCATGTCGTTCTAGAAACATGGGTACAGGTTGCCTCGGACAAGATTGAAATATATAATCAACAACGACCCGAAAGAGGGACAGATAAGAAGCCTGATAAATAGTGATTACTATCGCTGTTGAGGTTAGATGTTCTTAAGCTGATATAAATATACGCTCGTTCTTCCCAAGTCGTCTCCCCCATCATCATACATACCTACAATACATACTTTACCTTTAGCACAAGATGACGGAAACTATCACTATTCCTTCGAAATTTTCATACGAAGATACCCAGAAGGCTGTAGAAGCGGCCATCCCACCGCTCGACCTGACATTCCAAACGCACGTCGCCAACGGTGACTATGCCGCAGCGCGTGCGGCGCTCGAAGCGCTGCCACCCCTCAACAACTTCGTCCTCCCACCGCGCAGCTTCACGGGCCCACTCAAGGCCATTGGCGCGAGCGGACAGTCGGTTCAATACGAAATCGGCAACCCCCTAACGGCAGTCACGATGGCGCAGCACAACCTGGATATCGGATTACACACTCCCCGCAGGGTGCTGGTGCGAGTCGAGGGTGACAAGGTTGTTTTCAAATACAACTTGATTGCGCCGCTGGTGGCGAAATACAACAACGCCGAAGTGAATGATACAGCGACGAAGCTCGACGCCCGGATCACGAAAGCCTTGCGCCAGATCGGTGGTGACGACTCGTCCGGCTAGATGCTCGGTCTAAAGGAACAGTTTAGCATCTGCAAGGGAATATGCTACCTACGATGCTATGCCCCTTCAACTAAATGTGATGCGCACTGGCGAGGACAACACAAGGGGTTATCTAGATGTCTTAGAGTAGTAAGGCAAAAAATCATAACAACGTATAAGTCGACATTGCCACCCTCAGGAAATTCCTCGTGAATGGCCAGGAGGGGCACTTAATGTACTAAATATTGATGAGTGAAGTCGAGGATGATGCCATTCACCGAAGCTGGCACAACTATGTAAGCTAAAGTGACGTACGAGCAACCAAGAAATAGACGCCAAAGGGCACAATAGTCTCATGATTACATGCAATCTTTCATCACCGGCCAAGGTTTGTAGTCTGACAATACCTATTCTGCATTGAAATTAGACGAAAGAGGGAGACATGCATCGCGACAAAGGTGCTCGCTTGTTACGTCAGAGATCCCCCCCTTCCAGCGCCGTGATCTACACCTCGGGGGCCCTAGCAGGACCCTAGATGGTTGAGGGCCGGTAATCTGTACCACTAATCGATAAGTTACCTAGGTAGGTAGTTACCAGTAGAGCTACTGCTACCCTGCCTGCAGCTGCAGCACATCGCCGCTTGCCTCCAACTCTGCTCCAACCATCCCCGCCGAGCCGTATCGTGGCGAGCCTGGGCACACCTGCGCAGACCCTGAGCGGCCAGAACTGGGGTTCGGTCAGGTTGTCTCACCAAACGACGACATCCTGCAGCGGCAATGCCACCCAAATAGACAGAACAGTCGACAGTGAAGCGCTTCCTATTGATCGTTGGCTCCTTGCTCACAACTAGTCCTCGCTCATACCTGCCTCGGCCGGCTGAGGGCCCAAAGAAATAAATAGGTGCGGTTCATCCCCTCACGAATCCCCTCGCCACCATGCCATGTCCAGATCCAAATCCGTCCCTCAGCCCTTTTCTTGTTATCCTCGCTGTCTGATACACAGCTGCCTCGATACTGTACCCAACCTAGGTAGATTATAAGTAGCTCCTGAGTATTCAGAGGTCGAGGAACACCTTAAATCTCAGCATTATAGTTTAATTGATATCTTGCATTGTTGATTCACTACTCGACTTCTCGCCATGCCTTCTCCCACTTTCATCCCTTTCTCGCCCAGCCCAACCCTTTTAACCGGAGGATTGACACGTCCGCAGATGGCAGACCCCAAAGAGAAGTTCTTTCGCCATTTCCAAGCCGAGATAACACGTGGGTCCAATGTTACTGTTTTTTTCACAAGGCTACAATCGAACAGTGGCTAACTCAATACTCACAAATAGTCATTCAAGATGAGATCGACAGCCTGGCCTCAATATCCCCCATCGGGGGAGAGCGACAGACCGGTATAGACAAGGTCCTGGCAGGCATATCACGGCTATCTAACGAGGTTATGGACGCGACGGATTACATCCCCAGCTATGATCAACGGGCTTATTCTCAGGTGGGTACAACAGACTGGCCAGCGGGCCTACTGCTATTCGCAGATGCAGATTACTTATTTGTGCACGTGAATATAGGCTATCAAAGCCCTGACGGAGAAACTCAACGTGACGACTGGAAAGCTGGAACCAAAGTCACGCTTCCAATTCAAGTCACGAAACACAGGAGCAACAGCAGCACGCTCACAGGCCGCCCCTGACCCCAGAATGCATCGGCCCTGGGGTAGCGATGGTAGCCAGGATGTTGAGGACACCACCAGTAAGACTGCTGATGCCGAGACCCGTGATGCGGTTGGAGGTCTCCCGACGATCTCTAGCACCAAGAACTACAATGAAGAGCTTTCTCGTTCCGATAACTTGCCAGGGGTCAGGAAGCCTAGTTTCTCAACAGCTAAGAACATTGCCATATCTGACCACACAGGACTACACATCATGCTCCCCTCGACGGCCTCGAGGGCGACGTCTTCAGGAAGCCTGACCAATTTGACACGTTGCATCGTAGACATGACTATACCAACAAGTACGGGTGCCCCTTTTGCGGGTCTTGCGTTGAAGAATATCAAGCATAGCCTTATCATCGCGGGACATGTGGCTGGACCGACGCACATCACGGGCATTGAGGACAGCATAATTGTTGTAGCGGCGCGTCAGGTCCGCATGCACGACTGCAAGAACGTGCAAGTGTATTTGCACTGCACAAGCCACCCCATCATTGAAGATTGCTCCAAGGTGGCCTTTTCGCCTCTTCCGAGCTATTATGTAAGACAACGACGGTCTCTACATGAGCCAGAAATGGGTGTAGCTAACGAGCATAACAGGCTAATGAATCGACCGCGCCTGAGACTAACCAGTGGGACAAGGTAGACGACTTCAAATGGCTGAAGGACACAGCCTCTCCCAACTGGAGGATATTACCAGAGGAACGTCGGGTTCAGGGCGACCTGTGGGAGAATACAGTATGTGGCAAAGCGAGTATGAGCACAGATGATATTCTCCGGGAGCTACTAATCTTGACTCCAACTGGTGCGGCTTTTCCAGAGAAAACCACGGCATGAAAAAACAGTAGACTGTTGATAAGTGGTGTGAGAAAACAGAACATCACTGCCAATTTTGTCTAAATTGAAGGTAATGGCGGCACACGAGATGTAAAATCAGAAGCAGCACATACTACCCGTTTCTGTGTATAATGATTTTAATATGTATTAATAACATCAAAATTGAGCGTTGTTATCCTTTAAAATGTTGTCTCTCGCCATGTGGTATCATAGAGAACTCCAAAAACGCCTTATATGCTAATTCCGACCACTCCATAAAGCCGGACAGATAGATCCATTGCTCCAAAGAACCCCATCTCGTAGAACCGACACATTCTATCGTTCTCTATCACCATCTCAAAACCTATCCCGGTCCCGCATTTCGGTGCACGCCGTTCCGGATTCTCCAATTCTGTGCTTCTCGATGAAAGCAGACGCACGCACAAGAGATCAAGCACACCCTCCTTCTCACTCCTCCATTTTATCCCCCTCGCCCTCCCCCTGCACAACAGCAAGCCTCTCGCCGACCTCGCGCAGCTTCGCCAGCGTGTCGCGCTGGCGCGCGATGCGGGCCTCCAGGGCCTTGATCTCGACCTCTTGCTCGGCGATGCCGCGGTCGAGGTCCGGCAGCGTCGTCCTGATGAGGTTGCGCGCCCGCTGGAAGCGGTGCTTCAGCGCGTCCGTGGCCACGGGGATCTCCTTCAGCGTGAGCTCGCTGCTGCTGCTGCTGCCGCCGGCCTTCCTGGCCGACGCCTGGGATGAGAGCAGCGCCGTCGGCGTCGGCGTCGCGTGTGAGGTTGGCGCTGCTGGTGTGGCGCCGCTGGTGGTGGAGGGCGCGGTCGTTGATGTGGGGAGCGCGCGGAGACGGGTTAGGAGGTTGGCGAGCTCGGAGAGGACGTCTAGGGCGTCTGGGTTGAGGGCTTCGGGGAGCGGGAGCGGGTTTGTTGGGGGTTGCGTCGTTGACATTTTGATTCGTTGTTTGTTTGTTTGTTCTGGGCTAATCTTCTTTATGCAATGCAAGAAGCTCGATGGGAATGGTGGTTTTTAAGATTAGGTTTGAGCATGGATCATCTAATTTGTGCCTCAGCGATAGATGGGTGAGCTGATGAGATGCCGTTCCGCGCAGAGAAGAGAATTGCGATTATTAGGTGTTGGCGATCTTGAACGAGCATGCTCCCAGCAAAGAATACTACCAAGGTACTATCTTTGGCTTGATGCACCAGAATGCACCTAGAAAGGGCAGGTGGGTCCGTTCTAGCTATAGCAAGGGCTTGCTTGGCAGGGAAGCGGCGTTCAAAGAAAAACCTTACGAGAACTTGAATGTTACTACGGTAGACTAGAGTAGGCACTTAGGAACGCACCTGAGTTTCTCTGGAATTCAACTGGAAACTTGAAGTGATATTCTGAAAGGGCACAGTAACTCCCTCAGATTTTGCAATTTACATCCGACAATTGGATCTCTGGAACAATTGACTCTGCCAACGCGTCTCCGGCCAGAGTCGCGGTACGAAACCCCGCCGCACTGACGTCAAATAGCACACCAAAGATAGCTATGGCCGTCGGACTTGGAGGGGTAACTCGTGTATCGCAGTACCTTAATCAGACGTAGTGTTGTACTCTTAACCTTCAAAATGACGGCTGGTCTTTTGGATATCCCAGCAAGCACCTCATTCGTCTTTCTCACATCTATAAGGAGTGATTTCCGTATAATTTTAACCCGCTTGAGCCTCCAAGAACGTGCCGGAGAGTGAGTGTATGATAGGCCACGGTACCACCGGGAAGAGTACCAGGTACTACGGCCGTCAGAAATCCCCCACCATCCTACACAGTTCAAAACCTCGACAATGTCGGACGCTGTTTTTACTTGAACCTCCTGGGCCTAAAATCACGCATTCCCTCAGCATTTTACCCTCGAGTTTTTCTTACCAATTACCTCCTAGATTTAAAGTTTGAATAGAGTTGGAATGCCTACTCCATCCCATAAAGCGTGTCTTATTGTCATTGACGGCTGGGGAATCCCCACCAAAGACAGCCATGGCGATGCCATCACTAATGCCAACACGCCCGTCATGGACGAACTGTCCAAGAGCGCTACAGGTTTTGTCCCCCTAGAGGCCTCGTCGCTTGCCGTCGGTCTCCCAGAGGGCCTGATGGGCAACTCGGAAGTCGGCCACTTGAACATCGGTGCTGGTCGTGTCGTTTGGCAAGATGTCGTCCGCATTGACCAGACTATCAAGAAGGACGAGTTAAGCAAGAATGAGGTTATCAGCAAAGTCCTACAAAATGCCAAGAACGGCAATGGCCGCTTACACCTGTGCGGACTTGTCTCCCATGGCGGTGTTGTATGTACCAGTCTATACTGACCGAGGCTGTTGCTAACGAACATCAGCACGCAAAACAAACCCATCTGTATGCCCTACTCGAAGCAGCCAAGGCCGCTGGCGTCCCCAAGGTATTCATCCACTTCTTTGGCGACGGTCGCGACACCGACCCCAAGTCCGGCGCAGGTTATATGGAGGAGCTGGTTCAGAAGCTCCAAGAAATTGGCGTCGGACAGATCGCCACTGTTGTTGGCCGTTACTACGCTATGGACCGAGATAAGCGATGGGAGCGCATTGAAATCGCCTTGAAGGGCATGGTGCTGGGTGAGGGAGAAGCAAGCTCAGATCCCGTCAAGACCGTTCGGGAGCGCTACGAAAAGGGCGAGAATGATGAGTTCCTTAAGCCTATAATTGTTGGTGGCGATGAGGCTCGTATCAAGGATGGCGATGAAGTTTTCTTCTTCAACTATCGGTCCGACCGTGTCAGGCAGATCACCCAGCTGCTAGGAGATGTCGACCGCTCTCCCCGACCCGACTTCCCCTACCCTAAGATCCACCTGGTCACGATGACCCAGTACAAGGTGGACTATCCCTTTGAAATTGCATTCGAGCCCCAGCGCATGGGTAACGTGCTTGCCGAGTGGCTTGGTAAGCAAGAAGTCAAGCAAGTTCATATCGCCGAGACGGAGAAGTACGCCCACGTCACCTTTTTCTTCAACGGTGGTGTCGAGAAGGTATTCGCGCTAGAAGAGCGAGATGAGTCCCAAGATCTCGTGCCTTCCAACAGGAGCGTTCCCACATACGACAAAGCCCCTGAGATGTCTGCTGCTGGTGTCGGAAAGCAGGTTGCCAAGCGACTTGCTGAGCAAGAGTTCCCCTTTGTCATGAACAACTTCGCTCCTCCTGACATGGTCGGTCACACTGGTGTATATGAAGCTGCTATTGTCGGCTGTGAGGCTACTGATAAGGCTATTGGCGTGATCCGCGAGGCCTGCAGGAAGGAAGGCTATATTCTATTCATCACTGCCGACCACGGCAATGCCGAGGAGATGAAGTTCCCCGATGGCAAGCCTAAGACTTCGCACACAACCAACAAAGTCCCATTCATCATGGACAACGCGCCCGCCGGCTGGTCGCTGAAGCAGACTGACGAGGGAGTCCTCGGTGATGTCGCGCCCACAATCCTTGCGTCAATGGGTGAGTTTTCCCTGAATCCATTTTGTTCCTATTGCAGCAACTCGTGGTGGCAGTGTTCTTTGAGGGTGACCTGCACGTCTTGAAGATATAAAAATCCTATAAAAGAAATCCCCATCTATTTTGTCTGAAAAAGTAATTACTGACTCCAGTGTACTATAGGACTCCCAATACCCGAGGACATGACTGGCCAGTCTCTCTTGGTTAAATCATAGAAGCATAGAGGCTCACCCTTGTTAAATAGTGGTCGCTTTGGAGTTTGCGATAGATAGATGATTACACAAGAACCTAGAGATACCAAAATGAAAGGATATCCTTACTAGAAACATATTACTCCGCTGTCCATCCAGGTGCCTAATTATGAGCACTCCAAGCGCACCATTGCCGACGTAACCTTGGTTGGAATGGACCAGTCGAGAAATCCTACCCTTGAGGGGGAAAGGGTCAAAGCTGGACAATGGAACGGGAGTGGAGTCTAATGGGTGGGTACCAAATGCATCTATCCAGTACTTTATAAAGCGAGCTGATATGATGGATACAAGCACCTAACTATACCCTTGGGGGCTTAGCGCGCACAAGGCGACTGAAATCTCCCAAACTGCCCCACCACCTGTGCACCGCACCACGGCAATTTTGATCTTTTCCGACCATCGTCAAGAAACCTCGCGATCACACACGTCAAGATGGATTCCGAAGACCCTCAGGAGCGCCCTGATGGAATTAACAGCATCATCAATGGCCTAGAGCGGTACAACCCCGAGGCAGTACCCAATCTAGAGGATTATGTGCGCCACCAGTGCGAAAACAGATATACAGACTCGAATGCGAATAGGACACTATTGAAGCTGTAAGTCTTGCCACCCCATCGTCCTTTTTCCTTTGTCGGGGGAACTTTCCTATGAATTTCTTGGTGGCTTCCCTAGAGACCTCTTCGCTCTCCGTTGGAATGATGATCATGTGTAAACGTTTCCTATTACCTGAGCAGTCTCTGGGTCTAATCAACCCTGCTGTTTTGAAGTCATGGATATTAGCTCTATCTGACCCAACTTATGTCGTCTCCTTCATGCTTTCGCATGTCTTTACTTCATCTAAGGCGCAAACACCTAGCTGACATTGGTTCGTCCACCATATTAGATACCAGCTCAACCCAGATCGCGTCAAAGATGAGGTCATAACAAACGTTCTCGTCAAAGCATTGACATGCTTTCCCTCACCACAATTCTCCCTCGCACTTCACCTCATTCCACCATCTGTCCTCGCTCCCGCAAATACCCGGAACGAGGAACTCCCTGAGGCCGTAGGAAAACTGCGTCTCCTCAACGACCAGCTGCAAGGCGCGAAGTATGCCCGCTTTTGGGCCACGTTAGACTCAGATGACTTGTACGCCGACCTCATAACTGATGTCGATGGATTTGAAGAGCTTGTGCGCGTACGCATCGCTACCCTCGTTAGCCACGCCTACCGTGAGATAGATCTCCCTATACTAGAGCAATGGCTTGGTATGGACGGCGACGCAGCACAGAAGTTCATCACCGAGACGGCAGGATGGACTGTCGATGGCGGGCTGGTCAAGATCCCCAAGAACCCTGAAAACGAGGCCAAAAAGTCCGAGGTCCGCGAGGATGTGAACGTCGAGATGTTCTCAAGAGTAATTCGTCGGGCTTGGGAAGAAACAGCGTAAATTCAATTTCTGGGGTGAGACGGAACATGGTTTGGGATCTACACGAAAAAGGGATGAAGAATCCGGTTCATGGCGTTGGGGGTGCATTCTCTTACAGCGCACAACTCGAAGAATCCTCGTGATACTTTCGAAGGCTTTGGCGCGGCTCATGGTCTATGCCGGTCAAAGAGTACCGTTACGAGCAAACTGAAATGAATAAATGAAGTAAACAAAATCCTGAACAGAATATGCTCAAGAAGCAACAATTCGCTCTGATTAGATTTGTCAATTTCGCGTCTTGAAGTGTGAAGATGTTCGTGTACATGCTTTCGCTAGAGACTCTATTCTATGTAAGCGTTTACCTACCTACGCAAGGGCATACATAGGAGGCAGGCACCTACAGTCTTTCCATATATGTCCGGGAAGGTGCGATGATGCAGTGCTAATGTCTTCCGCACCTCGCCCGTGGACGCCATGTTAATTCTCTCCCCTCTTCCACAACATCAAGCTTACCATTCCTGTTCTTCCTGCAGCACTTCGACTGCTTAGTGAATCATGAAAACCTTCTCTTGGGGTGATGTTGCGTCTTCAGCCATACGATTGACTACTGACTCTCCGATCAAGCGACAGTGTACAGGATCATCGGACGCATCGCTCAAGTAATCGCCGTCGGCGTCATAGCTTTCGGCGGATATACGTATAGTGAACGGTACACGCCCGCCTCGCAGATCTACCAGCAAGTCTTCCGGATTAGTATTTCGCGGGACTATTGCGAGTCCCTTTGCACTATGTATTCCGGCAGGCTGGTACACGGCAATGCGCCTGCCGTCTACAATGGATTCATTGTCGATAGCCGCAAACGACAGTGAGTCTGTATTGTTATTGTTCCTCCAGGAAACCATCTTGCGAGCACCCGCCAGAAGATGATGCTCAACTGTCCCCTTCTCGGAGTATTTCTTCGCATCCAAGAATCTGTGGAAGACATCTTCAGGATCAACATAGTTGGTCCAAAGCGTCATAACTCGGTGCGGTTTCAATTCGTCTGGAATTTCCGAATCCCGTAGTTGCGGAAACTCCAGTTCGGCATCACTCCTTATTTGAATTTCATCCGTTAGAATGTCTACCCGTCCAATCACGGACCCTGGAGTTATAAGGATCTGGCCAGAGTCATCCCACTCACAAATGTCGTTGGATGGCGAATGACTTTTGACCTTTTCTAGGTCTTCTTCTGGTTTCAAAGTACTCAACACAGTAGGCTGATTGTGTCGAGTCCATCTACTTAGATCCCAGTCTGGTACCCATGAAGGAAGACTGTGGACATTCACCTCACGACCAACGTATTCGTCATACTTGACCAGGTCATGATCGATATAACTGAGCACATTGTAACTTTTCGTGGCACTGATAATATTTCTTGTAAACCTTGTGTAAAGAGTCTCGCGATCCTGGTTATAATCGATAGCGAATCGTTGATCATTCAAATCGATTCCACTGCAAATACCAAGGAGGCCGAAGATCTTGTCTCTTGGGTCCGACGCCTCAAGTGTCCTGGCCGTTTGGAGCACATTCAGGACGTGGAGTGAGTTCTGCTGATGTGCTTGTACCTGTGAGCGCCAGGGGGGTAGAAGATGGCCCCTAACATGCAGCTCTTGATATAAGCACCGGATCTGGAACATATCCCGTACTATCTCAGTCTTCTTGGAAAGCTCAAAACTGAAGCCATATCGATCGTCACACCTGGGCGAAAGAAGGAGGGTTTTACAGAAATCATCCCATGAAATTCTCCGACCTCCGCATTGGATCGATAAGACCTTCGAGACCACAACTTCCTGAAACACCCATAGTCTTCTAAACCAAGGCCGCTCAAGGACCTCGATTTCAACATCAGAGATCTCTCCTCGGAAGTCTATCATTTTTTCCCTCTCGGCTGGAAGAGCCAGATCTGCATCCCGATTTTGATTCATAGCCCATGTGGCACGCCTCTCGAGGAAATTCCATGCCGACTTTTCGGTGTTTCCGCCCATCAAGTCTCCAAGGTAGATGATGGTCTCCAGAGCAGAGAAGAAGATAGCTCTCATCTGCTGCACTTGGTGATTCCGTTCATTGACAGTCTTCTGGTCGATGCATACCGCGTCGACCCATAGTCTAATTGGGCGATCTTTCCGACGGAGCTGTCGAAGAGCTGAATCCAGATTCTTTCCTATGCGCAGCTGACAGCCTTCGACGTGTATCCAGTGCGTATCCTTTTCTTTGCCCCAGACATAAGACAGCGCATTATAGCCAAGCTCCGCGCAGCTGTCGGAGAGTCGATGTTCGATTATTTTGCCTTCGAGATGGCCTTCTTCATCTGCCGATGGTTCGAGCACGAAAACTCGAATGGAATCTGGGTACGATAAGGCTGAGTATTCATAGCTGGGCTCGTGATCTCGGCTGGGAAGTAGCGCATTATTCCCTATTGCGACTTCGCTTCCGGGCAGCCCTGTTATGGTGATTTGGCCAGTTGTCATTATTAGAGTTGTCAGCAGCAGCAGCAGAGAGGGTCATAGATATCACAATTCAATTTATAGGTCTCCAAGACGAAAGTTCATCTTGCAAAACCCAGATGGGGAGATCGTTCATTAGGAGGCAGGCTGAGTTGCTCTCAGGCTCCCTTATCATTACTTAGCCACACTTCGAAGGTAGCATCTGCAACACACCATCTCTCACCGTCCTCAAACAAAGGAATTGGTGTATCTTTGCTGGAATAGCTGATAGAATGCCGACTACTTGGACCGGGATACCTCCTATGTTGGCCGACTAGAGATTGATCCAACTATAATCGCCCTGGGTGCTATTAAGAAGGATTTCGAACATATCTTTCCAGCAACGGAAATCTCAGTGGCCGGGACCGTTCTGCATGAGGGTGCATCTGGGTGTAGCTCCGAGATGTAGTATATGTGCATCCATTTTAAAAGCAATTTGCATTTACCGCGATATGGCAAGTCTGCCTGCGTATCCATCTCTCAGATATTAATGTGTGAGGGTGCTAGAGACCATGAAGAGCACGTGGTTTATCATGCGAATCACTGCAATCAATATGGAAACCAAACATCGCCTTCTAGACGCGGAGCGCTTTCCTGATGCAATTATCCAATTCCTCGCGGAATACTCCTGTTCTCATCACCGCCTTCCACCGCCCGGAGCAGCAGAACCTATCTCTTCCCATTGAACACCCGCCCACTCCTCTAGATACCCGACTTGGCCCTCGTCGACGCCTCGCGCCTGGCAATCCCGCTCGCACACCCCCACAATGATAGTTCCCCAATCCATACCTTCGAGGGACAGCTCCTCGGCCTCAAGTTCGGTGATGGCGTGCGGGCAGAGCTGGACCTCGAATGTGCGCGGACCACCACAGTTCGGGCAACGAGGCATCCCCTTGACTCCGCCGCCCGAAGTCACTGTAACACCCACTCCATCAGGTTGCGATGCCGCAAGCGCCTTCCCCACGGCATCTGTCTTCGAGTATAATAGGGGCATACCGCCGAATTCGTAGCGAATCGACTGCTCGGGGTTTTGCGCCAGTCTATCCGCGAAGCGCTGGAACGCGGCGTCCATGGTCGACTCGAATACTTCCTTGTCTTCTTTGCCGCCCCCCGAGCCGGAATTATCGTCGACGTCCATTTTCATTGTGGCTTGTGGGACTGGGGGCGGTGTCGGATCGAGCGTTTCGTATTCGGCTTCGGACAGGTAGGAGATTGGATACGGTTTCGGCTGCAAAGACTCTAGAGGCCAGGGCTCGGTGGGAGGTTGTGGGACGTTGGCTTGTGGGTTATTGAGAGATAGGGTCTCAGCGAAGGTTTTGGGTAGTGCTTCTGCCTCTTTATCTGTTTTCGTATCTGGCTCTGGCTCGACAACTTTGGGGACTTCCGCAGCGGGTTGAGGCGTGCTGAATGGATTGCTGGGGCTCGCGAATGGATTACTTGGTGCTGGTGTGCTGGAAGTAGACGTCGCGAAGGGGTTTGCTCCCGTTGCGCCTCCCAGGGTCTTTGCACCGAAGAGAGTTTCGCCTAGCTTCGTAGGTGGCTTTGGTTCCTCTTTCGGCTTCGGCTTCTCCTCTTTCTTCTTCTTCTCGCTATTCAGCGAGGTGACCTTACTCCCTGGCGCGACCCGCAAAGTCCTCAGAGCGCGTATACTTCCATCTCTCCGCCGACAGCTCTTCTTCTGGCAAGCAAAGACGTAGAGGCGACGCTCGTGGCCGGGGAATCGATCTGGTAACTCAGCATTTAGTTGGAGGAGGAGGACCATGAGGTTTTTGCATATATTGCATTTTGCTAGGGCTGCTGAGGGCGGCGTTTCTGCGTCAAGCCATTCCTGTAGAAAGTTGTAAGTGAGTCCCTAGAACATGACCTTGTCTCTGTTTTACTTTTTGAGGTAGTATGGAGGGGTAAATATGGCTTACAGGTCGTCCTCCCAGGCGACTTATGGAATCGTCGCCGGGGTCTTGTGAGGCGTACCCTAGGAGCACATTGGTCTCTGTGAATTCTTCCTCCTCGCCCGCTGATGAGTCGCTGTCGTAATTTGCCATGATCTTATCTTTGCGCTTGTATCAAAACTGTAATAACCTTAGTTATCGACGATATTTCTCAGGCTTGTCGCAACTTTTTTTTTTTTTCTTATCGGGTTTGGAGGGGTAAGTTACCTGTCCCATGTCCTGTTGGAGGGGCAATGGAGGGGCAAGCTTATCAGAGGTCGTGCATTGGGCCCGTGCGCCAAATCCTCCCCTCGGCCTCTCTTGTCATATTAATCCTTACCTAGGGTGTAAAGTATTTGAGTACTACTAAGTAGTTGGTGATATGCTCTCAATTTCAGAGATTGAAGTTTGGAATCATGAATCCCAGATAGCCATGGCCTAAATGCCCGTTTTTCATATCCTTTTGCGGTCTTTGAACGCTGAGATTATATATGTCCTCTACCAATTCAGAATTATGAGACAGCCGAGTATAGTGGGCTAGATATATGGTCTGGTATAGCTTATTGACTGAGAACTCTCCGTGAAACATATAATATTTCCGGATAGCTGTTACTTCGTAGCTATAATATTTCCAAGACCATAGTACTTTGTTTCTTCTATGACTACTCTTGATAGTACTTAGTCAAGCATCCAAACCAGTTTCCCAAAACTAAGAGAAGTTCTCTAGTGTAAACTTAATATTATAAGGTGGCGCTTAGTTGAAGTTGTAAATCGGAGCTTCTAGATACCCTTAATAGTCCGTTCGGTGGCCCTTAAGTTGTGGCTATGTTAGTTATTGAAGCCATGATCTGTGCCCATCACTATCGGATATATCGGAATGTATCGGTTTTTGAGTATCTCCGAAAACCACGCTAGAGGTGCTAAGATCTTCTTTTCCCCAGATCCAAACACTCCACACCTTTTTCTTCTTCCACATTTCTCTTTTCTTCAATCACAGCTTTGTGACTCAACGTCAACTCCAACCCTTCCAGCCAAAGAAACCTCAGGATGTGCAGGGTCACCAGCACACTGCTTGTGTGCTTGGTGACTTGCCAGTATAAACCCTGATGGAATCGGCGTTCCTTATCCATTGCTAAAAGGTAGATAAAAGCCCACAGAGCTCCTCAAATTCTAGTGTTGCTGAGTGTCAGCTGACCCAAAAGGTTTAGGTGCAAACTGCATTTGATATGCTTCATCTCGGCCAACCTGTCTTCAAATCATCTTCAGGATGCTGTCCAGTCTTTTAGAATTTAGGGTCTCTACAGTGCAGGTATTCCTACCTGATCTGAGAGGTACCTCCAGTGGCTGGTCCATCTTGGCCTTGGTGGGCAAACAACCACTAAAGTGGGCTTTGGGCCAAAATGAGTCGCTTGGGTGATTGTTTGTCGTTGTTTGTCGTTGTTGTCGCGGTGGTGTAGGGGTGCATAGTGTGGCTGAACGGCATGTTTCGCTAGCTGTATTGTCTGGGTGTTTCTCAGGGCACACACACTTCTCCCACAATACTTCTAGGACGCTTTACTCCCCTGCTAGAATTCCGCTATCCTCGGAGGCTTGGTATACGCACGACAAACCACTCAATCAAGTATTCCTTCACCAGATTCATTTGACAACGAGGCGACAGCCAGCCAGCAGCCCAGACAAGCCTTCTCACTAGCAAAGATGGCACCAACCAAGAAGGGACACAAAAATACGAGTGGCGTATTGCGCGAAACTCCTAACGGCGTATTCTGTAAGTATATTTACATCTCCTCATTGCTGCCACCCCTTTGGGCCGGGCAGAGCCGGAGTAATACTGATATACTAGCAAATTAGACCTTGATGGCAAATATATATGCCAACGACGCGAGAATGGCAGACCTTGTAATCGTGAGATGGCTGGGACAAATCATAGCATCACTTCACACAACAGCAAATTCCATGCCGAAGGACCGTACAAGCGCCAGATGGCTGAAGGTCAATACGCCTGTTTTGAAGATGGATGCGGCGCTGAATGCAGTACATTCGGAGCAATTCTAGCGCACGTAAGAAGATATCATGGATTCAGGGGATCTTCGGATCCTCTCAAGATTCGTTATGGCGGTAAGTAATCTTGGATATCGTTTCCGTCTTCTCAAAACAGTCTTTGTAGCAAGCATAATGCTGCTTACAATACTTGTGTCAATCTATTGGAATGTACTTGTGGCTGATCCAAGGAAACTGCAGTTGCTCTATCTGATAAAGGAAAGGGAAAGGGCAAGGTCACCAAAAAGGATGGCCGCAAGAGAGGTACCTCAGACACCGAGGAGGATAGTCACGGGGAACATCACGAAGAAATCCACAAAGAAAGCGGTCAGCCAGCTGGGAACGACCACAACGCCGAGGACAGACACAACAACTACGAGGGATACGGTCTGATTGACCCTGCCCTTCTCAATTGGGACAATACCAAAGATGGCTTTGACGATGATGGCCGTAGTCTTCTTGACCAGGTCCTATCTGTCAACATCTTTCCTGTCACCCACTCGACGGAGGAATCAGGGCGAGGAGGGGAAGGGCCCTCGACACTATGAGGGTAAATGAATAAATGATGGCGTAGTTAAACCGTGGACTAGGAAGAAAACCGCTAGGTGTTTTCGGAATTCGGTATGGGGATACTCTAGACGAACCGAAAAATCTAGCACAATATAATATCTAGTCTCACTCACGTCTGTTCCTTTCATACCTAGATATCAATCGAGCTATGTGAATACCAATTCGGCAGCCTAGCTGACAAGAGGGAATTTATGCAACAGCAAATTTGTATGAACCTGGCAGCGTGTATATGACTGTCTTGTATTGATATATGCCGCGACTCCGTGGGGAATATTGTTGAACCTAAAACCGGCCAAGGCAGAAAGCCTACGCGAAGTCGCACAAGATGAAGTGGCTGTATTGAAAGCCTCGGTCCTGTACCAGACTGCTTCATATGAACTGAATCGGCCCTTACTCAGGATAGGCCTGGTGATCTTCGGGCGTCGTTTGATAGAAGCCATATGTTACCACAAGGAAGTCCCATCATGCATGACATTTCTCTCTACTACTGCATACTTTCAAAGATCCCGAGTCTAGTTCGAACCTTTGAAGTTGTCTTCCGAAATGGGATGGGACTACAATTCAACGTGATGTTTGTTGGCTTATGGCCTATTGTGGCTATAATATTGTTTGATGGTCTTGGTGCAGGTTGTGGGCTAAGTAACTAGGTACGTACACAATAAGGGCTTAGATGCATTGAGTGCAAGCGATGACAGGGCTAAGGTACACCACACACTGTATCTTGGTGTGGTAAATACACGTGACAAGATGCCTCTGCTAAGAGGCAAGGCTTAAGCCGCGTTATCATACCCAGGAAGAGTCATCCATTCACGAGGTTAGAGAACAGACTCTGCTAGTATCTAAGTAATCTTTGTCATAATTATCAATGAACGTAGCCGGTCCTAGCCCTGCAGCCTAAGCACATGTGCACTTCGAGTTTCATGTTAGCGAACTTATCCGCTTGTACAAAGGGAGAACTACATACACAAGTCGTACCGTGCAACTTGTTGTAACCGGGTTGGCTCACTGGAGACGACTAGACTACGTATCGTCACCAGGCCGCCTTCCCTGGAAAGCTTCCTCTGGAGCGCGCTTGATACAGATTAAGACCGGTAGCTTTGGTCATAAGTCGCACCATGCATCAGTGATTACCAGTATAATTACCTCATACTCTACATCTCTTCTACCCCTTTGTCTATGTTACATACGTCAGGGACATGCCTGATCGTAGACTTCCTTCTCTGATTAAGAAAAAGACAATTAATACATCCTTGTTGGCTATGATAGCACTTGCTAGGGGTAATAAAGGGGCTCTCGGTGAACCCTCAACAGCCGAGATCAAACCACAGCATACGTCACCTCGCTTCTGGAGACATATGTGTAGTCACACACATAAAGCAAGGCGTGAAGCCGTCCCCCCTATTACGCTAACGTAACAGCTGCCTAACTGACCAGCTAAGAAAAGTTGCTCAGTAACGCTCGCTTCATAGATCCATTTCGTCTTGTGGTAGACCGTTACAAGATATTCCCTCGCTCTGAGGATATACTACCTGTGACTGGAGTTGCAGAGGCTACGGCGCCTTGCCTTAATACAGAGCTGCGTATGTCTTACACTACAGTGATTCCGGCCAAAAATGGTGCACTCGTGACCCTTCTCCCTATTTCCACGATCAAACCTTCGATAACAGTATCTCCCTGGTATTACAAAGGAATATCACAAGGCTCCTGGTGATAGGAAGTGTTGTCTCGGAGACAATTTGAAACTGAATATACGACACAATCATGTTTTCATTCACGTGAAGTAGAGAGAAGTTGTCAGAGAACCTTGACCAGATACCTCAGCGAGGACTCATCACATAAACAAGAGGAGGTAGAATCTAAAGAGGTAAAGAAACATGGACTTTCTAATGCTACACTGATTCAAGCGCGATATCACGCAATCTTGGACCTTTCACCATCTGGTTGTTACGTCGTAAACTGAACTCTTCCCTCTGATGCCCATCGTAAGACAAGCTATCCAGACCGATAACATGCTCGCTCTAGTTGTCCGTTGCTTATGCCGAACTCCCTTGTTTTTCCGAGGCTTCGTTATAAGGGGGTCCGGTTCCAATTCGTCTGTATCTCATGGGCCTCATTCTCCGACAGGAGCTGAAGCCATTGGTCGCTTGTGGACAGGTCTCGCGCATGCGTCCGCCGTAATTCTCCCACGTCTGGGTGGTTGTGTTGAAAACCATGAACTGGAGGTAATTGCACATTGTAGTAGTGTATCGATCTCCTAGTGAGTGTAGTTGGCAGTGGTTCAGTGTGAATAAAGTATTGCAACGGGATAGCCGTTGATATGATATGTGAAGCGTGTATAGCGTGGTGGGTTCTTGGGAACTGAAGTAGAAGGCTGAGTTGGTGTTTTGATATCCAAGAGTCCTGGAAGAGGCACAGAGTACTCGTCTTTATATCTAGAATATCCAACATGGTCACACCAAAGGGATGCTTGTGAACAGCGGCCTGGTATGTAAGGGCTGCTAGGTGAAGCTACACGGGTTGTTGAGAGTCCTCCTCGACTGGCCGGAACTAGAGCTCCCGGCCTGGCACCTTACATCGCAAGTGGCAATATGAAGCGTCTTCGATCTCATGCTCTTGCTTTCCAGCTTCGCGAAACTTGCATAGTGCTAGCTAAAGCGCCATAACCTGCTCTATGAGTTACATCGTAGACCAGATTGTACAAATCTCATAGCTCGCTGATTCATTCTGTACAAGATACACAACAGCCTACTCCGTCTTTCTCTTAATTCTGCACGCCAGCACCCCATGTATGGTCCGGTAAAGTTATTGCCTTGTTCCGCTCTATCAATGACATAGGCTGGTAGTCATATAACACTGCAAAGTGGAAGGAAGGCATAGGGATATGACATTGCAAGTGTGACATAGCACCAACACAATAGACCACAGACGCTCGCTTATCGCAAGGGAACATACTAATTTGTACACCATATAATAATACATATATATATCACTAAGTCACCGAATGAAGAAGAAACTGAAATAATTTTGGGTTGGGCTAAAACCCAAGATTAAAAGGAGGGAAAAGGGGCAAAAATGAAAAAAAGTACTCCGAATCGGGGAATCGAACCCCGGGCTTGACGGTACTGTTGACTCCAAAGAGGGAATATGAGAGCGTCAAATGTTAGCCACTACACCAATTCGGACTTCGACTGGGCGATGTAAAGATGATTTCTCAGGTTTTTAATTGCCATTATATATAGGTCTATTTACTTTGGTGGCATGCATGCACTGGCTTATACTTAATCGCAGGAGTGTAATACGATGTTCTTGCATCCCTTGCGGCAAGGAGATTCTCTTCCTGAAATGCAAGATGATACTATTTCTTGCATTGTACTACCCTTACAGTACTTGCCACCTATAACATAGGTCCTTATATTAGAATGTGGCTCTTCATCTAGCTTGGTTGTTGCTATATTTTATTCAAGTACGTAGTTCAGGTTAGATCCTAGTCCACATGTCATGTGCGGTAGCTACTTAACATATTGGCTAACACACCACTGCTCTATTAACAAGAAGGCATGTCAAAAAGCATAGACAGACTTGGACTTGTATTCTAAGAGGATGGTTTCTCAACAGACCCCTTAAAATACCTTGATCATGTGTTACTTGAGACTTGGCCTAGGAGCAACGGCATACACACGGAGTTGATGGCCGGTGACCACTCCTTACAGCCAATGGCACTATGTATCGCAAACTGTGATGTGGACTTGGAATGTATTACCTAAATCTCCATGCATGCTTGTATCATGATCGGGAATCGTTCGGTATGTTTTGCATCTTTAGAAAGTATTGTGATTCGATCTTTTTGGTCATCATTATCTGATTTGTTTAAATCGGTCTTGGGTGGTTCAGAAAAGAGATAACGTCGGTTTGATAATCCGAGCATCTCAAGGACTGTTCCATGCCCGAGAATCAGTATGAATTGCGACCTCACTTCACATATAAGAGATTTCCCATGTCTTCAATGAGCTTAGCACCAAGGTTAAGCTCCTCGTGGCTGTGGATATATAATAAATAGTAAGCAGTCGACCAGTCGACGTTAAAAAGGATCCTGCAACATCAGAGCTCGTCCAGGTCATCAGTCTACAGCTAGTAAGTAAGCGACGTTGGCCGCGAACACGGAACACGGTATTTGCTGCCGTGCCATGAACGGCTACTGTAGATCGACTTCCTAAATTCTTCTAGTTAAAGTGGGCAATCTATGATATCTGATAGGTAGAGGGCACATGGATCAAATGAATCATGAATCACGGGGAATGCAGGCTCGACAGGCACGCAACAGAGTCCAGAGAGTCAAGCTGGCTCATTACTCGACTCAGCTGCGAACAGCTCATTCTGAGCCCACCCATCCCGATCCAGGACATCCCGGCCGTGCAGATAAGTTCCCTAGTACCTAGGGCCAGACAGGGCCCAGCGGAGACCTAGCGGGTGCTGAGCGGGGTCGTAGCAGGCTTCAGCAGGGTGTCTCGGGTGTTTTTGGCAGGCAATTCAGTGGCATTCACTGGCATCCCAGTGGCAGGTCTAGCCAGAAATAGCTTACTACATCACTAGCCGCCCCGCCTCTTTTGTCCAGAGACTCGGCGCAACCCACTATACCGACATCCCGCTATCCCTCCTACCTCCTCCCCCCCCTCCATCCCGCCATCGGCGCAGAGGTCAGAGCCAACCCCACCATTTCTTCTTTTTTCTCGCCTCTTTCTTGCGACCTCCTCACTCTCATCCTCCTCTTCAAATACTTCTCACAAGCCCTATCCCGACTTCCATTCATTTCCTGTGTGGTACCACCATAGACAGTCTTCATTCCGGCTTGTGTTGCTCTGCACAATCTTTTCTTTCTCGATACCCTTTGTCTACAATCATCGCCATGGCTGCTTACGCTCTTTCCCAGGAGCACCGAGATGTAAGTTCGGATAGACTGGATTCCAAGTCTCGCAGACCAATTGGTACTGACAAATACGTAGATGCTCGAGAAGTCCCTCGTGGACTCCGACCCCGAGGTTGCTGAGATCATGGTATGTGTCAATTGCCCTATCCGTTCGCGCGGATTTATCATCTCAACACCCAGCCAGCCAGCTGACAGTCGATGTAGAACAAAGAGATCCAGCGCCAGAGAGAGTCAATTATCCTCATCGCCTCCGAGAATGTCACATCCCGTGCCGTCTTCGATGCTCTAGGATCTCCCATGTCCAACAAGTATTCTGAGGGTCAACCCGGTGCGCGCTACTACGGTGGTAATGAGCACATTGATGCCATTGAGCTTCTCTGCCAGAAGCGCGCTCTCGAGGCTTTCCATCTCGACTCTGAGAAATGGGGCGTCAATGTCCAGGCCTTGAGCGGTAGCCCTGCCAACTTGCAGGTATACCAGGCTCTTATGCCCCCTGGAGGCCGGCTTATGGGCTTAGATCTCCCCCACGGTGGTCACTTGAGCCACGGCTACCAGACCCCTGCTAAGAAGTAAGATTCAACCGATGGTCGCCTATTATTTCATTCTTAGTGCTAATTCCATTCATTATAGGATCTCTGCTGTTTCTACCTACTTCCAGACTATGCCATACCGGGTTAACATCGAAACTGGCATCATCGACTACGACAGACTTGAGGAAAACGCTCAATTGTTCCGCCCCAAAATCTTGGTTGCCGGTACATCTGCTTACTGCCGTGAGATTGACTATGCTCGCATGCGTAAGATTGCTGACTCCGTTGGCGCTTACCTTGTCGTGGATATGGCTCACATTTCCGGCCTTATTGCTGCCGAGTGCATCAAGTCGCCCTTCCATTACGCCGATGTTGTCACCACGACAACGCACAAGTCACTCCGTGGTCCTCGTGGTGCCATGATCTTCTTCCGCAAGGGAGTCCGCAGCACCGACAAGACCGGAAAGGAGATCAAGTATGATCTGGAAGAGAAGATCAACTTCTCCGTCTTCCCTGGTCACCAGGGTGGCCCTCACAACCACACCATCACTGCCCTCACCGTTGCCCTGAAGCAAGCCACCACTCCCGAGTTCAAGGCCTACCAGCAGAAGGTTGTCGCTAATGCCAAGGCTCTTGAGAACAAGTTCAAGTCTCTTGGTTACACATTGGTGTCTGGCGGTACCGACTCACACATGGTACTCCTCGACCTGCGCCCCTTCGCCTTGGATGGCGCCCGAGTTGAGGCTGTCCTCGAGAACTTCAACATCGCTTGCAACAAGAACAGTATTCCAGGCGACAAGTCAGCCCTCACCCCTTGCGGTTTGCGTATAGGTACCCCCGCCATGACATCGCGTGGCTTTGGTGAGCAGGACTTCGAGCGTGTTGTCGAGTACATTGACCAGGCCATCAAGGTCTGCAAGGAGGTCCAAGGCGGCCTTCCCAAGGAGGCCAACAAGCTCAAGGACTTCAGGGTTAAGGTGGCCAGTGGTGAAGTCGCCAAGATCAATGATCTCAAGAAAGAGGTTGCCTCCTGGTGTCTGACCTTCCCTCTCCCTGTCGAGGGCTGGAGAATTGACGCTGGTATCTAAGCGAAATTGTTTCCTAAATTGTTTCTAATAGCCTTTTAATCCCTCAGTTTTGATAAGGAAGGCGTGAAAGGACTGCATCGTGGTTCAACATAGACGAGTAGGCGTGTATAGTGGAGGCAACTCAACTGTTCTCTGGGAAGCGCAAAATGGTTTTTTTTTATTTTTTATTAACACTACAAGGATTGGTTGGTTCCTGGTGGAAAAAGGGACGGAAGAAGAATAGGTATAACTTGCATGCATTCATCAGGCGTTGCAAGTGCTTTTCAAAATCGAGAGCACCGGGAGTCACTGGCAGCTCTTCCGGGTCTAGGTCATTCAACAACTTTGCTTGCTTCAACGCGCTCTTGTACCCTTTTGCCATAGCTACTGTGTTATTTTTCTGTATACACCATACATACATACATCATCAGGGTTCTCATTCTGAAGAACTCTAATACAGCTCAGATCATACTGTTCTGTCATTTTGAAATTCCATAATGATTGTCGTGCTACTTTATCGAGCGAACCCTCCGAACTTGCGTCAACAGCTTGTTTTGTCGCCCTATGTTAAAAGTGAAGTTACTCGCCAAATATATATACATAGCTCTGTCAATAAATGCCTAGGTCAGCGTAGAGGGAAATCCAATCCATCAAAGATAAAGAATACTTTACTACCTACCTACCTAGCTAAATACAGCTTCGGAAAAAATCTACATACACAAACATCTATGCGTACAGCGAATCATTCTTACATACCCTACCTACTTAAACCTGGCAAGGACCCAGCGATCAGTAAGCACAAACCCGCTTCTTACCACGACATTATCACCAGACTTAAGATAATTACAACTACGCCAAGCAAATGAGAAAGTCAAAACGACTAACATTTTCAAAACAATACACGTAGGATTAAGTTCCTTCTCTCTAGACTTGTCCTTCCTAGATAGTCCAGACTTCCAAAGAGCATGCGTGCTACACAAATCCAATGTGCAAGGGCCAGCCGTAGATTCTAAACCCATCCGGTCCAACGAGAGGGACATTCAACGGTTAAACCTAGGTACGTCTTTAGGGAAGTAAACTGTTTTGAAGGCTCCAAATATTCTTTTTATACAGTGCCGTAGGAATTTCGCTTTCCACACCTTATCCTCCGCTCCTTTTTTGGTTCATGCGGGCCACACCTAATCTCCCATCTCAAGCTGGACTTCAGTGACCAGAAAAATAAAACAGTACAGCAATTAACTTTAACTACAATCCATCGTCGAAGACTAGTGCATTAGTCTATCCGCCGAATTTCACAATGCCTGAACCCTCCACGCCATTAACGGGGTATTGCGCAGTTCTCCCACCGCACTTTTTTTTTTTTAAGAAAACCCTCGTTGTACAGTAAGTAAATCTCAGAACTCCGAATTGATCCTTGCGTTGTTGAATCCCTGCTTTGACCTTCTATCGGTTTCAAAGTATAGATATCTAAGTGAATTGAAATGATGAGTACGGGTAGGATATTTTATCCCCACTCCTAGCGCGATGTCATTATCCTACAATGCCATCTACCACGTGTGTTGTTTCGAATCGTTAGAATGTGCAGCTGAATATTGGAGGGCGAAAGCATACCCTTGCACGGGTCTTTCATGTCGGTTGATATGCACTGACTCTCTATGTAGGTGGCAATATTATACCACTGCCGAATACGGAGGCATTGGTAACCTATTAGGGCTCAACCCTCTCGAAGTTCGCCATTTGAGTGGATAGAGCGGATGAAACCGAAATTCTAGCTGTTGGGAGTCCCTGCTAAACCTGCTTACTTCTGACATAAAAGTTTTCTAGGCTCCTTTGCCAGCAGGTGCAATTATGGCACCGTTCGCTGCCGGCGTAACGTACGGCATGGCGGGGCTACCATTCATTGCCGGCATACTCGTCATGGGCTGAGGACTTGGACTTGGCTGGGAATAGCCCACATTGACGGGTTTGTTGGCTCCCAGACCGATACCACCAAGTCCAACGGGAGGGCCTGGGTGACCTTGACTGGAAGATCCCGTTTGTCCTTGACCAAGTATTGGATTGCCGTGGTTCTCATTGGGCTTGTGGACGCTTTGTTGAGCATTAAACCGAGCCTTAGCCTGATCCACTACCAATATTAGAGTTAGTGGTCTGGTTTTCCTCCCCTGGGTAGTTACACTGGACGAATAGGATTAGATAACAACCGTCGAACCTCCTAGCTGTACAGATGACAGCTGAAATCAAAACAGAAGAGGTTACTTACTGGCTTGTTGAACTTGGTGTGAGCTCAAAGACGTTTGGAAGGATGTCCCTGAGGTCTGATGTGGCTGGCTTGCGTGATGTTGGTTCCCCATCTGGTGGTTCTGCATCGGCGGTGGAACGTGTGTTGTGGCAGGAGGGTAATAAGGCCGTGGTGAGTTGCTAGCCATGTGCGGCCCACTATAAGAGGGCTGACGTGAAGGTGTGCCTGCAGGATGATACCCCTGTGCCTGTGGTGGCACATGTGGGGAGTGGGGTTGCTGGTGGTGAATGTGCGGAGAGGCCGTCGCCGTCCGTGGAGGCATTGGATTCGTGCCGTTGGCATAATGTCCATACGGAGCATGGGAGGGTGTGGGGGCCGGCGAATGCGGCTGTTGATGCGGCTGATAAGACTGATGAGTATAGTGAGTAGGTTGAGTGTTAGGTGGGTGAGGATTATATGCCTGGAAACGAGTTTGTTGAGACGGAGTATTGCCCAAATGACCCAGGTTATTGTAGCCAGGAACGTATTTCGTATTTGGCGTCGAATACATGCGATTTGGTGTGGGTGTTGACGTATATGAAGGCTGAGAGTACCCAGATGTAGGTTTGACGTATTGTTGAGTATAGCCTGTGTTCTGATATGCGTTCGGTGGACGATAACCCGTGTTCGGGGTAGGCCTTTGCTGGTAATTTGGTGGCATGGTTTGCGATCCACGCTGCATGGCAGGTTGTGGAGGTCGGATCGGGGTTTGATTAGGATAGTATTGTGGGGTCGCTGCTGGAGCCCGATTCGAAGGTTGGTGATATTGTTGACTATACTGCATACTGCTAGAAGAACTAGACGAACGATGCGAAACTGGCCTAGTATTTGTGGTGGCAGCGGCAGTTTGTGCTGCTCTAGCACGAGCAGCCGCTTCGTCTTCTTCCATGGTGCCTTGATACTCGTCACTGCGAATTTCAATCTTCGTCGAGATGTTCAGCTCCTCTAGTTTGTCTGAGTTGAGACGGGCAACGGCGTAAGGCGGCAGCATCTGGATAATTAATGAAAGCTGGGCCTTGAGAGCCTCGTAAGTAGCCGTCTCCTCCTTTCCTGGTAGCACCTGCGTCCCATTTGTTAACATGTCGCTGTGTGCGGGATCATTGGCGTATCGACTTTGACTGGTTGCTGTGGGTAGTGTCAAATTGCGATTCTTCTGATACGATAGGAGGGTCTGAATCATATCCGATACATCCTGAAGAACATCGTCGGTATCCTTTTTCTCATCCGGTTTCTGAGGACAGCAAGCCTCTTCAAGACTAGGATCTATAACACTGTCGTCCCAACTGTCAATTGCTCGCTGAATTGTTTCCTCGTCAATCTCATCCTTGGGGTCCACCTTCATCTGATCGCTCTCATCTGTACTGTCATCAGCGTGTTCTACATCGATCAAGCGATCGAAACTGCGCTGTCCAACTTTTTGCCACCACAGAGTGTGGCTAATCAAACCTGAGGAGACCATGGCTGCTGAGTCGTCTTTTGACGGTGCGAAGCTGGAAAAAGCACCTCGGAAAAGAGATTCTAGCTCCGATGTCTCCAATTCCAAAGAAGAAGGCTTGTTGCCTGCAAGGCTGAGAGCACGTTCGCGCTGTTTTGTCATTGTCTGGGATGTGGGTGAGGCATTACTGTAGTTCAACCAGCTCCCTGTCGATAGAGGCTGACTGAAATATGATCCGGCTCGATACTTGGACTTCTCGGTCAATTCAGGTCTGTGCCAGCCCACTTGCACGCCTTTAGTGGTGCTTTTTGGAGCCTTGGGCGGAGGCAACGAGGGGAGATTACGGGGTGCTGGAAACAATTCGCCCAAGGTCTTCGACTTCTTGTCCTTATCTACAGGAGGATGGAATGAATAAGGAAGAACTTTAGTTAGCCTGATACCATTAGGTAGATCAATCTCCCGAAGCGGGTGAGAGCTAGCATCAGCTCCGGCAGTGCTATCGATGGGCTGTCGAAGACTTGAATATAGCTGCCGTGGTCTGGGGGCTTCACCAAAAACGGTGAGCATGATATTGCTGTTGACATTTGCCTGCATATCATTTGCAGGATCCAGGGCTGCCAGGACCTCGAGATCCTTAGATGGCCTAGGATATGATAATTCACGCTTGAACAACCCAAAAGCATTCTTTTGGAACGCCAGAACGGGCGCAATGGCGGATTCAAGGGTTGAAAAACCGTCGCCGTCCTTAGCGAGTCGCAGTTCAGTAAGCTGATCAGTAATGGAAGATTTTATATCGACGATAAAGGCTTCAACATTGGCATATTCGCCATGTGCAACCTTGTCGGCAATCGAATAAGGCAGCCTGTTTTCTACCGACTTCTGGCGTTTGGCTTCGGGTTCACCAGTAGGATCGGGTTCGGGCATGGGGCGCTTCAAGATGGAAGGCGTTGTGTCAAATCTATATCAAAGCGACGGTGAGCATAAGCTGTCAAGTAGGGAGGCATACATATAGAGAGGGCCGGGAATAGAGGCGCCGTGCAGCACGAATTGATGGTCGCAAGGGATAGACTGTACCTCTCAAGAAGTAGATAGTAATTCTGGATCATCTCGGGAGAAGTCTTGTTGCGCTCGGCAGAATCCGAGTTGGCATCAATAGCAGACGTGTCAGGGACATTTAGCTGCTTCCCGTCGTCATCGTCGCTTGATTCGCGCTTGCGCTTGACGGCAGCATTGATGGATTGCGAGGCGTCGGCGTCGGGAGTTGGATAAATAGGCGTCGGCGTAGATACCCTGTTGGGTTGCGCGACGGCTGGCGAGGCCATGACCACAGTCTATTGAAGAAACAGGGGCGGATGGGGTGGTTCGTTGCTGGCGGATGCAGATACCATCCATCCAGGTGGAGGTACGATGACGGCTGTGGTCGTTATCGCGCGCCGCCAGCGGAGTAAGGATGCCTGTATCCTGTCAAAAGGCGTTGTTGGGATGCGGGTACCGACGCTGGGACCGAGCAGTGCTGGTGCTGGTGCTGGTTCCGGCGCGGACGAGTGCAGGAGGTGGTGGAAATGGACGTGTTGGTTGGTGGTTCGTACGCGACGGTGCACGCTTTGGATTGCGGTTTGGTCGCGACGAAAAAAAAAGGGCGGCTTGGTATTTCGCAGAACAGCGGCGAGTTCAGCGTAGTTTGGGACCTAGCAACCTCCGACAACCACAGCCAAGACGCAACAGCATCAGCACCAACACTCACGAACTCGAGAGAAGACCCAGGACAATCCACGACGATGACGGGAATGAAAACGCCGGATGAGACCAGGTGGCATCAATCGTGCGAGACAGCTGTGAGCTAATTCTTGACCTAATTCTCGAGACACGAGAAGGCCCTGAGATAGAGGAAGGAAGACGCGGGCAGACAGGGCTCTCGTGAACTGGACAGGACTGGACGGGACTGGGGACTGGGCAAGTAAGAGTTAGACGACAGACAAGACGGACAGATTTGGCTTGGGGCCATTCGCTCTTGCTTGGGGGGGCCGGCTGGCTTGGGGGCGGCTTGGGAACAGCGAAAATTGAGCACCTGGGCAGGTATGGTTAGGGACCTAAGTACGTTCCAATACCTATTCACTAACAATTATGGGGCTCTCGTCCAATAACGTCCAATCACGTACCGTCTGTCGCTCTGAATGAGATCACGTGGCTTGCATTCCAGTGCTGGTGGCAGTCTTGAAACAGCATATACCTTTATGGGTGAATTCTCGGCATCACTTGTCTGCATACTGCATGTAGGTACCTACTAAATGGCATACCAGTACCTGAACATGTACATCATTAGGCATGGAACATCTTGAATGATAGGGAAGAGACGTTTGAATATAATCATATGTGGAAAAGGCATGCTGTGATGCGCATGGAGCGGATGTTTTTCTATCAATTATATTTTGTTTCATTTATTTCAAGACAGTTTTGATACCATGCTCTGTTGCCCTCAACTAACCTGAGCAATGCATTTAGGTCTGGATTCATACAAAAGGTATGCCATTCTAGTACCCAGCTATATTCTGGTGTTGAATGCAGCTTATATCGGCACAAGCTTCCAAGCTTCGAAGTAGTAGTATCCATTCTAATAACAACAGTCACTTGGGCAGAATTACTCGCGCCTCAGCGGGCATTTGATGAATATATTCGTCACTCTAAATCGCCTGACATGGGCCTAGCCCTCTGCTCAATCTCCTTGGGCAGCTTTCAGTACATACGTGGGTAGTTGTGAGCCAGCTCTACGTCTGGTGGATGCGTTAGGTACTGCATGATTTGGACTTGATGGTTCCTTAACTTTAGAGTCCGCGATTTCTAGCACTTCTTACTGGCGAGCTATACTTGTATACGGATATTACCTAGCACAACTTAAGGCTAGTCAGGAACACAGCAACCGGGTCCTTACTAAACATGTAAATCGGGGTCTAAGGCCTTCGACTTGTCTGCTCCTCCTTATAGCTTGTGATACTCTGAAATACTTACCTAGGTAGGTATGTAGGCAGTTGAGTGACGCATGACAACTAGTTGCACCCATAAATAGTGCCGAGATACTGGATACACAGCACGTACGACCTACCTATGTCTGTACGTATTGGTCGGAACAGTGTATTTGTGTATAAACATTAAAGGTCACTTCTAGGATGCTACACTGATTAGATTCTGTACTGAACAAGACGCAATAACTAAATGAAGCGACCTGATTAGTGAGCCATTGATTTCACATAACAAAGAATGATGGTTCAAAAACAACACTAAGCAATCGACTAAGCATACGGTGCAAGAAAAAAATCAATGTTGTGTAGACCGTATTGTACATGTAAATAAAACCCAGTCTCTATGCACTCCTGAGTAGACAGGAGAGCTGAAGAGGTAAGCCTTTCAAAACTTTCGAACCGGACTGTTCCATAATGTATCAGGCCGCCTAATCCAACTTGATCAATCAATAGCTAGCTAATTACCAAAGTTTGTTCATTCAGTCTCACATGCTTCCTTCGAGTGTAGTTATAATCATTGTATCAAGTCGTCGTTGACTATAAGTTTATTTCGCCTTAGCCAAGCCGACAGTTCCCTTACCAAGATCGTAGATGGAGTAATACTTCCGGAGGAAGGCATCACCGAGGATGGCCAAAGGACCGACAGGAGCGGGGAAGTCCATGCCCATGAACGTGGAGATGCAGCTACCAGAGACCTCAAGGATATAGTCGTAGGGAGTAATAGAGAAATCATAGCCGCTCAGCTTGAAGGTAACATCAGGCAGGGAATCACGAGCAGAGCAGTCAACGCTGTACTGGCCATTGAAGCCCTTCTTGGCGCCCATCTCCTTGTTCAGAAGTTCGGCAAGATCGGTGGGCAGAGCAATCAGAGATGTGCCGGTGTCGAGGATGACACCGGTGTTGTCAAGCTCAGCAGTCTCGCCACCGAAAGAGATGGAATCAAGGTCGACCTCCCAGTAAGCCTTGCGGCGCAGGGGGATTTCGGTAATCTTGCCAGTGTAGTGGTCCTTATCAACACCACCGAAGACAACCTCGGAATCATCGCTACCACTCTCACTGTTTAGGTAGAAAGCAAAGACGGGCTCGTCAATGAGCTTCTGGTTAATGAGTTGGTAGAAAGGAGGGACGATTCCGTTCACTGAGAGGCGGTCGAAACCCATTCCCAGGATACCATCGAATCGACCAAAGGCAAAGGCCAAGCCTGGCTCGCTGGTGGCCTCGGCGAAGTCTTGGCCCTTGATCTTGAGGTCACCAATGGTTACATCGTCTTGGGAGACGAATCCGCTCAAGCTACCGGAACCGTAGCGGATTTCGAAGTCGGTGCCGTTCTTCTTGTAGGTCGATGAAGAAGACGAGTCGTACTTGCTGTGGAGGAAGCAGGCGATGCTGCCGCAAGATTGTGAGGGAACCCAAAGGTTAGAACTGCCGGTATCGAGGATGACCTTGAACTCCTGGGGCGGCGTGCCGATGCTGATCTCGGAGAAATCTGAAACAAGTCAGAGAGAATAACATGTCTTGGATTGCGGTCATACGAACATTGAGCATTCATGAAATTGGAGATGGGGAGAGGGTGATCAGCCTCGGCGTGCATGCCAGCACCTTCGAAGACCGCTTGAGCATGACTGTCGGGGCGAGCGCCCATGTACTTCTGACCGAGGCCCTTAATCTGTGTCTCGATCGGGATCGTCTCCTGTATCGCGTTTTCATTAGTATTTTCGGCGGACTATTCGAAACCTTTAAATACGTACCAGCTGCTCAGAAAGAGGCACCTTCTGAAGCTTCATCTTGTGAACTCCTCCGGCATGGGCGGAGCTAAGCAGCACAGCTGCGCTGAGGAGAGCTCCCTTCATGATGGGCAACTCCAACTACACGGATAAAAGCAAAGAATCAAACGGGACCGAAAACAATCCGATACGGCTGGGTTTCGTTAAATGACTCGAAAGGTGATGGGGATGAATGGATGATGACGATGTAGGAGAGGAGAGGAAGATAGGTAGGTAGGTAGGTAGGTAGGCTGGATGATGCAGCTGGTCTGGGAGGTAAGGTCGCTGGATAGAAGGATGAGACGCTGGCTGGGGACGGCCGGGGGCGGAGCACCTTTGCGCTCATCAATGGTCGGCCGCACCAGGGCGATAAGTACCCAGATACCTGGTTACAGGCACACTCTTGCACGGAATGGCAGGTATCCCGGCGCATTCGCTTGGTACCGCATCTGTACTGCACTAAGCTTAGGCAGGCACCAACGCAGTAACAGCACTAAACTAAAATCAGATCATGCAACCTGGAAGGGTCGCAGTGGTGGCGAGAGTGGATGTTTCAAAACCTACCTGAACAGCTCTTGCAGTACCTACAGTTGACTTCGCTAGGTACAGCATAATTCTGAGGGTACTTACCTAGTACCTACTTAAGTACAGGGCATAAACGTACATAGGTACCTCTCGATAAAGACGCCCCTACTATACAGGTACCTACCTTACCTGGTGAATTGGGTGGCACGTGCATACCCGGGCTGCTAGCTTGTGACCAGCCATTCATTGCCCAAGGCAGGAGCTGATGACGCAGTTAGAGACGGCCGAGCAACAGCCAGGCTCACCAGGTAAACAAGCTCCTCGATAAGGCGAGTTGAACATCCACCCAAAATGCAATCCTGTCAGCCATGGTATTGCCTTACGGATACGGTTATCTTGCGCTTGTGCTTCGAAAACAGCATTGATGAGTGCACGGCGATGTGACGATTATCTGTACCAAACTGTTTGTGATGCTGAATCCAAGAGTGATGCGCTGACCTTCGCATACCTAGGTACTGTAATAGGTAGTGCGACCATGTTAGCTTGCCCCAAGCACACGGTAGGCCAAGTTCCAACTTGGAATGCTTCATGCTTTCAGTTCGTTGGCCTAGCATACTTCGAATAGCTCTCAACACATATGTTAAATAATATCATTATGTCTAAAAGCGTCGTTTTCCCCCTCTAGCCGGGTAACTGAGAGAGTAGGAGCAAGGACCTAGTCAATTACGTACGGAGCGATACAGGCAACCTGAACTGGGGGATTTGTTGCGAGGAGCAAACACGCAGCTCGCTCTCAATCCTTGACTGTCGAACCAACTGACTTAGCGGGATGCTGTTGCCGGTCATTAACATATGTTGCTGTTGATCGCCATAACAATATTCATAGTAGAACAAACCAAACTCCATGATTAACATAGCGGAAGGTGTCAGGTTCTTATTACGATGATAGTACAATGATAAGTCATAGAATGGCGTCAGATTGAGTGCCACTGTCCCAACAACACGACCAGTCGAGTCTCCGGGCATAGTCGCAAAGGTCGTCCGGATAGGAAGAGAATAATCTCTTTCTTCCCTATTAAAACATGGAGATTCTAGGCGACAATATCCTTACCTAGTCTCAGGTACAGCCAACATGCAAATGCAATGCCGATGAACCGGATGGTCACCTGCCAGATCTCCTCAGACTTGGCGATAAGTCTCTACTAGGTCTCGAAAAGGAAACCCTTTAAAAGCTGCATGTCTTCAAGTATAAATCGACAGGGGTATAACGGAAGCCTAGAAACAGCCATTCAACGTCACAAATACCGTTTATTCCCCGGTAGATCTGGTCGGGCGCTGCGCACCAATCGACTGGCTCTGGCCGGCCTAGTAGAGACCAAGGCCGGATAGGTAGTGGAGTGCACATTCGTCATGGACACGACGCGTATGCTCCTGACATCAGCGACACATAATCCAGCTGTAATTACTGCTAGTAGCCCTGACAGCCGAGCGCTGAAATGAGCCGTTATGTCTCGGTTTCGCCACGGTTCAAGAGGCTGCTTTTCAAACAAGTGAGGTTCATCATTTTGCTGATAATGGCGGGAAGCATCGGTCACAAACTCATGAGCAAGGTGAAAAACCACCTTGACCCTTCGGGATCAGAGGATCGATCCCAACCTCATCCACCCTCTCATCCCCAGCAGCAATTCCAGCCACAGCAGCAACACCAAGCGCCGCTGAATCCAGCGCCGGATGGATCGAATTCCCACAGATCTCACACCTGGACTCTTAGTTCTGATGTGATACCTCTGAATCAGGGCGGGACGTACCCTCGTCTCTGCCGCCTCTCTGATGGCTCCCTCCTATGTGTAGTGACACGGATGATAGAGGGGATGCATGTCCTCAAGGTATCGCGCAGCACAGACAATGGACGGTCATTCGCTCCTTACAGCGAGATCACACGAGGGCAAGGGGATGTCGACAACGGATTTCTCCTGGAAGTGCCTGTCCGGGGCCAAGGGCCAACAGTGCTCGCGGCCTTCCGTAATCACGCCAAAGGGCCGGATGGCAAGCCAACGCACTTCCGCATCACAGTGTGTAAAAGTACAGACGGCGGGAAAACATGGCGCTATGCGTCCCAGGCCGCGCAGCAGTCAGCAGCCGCAAGCAACGGCATGGGCCTATGGGAACCGTTCATGCGACTTGCTACTACTCCCGACGGCGTGCCCTACGTCCAACTGACGTACTCCGGCGAGCTCGCTCATAATAACCAGGAGACGTTCAGCGTGGACTCATTTGATGGCGGTGAAACGTGGACCGGAGAGCCAAAATGTCTGCGGTGCCATGCGCATACCGAGAACCTTCGCGACGGTATGCAGGGCATCGCGAAGACGTGGGACGCCTCGACGGGCCGCGAAGCGCTCGTAATGGTCTTCGAGACCACGAGAAGACACCCGCATTTCAGCCTCGAGTACGTCGTCTCGTACGACGATGGCCGATCCTGGGGCGACCGCGGCGTGGTGTACGTTCCGCGGGGCGATAAGAGGAATGCGGGGTCCCCACAGATCGCGGCTTGTAAAGGTGGGAAATTGGCCGTGGTGTTCATGAGTGATGAAGATGTGGAAGAGAAGAAATGGCCTCACAGGGCGGCTGTCAAAGCTGTATTTGCGGATGGGGTTAATCGAGGGAAGATTCGCTGGTCGGAACATCCTGTCCTAGTTCACGCCGCCCCTGCACATTGGCCCGGCGTGCTTTGTACGGCTGAGGACGAGGTTATGGCTGTGTATGAGCAGAACGGGAAGCCTCTAGGAAGGCTGTTACATGTTTCATCCTAGATAAATTGGAGGTTTGCTAGCATGGGTTATGTATACATCTTGAACTTAACCTTCACCTCGTCGTACTCCGTCATTTGACATGTGTAGTTCATTCCTCGTTTATAAACAAGCACCCGACGCGGGTTCAATTTGTGTCGTTGAAGCATAAGACGGAGTGCGAAGCTTGCTAAGTATTTAATAGGCGTAGACTTAGACCTGACAAAGGCTACGAAGATTGATAAATGGAATTGAATATCAGTGGTAACAGGATAAAGTACACGTGCTAGGGCTGCCTAGGCTTCACTTATGTCTTCACGATATACTCTCCTAAGCTCAAACATAACCTCAACCGTGATCAACGCAATGATGATCCACTCTAGCCTATGGCCATATTTCTCGCTAATCATCTCCCGGAGAACGCTCACGTTTTCATTTGCGTAATCAATTCTCTTGTTGAGAATCTCGATCCGCCGGCGAACAGATAGCGCAGCACCAATCTGGTTGTAGTACTCTTCGAGTTTAGACTCTGACTCCCAAAACATGTCTGGAAGCTCTTCTGTGATATCAGAATAGTGGTTCAGTTGTGACCGTAGGCTCAGTAGTTGACCCGTCATCTTTATGATAGATGATCGCTTCAGCTTGCTTTGTGACCCTGCTGCAAGCACATTCAATGTCGCTTTCGATTCTTGAAGAAGGGACTCGAGATCAGTCTCTAGCACTGCTAGTTTCGGGCTTCTTGCCAGCCCACTTGAGAAAGCAACCTTGGCCAGAGTAGTATCTACTCTATTGTTCAGCGTGTCTTGAACTCTTGTGCCAAGTATGACAACTTCGCCTCTCATATAACTTGTGTCTCGAGTGTCATCCGCGGTAAACTCGAGCATCTCCAGTTCCGCACGATTCAGATGTGGGAAGCTCGCGGCTCGGATCAAGTGTTTTGATGCAAGCTTGATCAGTATGTCTTCTGGCATGGACCACGTCACCACGGTTCCTGAAGGAAAGACAAAGATATCGCCATTATTTACGCCCCTCGCATGGACGACAGCTTGGGTGTCGAACTCGATGCCATCCGGATCTAGCTCGAAGCCATGAAAGCTGAGAATCTCCTGCACCTGTGTCATATTAAAGGACTGGGCAACGCATATTGCGCGGATGGATCGACTCGAGTCGGTATCATCGTGATCTGTAATCTCCAGGGTAGCGGATTTTCTCGAAGTGTTAGTGCCCTTCGAAGGTTTCGTCGCAGAGCCTAGTCGAAGACTCTTGGCTGCAGATGCTCGCACAGGTTTTCTTTTCAACGGGGCAGTCTGAACATTTCTCGATGTCTCCGTGCCTCTCGAAGATTCTTCTAAAATGTCAGAGCTGTTAGCTCTTTCATCTGCCTTTAGAAGTTGGTTTGAGGTGAAGAAGTCTCGTTTCCGAGGCAGATATGCGACGGTTGTCTGGTGGAATTGTCGTAACGGCCGGGGAGTGAGGGCTCTGGTGTGTATTCCTCGGAAAGTAGGTGTGATCACCTTTTGCAAAGGACATCGCATGGCTTCAATCGTGTGGCCATGAGGGCCGAGTCAATCGAGGCGGAAAGCATGAAGTGAATGGCGTCAAGTGGAAAAGCCCACCTTTTACCTACCCACCTAGCCGAGCCCGATAAGGACTTAGGTAGGTGTGGTTTGGACAGAAAATCTTTATCGATAAGCATTACCCGCCATATTGTTCTTGTTATCTTCATCATTACCTACCAGGCTGAATAGCATCAATGGCAAATTCCCCAACATTGGTATATCGCTCGTTACCTAGGTAGCTATGGAAATTCTACGTTCAGTTTTGCTAGATCGTAATGGGTGAAGCCCCCTCTAGATCTAGATAAAAACAAAACATGCGAAAACCGCTCGCAAGGACTGGGATTGGGCGGCTGCTATCTGAACACGCTTGGAGCCAGGCGCTATCCCGAAAGACGACCGCGAAGCGTAAGCTTCCTATTTCTCCGAATTCTATCCTGGCGCTACGCCTAAGGCGTACGTCTGACGAAGAAAAGAAAAGGCATCAAATTGCCTATCGGTTTGCGGCCTCTTTGCGAAGTGGCCGCCTCCCGATTCTAACCCTACAGAGGTGGTTAGCAAGTCAAGATCTGTCGTCAGAAGGACCTTTAGCTACAGACATAGCTGAGAAGACTAAAGCCGACTGGACAGATGCCTTCAACAATCTAGCCGGGAGGGGGTGGTCATGGGACGATGTCGACCATTGGATATGGATACTCTCTGGAAAGGATGAGGATACTCGCGTGCAGCGTCTTATCTCTACTGATACCCCGAGGCCTATCTTCCTTCTACTTCTTCTCCTCCGGAGTGAGACATTTCAAAATGCCGGGACATTATCCTCCTTGATGCAGTATATCTCTAAGCATCATATGACGCTGTATAGGAAGCCCGCCGGTACTCAAGTCGAACCGAAGAAGATCCTCACCGTATCCCAGTTCCTTATAGTGCTGCGTCGCCTCGTTCGCCACGTTCAGGTTGTTCACCCTCCGTCTATTGTTACTGTTGCTCGCCTTGCGGCAAATTACATTGAATCTATTCCAAATGATCCGCACCATACGCTTCACAACACTGATTACCATGATCAGTGTACCGTCTATAATACAGCACTCTATCATTTGAAGAGGCATGCATCCAATCAACCACTTGCCAATATGGAATTTAATTGGAGGGCGCAAAAAAACCTTCTAACCATGTCGGATGGGCTGAGAAAGCCATTAATCATTAACAAGGCTAGCTATCAGGCTATTCGACAAGTGCTTGTTGGATTAAAGAAATCAGGCAAGGAGAGAGCAGTCGCATTGCGGTATGCTAAATCGTGGCCGCCATATAGGCAGGACTTTGATGGAAGGGATACGAAGCGGAGCATTGAAGACGACAGATCCAGAAGTGTAAAAGCCGGGGTTCTCATGCAAGAAGCTGGCTATCCAGTAGATGAATATGACAGGGCGCTAGACGTCTTGGGCGGTACCGACGAGGGCTCCCCTACAATACAGACCCGCAGTCTCCCGCCGAAGCAGTGGACCGGTAAGGTGGAAGAGCAAAACATCTACTCTCGCTGGGCCATGAGCATCAGAGCGACCCGCAATTCCCAAGAGGCTTGGAAAGCTTTCAACAACTTTGCGGAAAAGTCTGGGCTAGCACCTACTCTTCCAGTCTATAACGAAATGTTCGTGAAGCTTCAGGCAGCACCAGTGGACCTTGAATGGAGCGGAGATCTGTTACCTGGTGATTCGAGAGAGACATTTCCCGTCCACGATGCTAATTACAGCCAGTATGAATTAGCTCGGTTATCTCCTCCCACTGTGTCGGAACTATACGCTGAGATGATGAGTCGTGGCATTAGACCGGGAGGTCATGGCCTCCACAATCTGATTATAAACGCAAGATCTGTTGAAGAAGGACTGCGTTATCTTCATGACAGTGGCGTACCTTCTGATGTTACCGAGTCTCTCGCTGCTTATAGATTATCATTCACACAGTCCCTAAGGCGAATACCACTTCTCTCTTTCAGCAGTTACATTCGTCTGCTTTGTAAGTTACAGCCCAATCGCCAAGGTCATGATAAAATTTACGGCAACGAGCTCTATCGAATACGCTACGCCGTCATTCTCACTTCGATGAGACTTTCCCCAGATACAACTGAAGGCAGAACCTTTCGGCCTCCTTGGTATGCCATCTTGCGAGCATTAGCACGCGCTCATATAGCTGTCACGGATGGACCTGCTGCAGAAAATGATCTTGAGGCTCTGAAGATGTCTATGGAAATTGTACAGTCTGCACGCAGCAGGGTGGGAATTGATTCTGAGCTCTTCATACTACTTTGCCGTGCCATTCAGAAAGCGGCGCTCTCAAGACTCAGATCCCTGCCAGAGGTAGATCGTCTACATGCCCCTCTGATACCTAACTCACACCAATTACTGGAAATAACTAGCTCGATTTTTTCCAAACTAACAACACCGATTGTTGATGGAATGCCGGCGTCTTCTCCAATGCTTAATCTGCAATATCCAATGGGCCCGCCTCACCTCCATGCATACATGCGAGCTCTCGCATTCTTACAAGCCCGAGATCAAATGACGGGGCTTATTTTTTGGATGTTAGATAACTACAGCTATGTCAAAGAGGAAGCCGAACGCTACAGCAATCGTGGGCCAGCCATGATAGCTAAGACTTTTTGCGCCTTCCAGGCCTTTGCTAGCCCTGCCCTTGAAGAGGGTGTACAACAAGAGCTAGAGGATCGCATGGACCGTCTCGTCGCGGATGGGGGGAACTGGAGATGGCCAACGGCGGAAGAAGTTGAGAACTATACTTCTGCAGATGCGAGAGGTGGCTCTGAAGCGATTCGGCGTAGGTTAATGGCAGATGCGCACACGAGCAATGTGCATGATAGCCGGCTGGAGGCAATAGCCGCCTAGCCGTGTGTATAATACAATCTGCATAGTCAGGATTTATATATAATGATGAAGATACCCATAGATTTAAAATTCACGTACATTCTATAACAACCTTCCCCGGCTTTAACTACGAGTACCTCTTTGCCCCCTCACTTTTCGTGGCTTCGACATTTGATTATCCCCAATTCCATTCATGTGGCATGAAGACGTGCCAAAAACAATACTAGTGTAAAGCGAGCTCTGAACCGCCGTTATCATTGAATGTGTATGTTAGAGATTGCATTACTTGACATGGATCGGTTCAAGGTTGACAATGGCATCCAGTCTACATATCCATGGAGTCCTCCTTTTGCAGGCGCGTGGGGTGTACAAGGTGTGTAAATTTCAATATGACTTAATCTAATGCGAATCATAGTTGATGTGTTCAGATCTGTGCTGAAATGAGTGCCTAAGGATATATGCACCATTGACTGCTAGATAGCTACCTAAGGTAAACTTCGGGGTCGAGGTGAATTTACTTGTCCATCTTCCTGAAGTTTGGGGGAGTTTCCCAGGGAATCGGACAGGACAGAGCGTGTAGATAAAAAATTGATCAAGTGCTACACGCGTACAAGTTGAACATATAGTTCGTCTTGCGTTTCGGCCGTACGACAGGCCATCGTAGGCTGTTCGTGATCTTTGAAGACATGTAGGTAACATTGGACAATATGGGAAAGTGAGGTTATACAGACTCCGCTTTATGAAACAAGCCCTTGAGACCAGGCGGTTAGGGCTAGCAGGCCAGTTGCATATAGAGTCGAGTTAAGCCATCAAGGCCAAGAAGGAATTGGTTCGTCAACGACTCATGCAGCCTTAGTTGATCACTGTATTGTGAATAACATCAGATTCCCAGCCCAGATCTCTGCCCTGATTGTAGCAAGCCCGCTACACGTTTAGAAGCGGCAAGGACAACCGAGATGCTAGGTAGCGGTCGTTTCTTTGTCTTAAAGACTTACCTACCTTATCAACCAAGGAAGACCTGAGTCCCTCAAGTAAGACATTTGGTCCGATCAGATGTAAGTGTGCTGCTAGATCTTGCCAAGCTCTATGGTTCTATTTAGGTTTATCTTCAGGTGTGCTGCATGCACGCTGCACGAAATCCCATGTATCTGCAGCATGGTGCCTGTGCCAAATACTTCAGCTTCATGTGCCGTAGGTACCACAGCTGCATCTCCAAAGGCACTGGTTTACTTACATTTTACCAGGCCACCTAGGTTGGCCGCACATGTACCCTAGGTTGGCCGCACATCCACTCCATTTGAACTAAAGTAGCCATACCATATAAATAGTATATAATTCATACTATAGGCCAAATCCTAACAATATATTTAAAGCTTATAAGTATATTAATTTTATTTAATATATAAAAAGTAAAAAGTGGGTTAAGCTTAATTATAACCTTTTATAGCTAAATAGTTAACTATTAAAGTATATTTATTAATTAATTAAAGGGAAGGGGAATATTATATATATTTATTACTACTATCTTTACTTTAAAAACTTTAAACCCTTTAATTAAATAAGCCTAATTTATAATATTACTTAATATTTTTATACTATAAATTAAAAGAATTATATAGCTTTATTAAATGTTAAATATTAAAGTTAAATTAAAAGGTTTTATAAAATTTTGTTATTATTATTTATATATTTAAATAAATAGAAAGATTAATTTATATTAATATTTATATAATAGGTTTAAATATAAATATTTAAACATTTTAATTAAAGTATTTTAAATTATATAGCAATTATATATAAATAAAAATTATAACTATTATATAATAAAATAATAATTTTAAAATAATAAAGCTAAAATAGTTTATCTATTTTTATTTATAATAATAATAATATACTTTAAAACCTAATAGCTTAATAGTTTAAGGTATAACTTTTTATTAAAAGGAATAAGGTTAATATTAAAAGTATAAATATTTAATTTTAAATATATATAAAGGTTAAAAAGTATTTTTAAAATTTAATAAAGGTTAATTAATTAATTAATTTAATTAATTAATTAAGGTTAAATAAATATATTATAATATATTAAATAATTAATTAATTAATTAATTAAGGTTAAATAAATATACTATAATATATTAAATAATTAATTAATTAATTAATTAAAGTTAAATAAATATATTATAATATATTAAATAATTAATTAATTAATTAATCTTAATAAAGGTTAAATAAATATATTATAATATATTAAATAATTAATTAATTAATTAATTAAAGTTAAATAAATATATTATAATATATTAAATAATTAATTAATTAATTAATTTTAATAAAGGTTAAATAAATATATTATAATATATTAAATTAAACTTTTAACTATAATTATAATAATACCTCTTTAATAATATTTCTTATATAGCTATATTGTTAAAATCTTTAAACTATAAATTAAAAGGCTATCCTTTAAGGATATTATATACTTATAAGCCTTTTCCAACTTTTATATATATTTAAGATTTTATATAAAGTAAAGAATTTAGAAAAAGTTAAATTAAAATAAAGGAAAAAGGTATAAAAAGGCTTTAAAAGGTAAAGAATTAATATAGCTAATAAATGTAATTAAAATAACTTATTATTTTTAAAAAGGTAAAGGGCCTTTTAATATAAAATACTATTTTTAAATTACTCTTTTTTAAATTAAATAATTATAAATATTAAATAAAGTATATAATAATATTAATAATGAACTTTTATAAAAATATAACTACTTTTTAATTAATTAAAAGATTAAACCTTAATTTATAAAAGCTATAATAATTAATATTAAAGGTTATTTATTATTTTTAATAAAAATAATAATAAAGCTATTAATAATAATATATATATAAGTAATAATAAAAAATAAATAAATATTTAATTATTGTGACGGAGCAGCGCGGCGCTTTCACCAGCGGCGTAGCGCTTTCGCTAGTGGCGCGGCGCAACGCTTTCGCTAGTGGCGCAGCGCTCTTGGCCAATGGCGCAGTGCGCCCCTGACGAGGGCGTACTGCGCCCCAACAAAAGCGTACCTATAAGGGCGCTTTTAGCAAGGGCGTTACGCTTCGAGGATTAGCCGGAATATTTATATAGTTAGAATTTTCTATATACTTTATTATAGGATTAATAATAAAATAATACTTTTAATTTAACTTTAAAAACATTATTTAAAAATATTAATTTAATTTTATTAATTATAAATATTTATTAAAATTATAAGCTTAATTTATTTATAAATTAAGTTTTTAATTAAAATTAATACTTTTTTATTATTAATTATATAAAGTATATTTTTTTCTTTTATCTTTTAATTATTTAATATTTATAAATATATTTTATAAATATATAATATTTAAATTAAATTTAATAAAGTTTATTATTTTAAATAATATTATATTA